AGCAACTCTTCATCCGGCTCAACGTCTCTTCTCCGGCCTCTCTTCTCACGACCCGCAGCGCGTTGCGACAGGCTCGTGCCTCGTTTTCGGCTATCCGACCCCCCGTGGTCGTCAGATCAGGCTGTATGCTATTGCCGCCGGCGCCTGGGCCCTCAGGCGCCCTGTCCGGCTGACTATATGCGCCCAAATTAGGTCTCACCACCCCCTCGGGAGGTGCTCCGTTATTTCCTTCACCAGCCATAAGTGTATAAGAGTAGTAAAAAGGTTTTTACTCAACGAGGATTGTTCAAAAAGAGACGTCAACGAGCGGGAGACGTGGTGGAAGAGAGCGAAGGCGACTAGCGCCCACGGCCTAATTCGCTCTCTTCCATATCCGTCCGCACGCTTAGTAAGCACTCGTTAGGCCTAGCGCTCGTACCTCGCTCTGGGCATAACAGCACGATACCCTACGACAGGGTCAACTCCATTCAAATAATTGATCAATCTGCGAGCACGGCAACACTTCGCACCACGCGCACAGCTAGGATTAGCTCATGATTTACAACGTGCGGAATGACATACAGCGCTGTGACAGTCTGCTTGCACAACACCAGCCCGTCAACACTGAAATCGAGCAAGAGCAAATGAAATCGCCGTCTCACCTGGACGGCCATACGACGAGTCTTGTCGTGTTCATTATCCCGCCCGTCACAAGCATTGTAGTCTCCAATGGAGGGTGTCATCGACATCATTGGTATGGTCCATACCCGCAACTTGAACGAGTGTGTATATAAAAATGGATTCCGGGCTTCGCCCAGAGCTTTGAGTCGCGCCGCTTCGGCTTCAGTAGCGATCATGGTCTGGAGGCGCAGCTTCTCTGCGCTGTCCTCCACTCGTTCGCGCCTCTTCCGCAGGACGTAGATCCAGTTTTCGTGCCCGGGGTGTACTAGGTGGAAGCCAATGTGAGTATAACCCCACCTCAAGCTTAAACAAGCTGAACGGATAGCACGCAATAAATACTCACCTTGAGTGAAAAAGCGTTTGTGGTGTGCTTCGCGCTCGCAGATTTCCTTGTCAAGCGCCACGATGCATCGTCGAGTAGCAGCGAGCGCAGTCTCCGCCCTCTCCATGGCGATTGCGATGGGACATGTCCAGTCTATGATTTGTAGGAGCTTCCAGACCATCTCAGAGAGCGCCTCGGACACCCTCGAAGAGTCCTTGTAAGCTTTGTACTGCTGGCAGTACTCCTGCCGGTGTGACCCGCACAGTGGAGGTATTCCCGAGCCTTTCCTGAATAAACTCGTAGCGATACGAGCGCATGGTGACTCGTTCTTGGCTGGAACAACCTGGCAAGTACAGCTGTTGGCTAATTGGGAGGACATGTAGGCAAGACAACGAAAGCTAGAGATGAGAGGACGGAGGACGGAGAGGGAAGAGCGAAGTGAAGACAGACATACTTGTAGGGAACGCGGCACATAACATGCACGGCTTATTCGTGGTGGTCGGGTGCTTGCCGCCATGCGTTCTCAGCGCAGGATGCCTCGCTCGTGCACTGCGTCGTTTGGGGTCCGAGTGAACCTGGCTATAAGCGCGGCAAGGAGAAAACAGGCTGGCGTACCCATCCCTGCGCTGCTGCCGCACATATCAAGTTTTTCAGGCAGCCCATGACCGCAGTGAGTATTACCGCCGGTGTGTGATATTACCGCAGCAGATCGTCGATCGTATTGCGTACGCCACGCGCGAGTCGTTCCGGGGCGCCGCCGGCGCAACATCTGTTGACGATGGGGTTATGTCAGATACATGCCATGTTATTCCACTGGTAGATACGTACATTCTTGGAGAAGTTGCATGTGAAGTGCCCGTATCAACATACTGTCGATATCCGCTCCAACGCATGGAACCCTATGGAGCCGCTTGTACGCGCATGGCACAATGAATAGCTGCATCTCAATGACCGCTATTGGAATGTAAGGTCCCGTGGCGTGTTGAATGAATAGCCACCGGTATTCGGACTAGAAGCACAATGACCCCGCGACACCGCCACTACAGCCATGGCGGACCCACAATGAGCAGCCATGGCTAATGGCCCGTGCCTGCCCAAGCCGCGGAGCCTGCTCTCAGGGGCACAATAGGGAGACGGGTGACGCTGCCAGTGTCTCCCGGGGTATAAGAGGGGCGCGAAGAGAAGGAGAGCAGCATCACATCTCCCTCTCTCCTGCTCTTCTGGTGCGCCTCTCGCAAACCCACCACTACCCCCCACACCCCATCTACATCCTCCACCCTCCACGCATTCAGATGGTTACGCAGCGACAGCGGCCGCCATGGCCGCCCGACAGCCATATACACCGTCGGACAGATAAACCTCTCATTCTCAGTACCCCTTCTAAGAGCTGCTCACCGCTCGAGCGCCCAGCCTACCGCACCACCGTTCACAGGTGAGCGACATACCAGTCTCGCCACCCATGAGAGAGTACTCACCGACATCCATCCCCCTTCATAGTCCATGCTGTGATGGGGCGAACATACGGACTCGGGCCGTCGCCGCCGCACGCTGCGTCTTTGAGATTGCGACGCCCTCTCCCGAAGACGAGTCGTATGTATGTCCAGAGGCATGTCGGTCGGGCACCGCCCGGACTTCGCGCGTACGCCGGAGATCCTGAGCGTCGACGTGGGAGACCCGACAAGGCTACCTTGAGGTGGTGCGTGAGTAGCCGTTTCCATGCCATAGCTGCAAGTACACGCGTACTCACACAGCGATCGTTCCACAGAGGTATTGCGGGCTGTGTACGAGCTCACCGATCTCCTGCGGGAAGAAGAACCGCAAGAACTCGGATGACACCCGTGACAGCGAAGGGACACCCCGCCGACGCGACCCTCAGTCACTATCGGGAAGAGCCACTCGTCGTACGGGCACTGGAACCCACCTGGGCATCCACCACACGCGGTGCGGGTTCATGCATCATGACCGGAGACGACTACTCTGGATATGAACAGTCTCCAGACCAGACACCCCGACGTGCAATGCCCTTGAGGCTGGCCCGCAGCCCTTCCGGGCTCTACAAGCAGGTTCTCTGCGACGGAGACAGCATGCTAGCCAGTAGGAAATCCAGAAGGGCTGCTCTCCGAGCACGGAGAGGTGGAAAGGATCATGCAGGCCGACGTCACTGTGGACCATCGCGCGCGGGGTCAGGATCAATGTCCACATATTCATACGGCAACCTACGCACCTCGGGCACTCACTCATCTGCGCGCACGCCACTGAAGCCCGGGGACACGGATGGCGTTGACCAGAGGACGCCAACCCAGTTAGACCTCTTCGACGATGGCAATGTAGAGCACATTCCTGTATACACGTACGTCCATAAAATTGCGTATGTTAGGATAACCATCAATTTGATGTGACCTACCAACTGCGTCTTACGGATTGTGTGCTTGTATACTAAGCATCACGCACTTGAAACACACAACGTATGTTATACAACAAGCCGCGAGACACAGCAGGGCGAGTGCGAGTGCATGGGACGGGGTCATCGTCATAGCGCATCATAGTAGTGGTTATGACATCCCTGAGCGTTTTGGAGATGGTGATGGAAAGCGGCAGATAGAAAACATGCTATACAAATCGGACCCTCTACCCTCCCCCGAGCCGGCGAGAACGCGAAGACGTCTAGTACGCCTTCTTGCCCTGCGCAAGCTGCAGATGCGCGCTGTGCTCGTCGTACGGGAACTTCGACAGAGGGATCTCGCGCCACAGATCGGGCGTGAGGAACGCGTACGTTTTCGTGATCTATACAAAGGCAGATGAGCGGCCTCCTCCATGTCACGAAGAATGTGATTGCTTACCGCAGCGAAGGTAGCCTTCAAGAAGTTACCCATCGTCGCGGTTGAACCCTTCGACTGCGTGTAGCAATCCTCGACACCGGCAAGCTGGAGCAGACGCTTCGATGCGGGCGCAGCGACGAGACCGGTACCACGGGGCGCGGGGATGAGACGGCACATGACGGAGCCGACCTTGCCGGAGACCTTCGCGGGCACGGTGTGGGGCTCACCGAGGTTGGCACCCCAGTAGCCTCTGCGAACGGGGATGACGGAGAGCTTGGCGAGGATGATGGCGCCGCGAATGGCGGTGGCGACCTCCTTGGCGCACTTGACACCGAGACCGACGTGGCCGTCGAAGTCACCGATGGCGACGAACGCCTTGAAGCGGGTGCGCTGACCGGCACGGGTCTGCTTCTGGACGGGCATGATCTTCATGACCTCATCCTTGAGCTTGGGCAGGAAGAAGTCGATTATCTGGTACTCCTTGACGGGGAGGGAGAAGAGGTAGATCTCCTCCATGGACTTGATCTTGCCGTCCTTCACGAGGCGGCCGAGTTTGGTGACGGGAACCCTGGGGAGAAAAGCGCGTCGGAACGCGGCACAGAAGTGCGCAGGATGTTGAAGCTCACCACTCCTTCTCCTCGTCCTTGCGGCCTCCGCGGCGGGGGCCCCGACGGCCCCGTCCACGGTCACCACGTCCACGTCCGAATCCACCACGTCCGCGAGGGGCAGCGTCAGCCATTGTAATCTTGCCGGGAAGTTACTGCACAAAGAAGAAAGGGAGTAAGCACGCGAACTTTCAGGATGTGTCCGAGCGTGCAGGAGGATCGATGCAGAGAGAGGCCCGGTCGAAGGTTTGCGAGTCGGCAAGTCCATCTTCATCTGCCGGCGAAGTGGGCCATCCAGCCCGAACCCGGGCTTTCCTCCGCTCAATCTTTTGGTCTGACGACCAGAACCTCTCCTGCAGGGCCTACGGAACGCCAAAGGGGCATAACAGAGGGTACTCACGTCTTGAGGTTGGTCTGAAGGTCGAGCTCGCCGTGCGATGTGTGTATGTTGCAGCTTTCCTGAGGCGCCCTGGCCCGATCGGGATGGAACCGGCCCTGAAGTGACTCCCTGGAGCGGCAAGCGCTGGCACGTTATCCGATGACGAGCGTCCAGAAGTATTCTTTCAGTTTCACTTCCATCCACGCGCGCGCGTACGGTCCACTCGACGAGGTGCATATACGTAGAACATCGGGGCTCTGACGGGTGCTGGGCATAGAACCCCCAATAATCAGCCTATTTTGCCTGCCATCGGTTGGTCTGCAGTCCGCACATAGGCACATGCGCGCCGCTCAGGTAACCCCAGTTCTCATGATTGCCACCACCACCGGACTGACCGAAGGTGCAGCTGAGAGCTCCTGCTTTGTTTAAGGCTTAGGCGGTCAACAGTGAGTTTGGTATCAAAGATCTCGCTCAACACGAGACGCGGAATCTAAAGGAAGAGGCCATCAAGGATCAACATTCAGACTATCCCCAAGCCTCTCATTTCCACCTAACCGAACTTCCAGGTACGTGGGGTAGCGGTGAGTGCACTAGTGCAAATAGCAGTGCGTCGGCGAACGGTGGGGTGCGGCGGGTTCCTGGGACCTGCAGCCGAGCACGTGCGGACACCCGCACCGACCGCGAGCTAGCGGCCCCGCAACGCAAAGCGCAGGCTTCTCATGACGCGTTTGCGACTCTGACGAGTGTTCGGCGGGCGGGCGCCATAGGACTGGCCGAGCGCAGGTTGAATATGAGCGCTGGGCAGTTTCCGCCAGACAAGCGTACATAACACCGCCCTGGCCGTGCCTACTCCAGCCTCTTCTTCAGCTTCTTGCAGTTCGCTCCTTGCCTTTAGTCCCCCATCTCCTTTTCTCTTCTCCCCTCTCGTCCTCTGCTTTCCTGCTCTCGTCCTCTCTTCGGACGAGTCGTGTCCCTCCAACTGCTTCTTATCGCTCCTTTCTCTCTCTCCTCCAGCGTGGCGTCCCGGCGATCCCAGGCTATTGCGTCATCGCACCAATCAAGCCGTCTCATTACCCCGCAAGGCAAACCCATGTAAGTACCAGTCACCTCTCCGTATATGTTCCTTGGAGACGGGCAACATGAACGAGGTTGAGCATCTTTTTGACTTGCACCTCGCTCATGCCCTCTTTGGCACGTGCGTGATCATCGCCATGCCGAATCTCTATTGGCTGTCTTCCTTTGGCCGAAATTATGAGTTCGTGCCCGGCATCTGCTCACTTCCCTCTCACAGTCTTGCACGACCTTCATGGCCGACAACCATGCCGGGCTCGCCCCCGCCTCACCTCCGGACCAGTCCACGCGCCCCCATCTCACCAAAGAAAGTCTCGCCTCTCGCGAGGGTCGGATCAGCACTACGCTTCCGAATGCGCCCACCCGCCCCGATATGCCCTCCTCAACTTCACCTTTCAGCTCATTTGGCGATGGCTCTGGATCCTCTTCCAGCAAGGTATGCTCCTTGCCATCTGCATTCAAACACGCTTCTGACCCACATCCACCAACCAGCCGCTCTTCTACCTCCGTGATGTTACATCTCCGTCCTTATTTTCCCAGACACAATCCCCCGATACAGAGCTCGACATACTCCCCAAGCTCGTTCAGTCTCCAAGACCAGCTTACATCCGTCATCTCAGTACTCCTACATCGTTCCTTTCTGAGGAGCCGTTGGGTCTCTTGCAGATCCCTGCGGATTCTCCCCCAGGCGCGAACGATTCAGAAGATTACGGCGGGCCAACGCGCGCTAGCATCCGCGCTTGGGCGAAGGCAACCCCCGCGGGACCACCCAAGAAATCGTCGACTCGGACCGCGCTCAACCTACCGCAGTCCGGCTCAGACGACAGCCTCGTACATTCAAACACCACTCGGGCAGTGCGCGACCTACCAGTGTCTGCGGAGAGCAGCATCCAACGCACGAGCAGTCAGTCCGGGGACAATAGCCCGGGGATTGACCGGGAGGAGAGTTCAGGGGATGCTGCGGATGGCGAGAGCTCGGGGAGTGAGCAAAACTCCGCCTCGCCCCTCACAAGTAGCCCGTCTCCGGACAAGGTGAAGCTCGCAGCGCAGCGTGAGCTCACTGCTCCCCACCCGCATCCCCGTCCTCCTTCACCGTCATCAAATGCTCAACCCATTGCGCATCCACAACCCCAGCCAGCCTTTACGAGACCCTCTGCTGATGTACACCAGTACTCAACCGCCCATCCTCACTCACATGCCCATGCCCATGCTCACGCCCACGCCCACGCCCATTCTCATGCCCACCCCTATCCTCATGCCCACTATCCCTCCTCGCACTCCGGATCCAGCCCCGAATCCTCGTCCCCAGACCAAATCGCCGCCCGAGCGCCGGCCTCGATCCCAGACCCGACGCCTACGCATGCGGATTTACTTGAACACCCAGAGCAACGCCACCACCGGCGGCGGCCTCGGGAACGAGAGCGGGAACGAGAGCGGGAACGCGACCGGGAGAGGCGAACACGTCACCCCAAGCCACCCGGGGTCAAGGTCGTTTCCATGCCTGCGCTCCCGCCCCTCCGTCCGCTCCGTCCACCACCTCCCCCGCTCCCCATGCGTGCGCTGCCGACCTTCTCGCCGCGCACGATCTCGGTGCCGATCCCCTCCGAAGCGGGCAACAACATCTTCAAGGAGATCGAGAACATGCTCAAGACGACACGCAAGCCGCTGCTCCGCGTGCACCGGGAGATGGACCCGAACGAGGACGATATGGGCTGGGCGCCGTTCCCTACGGGCCGCTCCCGGTCCAATGGCTCGACGCCTGTGCGCCGCGAGAACGACGTGCTTGAGGACATCCGGACGATGGTTCACTGGTCGCTCCGGTAGCCCCCGAGCGCAGACGGTGGATCGCCGCCCGTCCCATGTCGCACCCCTCGGGTTGTACTTCCTACTATGGTGGCGGGTTCCCGGCAATGATACCCCGTGCTTCCTGCTCTGTCGCCGCATCGGGGCTCGCACCCTTACATACTAGCCTGGCTCTCGCATTGATCGTCGTGCGTCGTCCTCCTTCCTTCTTTCTTTTTTTCTGCAGGTTTAGGTGGAAGTTATCTGAGGGCTATATGTGGTTTTGACATGAATGTGGGGATCTAGCGATTATTATCAACACATACGCAGCAATTGTTGTCGAGACGTTACTGAATCGAATTATGCCCCCGCTAGTACCGAGTGCCGCTGAGTGTCTGCACCCCCTTGGTTGTCACCGTCGCCATCGTCACAGGCTGCAGCTTTGCGGTATGCATGCGCCTGAACGGCCGAAGACTGCCCGAAGGAAGCACGACAAGGTATTTATTAAGACGGCGCTATCCTTCTGCTGTGGACCGTGCAACTGAACGCATCCACCAGAAACAGCCGTCATCGAGTTATCTACGCGCGGTCCGCTACTGGTGCTGTCGCTGCTGGTGTCTTTGTATTCTCTGGCAGCCGCCAACGTTGCTTTCATCGGCAGGCCTGTCGATGTCTCCGTCGCATACCTCGCCCCTGCGCCTGTTACCGACGCTCCATTCTATCTCGCACGGGTCTTCGGCGTCACACAGGCTCGTGCGTATATCTGGTCCTTGGCAGCCTCGCAACTCATACTTATCCTCGGCGCCTGTGTCTTTGGATTAACACTCGTACTATGGCTACTAAGTACTAAGTATCGGCAGTACTTTCAAGAGTCTTCTGCGCCAAGTCCATTCTCATTCCTCGGCGGAGTGGGTAACCTAGCCCAGATTTGGCATGTTCTCGGCTCAGAATCACAGGTGGACAACCAGAGTCTCTCCTACTGGGTATACGGAACACTTGAGGTCCATCTTAAGGTCGCGCTCCCCATGCGATGTGTGAGCTTGTGTACGACTTTCGTGAGGCGCCCGATTGGGATGGAGCCGGCCCTGAAGCGAACCCTGGAACAACAAGCGCCGGCCCGTCGACGTCTCGACGCTAGCATCCCCATTCACTCATCCACTCATTCACTCTTGTTCACTCCCATTCCTAGCGTCTCGTCTTCACGCTGTCACGTACGGTCTACTCAAGAGGGTTTACTGCATAGGACATCGCCGGTCGACGGGTGCCGGGCGCAGACCATCAGGATATCAAGCCATTTTGTCTGACATTGGCCGGGTCGCCTCGGTTGAAGGTGCGAGCGTACAGCTCGTTCATACCGACCGCCACCACTGACTGGAGCCGCAGCATAGAGAGGCCTTCCTCTGACTCTCTCCCTGACATTTAGGTCTCCAACAGTGAATCGTACTAGAGAGATCTCGCTCAACACGAGACCCCGGTTGGGGTGGGATTGCAACGTTGAAGAAACGTCGGCGCGAAACGGCCTCCCACCCCACATCTTATCGGCCCCGAAGCCATTACAAGTCTACACCCTGTAGATCTTCTGCGATCCATCAACTAGGTACGTGGGGCGCGAGTGCAAGTGGCAAACCAGCAAGTTGGAGATGTGGGATGACTGTGGATTCCAGCATAGAAGACTCTTATGAGCACGCGCTCGCCGGTCAGGTCTTCATGCCGAGCATACCTTAAATGAAACAGAACAGTTGTTGCTAGAGTTGGATTCTATGACACCGTCCCTCGACTTGACAGGCCTGCTCCAACCGCCTTTCGAGTTTCTTGGAGTTCAGTTCTCTGTCCTGGCATGAGCGTGATTCGGAACCTGCCTTGACCTTATTCATGCTGCTTTTGCCCCGCGTGCGTGGCCATCGCCGATGCTGGGTCTCTATTGGCTTGCCATCGGTTTTGGCTGAGCAACACTAGGTGTGGGTCCACATCAGGCATTTGCTTACTCTAGCTGCGCGACCTTCATCTATAGTCTTGCTTGACCCCCATGGCGGACGAACATGCCAAGGGCGCCTCCGAGCCTCTTACGCGTCCTCATCTCGCCAAACAGACTCTTGCCTCTCGCGACGGCCGAAACACCGCGCTGTCTCCAAACGCACCGATTAGTCTAGATATGCACTCCGCAAGTTCGCCCCTTAGCTCCTTTGGTGATGGCTCCGGATCCTCGTCTAGCAAGGTACTTATGACTTTCACCGTTAATCAATCACATTTTATCAACGTTCTCCCACAGCAACACTTCTCATTCAGCAATGTCGTGTCCACGTCGACGTTCTCCGGACCGCAATCCCCAGATGCAGAGCTGGAAGCATCTACCAAGCCCGGTCAATCACCGCGCTTCGCGTACTTCCAGTTTGCCAAACCCGACACCGACTCCCACACTCCCGCATCGCTCCTGTCTAGGGAGTTATCGGAGCTTTCACAGATCTCTGCAAGTCCTCCCTCTGGCACGAGCGAGTCAGAAGATGACGGCGGGCCTACACGAGCCAGCATCCGTGCATGGGCCAAGGCGACGCCAGCAGGAGCCCCTACCAGTCTGTCGACGCGGAGTATTCCTGAGCCACCTCACTCCGGCTTGGACGAGTACTTCAACCGTCTGAGTCTCACACAGACCATGCGCGATTTACCCACATCCGCCGAGAGCAGCGTCAAGCGGCCCAGCAGCCGATCGAGGGACATCAGCCTGCGGAGGTCTTTCGAGAGGGAGGAGAACTCAGGCAACGTCGCGGACGGGGAGAGCTCTGGGAGCGAGCAGAACTCATCTTCTCCTCCAATCGGGAGACCATCTCCGGACAACCTGAAGCTCGCAGCACAGCGGGAACTCATTGCCCCACATCCGCATCCGCGACCTGCTTCGCCACCTAAGCCCACTGGGCACGCACACACTGATGCACGCCAGCACGCAACCGCCCATCCCCCAGTTCACTCTCACTCTCATGCCCCCCATGTCCACTTCCATCCTCAAGCCCATTCACGAGTTGTTCCCCATTCTCGGACCCGCCCCGAATCCTCGCTCCCAGTACCTGTCCCAGCATCAGCCCCCACGCCCACACATCCCGACCAGCAGGAACGCGCCGAACGCCGTCATAGGCATAAACGGCGTCGGCATCGCGACCGCGAACGCGATAGGGAGCACGATCGCGACAGACGCACACGCCACCCGCCCGGCCACGGCGTCGTCTCTATGCCCGCCCTCCAACCTCTGCCTCCACTCCGCCCTCCCCCGCGGCCCATCCCTATGGGCACGCTGCCCGCCATGCCGCTGCGCACGATCTCCGTCCCGCACTCCCCCGCCTCGAACGCCTCCTCGCGGCCGAAGACGGACGTCTTTGGGGAGATCGAGAAGATGCTGCGTAAGGCGCGGAAGCCGATCCTACGCGTCCGCGAGGTGGACGAGAACGAGAACGACGCGGAGAACGACGTTCTCGAGAATATCAGAGCGATGTTTCAACGGTCGTGCCGGTAGGAACACCCGCGACGATCGTTGCCCGTCCTGCGCTCGTCGAGCGGGGACACGATACCACGATGGCGGTTGACTAGATTTCAGATAGAGACCCTCTCCCTCTCCTCGATGGTTATGCGCGCTGCGCAAACTAGTTTTGTTATCAGGATTGTTCTGTGCGTTGTCCCTTTCGGGCGAAGATACATGGTACTTATGAGCGCGTTCTGAGACTGTAGGCATACACGAGTTTCACAGGCGTTTTATCCGCATATACGCAGCATTCTGTGGTCTAGGCGTTGCAGAACCGAATCGATTCACGCATTCGCTCATACCCCGCGGTATTGTTTGTACAAGTGCTTCGTAACGAGCGTTGGTAGATAGCTTTGTGGTGTGCGCAACGAGCGCTTGAGCGGCCTCCAGCCCGCCAACAGGAAAAAGAAGCCGGTGTGATCGTCAGACGCCTACTACACTCTAGGGGCCGGCGACGGGTTCCTCTTGATGTTACTCCCACTAGCGGCACAAATGATAGGAGCCCGTACATCGTCGAAGAGTTCTCTCCGTCTCCTGCCAGGAAGTGGGATCCTCAAGTCGGAATGTTTCATCGGATACACGGTCAAGGTATGGAAGTGGATTGTCATGCGATTCCAATCTTATACCCTTCTCTAGCAGCGCTCGAACCCATCTACCCAAAATAACTCGTCAAAGCGTGCGGCGACTAGATGCTCGGAGCCGGTGTCGTTAGCCGTCACGTCCCGTCTGCAACCGTCAAGGGTTGCCGTTAGGACACGCAACTGGGGCCGGGGGAATACCGCCGTCGCGATTTCGTAACAACCGAAAGGCAACAACACTGTCAACAGTACCACAGCTAGAGGCGCCGTGCGCCTCTAGTGGAATTTGATGTGCATGTGCCGATCCGCGGTGAGGGCTGTCGCTGCCGCGTCTCGCGCGCTGTGCTAACATCTACTTCTCTATTATCAGGCCTCTAAGCTGCTTGACACATCTGCGTCGGGTGACGCGGAGGGACGCCGAGCGGACTCCGCGTCCGTCCGCGAAGAAACGAGCAGGCCATGGGTGCACTGTGCAGCACGTAGCATAAGTACAACGCTCGAGGCCACAGCAGCGACAACCATTCAATTCTTCATTCACCAGTCCACATATCTCCAACAACCGCCTCACTCGTTTTTCTCGTCCTCGAACCACACTATGGATCACACACTCTCCTTTTTGCAGAACATCTCTGCCACATCCCCGGAACTCGCCGTGGTCGGCACGATCTTGGGATATGCCGCCTGGCGGCTCTACCGCCTCCTCAGCTTCGTGTACATGACCCCGCTGCGCGTTCTCCCCGGCCCTCCCGTGCCCAGCCTCGTGTACGGGAACTTGAACGAGTTCGGCGAGGTCGAGGGGTCCTTCTTGCCCGACCAGCTGTTCGCGAAGTACGGGAAGAACTACGTTGACCACGAATTCTTCATGGTGAGCCCTGAGCCGAGCCGATTCTGGTGGAGCACAGGCGCCGTACTCATAAGCATGATGGCGACGCAGACACCGCGTCTCTGGACGTTGGATTCCCGGGCAATCAACCATGTTTTGATGCACTCTACGGAGTATGGGAGGCCGGAGGAGACCGTCCGGAACCGCATCAAGAACTTTGGCAAAGGTGTGCAATTGCGAGGCTCTGCTCGCCGTTCGCTGCTAATCGTATGGTCTGCCTCCTTTTAGGCATACTCTTCGTGCAAGGTATGCAGCCAGGTTAATGCTCATCCGCACCTAAACTAATATGTGCAACTAGGCCAGGAGCACAGGCAACAGGTCCGCCGCTTTCACGTAGATCATTTATTTGTGGTATCTGTAGTACTGACGTCATGTTCTTTTTCCCACATCAGAGAAGGATCATGGTGAGTGCGTAATTTCTGGTTTGTTTTGCTCGCACTCACACCCCCCATCAGAACCCGGCATTTGGGCCCACACAGGTCCGCGATCTCACCGCGATCTTCGTCCAGAAATCTACCCAGGTATGTCTGCAATTTGTCCTTAGGATAGCGTTCGCTGAAACCTTGTCATACGCTGTAGCTCCGTGACATTTGGGCTACGGCAGCCTCAAAAACCGGGGGCGCAGTGCGTGTGGACGTGAGCAGGGACATCAGCAAGGCGACTCTCGACATCATCGGAATGGCTGGTACGTTCCACGCCGTTACGTTTGGCAAGCAAAGAAGGCTTCCCTGACACCTTTCTGCGGCCAGGCTTCAACTACGACTTCCAAGCTCTGGATGCCGGGGACACGTCGAACGAGCTCAGCGCCGCCTTTCAGAAGCTCTTCACCAACCTTCGCACCTTTTCTCTGTTTGGCTACTTGATGGCCTTCCTCCCCATCTTCAAGCTCATCGTGAGTTCTTTTCATCGTGCCCGTTCTCTTGAGTTTGCCTGTCTCAACAATGCGATATATCCTCTAGCCGAACCCCCGTCTGAAGAAGGTAGAAGAGGCAGCGGATGTTATAAACCGTGTGGGATCAAAGCTCGTCACCGACCAGAAGGCTGCTACCGCGCAAGCCGCGGCGGAGAAGCACGTCCAAGGCCCCGAACGCAAGGACCTGCAGGGGCGGGACTTGTTGACGCTGCTGATCAAGGCGAACATGGCCACGGACATCCCCGACAACCAGAAAATGACGGACGAGGATGTCATCAGCCGTGAGTAAATCCTAGTGCTCAGTTTCGTCTCGGCGCTTACCGGATTTTACGTCGTAGAGATCCCGACGTAGGTTATACATGAGTACACCGAGCGTAACAGTCGCTGACTTTGGGGCGACCAGTTTCCTTATTGCTGGTCATGAGACCACCAGCACTTCAACTACGTGGGCCCTCTACGCTTTTTGCAAGCATCCGGAGGTACAGCGCAAGCTCCGCGAGGAGCTTCTGGCTGTTGAAAACGAGACACCGACTATGGAGGACTTCAACGCGCTCCCCTATCTCGACGGGGTCATACGCGAGACGCTCCGTCTGTACGCTCCCATAACGCAACTCAGTCGCGAGGCGAAGAAGGATGACGTGATTCCCTTGAACGAGCCCATGACTGACCGGTATGGCAAGGTGCACCACGAGATCCGGTAAGTGCGCCGCGCAACCCACGTCAGACCTCACGCTGAATTCAGTTCTGCAATCACCAGTATTGCGAAAGGGAACAAGGTGATGCTTCCTATCCTCGCGGCGAACCGGTCGAAGGAGATATGGGGCGAACACGCTCTGGAGTTCAAGTACGTGATCCCGACCATAGCCTTATTGTCTGTTTGTGCAGATGCGCTGATGCGCTGTATTCATTCTTTGAATCCAGACCGGAGCGGTGGATTCAACCTTCTGCAGTGACATCGACCCTACCCGGCGTGTGGGGCCACCTCCTCACCTTCATCGGCGGCCCCCGCGCATGCATCGGGTATCGGTTCGCCCTGGTTGAGTACGTTCTTCTCAATGCATGGCGTGCAGAAACTCGAAGTTGATCTCTGTCCTAGGCTCAAGGCTCTCCTCTTTTTCCTCGTCCGCGCGTTCGAATTCGAGTTCGCTGTTCCAGCCGAGGATGTCGTCAACGTCGCCGCTGCGCTGCAGAGGCCATCGCTGCGCTCTGCGCCCAAGGAGGGCGCGCAGCTTCCTCTCGTGGTCAAGCCGTACAAAGCGGCGGCTTAGGCACCTGTCATCAGGCGCTAGGTTAACAACGGACTCAGTTACGGTTTCTTCATGTTGCGTATCTTCCCTCGATTTACTCGCTTCCTCGGAATATCAGTTCTAGTGGAAATGAAACGAGCTTACATCGTTTGACTTCGGGCTTCGTTTCTCCAAGCTTCTGGATCTCCATTACAGGGTGTAACAGTGTTGTCCAGAGCACCCCGTCGAGGTAAGGAGTCCTTTGGACTCGAATCCCTTGAGATTCAGGCACCTGAATCATCCATGATGTGTCAGTCGATGGCCTGAAAAGCCGGAACGTCCGGAGATATCTTGCTGCCGTGGTCAAGCATGTGGAGGCTGTAATACAACGCTTCTCGCCGCAGTGCTGCGCGGCTAGCGCGGCCTTTACGTGGTTGAAGGGAGTTCATGTGCTGGAGAAATTAGCGATAGCCCCAATTTTTGGAACAACAAGGCATAGAAAGTAGCACCTAGCTGCATCCATCCTGTCACCACAAGGTATTTCCAGAGGGATATCGTCCTTAGTAGTATGTACCACGCTCGCCGAGCGGGGCGAACTTAGTGGTGCAGCGGGAGGCTCGGGCCGAAGTGATTCTACGAGACGCCAGCACAGCATGCAGGGACAGACTTTCGCCTCCTCTTCCTGCACTCCTCCCGTTCTCACCATCACTGCGCTCGCAGCAGCTTGACTGGCAACAATGACTCGTGTTCTGAAGCGTCTACTCTATTCACGGTACGAAGAATAGCACTCGTCCTGCATCGGAGCACAGTGGTTGCACGCGAACCTCCCACCTTGAGATTCAAAAGTGTGCTTTGAACTTGTGAGTTACACACCCTGAGGTCCAGTTCGCATATGTGGGTCATAAGCTTCGAAGGCGTCATACATACCCGGTACCCAGGCCATGGTTTCAGCTGTATGACAGAACCTCGCACGGACTTGCGCTTTTGGTGAGCCTGTTCGAGTTGACAAACCGGGGGGCGGCGGCCCTTTCGGCAGCGTCGCTTGAATGTTCCGTGTCATATCTCACAGAGTAAGAAGCGCGGGTGAGTCGCTGCGCATACGCATGTCGGCGATATAAAGGTTTGTTATATAGGATGCTCTGGGACTATAGACTGCGTTGCGCTTCGCCTCTTCACCGCTGCTTCTTCCGCCATGGGCCTTACCACGATGTCGCCGGAAATCGGTGTTCTCTTGCTGACTATATTCTTTTATGGAGTCTGGAGGTTCCACCAGTATTTGCGCATCGCATACCTGACTCCTCTGCGTAACCTGCCGGGTCCGCCAGCGGGAAGTTGGGCCTATGGTAACATGAAAGAGATCGCCGCCATGGACAACACCCTCCTCCCGGACACTTGGTTCAAGAGGTATGGAAAGGTGTTCGTAGATCGTGAATTCTTAATGGTACGTCACTGTCTCTCCTCATACCGAGACGTCGATCATCTATACGCATGACACCTAGCGGCCGCGTCTCTGGTCCCTCGATCCCCGAGCCATGCAGCACGTGCTGTCGCATCCCAACGATTTCCCCCCGCCAGAGGAGACACAGCAGGCTCTTCAGATGGTTTTGGGACGAGGTACGCCATGTTCCTAATCTCCCCCATAACGACTCGTCGACATCCGTATCTTAGGTTTGCTGTCTGTTTCGGGTGAGTTCCTGCAGTACAGTGACAGTAGGAATCGATATTGACCACAGAACTGTCAGGCGAAGAGCACAGAAAGCAGGTATGTTGCGATGTTAGATGATCGTGACGCAAGCTTTATATGAATCTCGCTTCCCGCCGCAGAGGAGAATTTTGGTCAGTCAGAGGTTGCTTCGCCTACGCCGCCGCCGCCGCCGACACGCTTAAGCAGAATCCTGCCTTTGGGCCCGCACAAGTCCGCGATCTCACGCACATCTTCGTCGAGAAATCTATACAAGTAAGTCTACCCTTCCACCGCGTGGGGCATCTGCGCATTTCTGACCGTGCTTTACCTCCCGATTCAGCTTCGTGAATACTGGGCCAACGTTGTGCGCAGCGGCAGCACCCGTGTGAATGTGAACAAGGATCTGAGTAAACTGACACTCGACATCATCGGCGTCGCAGGTATGCCAACGCCTCGATCCAATGCCACCATTTATTATGTGCGCGACTGACGTCCTCTACCATCTTCGTGCAGGATTTGGATACGACTTCAACACTCTGAATCCCGAAGGAAAGCCCAACGAACTCAGTCTCGCCTTCAGCAGGTTGTTCATGAGCTCTCCGTCCATCTCGGCGCTGGTGCCGTTCCTGAGAACCTTGTTCCCCATCCTCAAGCTTATTGTGAGTCAACGGTCCTTGACAGCGACAACCTCACTGATATTTGATGACTCTAGCGAACCGAACGAGTAGCTACTATCGAAGCCGCATCTGAGGTATTCCATCGTGTCGGTATGCAGTTAGTCGAAGAGCGGAAGACCGCTATCCTCAAGGAAATGTCGGAGAAACATCTGCAAGGTGTCGAGCGCAAAGATTTGCAAGGTCACGACCTGTTAACGCTCCTCATGCGGGCCAACATGGCGAAGGATGTCCCGGAGAACCAAAGGCTGTCTGACAAAGAGGTCCTCGATCGTACGTATCCATCCTTTTCCTGCGAGCTCTTATTTGACATGGCCCTGTGGTACAGAGATCCCTACGTGAGTGCTCAATCGATTTACGACGTCATCCCTCCTTACTAACTTCGGTGCCCTCCAGCTTCTTGCTCGCGGGACACGAAACCACGAGCACTTCGTCTACTTGGGCCTTATGTGCGCTCTCCAAGAACCCCGCTCTGCAGAAGAAGCTTCGGGAAGAGTTATTCACCGTCCAGAGCGACACGCCGACAATGGAAGAACTCTCGGCGCTGCCCTACCTCGACGCCGTCGTGACCGAAACTCTACGGTTGTACACCCCCGCTACCATGTCATTCCGCGTGGCGAGCAAGGATAGCGTGATACCCCTCAGCGAGCCCTTCACCGATTGCCATGGGAAGGTCCATAACGAGCTCCGGTAAGCATCCACTGCACACTTTCGAACCAAAATTGGAGGTTCACGCGCGCCGCAGGGTTGCCAAAGGCAACAAAGTCGTTATCCCCATACTGGCCATGAATCGTTCTGCGGAGATCTGGGGACAAGATGCTATGGAGTTCAGGTATGCCTGATTGGAGGCGTCGCTCGATTGCGTACGCTGACGGCGATACAGACCCGAGCGTTGGCAGCAGCCCCCGGAGGCCATCTCGGCAATCCCTGGTGTATGGGGCCACCTGCTTACCTTCATCGGCGGGCCGCGCGCATGCATCGGCTTCCGCTTCTCCCTCATCGAGTGCGTCTTCGCCGAGCACATCCAATTTCATGTGCGGAACTGATTCTGCGTTTCGTTCCTTGTCCAGGCTCAAGGCCATTTTGTTCACGCTCATCCGCGCGTTCGAATTCGAGCTCGCTGTTCCCGCGGAGGATATAGTCGCCAAGACCGAAGGCCTACAGCGTCCGTCTCTGTTGAGCGAGCCAGAGAAGCGATACCAACTCCCGCTTCTCGTCAAGCCATACAGTACTTCTTAAGCAGAGAGATGAGGCACGCTGGGCGATGATATGCCGGGCAATGTGTTTGACTTCGATACCACAAGCTTCGTTTTACGATGGTGTTGTCCGGTCGCTCTATTTCTAGAAGATCTTTTCAATCAATGTCGCTCGTTCCGTAAGAACCTCTACTAGCTCTGGCATGAACAGCGGTAGGCTACCGCTAAACACGCAGGAGGATGAAGCCTGCCAGTTAGAGGTGACCTCAGTATCTTAGCCTCCTTGAAAGACATCGCAAAGGGTCATCGAGTATCGTCGAAGAAAATGTATCAGCATTGACGTGACTGAATCCGTCTTCACGCGCGGCGCCAATCTATGTCACATAGTCCGAGTCAGTGTCGCGTCTATGCAGCCTCCCTGGAAGGACATACTCACCTCGGATCGCCTGTAGAGACCTACGAGCGACGATGTTGCAAGAGGGTTTTAGACAGGATGTAATCAAATACATATAAGGTGCATGCCAGCGATCGTGCGCCGTGTGCTGCGGTAGTTTGGCACAAGTTTAGCATGCTTTGAGCGCCCCCCTATTACTACTTGCCTCAATCGTGGCTCCATGCTAACCGAGCTTTCGAGTTGCTTTCAAGTGTTTAGGGCCATGAACCGCTAGTGACTGTGGTATCGCTGTGAGAGTTGAGGGTATGGCATGCACCCTGCCGCTGGACGTGGTAAGTTATAACATACATACGCGCTCAGCCTGGCTGGTCGGAGCTAGTCGCGTCGGCCGTAGCCGGCCATGCGCGTGTTATATCGGACGCCAGCACAGCTATGAGCAGTGTGTACCTCAGCGTGCTTTCCACTTGCTCTCGCTCTCATAGGCTTTTGACTGAGCACCGCTAAATATTGGAACCTTTGCTAGAGGTGTAGCATATCCAGGAGGCTGTTTGGGCGTTTCCTGGCGTTTGGGACCACCTGTTCACCTTCATCGAAGGTGCGTCTTACTTACTCGCACGCCTCTTCTCACTTGCAGCACTGGCCCCAGTCCGCCCGCTTGTGCACCCGAGGCTGAACTCAAAGAATACACGATGCCGCTTCAAGAAATCGCCGAAACACACGAGCTTGCGAACCACCTCCTCATGATAGGACACTGACGTCATGGATTGGATAGCGCTTTAGTTCTAATTCTGGTGAACCTGAATTTCCCATGTGTGGATGTGCGTGACGTCCTTCTACCCATGGACAGCTGACAAAGGAGTCTCCCCAACTGTACGTCAAAGCCGTGTCTCTTCCTTACCAGACCCACTCACTTCAGCGTCAGGCTTCCAAAACAGAGGTAGGTGGAAGCTTTGCCGATAGGAAGGTATGCCCCATACGCTGACCTATGAAAAACGACACAGAAGTCACAAATCAGCACGGAAGTATGTCCAACCTCCCCGCCCACGCTCCTGGTCAGACCTACTGCGACGTATCGGCCCTCGAAGCGGGACACGTCCGGGTCCCCCTTGACTATCTCATTGACACCGCCAAGGGGGGCGAGACACGGGAGCTCCCCTCTCTTTCCTTTCTCCTTCGGCACTCCCAGAACGGCGACATCTTCGTCTTCGACCTCGGGATCCCCAAGGACCTCCAGACTCTGCCCCCGATGTACCACGAGCGTATCGCGCAGATGTTCGCCATAACCGTCCCGGAGGACGCGGCGGACTCGCTCGCCAAGGGCGGCCTCGACCCCACGGCCGTTAAGCACCTCTGCTACTCGCACATCCATTTCGATCACATCGGCGACTCGCGTCCCTACACCAACGCGACGTTCCTCGTCGGCGCGGCTGCGAGGCCTCTCGCCACAAACGGATGGCCTGCGGACCCTAAGTCGCTCTTCTCGCAGAACCTGCTCCCCGAAGGGCGTACGCGCTTCCTCGACCCCGCGGACTGGCCGCCGCTCGGCCCGTTCCCGCACGCGCTCGATTTCTACGGAGACGGAAGTCTGTACATCATCGACGCACCAGGGCACATGCCGGGTCATATCAACGTCCTCGCGCGCACGTCGCCCGACGGAGGCTGGATCTACCTCGCTGGGGATAGTGGACACGACCGCCGGCTGCTCACAGGCGAGGCGCACATTCCGGTTCATCAGGTGTATGGCTGCGCGCACGGCGACAAGGAGGTAGCGGCGGCACACCTCGCGAGGATCCGGGCGCTCATGGAGACCTATCCGCGCGTGCGGGTGCTTCTTGCGCACGACGTGCCATGGTACGAAGTGAACAAGGGCGGGCCCGGGTTCTGGCCTGGGGTGATCGACTCCCTGTAGGAAGGCGTTTTGGGTAAGTCAGGCATAATCTGTAGCATGCCGGTTCCTGACATATGTTTTCTAGAACCGGCCTCGAGGGCGAAGAAGTAGCAAATGTACGATCATCCGAAGTTGTGTTATTCTGCGCGCGATCTCAAGCATCGGAATCCCTGTGTGTCGAATCCGCTCAATTCGATATTAATTTTCCTTTGATCCTCCGAAGTACGCCTGCGAGGCCCCGCATGTGTTGTGTTTAGATTGGCTCCATTGGAGCGCGAGTCTTCGTATCCGAAGAGCGGCGTTGTGAAGGTTGACCGTTGTGACGAACTGCACCACCCTCCACATCGGGTGTGCCCGGACCAACGTGAACACTGCCTCGCCCCAAACCACCACCACTCGTCTTCTCTCTCTCGAACATGTTCAGTCTCTACTCTCTGGCCGCCGCCAACGCCGCTTTCATTGGCACGCTCACCGATGTCTCCGTCGCTTACCTCGCCCCACCTGTTACCAGGGCTCGACTCTATCTCGCACGGGTCTTCGGTGCCACACAGCCTAGCTCATATGACCAGGCCTCCGCAGCCTCGCAACATATATCCTCAGCGTCCCTGTCTTCGGACCAACACTCGTATGACAGTGCTCCCGGCGACGACTTCTGGGAGCATTCCGTTCTGCCTGGTAGCACTCCCGATGAAGTGTATCTCGCGTCAACTCCTTGTTCGCCATCAGTCAACTGGTCTAAAACAATACTCGCTGGCATACCCTCGATTATCTGCATCTGCTTGGCTGACTCTATCTTGCTGCTTCCTGATCGCGAGGCTCGCGATGCGGGCGTAGCGGACATGTATTCCCCGCGGATGTTGCTCCTGTTCGTATCGCTTGCGGGCGCTGGCGTCCTCCGAGTGGTATTCATCGCAGCTCGATCGTATCGGAGCAGTCGAGCCTTGAGTCTGGTGCCTTCCGCCTTGGCTACTCCACAACCCACCGCGGCTCTGGAACCTACTCCTGTTGCACTACTACCCTCCGCTTCGGTACCCGTGACCAAGAAGAAAACCCATAGAGGAACCCGTGGCGGAAAACGCCAGCAACTCCGGAAACTACGTGCACTGGTAAGTTTCATATTCTCCCCCCCCCCTTCCTGCAACGTTGGATAGACAGCTACACAGGAGAAGAGTCTGGTATCGGAATCCTCCTCTTCGGAGACTTCACAATCCACGCCAGAAAATCACAAACAACGCATCTCTATTGGAGGATCTTCTTGCAACATACTCCATCCCCAATCCCGTCCCCCGTCCCCATACACTATACGCGCGGACTTCGACGCGGACCCCAGCCTCGACCTCCATTCTGCCACCGCCTTTAGACTATCCGTCCCCACCAGTGCCTGTCCCAAAGCAGCACGTATGCAAGTTGGCGGGCGACACGCTATACTCGGACTGGGGCTCGGAGTCTGAGGTGTGGACTCTCGTCAGAGTTTCACTGTAGTTCTACATACACACGATACCCCCACCCTTCTATTTCACAAAGATGATTCCGACACCACCCACGACAGGCACACGCCGTGACCGCCCTCAATTTTGAAGATTTCGGTGGGTAGTTCAGCACGCGCAGTAGCCGCCGTCCACAACAATGCTACGCAACGGTGGTTCGGTCAGTCATGTGCAGACCTGAGGACGCCGCGACCACGTACTTGGTACCAGTGACAAAGGAGCTCGCATCGCTGGCAAGCCACACCAGGGTGCCACCCATTTCGTGGGGGGAACAGATGCGTTTCATCGGGATCCTGTTCACCAACATCTCGAGCAGGTGGGGGATCCCTGTGCACGCACTCTCCACCATACTGGAGTCATTGAATTAGCCCAAGGTACTCCAGGCGATCTACATGCAAGACGAGCACTCACGCGGTCCTGGTCACCCCGGGGCTGATGCTGTTCACGCGAATGCGTTTCGGGGCAATCTCGCATGCGAGACTCCGTGCTAGCTGCAACACGCCGCCCTTGGACGCCTCGTAGGACGTCATTCCGAAGTTCTGCAAAGTTGAGGTCCGTGGCGGTTTTATGAATGCTAGTAGGTATGGCACTTACCCCAGTGATCGTGCCTCCAATGCTTCCCACCATGACGATGCTTCCTCCGCTGTCGAATCGCTCCATCTGTTGGCCGGCAGCCTGGGCGGTGTACAGTACACCCTTCAAATTGACGTCCAGCACCTAGAATACGTATTCATGCATTCAGCAGTGCCCGGCCCGCGTGTGATGTGAATGGAACGGTGGTCCGACTCGCCTCCTGGAAGCGCTCCTCCGGAATGTGCAAGGTTTTCGTCAATTCGCCCGATATCCCGGCCGCAGCGAAGCAGACGTCCATACGACCCTCCCTGTCTCCGATTGTCTTGCCGATTTGCCACATCTGCTCCTGCGCAAAGCACGACGAACTATGCGTTAGCGAGGTACGACGCCTGATAACACGGCCCGCAACGAACTGACCTGGTCGCGGGTGTCTCCGCAGATGTACTCCAAGCGCCTCGTCTCTCCGTCCGGCCCGCGCAAGTGGGATACGTACTCTTGCACCCTGGACCATTCATCCCCGGGTGCGACGGGGATATCTACGCAGTAAACCGCTCGTGCACCTGCTTCACTCAAAGCGAGCGCGCCCTCAAGACCGATCCCGCGATGACCACCTGACACCAGGGCCACCTTGTCGGCGAGCGAGAAATCGTTCCTGTAGGGGGCCATTGTAGATGCTGTTGTCACGCTGAAGTCAGTATAACGCACATTGGATGACTTATGAGAAGCCTATGACCTTCCCCACCCTGAAGGATTCTCTTGACACCCCGGAGAGCGGAGGCGCTTTCTTCCGATTTCAGGGTAGCTGTAGTAACGAACGTGGCACGTCGAGGAGCGCATAGCCTTCGAGTGGCTGCAGCTACCACAAGCCGAGCGTTCTGGGTGATCATGGAAACCATTAAGCTCGTTGGCAGTAGTACTGTGGCAAACAATCAGCCATACATCCGGGGAGCTGTCGTATGAGGGGTAGACAAACGACAGCGACCGTCAGCCCCAGACGACTGCGAGGACGCACCCTTAGTCACGGGGAATAGAGCACACCCGGATTTCCGTTATGGCGTGCACTTAAGTATCCTGAGGCGCGCTGTCGGGGTTCCAAATCCTGTTTGGATGTCCTTCAACTCCAGACGCAGCGATCTGCAACACTGAAGAGGTTTCGAGGGCGTGCGTCCGAAGCATTGCCCTCGTGGAGCCACGATCACAAGCCCTATCTCTCCGGTAGCAAAGAGCCCAAACCGCAGGCAGATTTCTATAGCGATACTCGTGAGGGAATTAGCTCTCTGGCAGCAAAGTAATTTTTGGAACTGGGACCCGAGTGAGCCGTAGTCCCCGTGATTCTGAACACATTAGGACCTACACTATGTCCCTTTCTATGGCGTTCGTCTTCCCTGCACGGAGCTAAGATTTGGGGGCGCGCACCGGGGGTAGAGAGGGTTGAACTCTACCCAGAGCTTCACTGAAAGCGGCGCGCGGATTTCCTTGCAAAGGCATGCATGTCATCGGCCGTGCAGATCAAGTGCAGATTCTGAGACGCTGGAACGCGTGAAAATGATGTGAGTTTTGTCGCCACCGCTCCGCGCACTCCGACCACGGCGTACACTGGCATCCAGTTACGGCTTGATAAACTTGCTGCGCGCAGAAATGTCAACGCTGAAAGAGCACCGTACGCGAATGGAGGCTTACTTTCAAGTACTAGTGCATGAACTTTCCGTGGCTGATTGAGTTGACTCTAATACTATGAGTCCTACGCGAGCTCGTACGTGAGGGACCGCGTCATCTGGAGTTCAGCCGCTTTGGACGTGTTTTTGGGTGGTAGTGGGCAAGTACTTAGTGGGTTGGTAGTGGGCGGCTCTAGATCCGATACACATCGCCTTTTGCGAGCTGTGCGAGCGTTTAACATCATTCACTTAGCGCCTCACGCCGCCGCGCTCCTCTCTCAGACTCCGAACTCGGACCCTACAGCCCTGCTTTCTGATGCGGTTGACCTGTCCTACTCAGTCAGCAAGCTCGTAAGAGACGGAGGGTACAGTGCCTAATTAATATTCTGACGTGCTACGTACATGTGCAGTTACAAAACGTGATAGGTTACTTTCCCACCCACTGTGTCCCCAAGATCTCAAACATAGCAATAAACACAACATCCACGCCACGCGACGTGCTCGATCGAGCACCCGCCTCCCCACAGCATTACAAATTCCACATCGTACAGAGCCCCGGTGGAGAAAGGAGAGATCGCGGCAGAGGCCGGTTATACCAGCATGCCCGCGATGCCCGCAGCCTGCAGCGTCCTGCCCCCCACATGCGCGTCAGAATCGTCCTTGGGCAAGGGCAAGGGGGAAGGGACTCACGAGATGAAGCCACAGACCATCGCGGACGCGGCGATGCGCGCGATGATGCGCGCACGCGAGGGCGCGAGCGCGGACAGCACGCCGATCTGGATGCCGAGCGAGCCCAGGTTCGCGAACCCGCACAGCGCGTACGACGCGATCGTGTACGCGCGCTCCGACAGCGGGTTCTCGCTCGCCATGATCGCCTGCAGGTCTGCACACCGTGTCGTCAACGACCGTTATCCCACACAAGAGAAAAGGAGGGTGAGAAGGTAAAAGGAACGGGAGACGCACTCAGGTAGCCGACGAACTCGTTTGCGACGAGCTTGGTCGCGAGCAGCTCTGCGACGCGCAGGATCTCGTTGCGGGGCACGCCGATGAAGAAGGTGACGGGGTAGAAGATGTAGCGGAGGATGAGCTGCAGGGTGAGCGCGTGGAAGCCGAAGCCACGGCCGATCCAGGTGAGCAGCCCGTTAATCGTTGCGACGAGTGACACGACCGTTAACACGTTCGTCCTTAATCCGCGTAATGAGCAGTGGTGCGACTTATTGGCATGAGACGGACGTACAAGATCTGGCCGGCGACGATGAGACCGAAGAGCGCGCCCTTGCTGAATGCGTGCAGCGCGTTGGCGGGCTTGTTCTTGTCTGCGTCTCCGCGGTCCACGGTAACGTGGCCACGGGTGACGGGCTCGTCCATTTCGGGAATGCGCATCTTACTGATGGCAATGGACGCGGGGATACTCATGACTGACGCGGTGACCAGGTTCTGCGGCGGGACACCGAGACCGATGTAGGCGCTGAGCACGGAACCGGCGATGGTGGAGAAACCTTCAAGCAGATGAGAAGTGATGCAATGGCCAGCAAGAAGAATGCTTACCAGAGGTCATCGTCAGATGGAGCTCGGACTCGGTCATGTAGTCAACGTAGGGCTTGACGAGACATGCAGATTCACCCTGGCCGATGAACGGCGAGGCAGCTGCGACGACAGCCTCGGCACCAGAGACGTTCATGATCTTGAAGAAGAACCACGCGCTACGATAGGTGATCCTGGTCAGCCTAAGCCATGAACGTGGGAGGGATAACAACGCACAAGCCCTGGATGAGCCACTGCATGACGCCGAGGTAGTACATCATCTGCACGAAGGCGATGAAGAAGATGATAGAGGACAGCTAATGGTCGTGTGTTCAGCGATAGGCTCAGAGGCCATAATCCTAGGGTGTACACACCGTGTTTACGAAGAACCAATGCTTGGTGATGGTTTCTGCATCGAAGAAGAACTCCGCGCCAGCCAGTGCTTGCTCAAGGAAGTCTGCCGCGAGGAACGCGATCCACTTGAAGATCGAGAAACCGGCGCCAGACTTGAGGACAAACATGGCGATAGCCTGCTGCGTAAAAAGGCCGACGATAACGGTGGGCCTGTACAACTGTCAGAAAATGTTGTGGGCGCCCGCGATATGGATAAACATACCAAGGGATGTGGCTGCGGTGCTTGGAGGTGGCCCAGAAGAAGAACTGGAACACGAACAGGCCGAGGACGGAGATCGCGCGATCACCGTAGCCGGTGTTCTGCGAAACGTATATCAACGTTCTTCGAGCAAGTCGAGCAGTTCATGAGTACTAACACCGGTGAGCGGGAACCCGAAGGCCGAGCCGAAGATGATGCCGAGGAGAGCGAGCCATCCCATGGTCAGGCGGACGGCGTACGGGAGCTTGAAGAACGGCGTCTGCACGCAGGGAACCCATGCGGCAGCAATGGGGCGCGAGACAACCGTGGAGGGGATAAACCGGAAGGCGATGACGCTGTGTAAATATTGATTGTTAGCGAGTGCAACGTTACGGGCTCGACAATGTCCAGGATCCTCTCCGCCCTTCCTGCCACCACGAAGGTTTCCCTTGCCACCGACACAAGCGCCTGCTGGCTGCCCGCAGTTTACCAAGATCCGAGCGCCGAGGCCCCTCTCGCGACTTGCGGCTTTCCCCCAGCAGGCCCAGGATCGTCTCGCGATGCCTCGCATCCCCAAATGCGCATATATGCGATGGTTCCGCGCAGGAAAAGGACTCACGCGAGGAAAAACCAGGCCCAAATGGTCTGGACGATCCTAGAGGGCGTGACGGGCGGGGCGGGTCAGTCACGCGTGACGATCGAGGAAAAAAGCGGGGCGATCGGGCGCACCATCGATGCCGAGTGGCCGTGAGGACGGTCGAGCTCACCCACCAGCCGAGGATGACGGCGGCGAGGGCGATGAGGACGAAGGGACGGAAGCGGCGGTAGAGGCGAGTGAGTGCGGAGACGTCCTCCTCGTCCTCGGGCGCGGCGGAGTGGTGCGTGCCCTTCTCCGGGTCGTTTACGCGCACCTCCGTGTTGGTGGGGTCGACCTTTGCGAGCGAGTCGCTGCCGCTGGAGCGCGAGTGCCTGCGCTCCACGCCATGGCTGTCTAACAGCTCCTGGGTGATGGGGGTGCTCATGTCGTCCTGGCTTCCAGAGAGAGTGGGGGGAAGCAAGTCTCAGCGAAGAGAGAGCGCGGCGGGCGGGGCAGAGAGCGGCAGAGAAAGTCGAGCCGGCGGAGGGAGTGGCAGATATACCTTCGAGGGCGGGTCAGGATCTTGCGCAGACGCCCGATGGGGCCGCCGCACCACGCGGGCCCATCAATCCTCCTTTTGCCCTGTTCGGATTGGCTCGTGCCTGGACCCATATCCTTATCGCCCCGCCCGTCAATATAAGCATGATAAGAATACCTCCCTTCCCTTTCACCCGGCCGGGCATCTCAAAGATGCGTCTCGCGAGTCTGAAGCGCACAGCAGGAAGGAGCATAAATCCCCGGACGTCCGCAGCCTCTTCATCGCGGTCCTTCGACGCTGCGACGCCCGTGTGCGCACCCAGTTTCTGCAGCACACATGACGCCCCCCTGCCCACACGGCCGCTGCCAGCGCTGACGCGCCAAGCGGCGCCGTCCAGGACCGGTATCTCGATATCTATTCAACGCCCTGTGCTGGATCAGAGCCCGCGTTTCTCGCCGCCCCGAGCGAGCTGTCGCGCCGCGGGGCATCAGACCCACCCACCACGTCTGCCACCAGCTGCCACACCGCGAGACCGAGTGCTGCTATCGGGGCGCTGTCTCACCACCGCCCAGTGCCTCAGCGACGGCGCACACGGCACATATCAGCTGCAGCGTTACGAGCGTATGATACGCCGGAGCGCGCTGTGCTGCCCAGGCACCCACCGTGATTGCTCCCCGTCCCAAGCCCCCCGTGTGGCGGAGTGGCTGCCCGGGCAGCTGATAACTCCTGCTCCGACGTGCTTCGTGGCGAGCTAGACCCATGCGAACGGTAAATTTTGTGGGCGGGTGAGTCTCGACTCTCAAGCTGGTGTCGTGTGCACTGTGCAGGCCGTACATGGTAACCACCAGGGCTGCGATCGAAGATTCGGGCAGAGCTCTGCAAGAGACATCGGGCGTTTTCGATGCGCGACCTGTTCCTTCACCATCAGCATCAAGTTCCAACAGATAAACAATGCCAAGCCCCTCGAGATCTGCCCACTCACCGCTACGATCGCAGAGGCTTCCCGCGGCGTTCTGGAAGACGAACCCCTTGCTCTAAAACTTTGAAGCACGTACATAGGTGCGGTGCCTAATTAGGACGCGCGTGGTTTGAGTTTCTCAGAAGTGAGAACAGTTACCAGCAGCGTCGCAGGGGTGGTGAGTGCTGGTGTTTCACGGCGCCATACTACGACCGCTAGCAGCGCCAGGATCCGTCCGTTTGCAGCAGCGTTTGGAGCATGACGCTCAACGCGTCAACAGCGATAGAAAACAAGCGAGACGTACAGGTGTGCAGCGACATGCATACCCACTATGCCGACAACAAGTGCAAGGATCTCAAGCGGCTGCGTGCGCACAGAGGAGGCTGCCCAGCGCAAGCACGTCCACGGTGAGGCACGCTAGCGTTTGGAGGCGTCCGTCCGCGCGTCGCCCGCCCCGCGGATAGGCGTGCACACGATAAGCAATCTCCCCGCCGAGGACGCGCAGCACCGAGCGAGCCCTATCACCCGGCGCACCGCTCCATCGTCGCCCCGCCGCCCCGACCCAGAGCGTCCGAACCCCGAGTCCCGACGCGGGCCTCCTCCCGCCGCTGCGCACCCGCTCTTCGAGCTACCACCAGTCCATGCCACGAGCCAAGTAGCGGGCCTCCCATCCCGCCGCACCACCCACCACCCCAAGTCGACTCCGTGCGCCCGCCCGTCCACGCAAAGCCCGAGCCCCCGTCCGAGCCCGGCGTCCAGTATCGTAAGCCGGGCGCACCAGCCCCGCGCAGCCTACACCTTGAGCGCCTTGATAGACTTGCCCATCGCGATCGCGATCCACTCGCCCGGCGCGGTCGTGTGCCCCGTGTTCATCGACATGCTTGCGATGTGCGGCGACCACGCCAGGTTCGCGATCTCTCCCGCGCCCGTGTACGCCATCACCGGGTCCGTGATCGTCCGCTTCTTCACGTCCGGCCGCGGCGAGCTCAGGCCCGTGCTCGCATTCCGCGGAGACGCCGCCGCGGCCTGCGTGTGCGGCGCGAGGTCCCAGAGCAGCAGCTGGCTGTCGTCGCCTGCGCGCAGAAGGTCGGTGAGTGAGAGTAGGTGAAGGATGGTGTAGAGCTTACCTGCGGTAGCGAGCAGCTGTGAGTCGGTAGAACTCCAGCCGAGCGCGTTCACTTGTGAGCGATGCGCCTTGAGCTCCATCACGGGCTGCCCGGGGCTTCGCATGTCCAGAATTTGGATCTCCGTGCCGTCCATGTGGAATGTGGACATGTAGTTCGAGTCGGCAGGATTGAAGGCTATCCTGAGGAGAGGGGAGGTAGGGGGACGGGCGGTCGAGGACGGCGTGGTCGTCGGTGGAGGCATGTTCTTCGGCGCCGGGGTCTCGTAGAGAATGGTGGAGTGCTCCAGACTGCGCAGGTCAAATGCCCGAAGCGAGCCGTCGGCGCCGACGGAGACGAAGATGTCGGTCGAACCAGGCAGCCATGCGACGTCGTAGACCTCACGGTCGTGGGCGATGAGTTGGGTGATTGCTGTAGAGGTGTCGATGTTCCACACTGTGCAAGTCGTGTCGATCGAGGAGGTGACTACTAGACTAGGCGACTTCTCGTTCCATGAGAAGCTCGTTAATGGTGCGCCAGTGTTGTTATTTTGGACTTTGCTTTGCTGTGTGGGGAAAACGAACAGGTTAGTGCTGAACAGCTGTGGCGTCTACGAGAAGCTTGGGCAGATGGAAGCAAGAATTAACACAACAGAAGCAAATCCGAGAGCTCAGGCTCGATAAGACCCAGTTTCCAGTTGCATATCAGATACAGAGGCCGAACCCAGTACACTGAAGGCCGAGCAGAAGCAGCGCCACCACAGATATCCTGGTATCTGGAAACGAGTACTCACCCCAGAAAGCGCCGTCTTGAGTGTCAACTTGTGCCCGCCGCCGCTCCCTTGCCGACCGACATACGCACTGACATTCCCCGTCCCATCGCTCGAGTACTCCCACACCCTGAGAGCATCGCCCGTGGTGGCGAGGAGCTCCGCGTTTGCCGACTTCTGACTCCATGCAAAACTGTTCGCGGTCGAGGGTTGCCATTGAAGCCGCGTAGCGGGATAGCCGTGTTGCGCCTCGACAAGGGTGACGAAGTCAGGATACTCGGTGTAGTCGTCTTCGACGAGTACCCGCTCGTCTTGGAGCCCGACGATGGCGATCCGATTCCGGTAGTCATCCGTGAGCGAGGCGATGCCGAGGCGAAACGCAGAGCGGGGGCGTAGTGACTGTCCGGGCGCGGGGGACTTGCACCAGTCGAGAGCATATACAGGCCCTGCGGAAGACGGAGCAAGTGCGACGAGACAGAGAAGGAGACGGATAGTCAGATGAGATGTGGGCGCGGTCGCAGCACGCAGATCGGTACTCACAGGGAGCCTCGTACTGGAGAGAAGTGGTCTGTGTCATGATCGGCGGCGATTCGTAGCGTCTACGGAGAGTCTTCGCGTGGACAGGCGAGGCTGAATGTTTCATGCGCATTGCGAGAACGCGGGGGTGAGTATGAGAGGCTATCTCATGTTGCGATGATGTGCATATACGTGCCTCAAGGTTTGCTCGTGCACGGAGCTATCTTCGGGTTCCCGCGGTTAGAGAAGATGGAGGGTTCTTGTTGTACACGTTCCAGACCTCGAGAAAGCAAGTGTTCAGACAGACAGCATGGGGGTATGGTAAGCAGAAGGTCGACGTCGGTGCAAGAGGTGCGTTCGCGTCTCTTCGGACGCAACCCGTACACCCACTGCGGCTCGCTCATGGCGCTTAAACTAATGTCGGTCTAACTGCGGGCGCCTAAGCGGCAATGTAGTTCGGGGATATCTTTGGGGTCTGTCTCGAACCTCTACCTCGGCTTCGCGAACTGGCAGTCCGCGGACTACACCAAAGACTGCGGTATCATCAGATGATGCATGCTGCTGTCAGTGGTCGGCAGCGCACTGGTACAGAAATAGAGGTACGTAGCTGATTTCCATGGTGTTTCTCTGCTCACCCGGTTTGCGGATACACTAGACATACGCAAGTGCCGTCTCGAGCGGGTGAAGCAGCATTATAATATACAGAAGCGGCTTTTACATTCCATTTGTTTGTCCCGCCGTCGTAACTACAGCCGCATCCGCACACTCGCGCTTGTCTCACCCTGGCCGGCGCCAGCCCAGGATGGCGCTCTGCGCAGACCGTAAGCGATGACATAGGATATGCGTGCTATGTCGGTGTTAACCATGCCCCCTGAGCGATACGATCGTCTTTGCAAATTATCAGGGGCTCAACTGAAGATTTCCTCACTGGATACCCACACATCGCCGGAGAAGTTCTACGAGTTAGTCGCTCATCTAAATCTGTCCTTCGACTGACCAGTGACTACCAACGACAGATGCGATGAAGGCGGAAAAGGAGCCGCTACGCGTCCCTTTGCCGCAGCTGTGCTCGGAGTCGGGGGGTCGGCCTTCGGGAGCACACCAAACCAGCCACTCGGGGGACCCCCGTGGTTGCTTGTTTCACTCTCCACAGACCCGAGCCGAAGCAGGGCCTTGATGCAGCTGTCCAGGCTCGGAACTGAACTATGCGCCGATGCGTCGCCGCAATTCCGCGCCCGATGGCACATCCTACTCCCTATAAGAATGGCCCAGGGTTGACAGAGTTGTCGTATCTTGTGCTCCCATGTCAGTCTCTTTCTTCCGGGTTCTTTCTCTGTTCTCTTTCTTCTCTTCTTTTATTGCTGCGAATGGCCAGAGCACCAACTCTGCGTCTAACTCTGTTAGCGCAACGTATGGGAGCTTGAGTGGTTCTCCCCCCGTCGATCTTGACCTGATAAGCGTAGACGACGAGGAGGTACGAGCTCCGTTATCTTTCATCGACATCCGCCGTTGATAGTTTTGTGATTAGTACCTGGTAGATATCGTTCTAGGTGGTCAAAGTACGTTGTCACTGCATATCCCGAGGAGGCCGACACTCATATGTGTAATCCTACAGCCTTCAGGGTCATTGTCGATACCGGCTCGACGGACCTCTGGCTGGACTTACAAGGCCTCGACATCCCGTTAACCAATACCACGGACCTCATCGTTGATACCCAGTATGCCATTGGAGAAGTCAAGGGAAACGTCCTGTTCGCGGAGCTACGCCTAGGGCCGTACGTGATCCCTAGTCAAGGTGATTTTGTCAACTTCTAGGCTGCGGCTCTCGAGGTCGATACTGATACTCCCTTCAGCCTTCATCAACGCCACTAATGTGAGTAATACTGATTTAAGCCTCTCATCCGCCCACTCACATTATGCAGGTGACCGCCATGCCAGAAGGCACGCAGGGGCTAATGGGCATGGCATTCGACACCACAGGAATCTACGTGAACATGCTAGAGGCCTGGAGCAGAGACACCGCGAACGAGCTCGCGCGCGGCCCCATGTCCAACCTCATCGCCCAGAACGCTTCCGCGCCCGGCTTCTTCGACCTGCGCCTCGGCCGCACGTACGCAAACGGTACTGAGCTGAACGGCCACATGCTCATAGGCCAGCACCTGGAGGGTGCGGAGGCGGTCGAGTCGGCACCGAAGCTCGAACGCGTTGATTTGTTCCACTGGGTCGTCGCGATGGACGGCATGAACATCAACGGCAAACCGTTCACTGGCTGGAACAAGTCCATCGTCGCCGGCGTGCCCGAAGGCAAGGTCGCCGCAGTCTTCGACTCTGGGTTCACCACGTCTGCTTTTCCGAAGGAGCTCATTGACGCCATCTACGGGTCCATCCCGGGCGCCGTCCGCTACAACGGCAGCATCCTCGACACCGACAACGGGGCCGGACTGGACAACTGGATCGTTCCCTGCAATGCCAGCGCTAACATCTCCTTCGTCTTTGCGTAAGTCTCTTCTCCGTCCTTCAAAACGTCCGGAACTGACTGACTTGGGGGCTGCAGCGGCCAGGAGTACCCCGTGCACCCGCTCGACGTCGTCAACTTCTACACCAACCCCCTGATCGGGGAGCAGGACGGGATCAGCATCGCCGCCAACGCCAGCATCTGCACGAACCGCTTCTTCGCGGGCGACCACGACGAGTCGTACGATATCCTGCTCGGCATGGGCTTCCTCCGCAACGTCTACGGCTCGTACGTCCCCCCCACTCACCCGGACCGTACCTTTGGTCATCATCTGACGCATAGTCGCATAGGTTCCACTACGGCAACTACACCCCGCCAGGCGCCAACATCACCGGTCAGCTGCCGTACGTGCAGTTGCTCTCCGTGACCGATAAGGACACCGCCTGGGGCGAGTACTACGAGTATTACACGCAGAAGGTCCTCCAGGGCTCGCCCGAGGTGGACCCCGCTACTTGGCCCAAGTTTATCGCAGACATCAACAGCGACGATAGCGACAGCAGCGATGACTCCAGCTCCAGTGTCGCTCCCGCAGGGGACCTCGAGGTCGCTGGCGCCGTGGCCGACGGGTCTGGAGACTCGCCCTCGAGCAACTCCGACAGTAACAAGTACGGGCCTATCGCCCTCGGCCTCCTCGGCGCGAACGTCGCGATTGGGCTGGCGATACTCGTGGTGACTCTTACGCTGTGCATCCGGAGCGCGAAGGGGGAGCGCGAGGCGCGGTATGCGCCTCTTCGTCTGCCGAAGGAGGCTGGCATCGTGGACCCGGAGAGGGCCACGCTGTACAGCGACTGAGGTGGATATCACTACCTTTAACCATGGACGCCTGCTCGTTCGGGCCTACTTGTATATTTATACAATCCCTGTCCTTACGCTCTCTGATATCGTATTGCTTTTTTCGGTACCGTCGCGAAGCTTTGGTGCACTCCTTTAACTGACGTGGGGATTGAGAAACTCAGGGCCTGATCACCCAATGTTTCCAGCTCCTCAGAAGTCTCTTCAACGGAAGGTAGTTACATTCAGGCTAGCGCTCTCAGCTAAAGTCGGTTTGACTGCGAGCGCCTAATCGGCAGTGTAGGTCTGTCTCGAACCTCTACATACGTCGGCGTCGCGAACTGGAAGCCCGCGGACCATACCACAGACTGTGGTAGTATCAAATGGTACGTGCTGCTCACACAGGTCGGTAGTGCATTAGTATAGGAATAGAGGTGCGTACCCGGACCTTCCGTGATTTCAAAATTTGTCACCCTGCTCACTCAGTTCGCGGCGACTACAGACGTAGTCATGACTCATAATGCATAGTCTCCCAAGTGCTGTCTTCAGCAAGACAAACAACGCCAGAAAATACAAGAGCAGCTGTTCCATCTCATACATGTGTCCCACCGTCGTAACCGCACCCGCACTCGCACACTCGCGATCGCTCGTCTTACAGTTCACCCGCGCCAGCCCAAGATGGCGCTCTACACGGACTGTTTACGACGATATCGATCATGCGTGTTGCGTATGTCGGTTTTATACGGCATAAGCGATGGGCTCGTCTTTGGAAATTGGCAGCGGTTCATCTGAGCCTTTCCTCAATAGTTACCCACACATCGCCGGAGAGACGTCGCACGGCATTCCATAGTTCCACTAGTTAGTCGCACATCTGATTCTCCAAGGTACTCACTACTCACGACAGATACGATAAGTGCAGAAAAGGAGTTGCCGCACGCTCCTTTGCCATAGCTGTGTTCGGAGTCGGGGGGTTAGCCTGCTGGAGCAGAAGATACCGACCACCTCGGGGACCCCCGTGGTTGCTTGTTTCACGACCCACAGACACGAGCCGAAGCAGAGCCTTGATGCAGCTGTCCAGGCTCGGAACTTGACTATTCGTTGATGCGTCACCGCCATTCCGCCCCCAATTGCACATCTCGTTGTCTATAAGAACTCTCAAGGTGTGCCAGAGTTCTTGTATCTTGTGCTGCCATGTCCATCTCTTTCTTCCGGGTCCTTTCTCTCTTTTCCTTTTTCTCTTCGTTCATCGCCGCGAATGGCCAGAACATCAACTCTTCGACGAGCTCTGCTGGTGCAACCTATGGAAGTTTGAGTGGCTCGCCCCCTGTCGATATCGGCTTAACGGGCCTTTCCGATGTGCAGGTACGAGCTCTGTCATGCATGATCGACATCCACCGTTAACAATTTGTGATCAGTATTTGGTTGATATTGTCCTAGGTGGTCAAAGTATGTCGTCACTGTGCGTATCCCGAGGAAGCCGACGCTCATATGTGTGATCCTACAGCCTTCAGGGTCACTGTCGATACCGGCTCGACGGACCTATGGCTGGACCTAAAAGGCATCGAAATCCAAGTGTCCAACACCACCGATCTCATTGTCGACACCCCTTACGCCATCGGAGATGTCAAAGGCAATGTGCTGTTCTCTGAGCTGCGTATCGGGCCGTATGTCATCCCTCATCAAGGTAAACTTCATAAATTATCCGCAATCCTCGGCGTCGATTTGACCATTCACTCAGCCTTCATCAACGCAACAAATGTGAGCATACATTGAGCTGAAACCTCGCCACCACTCACGGTTCGCAGGTGACCGGCATAAGTGAAGGCACACAAGGCTTGATGGGCATGGCTTTCGACACCACAGCAATATGGTGGGGCATGGCGGACGCCTGGAGCAATGACACCGCGAACGAGCTCGCGCGCGGCCCTATGTCCAACCTCATTGCCCAGAACGCTTCCGCGCCCGGCTTCTTCGACCTGCGCCTCGGCCGCACGTACGCGAACGGCACCGAGCTGAACGGACACATGCTCATAGGCCAGCACCTGGAGGGTGCGGAGGCGGTCGACTCGGCACTAAAGCTCGAACGCGTTGATCTTCATCATTGGACTGTCGCGATGGACGCTATGAACATCAACGGGCAGCCGTTCACTGGCTGGAATAAGTCCAAGGTCGCTGGCGTGCCCGACGGCAAGGTCGCAGCGGTCTTCGACTCTGGGTTCACTATGTCCTCTTTTCCTAGGGAGGTTGTCGATGCCATCTACGGATCCATCCCGGGCGCGGTCAAATACAACAGCAGCATTCTCAGCACCCCATGGGAGGCCGGAATGGACAACTGGATCGTCCCTTGTAACGCCAGTGCCAACATCTCCTTCGTCTTCGCGTAAGTCGCCGTGTTCGCCCTCGAAGACATCTGGAGTTGACACGAGTGCTGCAGCGGCCAAGAGTACCCCATCCACCCGCTCGACGTCGTCCAGTTCATCACCAGCCCCCTGATCAAGGAGACGGATGGTATCAGCGTCGTCGCTAACGCGACCCTCTGCACCAACCACTTCTTCGCGGGCAAGCAAGACGACACGTACGACATCTTGCTCGGCATGGGCTTCCTCCGCAATGTCTACGGCTCGTACGTCCTCCTCGCTCACCATACCCTTAGCCACTATTTGACGCATGTTCGCACAGGTTCCACTACGGCAACTACACGCCGCCTGGCACCAACATCACCGGAGAGCTGCCGTACGTGCAGCTACTCTCCGTAACCGACAAGGACGCCGCCTGGGGCGAGTACTATGAGTACTATACGCAGACGGTTCTCCAGGGATCGCCAGAGATGGACCCCGCCACCTGGGTCAAGTTCATCTCCGACAACGACAGCGACAACAACGATGATTCCAACTCCAGTGCCACCCCCGTAGGAGACCTCGAGGTCGCCGGCGCCGTGGCCGACGGGTCTGGTGACTCGTCCTCGAGCAACTCGGACAGCAACAAGTACGGGCCTATTGCACTCGGCCTGCTTGGCGCGAACGTTGCAATCGGGATTGCGGTTTTCGCGGTGACGCTTACAATGTGCGTCCGGAGCGCGAAGGGGAAGCGTGAGGCGCGGTATGCGCCTCTTCGCCTGCCAAAGGATGCTGGCGTCGCTGACCCCGAGGGCGCCCCGCTGTACATTGACTAGGATGGTTGATCATCGGTAGCATTTCACATATGTATCCTACTCCACCAACACCGCTCTCGCTTCCTGTTTCATCCACTGTTTCGTTACAGACGTTTGCCTTTGCTCTACTTCTATATTTATATAATACCTGTCCTTACAATCTCTGATATCGTATTGCTCTTCTTAGCAAGTTCCTCATAAGTCTATTCAACGGAGGGCATGCTCGCGGTGAGACAAAACAGTTGCACAAGTGCATTAAATTTAAAACCGCAATTTTACGGCGGTATTACTAGGAACCACGCTATGTGGCGGTCGTGGGAGGGCGTGGGTCCATCGGAGTCATCGATGTACGTTGTGGAGGCATCCGTGTACGTTGTGGAGGCATCCGTGTACGTTGTGGAGGCATCCGTGCGGGACATCGGAGGAGTCGATGTACGTTTCGGAGGCATCGGTCTACAAAAAATAACAACGCCCTCATCAGCATCCACTCTGCACACGAAACAAACACGCAAGACTCACATGTTCGGGTGGACCCACTCGGAAACGGCAAAGGACCCCGGGTCCTCAGCGATGTGCTCGCTACGTTCCTGGACATCCCAGCCAGTCCCTCTGTGCGACCTTAGTCCAGCCCTTACCAGCCGTTCGTCGTGCGTGCCGATACCGCGCATACGGACGCTGGACGTCGACGACCGGCTGGTTCAACCTCCGCCTCGCCGGGATCGAGAGCGCTTGCCCTTGGGCGGAGTACGTAGCCTCCCAGTTGGGTGGCTACACGGCCCGCATCAGCACGACCCACCGCGCACGAGCACTCAAAACGACGCACTTCGCATTTGGCCACCGAGTCCTTCAGCGTCGTAAACGTCCCCCGCGCGGGGACGCCGCGCAGCGCGCCAGCGCCGTCGACCCATCCACGTACCGCCCTCCCGACCTGCGGCGTATGATTGCGCCCAATGTCGCGCTCGCATGTCCCCCGCGCCGCGCGTTCCTCGACGGCAGCGCCGGGATGCGGGGCAGGCTGCAGTGTCTTCTTCACGTCTCCAAAGGAGACTGACACGGGCCGCTCGCGGCGGTGGACATGGCGCTGGGGCCCCTCAGCACCACGCGCCCCGGAGGGTGGGAGGTTCCTCCGGAGGGGCGTGGCCGCCGCCGCTGGGGGCGGTGGTGTGACCAGCGGGGGCCCAAGGACTGGTTGCGTCACACGTGGGAGTGGGTGATGCACCCCGATCGGCGTGATGGTGATTGGGACTATGTGCGCGCGGCGGGGGGTGAGCCGTCTGCTTGTCAGAAGGGGAGGGAGGCGCGACGTACGTTAACGTTGTCTCTAGAGAGATAGCAATGCTTTGAGAGGTTTGTCTGTCATACGAGTGTCGCGCGCCCGGTGGGCGCACTTTGTGCGTGCTCATGGTCGTCGTCGAGTTCGAGCTGAGTGGTTGTCGAGTGGGAGAGGCGGAAGTGGTTGTGAGTGAGATGTGGAGGGTGGATGTGTTTATGAGCTCTCTGGCTTCCTGTGGGCCTTTATATACGTTCCAGGGGACGCGTCGCTTGGTCCTACTCAGGGGCCGGGCCATTGACCATGGCGCTTTGCATGGACGTAGCCACCTTGCCTGGCGTCGCATCGTCCCGACGCCACGGGCATGCGCCAGGACGCTGCGCAACCGCATTGACCGCGGATGCGTAGGCTGGCATGCTGGTCCTCCTGACATCATCCGTCAGTCGCGGCAGCATTCAGTAGCATTCTCCTAGACAACGTGAATATCGAATCAGTACGACACGCCTGTGTGGGTAGTAGACTGCGTTCACATACTTCTGGTTTCAACACGTCCGCTTCTTCCCTGGAAATGTAGTACTTGCGCAAGTATGTGCGGACAAGACGACTGACGGGCCACGCTTTGGCCCGCACGGGTGAGAGACCAACGTATAACATACCGCCTGGAACATGATGGCGCCCTGGTGGAATGGTGCACAGCCACTTTGGCCAAAGCGCCCCTAGATGCACACAGACGATGTACGAAACGCAAAGGCCAACAAGAGCATATATGATTTAAGAGGATTATCACAAAGGATGCTATTGTATGGGGATGGTATCCGACTACCTCGTCCTTAAACGTCAACAGCGCTCGAGACAAAGGGGAACTCCGCGATCGCGAACCCGCTGAGCATGTTATCGTCGTTCGGGGCGACGTCCTTGCTCGAGACCGCGACGGCGAACACCGTGCCGCGCAGGTTGGCGGGCACCGTGGTCTTGCCATCCTTCAGGTCCGAGTACACAATGTCGAGGCCGCTGAGCCACGCGACGTACTGCGTGGTGCTGGCCTGCTGGCCCGCCGCCGGAGTGAACGCGAAGCCGACAGACTTGCCATGCTTGGGGGTAGCGTCGGAGAGGGTGAGGGTGGGGAAAGCCTTCACCGGGAGTGCGGGGTTGGTAGAGGGGCAGCTCTTGATGAATTGGGCTGCAAGGGCGCATATAATCAGTGTCAATGACCGGGGAATGCCAGAGGTCGGGCATTTGACTCACAGGCGAGGGAGAAGGCACCGCTGGGGCTGAGCGGGGCATCGAATGCTCCGTTCCAGGGCTGTTGCTTCAATCCCGCGGAGGAGATCCACGCCGCGTGGTGCGCCTCAACGGAGAGGATAGACTGCGGGCAACGTCAAATGAGAAAGGGGACGATCAGACAATGATGTGCCACGTACGGCGGCGTCCGTCAAAACACCCTTGTCTGAGATGAACTGTGCAGCGCCGAGGTATGCGGAGTTTCCAACCGACTCGAGAGCCATGGCAGTCTCAGCGAAGGCCTCCGGACTGGCGAGAGCGCTAGATGGAAATGTGTCGGTTAACCTCTGCGCATTGCTGTGGCGACATGTGAACGTACAAGTTGTACTCGCACGCTTTGGTCGCGGCGTCACCGAGGGCTCCCGAGAGGAACTTGACGTGCTCGGCCTCGTGAGCACCAATCTGGACGAAGCGGCCCCGGACCCAGTCGGCGAACCCGGCGTCGCTGAACGCCTTCGCATCGAACTTGCTGAGGCCCTCTGCGTAGAAGGCACTCTCGAGGTGCTCAAGGGTCAGGGCGAACTGGAGGACATCCGTGTCTAGGGGGGACGGGTACCATGAGCGTGAGGAGCCATCGTGCAGTAAACAATATACTCACCGGTGGGCGCCGCGGGGGTGGGGGCAGCGAGAGCGACGGAGGCGGCCGCGAAGGCGATGAGGATGGCTTTGGCGAACATCTTGTGGGGCTAGACTGGGGAGGTTAGGACAGCAAGGACGAAAGGAGGGGGAAGGAGTGGAAGCGTTCAGAGAGTGAACGGTGGAGAAACAGGCCCCCGCCCGCCCGTTCTTATAGTACGCGGGGGAGGTTGAACTTGCGCAAGGGATCGGAGGCGGACAGGCGGGAGCGGGTGACTGTGCGGCTGCCCGCGAACGTTTGAACCACAGCTCCTGCCAGATCGGGCCCCTGGCGACCCCTTCGGGAGCAGGCCAAGCTGCAGGGTGCGCCCCGTGCGAGGACGCCAGCCCCCGAGCTGCCCGAGCCGAGCAAGGACGTCGAACCATCCGCGTTAAATGGCCCAGTGTCAGCCCGCAAGCCCCATCGAGCTGCATGCGATCGGTCACCTCGGCCACAAACCAGTGTTCTCACTCTGCTCCTCACATACCGTGGCCTTGCGACCCTGTGATGTACGGGCCGGATCGAATTATCCTGAGACGCTAGTCCGCGATGACGCCCCTCGCAATAGGAGAGATATGTTGAACTAGATTGCCGGTCACAAAATGAGTGCGTTGTCGTCCGGTTGCGTCGCGTTTGAGTGCAGAATCCAGATTCCAGAGCACCGTAACGAGTGGACAGGAACATTCTTTGAACATTGGACCGAGGGTGACATGACGTCATCTGTCCGGGGAAGCAGAGTAGCGGCGGGAGTATGACATATATGCCCTGGAAGCCGCCGCACGTCGCCGAAGAAGCTACCAGTCGCTCGCACGCGCACACGGCCGGGGAACATGCAAAGAGGCTTCGGATTCACCTCCGTACGCCTGATCCCAACCTCAAGGACTCCTCGAATTCGTGGACTACGAACCTATACGCTTTCGCTCAGTGCAACACAAATATGACTCACGACGATGATCTTACCGTTTCGACGGAGGTACCGCGGTCTCCCCCGCGAAAACGGGTTCAGCATCTTGGCAGCCACCATGCAGTACTGAGTGTCGTGGGTGTGGATACTTCCACAGATATAAGCAGCGTCGCCGCTGAGCCCCCCTGACTCTATAGCGTGGCAACCTCCGATCGCCCTCCCTCGGTTGATGTCGGGGTAGACAACGCCATCGTACAAGACCGACCCGGCCGGGCTGACGTAGTCGGCTGACCACGGGAGAGTCGACGGACATCGCCCCAGCTCACAATTTCGGCAGGATTTACTCCCGAACGAAACGTATGTACCAACAGGAGTTTGAAAAGTGATGCGCTCACCTGCTGTAGGAGGCAAGCCTCTTGCCACGACTTGGAACGCCTCTCGCACAGCGGACTTGGATCTTCTGGCGGCCGTTCGATGGCTGTCGATGCGGACTGCACAACAAGCTCTGAATCCGTGTCAGCGCAGTCGAGAACACACAGCTTCCAAACGAAGAGGATGAGAAACACGCGTACCGATGGCTACTGCGAGCGGGGCAGCTTCGTCATATGTGCTTCACAAGCTCTCCTTCGTCCACCATGGTCAGGACCGTCCTTGTCCCGGTGATATCGGCGTGATGGCGCCGCAGCGCGTGCACTTCGAGCGGATTGGCCGCAGGATCCTCAAGTCCTGCGGTTGCTGTTAGACAAGTGGCGCCTGCGCAACAAGCTATCAGCGCGGTCGCACGCCCGGACGAAGACGACCAGAAGACGCTTACCGATGGCCACCGCGCGCGGAGTGACACCGTCATGCGTGCTTCACAAGCTCTGCCTCCGCCGTGGGTTCTACGGAGGCATCCGAGAATATACCTATGATAAGGCATATAAAACGCGACAAGGGACAACACGAGCATGGACTACCTCTCGATCGCCCGATTCACTTCTGTCAACTGAGGTACGTATAATTCACCGTTCGAGCCATGCCAGAAACGCGCTCACCTGGCCGGGCCCCAGTTAACATGCCGGTACTCCGCACAATCAAATGGGGCGCATACCATGCGTGTTTGGGAATTGGGAGTGGCATCGTGTTTGTAGGAGCCGGTACGTCTTGCACGCCCTATCTCGCACGAGCTGTTATGCAGACCCGCCGCTGGAACACGCAGTGTTTATGGTGGCCGGATACGAGATCGGAACGAGCGCAGGAAGATGTTGTGCGTGCTGCTTCGCGCCATGCACTTGCGGCGCCTCCCTTGTGATGGCGGCTTTTGCGGAAGACGGCAGGGAGGGGGCGAGGAAAAAAGGTAGAAGAAGATAGATATCCTTGTCTGGGACGCGCCGAAGTCAGAAATCCGAGGTACAAAGTAGATAATGGATGCATGTTTCGAGCAACACGGACAGCGGGACCGACATGATGTTGTGTCGGTCTGGTGGCGAGCCTCACGCCACGACATCTCGTACGGCAAACTCGAGCCTTGCGGCTGTCGTTAGAAGGCCGGGGTGCGTGGTGCACAACCAGCTTTCTGCACGGGTTTGGGATACCTATCAGCGCAGTCAATAACATACAGCTTCCAGACGAAGAGAGCAGAGAGGACGCGTACCGGTGACCACCGCGTGCGGAGTAGTTTCGTCATGCATGCTTCACGCAAGCTCTGCTTCTTCCACTATGGGTCTTGGAGTGGCATCCAAGAATACACCTATGAGAAGACGAGAAGACATATAACGCCACGGGAGACAGCACGACTGGCTCCCATCTCCTCGCCGTCTTGATCACTCCCCTCGTGCGAGGTGCGTCCAGATACATAACTCAGGCCATAGCACAGGCAAGCTCACCTGACCGGGGCCAGACGATATGCCAGCACTGCGCTCACTCAAATACGACGCGTACGATGTGTGTTTGGGGATAGGCACCGGGATCGCTTTTGTGGGAGCCCGTACGTCTTGCACGCTCTGTCCAGATCGCGCATGAACTACTGTGTGGGCTGAACACCTTGCAGTGTTTATGATGGCCGGATACAAGATCGGGACGACAGCGGGGAGGTGTTGTGCGTGCTGCTTTGCGCCGTGCACCTGCGGTGCCTCCGTTGTGATGGCGGCTTTCTGGGAAGAGGACATGGAGGAGTCTCGGAACGAAGGCAGGAGAAGCTAGGGTTCCTTGTTTGGGTTGCGCCGCAGTAAAGGATCCTAGAGCAGGCTGAGTAGAATAGACATGCTTTAGTGGCCTGTACAACATAGACCAATGTGATGTCGACGCAATGACAATAAGAAACTGCAGAGGGCAATTGCATGGAGGTCGGGACGAACGCGGCTGCTGCGTACTTTCAGCGCTCGCAGACGGAGGTCGGCCCGTTTTCTCCTTTCCCACCACGTGGCTGAGCCGCGGACGCGCCGCAGGACACGTCCGCGCGCCAAACTCGCTGCTTTCGCTTTCTACAGCTCCCTCGGGCGAGTCAGCGGCCCTCCACTCTCTCTTCCCCTCCTCCTCTTCCCGGACGACATGGCCGAATACGACGCAGACGACACGATCCTCGTGCGGATCCTCGACCCGCTCTTCTCGTTCCTCGCCTCCGTGCTCCCCCCGCCCATCTACACCATCGCCGAGTCGCTCATCACGCACTCCGTCTCCCTCCTCGCCGCGCTCGTCAAGTTCACCCTCACCCTCATCAACGCCGACTCCTGGGATGCGCAGAAGATCCTCCCGCCGCTCATCACGCTGCTCGCGGCGTACCTCGCGCTCGTCAGCTTCTACCGCACGACCGGCTGGATGATCCGCACCGCGTTCTGGTTCGTCAAGTGGGGCGGGATCCTTGGCACCCTAGCCGCAGGCGCGGGCTACTTTATGGGCAACGCGAATGTGGGCGGGGAGAATGGCGTGGGCGGCGCGTTCAACGGCGGTGGAGGCCTGCTCTCCATGTTCGGCAATGCGCTCCTCGGTCAGCTTAACGAGAACGGGCAGAACGGTGCTGGGGCGCGAGGCGGGGCGCGATCGAGTAGGAACACGAAATCACGAGCGGGGGGTACAAGTCCGAGGACACGCGCGCAGACGAAGAAGCAGAAAGAGAACGTCCGACCGAAGGCGTGGGATGGCTGGGACAAGCACAACGAGTGGCAGTATGACGCAAAGAAGGCGGCAAAGGACGACGCGGCCCGGGCGAACGACGGTGTGCAGGAGACGGTGCAGAAGGTGATGGGTGTCGTGCAGGAGGCGCTCGGGGCGGGGTGGTGGGAGACGGTGAAGAACGCGGTGGAGGGGAGCGGCCTTGTGGGCGCGGGTCGCGAGGAGACGAGGGAGGACGACGACCGATCTCCGCGACGGCCGAAACGCGACGCGAAGGGCCAGAGTAACGCACGATGACGGACGGCGATACGGCGGGGATTTGGGCTCGATGTGCTTTCTTGGATTCGGGACGCACGGTATGTATTGATGTTGTGAGTGCCTATCTGTCGATAAGCTTGTGCTCTAACTGACCTGCTTGTGGTTTATTAGTATGTATTTGTACATGGTACTCATATTCGCGTCCCTGGTGATACCAGACGTCGCGGATCATTCTTAGAGTTCGAGACGGCGACGTTAGAGCGTTCGTTTCACAGATGCGCTGCTGCTGTCCATTTGATCCAGTTTATCGCAAGGACTCGGCCTCCTTCGGAGGCATCCATTCCTTAATGTGAGCACCTCCTCAAAACAACCATATCCAGAGCTGATTGCTGTGTGTTTACCGGTATATGTGCGCATCTTGTTATGTTGCAATCATGCCAGACTTCGCAGGTTGTCTTTAGCGACCGAGTTAGAGCACTGTGCGGACGACGTTGAATCTTCGTTCTGTCATCGCGATACTGGTATCTCCACTCTCCGAGCGATGCGAGAAGGCTGAGAAGGAGCAAGCCGAATGAGAAGCTAGTGTTGTGCTAGCGACAATTGAAGTACATGTGAACGAAGGTGCGAGGCTTGTTACTCGATCGAACGTTGCATGTGCTGGGCCAGTGGCTTCCGTAACGTCCGCCGAACGGAGGCTACTGGCGTCAGGTGCTTGTACATACGTATGGGCGCACTAAAACTTGCCACGCCTAATGACGATAGGCCGTCTCCGGACTCGGAGTCCGTGTGGCTAAAATGCGTTCTTGGCCTCGTTGGGTCGTGACTGGAATTACGACACCATGTATATGGTCATGCGGGCGGCGGGAAGGCCGGCGGTGGATTGCTCGCGCTCTCGCCGGCCGTCTTCCCATGGTGTGGCACAATACAACGCGAGCTGTATGCGCGCCCGGGTGCATGGCGGAGGCGCTTTATCCACGGTCATGGTGCTGACCCGGTCAGAAGGATCACAAGTTCACCGACGCTCTCGACCACCTGCGCCCGCCAGGGCCGCCACCAAAGCTCACGGGCGTCACGCTTCCCACCCTTTCCGGCCAAACGACCAGTGACAGATCTGTGACATTTGGTGTCGTTCTTGCAGCACCGCCGCGATCAATTCTCGAAGCTTCAAACTCCGCGCTTCAGAAACTGGGGTAGCGACCACCGCCGGCCAATCAGCGGCGGGCGTCGGGGTGGCCGACGTGCGCCGGTGAATGCGGCGCTATATCTGGCAGCGGAATTCTCCTTCGTTCCGGTTACAAACAAGAACAAATAGGGAGGTGTTAAATGCCACCCGAGGTACGCTCTCAAGCTCTCCCTACCCCTCTCTCTTCTTCCTCCATCCAGGCCGTGCCAGCACCGTCCCCTGTACACGTCCCCCTCACCCATCACCACCGCCCACCACCATGGCCTTCAAGAGGAAGTTCGATGCTGAGTTTGACGACGCTGCCCCCACCGTAAGTGATGCTCGCGCCGCATATAGTCGCGTCACGAGCGCCTGACTGACGCGCTTGCTCGCGTAGAACGCTAAGCAGCTCAAGCTCGTCCCCTTCCCCCAGTCCTCCGACCTCGACTCGGATGTAGCTATGTCCGACGCCTCCATGTCCGACCTCGAGCCCCTCTCCATCCCGACTCACGTCTACCCCTTCCACGCCCGCCTTCCCTCCAACGCAAGCTACGCCTCTTCGAGTGCGTCCGACTCGCCCCGGAACTCTCGTAAGTCTCGGTGCCCCATACCGCAGCGGACATATCTTTGAACTTGAGCGGCGATGTTCACCTAGCTTCATATCCAGTGTTCGACCTCTACCCCAACGAGCCCGACAGCTACATGGCCGTCTCCTCTCACGGCTTCCCCGACCCCTCACCCACCTCCGAGAAGCCCATTGGTCTCATCCAACCGAAGGGCAATGGCTTCACCCATCATGGGTAGGTATATCTTTCTTATTCTACATGGACAGCAGTGATGGTTGTCGGTTTCAAGCTTTGCTCTTGCGTTTGCGGTTAGGACGACGCTGACCTGATTTACTTTGTGCGTGCAGCCAAACTTGTAACCAGATTCCGAAGCTCCGCATGGCCTGTTCTGCCGGCCCCAACGGCCGTCGGTCAATGTGGGCTCTTTGCGAAGAATGCGGCGCGATCGAGATCGTCGACAGCGATTAAAGAAGCCTCGGTCCAGCGGTCCTTTCGACGGGCCTTCGACATTCGGTAACTCCGGCAGGTCGCTGCCAATTCTCGGCGACAATGATTACCACCATTGAGTGGTATTCATAGTGAGGTTGCTCTACTCTGCGTTACCCCCATCCCTATCCGTCCTGGCTCCTCTACTTTTTAACTCTGGCGGCACTCTTCGGCCCACGTCTCGCATCTTCACCCTGCTCTTCCGCCTTTCAGCAAAACGACAACATCGACCAGTCGCCACCACGCCTTCCCCTCACATCATCCTCGACACCCGACCTCTCCCTGACAGTCTTGACTGGTGGTTGTTGTCTGCTCGTCTTCGGTCTGTTTTATTACCTTCGCATTCGCATATTCCCGTTGCATTTGTCTCGCTGTTGTCCTGATGTATTTATGCCTGTTGTCATCACTCGACGGACTCGCGCTACTACCACCCCAAACCCCCCATCATCGTCATACTCATCGCCCAGTACCGTACTAGATTTGTGCTCTTCGTGTGTGTATATCATCGCTGCTCGTCCTGAGCTCTCTGCTCCTCGACTGTGCGAATGCGTGTGCTTGCTCCCTGCTCAGGTAACCTTATCTGTCATTGCGACACTCGCCTTTCTACATAATTGTAGGTCGTTGCTGGGTATCTCGCCGCTCCCTGTAGCGGTCAGTGTCGACATCTGACGGACGCTGCTGCATCGTACGACGCCGACGCGCATATACGACGTAAGTTACCATCCTTACGTTCGGCGTTCGGTTTACTGCGGATAGCGTCGTGTAAGTACAGCTGCTATATACGCGCGGTCTAGATGCGGCCCAGAAGGACAGGCTAAGAAGGCTTAAGCTTGAGCGTGAGGCATTTGAGCGGCGCAGGGCCTGCACAACCTCAAGCACTACACCCGAGGCGTCTTCTTGCGGTTTGCTTACACCGTGTCTCGAAAAGAACGTGTGCTTCTGAGAAAGAGAACGCGGTCTTAGCAACGGCGGTTCAGACGTTCGTCTTCCACCGGTGCTGTAAGCTTTCATAGAGGGCTTCAGAAGCTACTGGTTCCAATTAAATCCGCTCGAATATTGCCCGGATACTACGATGTATCACACCGACGGGTCTCGATGGGTGCCCAGACTCATACTGCTTTAGACCAGAGCGCAGTCACGCAGGATCCTTCGAACTGCGGCTGCGCCGACCGTGCTGTACATCCTAATATATACTTAGTTTAAGTCGCCCTCGGTCGACTCGACGCTATGGCCACACTCACCTGAGGTGTGTGCCCGTGCAGGTGACCTCGCACTAAGCGGATTCCCGGTGGGTCCGCGCAAGGCACGAAGCAGACCCGCGACCTGAATATCGAATGCTGACTGACGGTAAGCGGTGGCCGCGCGTGCCTGCGCTCATCCGGCGTACTCAGACGGCGTACGCACACACTCCGAGCTTGTCGTGTGACTCTCTAGTGCGCGGTGGCCGGAAGTCGGTGCTTGCAAAGGCGCGATGCGCGTCGCGCGTCCCTGGGGAATATGTGGCTATTGAATAAGACAGTTAGTTTGATGCGTATACATCCTAGCGCAAGGTGCACATGGACGTGAGGGCCTGAGTTGTGCGTGCTGCGATCCCTGTCGATTCGCGAGTCGCATCAGGATGGTACTGACTGATGATTGCGCACCTTCGTGAACACGTTATTCACTTCCGTTCATTGCGCATTATAGCGTAGCCGACGAGGGGTTGTTGGGTTGTCCAAGTGCTGAGGTCTAGGAGTCATACGAGGACACCATTTTACAAGTTGATGCGGTGACGGATATGTACTCACATGGTCTGAAGATGCTGGGAACGCCCCGGAAACAGCGCAAGATCACAACAACATATTCCAGTCGAAGGTGACCCGATGGTGTGTAACCTTCGTGCACTGGCCTCCCAGCGCGGGAAGCCGAGTGCGCACAACACGGCCAGAAAGCATGCAATACCAATAGCGTTGTGGCCGTTTGCAGCCGCGCTGCAATGCCAGGCATCGACGCACCGCCGTGGACGTCCAGTGACAGATAGCCGCTGCGCGCGATACGTACCCGGCCACATCGGAAACGGTGTCTATCGAGCTTCCATTGAGGCTTGGGCGGTGCGCTGGACAGGAAGATATGAGGGTGCCTGTCTCGCTAGTGTTCGAGTGACTGTACCTACTCCAGATGCAGTGCATGAGCGGTCGCCTATTCGCGGAAGTGAAGGTGCGAACCTTCGGCGGTTGAGAGGAGTATTTGGAGAAGCCCGATGAGATGTTGCTTCCGAGGCGCCGCCAGAGAAGTTGGAGGAGTACACCCAAGGTGCAAGACGCGAACACCAACGACAGAGCAGGAGCGAGAGCAGCCGTGAGCTATGCCAGCGTGTGCGCGCAGTAGTGGTGTCGCGCGTACGTACATATAGCACGGTGGATGCAATACTGGAGGTCGCCACGCCACAAGCCTGATCTGTCAAGTCAGCGGCGAACAAGAAGCGACAGCGACCGATAGCACCTGCACCCGATGACAATGACATCACCGGAGAGAAGCTCTGTGCGCGCGTGAGCCTCTCATGGGCGTTGGCGTCTGCGCAATGCAAAAGCTCACGGGATGGAGACGTGGTTGGTTAGCGGCGCAGACCGCGGCGGCTTCGATGCCATAGTGGAGCTCCCCGATCTCGAGCGACGCGAATACCCCGGGTGGTCGGAGGGGCCCGATGTGGGACCGCGCTGGCGGGGTTTGGGAATGAAGCTCAGCGGCGGTGGGTTGCATGTAGGGCTGTATGCGTACCTTCCGTGCTGCTGCGCGTTCAAGACTCCTAGGGGGTGGCACGGGGAGTAATGAAGCGTGAGGCAGATGCGTAATCAGCGTACGTTGTATATCTTGTGGTAATGGTCGAAGGGAGTCGTCTGTACGTTCAGTGATGAGCTTCGGTTCTCCGATCTGATCCAGGACCAACTGTAGATGTGAGTACATCGTAACCTCGTGAATAAGGGAAGGAGATCGGGGCTACTCACCTCCTGACGTTGATACACTACTTCTCTGAGTTGTCCGTGACTCGGTGCAAGAACGGAAAGAAATGATGGACGAGCCTGTTCCATGGTCAAGAAGCTGTATGTAAGAAGGCAGTTTACGGCAATTGCTCGAATAAAGCATGGTCCCGTATCTCGTGCATATCCGCAGCACACCTCCTGAGCAAGTACTCCTACCCGATGAGAATGAAACGGTGCATGTGCGGCGTTGGTACGTACGGCGGGATCTACGACGTCTCAATCTGCCAAGCTTACCATGTCCTCGTCGCGGAAGGCGCGACAAGACGTGATAGACGTGTGAGTGGTGGTGGATACGTTTACGTCCACAGCAGGGTCCGCAGCGGTTTGCTGTGTTCCCCTAGAACTCAATCTGACCACAAACCTACTGTACGTCTGCGGTGCGCACTGCGCACCCGTGGTCCTCACTGTGTGCCCGAGAAGTGACGATCCGCCGTACTAAAAGTGATGATTTTTGCGTTTCGTCACTTTAAGTAAGGCTGAAGTGATACCTTGTGTTTTAGTGATAAGAAATGCGACTGCAGATAGCGCGAGTTAAAGTGATGAAAAGTAGGGCTTCCGATTGGGGGCGTAGAGCGGTTGCGCGCCTAAAGCGTGGCCCAGGGCGCTAGCGTGGAAATTGTGCACGTGGCACGCCAAACCGCTGGCAATTTGCTAAGTCCTCGTCGCTCTCTCTCTTTCCCTGTCACTCGGGCGGACTTCTGTTCTCGTCGGCTGCTGCTGCTTTCGGTCCCCCTGGATATCTTTTGCTTGGGCTGCTGCAGCTGTGAGACTTATGGAACTCTGGATGCTGGTAAACCTCGAGGATGGGGCTCTTGGCTTTCTGCGAAAACTCAAGGTCTCGCTCACTCCGGATGGCGGGCTTGCTCTAGCGTCCTGGACTCGCTGCTTGAGCTTTCCGTACCTGCTGTACCTGCTGGGGATCTCGCAGCCTCCCGCTCCTGTGCTGAGGCTCTAGAAGCTACGCTACGACGTGCTGTGCTGGGTACGAGGCTACTGTACTGCTGGACTTTCTCTTGTGCTACGGCGACTCTCTGGACCTACTGTCATTTACTCCAGACTTCGCGCGCTCGGTGGCAGGCTCGCTGCGATGTAGATGCATGCGCACGCGCGTACGCGTGGGGCGTAGGCCTAGGTGAGCGATAAAGTTGATATGTTTTTCGACCATCTCCCCTTCCTTACGCGCGCGTTCGTCGCCTGCTCGCGCGCATATGCCCCGCTCTTCCCACTGCGTCAATACAGAGCATGCACAGCGTGCTTGTGCCTCGGTCCACGACCCGTGCCCCTAGTAGCGGGCATCGATGTGGGCGCTAGGGGCGCGCGTCGCACGCGCATGCGTACGGGCGCGCCGCGGGGGGTCGAGTAGTCGAGTTCTTAGCGTGTATAATACTACTCATGTATGGACCTGCTTGTGAATATATCATCTGTGATGTTCTCCTTCGCATTACCTACATGTGTGAATGAGTAAATCAAAGTGTGGAAGGCGGGGAATGCTGCACATTCGCCTCCAGAGCCAAGTGACCATAAAGACAACAAGAAGTGACGGTTTGCGGCACTTGTATGAAGTGACGAAACGAACAGTAAAGTAATGAAATTCGTCACTTTAAGCCACAACTTGAAGTGATGGTTTTTACTAGTTCGCAGACGGGCGCTACAGCCGATAAGTAACGATAAGCGCGACTGATAGTAGCATTTATCATCACTAAACCATCACTTCCGGACTTGAGCTTATCGTCACTTTTGAGGCACACAGTGCCTTGGATAGCGAGATGGCCACGATTCTCTTCGGGACTGTCTCCTGCTCTCCTGCTGACATCCTTTGGATGCTAACACGTATCTTGAATGACTCAGTAAGAATAAGCCACTCACGTTGAATGATACGATATCCGACCATCCCGCGAAGCCACCGTGAACGCCGTGAGCGTGAGCGCCAGGCACTCGCCCACATATTCACGGGCCTCCGCACACGGCATCACGCCCAGTTGTCGCTCTTCCGCGTCCAAGCTCCGTCGGCGCAAGTTCACGGCGATGAGGAAGACAGGCACGCGGCTGCGGCGCGTCGGGCGATGACCGGAACAGGCGCGCACACACCGACCATTCCCGACGCGTACCGGCGCGCGCGCCATGACATCATACGCATACCCGCTAGCGCCCAAATAGAGGTGCCGGGGCACGCTGCCGTAGATCCGGGACACTCGGCATCGCGAGCGTTGAGTCGGGAAATGCTGTCGGTGCGCGCGTCCTCGAGCTCCGGCGCATCCTGCATTCTTCTGTCATTGCCTGCACGCGGCCGCAGCGTCTCTCTCCCTAACGCCACCCGAGGCTCGCAGAAAACCCGCAGGACGATCGTCGCAAGCACTCCTGACTGTGCGCCCGCACGGCGGACTGCAGCTGATCCTCGCTCGTCTGTTCCAGCAGGAAGCGCAAATTTCATGAACCGCCATTACGAATTCCCCGCGGGGGTGGGGCGGGAAATTGTTCTCGGACCCGCGCGCCCAGGGGCCGTCGCCCTTGGCGCAGTCGGTGTCCGGTCCGACGCCCCGAGGGCGGGGATAGCGCGGGCGGGCCCTTCCCCGGATGGCGAACGGTCCTCGACGCCACGACGGGCTGCTGTGATCGATTGTCACTGCTCGATCGCACAAAGGCTCTTTTCGGGGCTCGAGCGTTGACGTAGGTGTCGTCGTCTTCATTGTCGTCGTGTGTCATTTGCAGCACTGCACGCACGCACAAGATACGGCTGGGGGATTTTCCGCGTGAATCAGGCGTCGCCGATTGCGCGACGACGCGCGCAAGAAAGATGGGCAAGTTGCAAGGGATCGGCGGCGACCAGGGCCGCCTCGAGGCTCGCGCCGCCCGAGCGAGGTGGGAGCTCCGTGGGCGTGCACGCGCGAGAAGCCGGAGAGGATCGTGCAGCTGACCCGCGCGATCAGGCACCTCCCTGCGTCGGTTCGGCGGGGGCGGGCAGCATCAGCACGCAAAACGCGTCGGCTGCGTTCTTAGCCTGCATGTCCCTCTCGGGACCCCGATGAGGGCGGCGCCGCCGCGCTGGGCATGTTTGGCAGCGTATTTTGGCTATCATCAGACCCGTGTTCTGTTCGCAGCGGTGACAGTGAGAGAATCGAGCGTATGGTTCACACCACAGGCCCACGAGGAGGAAAAGAATTCGAAGGCGGGCAGCGCGTTAGCGTTTTCCAGGCCGCAGGCCACCGCCGCCGACGCATGGATGTCTCAGAGCGCGCCGGGCGGGCGGCGGTGGCGTCAGCGAAAGAGACGAGGGAAGGAGGACGCGGTGCTGGCCCGCGACCCGCCGACATGCCGCACGGGATGAATACAGTCGCCGGAGGAGAGGGGACCCCAGATCAGAGGCTCGGGCGGATGCCGTGAATTAGGTTTGCTTGCCGAGCGTCCGGGTGGGCGGTGGGAACGCCTGCGTCGGGGCCCGCGTCGTGCGGCGGGTGCAGCGCAGCAGACGCGAGCGTGGACGGCGGGAGGAAGGCGAGGAAGAAGGTGGAGAAGACGAAGGCTGGGGGCGGGGGTTCTGAGGAGGACGGGGGCGGGGGCGGGGAAAGGAGTGCGGGGCGGGGACGGATTGGGTTAGCCGGTGGGGCGTCTGTGATGGGGTCGCCTGCGCAAACGATCATCCGGGGTTGCGCTGCAGCGTCCTCTTCCGGAAATGCATGTCGTTGGCGATAGAGGGTGGAGCTCCTGCCCTCACCCGGCGTCTCCGTCTGATGAGGCCCTGATGCTCATGCTCGTCCTAAAAATTATATAAACGCGCTCCCTCCGCTCTCCGTCCCCTGTCCCCTCCTCCCCGCACCGTTGTCCATCACCTTCCCGTGGACGCGCTACCCGGATCCGGAGTCGACTCTCATCCCCTCCCCCTCACGCTTACGACCTCACACGCTATCATGTCTGCCGAAAACGAGAAGAGCTCCGTTAAGCAGCAGTCCATCTCGGACTACTCCAAGGAGGTCAAGCATATCGACAACACCGCCCCCGATGTCAAGCTCTTGAACCCCCTCATCGGTATCCCTCATGACCAGCTCATGGAGGATGGCTCCGCGTTCGCGAAGTCACATGGGCTCGCAGACCTCGAGGAGGAGTTCCGCAAGGGTGCCCTGGTTGCGCAAGACCCTACCGCGTTCGAGTCCCTCACTCAACTGAGCGACGAGGACAAGCATGTCCTCCGGAGAGAGCTCACCCACCGCTGGGCCCAGCCCGCGCAGCTCTACTACCTCGTTATCCTCTGCTCTCTCGCCGCCGCCGTGCAGGGTGTACGTCATTTTCTTTGTTCCACTCTGCCAAATCCGGCCTAACTCATCCTGACAGATGGACGAGTCCGTTATCAACGGTGCCAACCTGTTCTTCCCCGACCAGCTGGGCATCCCGCAGACGGGTCCCAACGCGAGCAACAACCAGTGGCTGCTCGGGCTTGTGAACGGCGCCCCTTACGTGCGTATATGCGTGCTTCGCGTCTTGGTGTGGAATGCCGGTCTGACCGGCGGTTCTCTTTGACAGCTCTGCTGTGGTCTTATCGGCTGCTGGATTTCCGCGCCTATGAACAAGTACTTCGGCCGCCGGGGCACGATCTTCATCTCCGCGTTTATCTCGTTCATTACCTGCATCTGGCAAGGCCTTACGAACACCTGGTGGCACCTCTTCATCGCCCGTTTCATCCTCGGTTTCGGTATCGGCCCCAAGTCGAGCACTGTCCCCGTATACGCGGCTGAGTGCGCGCCTCCCGCCATTCGCGGAGCGCTGGTTATGATGTGGTACGTCGAGCATTTTGAACCTCGTCGTCTCATTGTGCAGACACTGACGATATCACAGGCAAATGTGGACGGCCTTCGGAATCATGGTCGGAACTGTTATGAGCTTGGCGTTCTTCCGTGTTCACGACACCGCTCACGTACACGGTCTTAACTGGCGTCTGATGCTCGCAAGTGTAAGTTCGACCTTATCAAGGATGCAAAGATCTTCGCTCACATTCCCCTTGATAGGCCGGTATCCCCGCGCTCATCATCATGACCCAGGTCTACCTCTGCCCCGAGTCGCCGCGTTGGTTGATCGGCAAGGGCCGCTACGACAAGGCCTTCGAGTCGCTGCTCCGCCTCCGCAAGAGCAAGCTCCAGGCTGCCCGTGACCTCTACTACATCCATGTCCTCCTCGAGGCCGAGCGCGAGATCCAGACCGGTCGCTCGCTCTTCCTCGAGCTCTTCACCGTGCCGCGCAACCGCCGCGCGACGCTCGCGTCCACGATCGTCATGTTCATGCAGCAGTTCTGCGGCATCAACGTGATCGCGTACTACTCCTCGAACATCTTCGCGCAGGCGAACTTCACGCAGATCCAGGCGCTCATCGCCTCCTGGGGCTTCGGCATGATCAACTGGGTGTTCGCGTTCCCCGCGGTCTGGACGATCGACACCTTCGGCCGCCGCAACCTGCTGCTCACGACGTTCCCGCTCATGGCCGTCTTCCTGCTCCTCACCGGGTTCGCGTTCTACGTGCCCGAGGAGAACAACGCGCGCATCGGCGTCGTCGCGCTCGGTATCTACCTCTTCGCGATGGCGTACTCCCCGGGCGAGGGCCCCGTGCCGTTCACGTACTCCGCCGAGGCGTTCCCGCTGTACATCCGCGACGTCGGCATGTCGTGGGCGACGTCCGTGCTCTGGTTCTTCAACTTCATCGTCGCGATCACGTTCCCGCGCCTGCTCGGGGCGTTCCAGCCACAGGGCGCGTTCGGGTGGTACGCGGGGTGGAACATCATCGGCTTCCTGCTCGTGCTGCTGTTCCTGCCGGAGACGAAGGCGCTGTCGCTCGAGGAGCTCGACCAGGTGTTCAGCGTGCCGACGCACGTGCACGCGTCGTACCAGCTCAAGGCGCTCCCGCACAACATCAAGAAGTACTTCTTCCGCATGAAGGTCGACCCGCTCCCGCCGCTGTACGAGCACGAGGCGATCGAGGGCGAGAAGCACTACGCCCCGGGCGGCGCTGGCCACGCATAGGCGTCGCCACGCTTTGTCCAGGCGTTTCTCTCCTTCTTGTTGTAGGATCCCGGAGGTGTGGTGGTGGTTGGAGGTGGTGGGACGTGTCTACGTGCACCTGCTAATCTAATGAATACCACGACTGTTACGCTTGTTCTGTACCATTGTATTCCTAGTGATGTTTTCTGCTTAGCTCTACTTATAAAATGCATCTCTTCTTGCATCTCTCTGCGGCATGAATGGTGCTCATGACAGTTGATTACGCGTTGAGGTTGAACGAACGTTCCACTTCTTTGATAATCACCATAGCTTTCCCTCTCAGGGGCTGCAAATTCGGTCATCTACCACCTCTCACTCCGAGGTTTCAAACCATCCCAATTCGAGGTACAGTAATACAAGTTTCTACCAGCAAAAGGCTACAAATTGGTGGCGCTGAGACATCGCGATCGCTCTCTACCACGGAATCTCCTCTCCATTTTGGCGTAGGTACTTGCCGCTGTCCGCATTCGTGACGCTGGTGATCACCTTGATGATGCCCGCGACGCTCTCCTCGGGCTTCAGCTGCGCGTCCGCGCCGCCCATGTCTACAACGCGCGTCAGTGATGCAGCAACATAGTGCGAGCATGCAGAACGCACCTGTCTGGACCCACCCCGGGCACATCGTGATCACTGTGAGGTCCGGCCGCTCGACCTTCTGCTTATACGCCTACACACGCCCTCGTCAGCCCGCGACCACGATTCACCGAATGAGCGCGTGACGTACCAGCATGTTCAACGCGGCCTTGGAGATCGGGTACGACGCGTTGGATGCAAACGCGGGCGGGATCTGCGCGACGCTCGCGATGCTGCCCGCCGTGCTCGAGATGTGCAGGATCTTCTTCGTCGGCGCCTTCTCGAGGAACGGCAGCACGACCTGCGAGAGCAGCGCGGGGCCCGCCGCGTTCGTGCGCACGACGTTCAGCAGCGCGTCCGGGTCGAGCGTGAACGCGGTGTCGAAGATCGCCTATCGTGTGCCCCACGCGCAGTCAGCCGCAGCTCAAGCGTGTAGGAGAGAGGGGAGCGTACGATTCCGGCGTTGCTGATGAGGTAGTCGAGCCCGGTGGCGCCCAGGATGGGCTCGAGCTGCTTCGGGAGCGCGCGGACGTTGTCGAAGTCGGAGACGTCGAGCTGGACGAGGTGGAGCGTGCCCTTTGCGCTGCTCTTCAGCTCCGCGAGCGCGGTCGCTTTGTCGGGGTTGCGGGAAGCTGCGACGACGAGGTTGGTGGGGACGGCGAGGAGCTGCTTCACGAGCTCGAGGCCGATGCCGCGGTTCGCGCTGAGGGCGGGGGCAGTTAGTGGCTGATTAGGGTGTGAGAAGGGAAGGAAGGAGAGCGTACCCGGTAACGAGCCAGGTAGTCGGGGACATGATGTGTGTTCGATTGATTCCGAAGTGAGAGGACTGGGAAGACGCGAAGACGTCGATGCGTCTGAGGCGTAATTTATAGACATCCTGTGGATCTTTCTTGCCTATGGAAACTCGGGAGTGGATGTGGATGTGGTACCGAGAGGGGCTGCTATTGCTAAGCGCGGGCCTCGATGCGTAGATCGACGCATCGTCATATGCTTAGCAATATGTGCGTGTGAGCGCGATGCAGAGGAAGCCGGCGCACGCGTGGCGTGTATATGAGAACGAGAGTGTTCTCGTACGTTGTTAGCTGGTGTACGATCATGTGAGATGGGTGTGTGAGACGGTTATGTTGTCGCAGGAGCGTCGACTTGGCTGCATGAGTCTGCCGTGGACCGATCTGGGCTCCGTACGACGTATGTTCCTTGAAGCGGTGAGTAAGCACAGCGTCGTACGCGACCAGTCATATACCGCCGATTGGGATTTAAGTCCGCCGTCCGGAGCGACAAACGGTGTGCGGCGCCATATCATATATCAGAGCCCTCATCGATAGATGTGAACTGATGTGTGCATACTTGCGTTTGTACACACATACCCAACACATACCCTCGTTTACTTGAGTGTCCTTGAGGCATGACCGCACGGCGCACATCTACACGCCGCACTGAATACTCTGACTTAGAAGCCAGGTTCTCGAACGCCAGCAGGTGTGGACCAGCGACGGTAGCCGGGGCACGTCTCGATGATTCGTGCTGGCGTCCAAGCTGGCTGGGACAAATGAGCACGAGAAACACCTGTTAGCAGGCGTTAGGTGACGTGATAAGTCCCTGTCAGCGATTCGTCAGAAGAGGTGGGCGCAGTACGTACTCTAAGTCGTCATAGGCCGCTATGCGCGATGCTATCTCCGCGTCGACATCGTCGATCTTCGACGTGCGGTGTAAGGTAGCGGGAGGCGCGATAGCAGCATGCGCTAGCTTACCGGCAGCGGTTGCGGTCAGGCTCGAGCTCGAGTGCCACCGGGGGGCTGTTACTGAAGTCGCGACCAGGGGTGCGCAGAGAGCAGAGTAGACTTGAGGATTGTATATGCGTGCAGGACTTCAGCGTACTCAACTCGACCCCCTCTCCCAGTAGTGGTAATGCTGTTGCCAGATGGCGTGACGATGTGAAATTGATGAATTGTCATAGGCGTGGAATTGGGAGGAACGATAGTCTTCCGGCTCCCTCGAAAACAACTTGTTGAGGCGTTGAGTAGAAATCCCAACTCGGAAACGCTCGATATGGCCGGAGGGCGGCCTAGGGCGGCCTGTCGGACCGGCCACCGGCCTTGTCCAGTATCTCTTGCGGCAAACGTGCCGCGAGGTTTGCGCTCGACCACCACCCCCACGAGCTTAAGTACCCGGAATCCATCCATCTCCTCCAAGAACCTCTACGTGAGCTTGACATCAGCGTTTGTGACTGGCTAGCACGCTTTGCCGGATACCGTGTCGTTCACCTCTCAACACCGACACCCATTCCCACGACAAAGCGTGTTCGAATGACGACTGGGGAAACGTTGCGACGCGTCGCCAACGGCGTGTAGATGCGTATACCCCGGTGAATGGCCGTGGGCCAATCGAGCCTATCCCCGTGCGTCGCCAGACTCGGCGCCGTACACGCTGCCACCGAGGAAGGCAACCACGGGAGAGGAAGGCTATTTGCTCGTCGGGCGTGCGCGGAGTGTGTCTGGACACCGTCGCAGGTCGTTTGCTTGGCGTGTAAGTCCCTCTCTGGTCTGTTACATACACATACCAATGCCGCCTCAGTGTACAGAACAATTTCGTTGTTGCGACCGGCCGAAGCGTTACATTAACAAGTTCCACACGGAGTGCCCCTCTCACTCAAAGCTGCTGGCACTTAAAGAATTCGAAGTCATAATCTCCGTTTGTGTGAGATGGCGGCGTGCTTTCAGCAATGCTCTCTAGGGTATTGCGCGGTCTGGACAGGCGTGCAATCCCACTATTGCACCCGTCTCGATGATACACTCGGCTTGGCCGCTGTATAGCTTTCTCAGAGGAGTCGACTACGATCTATTGTAGAGTTTGTTTCGAACTAAGTTGCCCGTGGCGCTTACTCACGTCCATTGTTAGGGGCTACTAGGTACGAGATACACATCGTATCCCTGCTCACACGATTCACTGACTAACTGTGACATACCCGGTTCTTCTGTAGCCAACCAAGCCTCCTCCCGAGCGAAAGCGCGGATCGTCTTCTGGCGCACCCGTTCAGCGTATGCGCCGAACCCTCGAGGATGCAGGCCGGCATACATACCGTGTGAGCGTCAAAGGTCGCCCGGCCTAGCCGAGGTGTCCGAGTACTCCTTAGATGCGGCACTGGCAGCTGCTTGCCCGGGACAGACGATGGTTGGCCGTTGGATCGGTCACCCCGGCCATGGCGCCGCCACCCTCTGCCTTGTTCTGGCAGGAGTCGAAGTTCATTCGTACAGGAAGCCGGCTATGCCCGTTTCTCATGCGCCGCCGCCCTCATGTGCCATGTTATAAAAGCGACTCCATCCGAGGCGTCCCATCTTCATCCTCACGACTCCCCCCTTTTACTTCTCTCTTTTCCTTCACGCCGCCCAGGGCGACATTTTAACGACATGTTCCACAAAACTTTCTTCCTGGCGTTCGCCGCCGCATCCGTCGTCCTCGGTGCCCCTGCGCCTGCTCAAGTGACTGGTGAGCATTCTTTTGAGCTTCACCATCCACCCTTACGCTCATCGCTCACGTCCTTACAACCAGATACGGATGTCCTTCAGTTCGCACTCACTCTCGAGCATCTCGAGAGCGCCTTCTACGCTCAAGCCCTCGCAAAGTTCGACGCGCAGGCCTTTGCGGACGCTGGCTTCCCGGATTGGGTCCGTGGCCGCTTCGTCCAGATCGGAGAGCATGAAGCCGAGCACGTCAAGTTCCTGAGCGGCGCGCTCGGTGCCGCCGCCACGCAGGCGTGCGAGTACAACTTGTGAGTACCACGGCAGATGAGCACATACACCATCTGACCACGCTCCAAAGCCCCTTCACTGACCCGCGATCGTTCGCGGCGCTCTCCATGCCCCTGGAGGACGTTGGCGACTCGGCATACATTGGCGCGGCACAGCTTGTGTCGGACAAGGGTGTCCTGACGGACGCGGCTGTAAGTGACAGTACACGACGTTTGACAGATGCAACATGCTGAGCGCGTACATGCAGTCCATCTTGTCTGTTGAGGCACGTCACGCGGCGTGGGTCTCCTCTGCCGTGCTCAAGTTCCAGGGATGGAACGGGCCCTTCGACTCCCCGCTCAGTCCGAGCGCGGCGTTCTCCATCGCTTGTCAGTCATTCCCCGACACTGTCCACCTGTTCGCGAGTGAGAACTGACTCTTCACGGACCAACAGCCCTGTTCGTCACGAGCTGCCCCTCAAGCAACCCCCCGCTGCCCGTGAAGACCTTCCCGCCGCTCACCCTCTCCGAGGCCGCCCCCGCGCACGGCGCCCTCGTCGGGCTCACCTTCACCAAGCCGACCGGCGCGCAAGCCTCCGCGCCCGCGTTCGTCGCATGGTTCGACGGGCTCAGCGTCGTGTTCTCGAACGTGACCGCGGACGGGCAGACGGTGGTGCCGCCGGGGCTCGAGGGCACGGTGTTCGCGGCGCTCACGTCGGTCAACAGCGGGATGCCGACCGACGACACGCTGCTCTCTGGGTTCACGTTCGCCCAGTTCCCGTTCGACTCGCATGTGGACACTCCTTGAGCTCGCGTTATTGGGACTTTGGCTACGTTCGTTCTGTAGGTGCTGTGATTGATGATAATAGGCATACCCGATACTCTTTATATAACTTTATAGACTTCGCCATGTTGCGCGAATCCAGTAGGAAGGTGTGAGTGCTTGTCACTCGTGATAGATGTGCCGAAGCTTTGGTCGCACTCCAAGCCATGCAACGACACTCCAGTAGCACATAATCCTTGAGGCACAAGCTTCTGTGCCGGCAGAGTTGATCGCGAACGAGTTCCATTGGGCCACAAAAAGGCAGCACCCACTGATCTACGTAAACATCCTCAAGGACACGTTGACTCTGTACCCTCGATACAGCTGGGTGCGCATCTTCCACGTTTAAACGCCCATCTCGGACAAGAACGGGGTATGCCGGACAGTAAATTAAACATGAAGGTGAGTTTCCTGGTTTCGTTCATGATGCCACAAGGTTGTTGCAGACGACATTTATGCGACTTTGTACTTAAGGTCGAACGCTTCTCTTAGATCACGCATTGCTTTAAGCCTCTTCCACACCCTTCATGGCTACAATGCCAGTCGCGGAAGATAGTCCAAGTGTACTGTCATCCAACTCTTCCGGCACGCTCGAGTTCCCCTCCCCATTCACATTTATCCTGAACAACCCTGTCCCGTTCGTCGAGCTACGCCTCCGCCGCTTCGCGCGCACCATCCGCGACAAGCCAAACTGGTGGGAAAAGGTGCACGACCCGAACATAGTTGCGCGATGGACGCGCGAGGTCATCGAGCACGACCTCACGATGGTCGAGCAGTTCTGGGGAGGCGAGCGACGGTATGACGAGGGCGCGGGCGAGAAACAGTGGCCGCGCGACCCGATCACGGACGCGCAGCTGGCTTATTTGTTTGACGAGCTCCGATACCTCGCATCCCAGCGCGACGAGGAGACCGGGATATCTGTGAGTGTTGCCGCGCTTGCACATAGGAAGTGTGGACGTCTAACTTCGAGAATCGTAGGAAACAACTCTTCCTATGGTGTACGAGTCCTTACAGCTCATTCCGCCCTCTCTCAAGGCCTCTCTCAAGGAACTAGCCGAGCGACTGGAAGACGTCCCGGAGGATAAAAAGGACTGGCATCCCGGGTCCGGCCAGCAAGTGCTGGACCTCGTTCACCCCTCGTTATTTTGCTTGCGCATCGGACACTCCCTGGTGCAGGGCCTTCACTCTGAGACGGGAGATCCACTACGACTGCTCACGCACGAAGAGTACCTGCACGATCGTCTCGACATCCAGCAGTGCCATCCGCGCGACGCTTGGTATCGCCGCACCGAGGAGCCCCGCCTGCCGTTCGAGTATGCTGTCTCCAGATCATACCAATGGCTCCCCACCGATTTCGCAGTGTCCGACTCGGGACATGTGACTTCCCAAGGCTACATCAACAATCTCAACCCCGAGCAGTACACGGCGGGGTACTGCACGGTCTCGTCCATCCTCAAGCGTCTCCTCCCTCTGTTCGAGCGCGTCATTGCGGACCAGCTTAACCCACCGCGCTCGCCGATCTTCCCCATCAACCCGCTAACGTGGTACAAGCATCCGGACTCTGTGTGGCTCAAGGAAGCACCCCCCGGGACCAGCGAGGTCGAAGATTGGCAAAGCCGCTACCGCTGGCCAGTGATCCCGGACGTCGTCCCTTTCGAGCCCCCGCAGACAGAGGGGCGCGCTGCGCTCAGCCTGCGTGGGCGCACTATCCAGGTCATCGTCAAGATGGCGAACATCGTGCTCACTCCGGAGAACCCAAGCTACCCGGGGGGTGCATGGCACGTCGAGGGTATGGCGAACGAGAAGATCGTCGCGACGGGGCTCTACTACTACGACAACGCCAACATCACGGAGTCCCAGCTCGCGTTCCGCGCGGCCGTCGGCGACGGGCTGAGCGACGGCGGGACGTTCCTCAACTACGAGCAGTGGGACCACCGCGGGTACCTCGCCGTGTACGGCCTCACGAATATGCGCGCGCTGAACCAGGAGCTCGGGCGTATCGTCGCCCGCGAGGACAAGTGCATTGCGTTCCCAAATATATACCAGCACCGCGTCGCGCCGTTCGAGCTTGCGGACCCCACGCGCGGGGGCCACCGGAAGATCCTCGCGTTGTTCCTCGTCGACCCGCTCACGCGGGTGCACTCCACGAGTGTGGTACCCCGGCAGCAGGCGCAGTGGTACAGGGACGCGGTGTACGGCGCAAAAATATCTGCGAGACTTCCTCCGGAGCTTGTTGAGCTTATTTTGGGATACGTGCTAGAGGGCATGGTGACGGAGGGGGAGGCTATGGTGGATCGCGAGGAGCTCATGAAGGAGCGGGCGCATTTCGTTATGACGCACAACCAGAACGTCTTCGAAGCCGAGTTCGCTATGTGCGAGCATTGAGCCCGAGCATTTTTGAACGAAAGCAGAGGAACCTCCGGAGTGCTTCACTAGCTTCAGGACACAAGGGAGTAGCCCCTTCTCGGAAGATGGAACGCGGCAACAACTCAACCTCATAAGCACAAATGAGTTGACGGCACGAATGCATCAGCCAGGGTGAGATATCTATATCGGCGTAGGATGGACTTCGTGGAGGGTAGATCAATACAAAGCAGATTTCGGAGCAACGCTTTCTGGTACGAGGGAAGCACATGATGAGTAAAATCCCGTTGGATTGCCACGACACGGGTAACTTACTGTACTACAAAGGCACATGGCAGGCCAATCGGCCGGCACAAGACCTAGGGATCCATCACTAGTCGAGTAATTGTTCGTCCCCTTCCGACCCTGAAGACGGCATGGGCCAGGCCCTCCCCTCGCCCCTTCTCCCCGGTAAGATCGATACGGCAGCGACACCCACGCGCGCCCCGGGGTGTGCGCAGACCTGGAAATCAGAAGCCTGTTGACCAGTTGGCAGGACGCCTCATGGTGCGCAGTGGGACGTCATGACGGCAAAGTGGTGGTGTTTATCCCTAATTGCGCACATGTGTTCCCGCGTGACGGGGACGCGGTCGGAGCCGCCGCCTATAAGGGAGTGGGCCGTGCGACCGACTCAATGCAGAGGGCTCGCGGGCTCAGCGGAACAGAATCGTGCCTGAGCGCGGCGAGCTTGCGCGAAGCAAGAGGGGTACGTGTGACACGTTTGTAAGTACGCGACGTGCAGTTGGCCATGAGACATGAGAGCTATGCGGTAGGAACGTACCGTACCGACGGGGGCAAACGGCGTCTTCGAGGTCTCGTGCCACCACAATCGATGAAGGATGCTCGGCGTTGCTGCGTCAAGGACGGTCCTGCCTACTAGAGGGTGCGACTTAACCGAGGCGAGAAGCAGTAGGTCGAGGGTACGGGTGGGTGGGTCGTACGCACCAGCCTGCTAGCTGGTGTAGGAGCGATACCGCGTCAATCCTTGCGGCCGCCACAACTCGAACGCGACACCGGTGCATAGTTGCAGGGGTTGTGCGCCGGTCGAGTTGTGGAGCGCATAGATCGCCGGGGTGCCCGCTCCTACAACAGACCAATGCAAGCCAGTGAGCACAAGTGGGAGGTGAAGGTGAGGAGTGCGCTGACCTCTTCAAGCCATGGTGCATGGTCTTATATACCTCCCGCGCCCTTCTCTTCGAGCGCCGCCACGAGCAATGTCGTTCGCACCGGCTGCATCCTGGAGGCCTGATCGGCCACCCCGCGCGACCGCGCGAGCACGCCTTCGCCAGCGCCAACCGCTATGACAAACTAGCTTCAGCTCCCGCAAGCTTGGACGAGGGCGCAGTGGGAAGACATACGGGCCGTGCTGGGTTTAGTGCCTGGCCTGGCGTGGGACGCGCCACAAGCTTCGCGGCACCCGGGGCCTAATCGCAGCCCTCTAGACGCCCGCAGCGAGGACGGGGGCGCACTCGGATTGGCGGAGAGCTCGGAATGACGTCGCTGCGCGTCGCAAGGCTGCCCGCGAAGTCCCCGAAACCCCCGTATGGGCTCGGGCGGAGTTGCGAGGATTGGCCGGGGCAGGGCTTCGGTGCGATGGGGCCTGGATGGGGTGTGTGCGACGCGCGTAGGCGGTGGGCATGGGGCGTCCGGGAGCGAGAGAATGCGACCCAGACGCGGCGAGGTGGGCCAGCATGTTGCGCGGTGAGCAGGACCGAGCAGGATCGGGCTGGGATGTGCGGTCAGCACGATGACGCTGCGAAGATCGCGAAGCCCAGAGGGGGCAAATTTGTGCCCGGGACCGTTCTGCCTGCGGGACTGATGGTGCTTCCGCGCATCAGGGGCGCTGATACGTTCCCTACCTGGAGACCGCGTATCGGTTTGCGGCGGTCGTCTGCTTGACTGGTGCTCATGCGGCACTCGGTGGCACTAACGAGCACCAAGCGGTCAATGAACCTTGCGAAGTGAGGCAACGGCATCTGCGGATAAGCTCAGTAACGAGATATCGCGTGTCGTCTGACAAACTCAACTTTCCCCGGCTCCCTGACATGGCCTCGTGATGTCCAGCCGGAAGACTTGGGAAAAGAACAAATGGCGCGTTGACCGTGGACGCGGCCCCGAGAAGCAGCTGTTGCGGTAAACTACGCGGGAGGTTGTTCAACACCGGGAGGTTTGCTCGGCCGCGAAGGAGCCTGGAAGATCTACGAGCCGCGTGCGAAGAACATGGCACGGCAACGGCAACAATAGGCTGCGGCGAAGAAGTGGAGGTAAGGCATGAAGCCGCAAAGGCCTGGCCGCGTCCACGACCTAATTCGCAGCAGACATGTTAGCGGATCTATCCGAATCATGCGTATCGACGCGCTATAGTGATAGCTCGCGTCCACATACCTTGAACCTCGGGGGCAAAAGCCTTGTGGTGTCGTAGCCTCCTGGTTGGCCGATTCTAACTGACGGGCAACGTGACCAATCCGGCCGGAGACATCGGTGCATCATACAAGAACGCGTCCATGGACGGGTCATGGGACTCCGTGTTTCCGTGCATAAATTAACGAGAGCGAATAGAACAACGCTGCAATGCCGCAATGGTTTGCAGCATGGTCTGCTAGCGATTGGACAGTCGGATGGGCGCTGTGGGAACCATGTGAATGGTGGCCAGAAAACACACACCGCACAGGGCCGTCAAAGAGCCTAAGTGAGCAGCGCACGAGTAGCGCGGGCCTTTCCATACAAGAGGCGTGTGTCCTGACCGGGATATGACGATGGTGGCTGCAAAGAAATCAGAAATGCATCCGAATGCACCCAGGACAGACAGGAGTTAGAGTGGCAGATGTGGAGAGAAGACGCTGAGATGAGGGGCTTACACGGTATTGCCCTGCAATAACTCCGAGGAGGGTCCACAGTGGCGACATCCCGCGACGAAACATCAACATCGGTGGGTGCCGGCTGAAACGTTGTGCCCGCAATCGCTGGCTAGGATGAGCTCGACACCGCAACGCGCTTCATGGACGTCTTTCGTCCGTGACCGCGGCGACGTCAAGACCAAGTAAGACGCGCACCGGACGTTCAACTTGGTTGGCGCTGGACGTCATGGCGGAGAAGCTGATTGTGTTGAAGAACAACCGGGGCCTCCACATCAAGCTGGAGTATAGACAGATACCAGCGGCGAGGCGTGTAACGTGTCTTCCGAGCGCCTCAAAATTTGGGTCGTCGAGTTGCAACCTGGGCGTGAGTGTTTGTAAAGATGGGCATGTCCGGGTTTGGACTGCCGCTGGTGGCGTGCTGCGGGGACTTGCCACGCGATACAAAGGATCCCATTTCGTACAGGCACAGAACGCATGTGCACCGAGGGTCCATGCGAGTCGTACCTGTGTGTTGGAGCAAAGCTATAGGCTACGAGCGAAGTTGCGACTCGGAGTAGTAGTAGGCGCGAGGCTTCGGTTGATAAAATTGAGCATGGTATTCAAGGATGTCGTTATGAACCAACTTACCGGACATGTCTTGGGAATTTACGGATGGTTGGGGGCGTTCGCGACTCGCATGCCGTGTCAGATGCGCGCGGAGGCAGTACACTCCTGTGAGCATAGAGATAGCGCACTGCCGACGGTCTCGAATGTGCAGAAGTTGCGGCCGCGGGGCGCGGCTGATAGCGTCAACTTGAACGGCTTAGCCACCTTCAGCGAATTTCGGCCGGGTCGCTAAGAGGAGTGTCAGATATTGAATTGTGGGGACAGGGTATTGTTGGGTATAGCTACCCGCGCCCAGCTGGTCATGCATATATCCACAAGGGGTTCACGGTGATGCCATAAGGAGAGCCGTGTTGAATTTAATCATTCGAAGCTCAGTATCGCTGAACTTTAAGGATTCTGGAGAAGCTTAGGTTGCTTTGTTACGATAGTCGCAGCACAATCGCGTCTTGGTACCATGTCATGAGTGTACATGTTTGTACTGAACAGCTGGTGGGCAGGATATCGATGAAGGAGTTAGCAGGTATGAAATTGGCGCCTCCGTGCGACAACAGCGTGGGCGCTTGCAGGCGACGTGCAAGCGCTACGTTACGGTCTGACCTCAGCAAATCTCTCTGTCTGACTCCTCGCTGCCCTCGTCCTCCTCACTCCTTCTCGTCCGTACCGACACCCGTCTCGCTCGACCACTAGTCAGCCACCATGTCCGGAGCAGCAACATCAGCAGGCGCGTCGAAGTTCCAGGCGTTCATGAACCACCCCGCAGGTGCGGCGAGCTGGCCCATCCGCACTTGATCTGCGTCTAACGTTCTCGGACTTTACCTACTCGTTCCTCGGATGCTGGTGTGCAGGCCCGAAGACAGTGTTCTTCTGGGCGCCGATGATGAAGTGGTGCTTGGTCGCGGCGGGCCTGAAGGACCTCTCGCGCCCGGCGGAGAAGCTGAGCGTGTCGCAAAACCTTGGTGCGTCGTTCTCCGTTATCCTGTTCGCGCTGTGAGACTGACCTGGGCTGCTCGATGTCTATCTTGCGCCGTTTGTCGAGAATAGCTCTTACCGCGACCGGCTTCATCTGGGTGCGCTACTCGCTCGTCATTACCCCGATCAACTACAGTCTGGCTGCCGTACGTTTCTCTTCCCCTCGGCGCGGGTCCATATTGCTGACGGCCCGCGCAGGTCAACTTCTTCGTTGGGTCGACAGGTCTCGGCCAGCTGAGCCGCATCTGGTAGTACGTCCCTTCCCGTTCTAAGTATACGCGACTCCCTCCGAGCGAATCATCCTACAGCTACCAGAAGACACAGAAGGATCCGGTCATGAACTACTTCGGCGGTGCGGCCGCCCCAGCGACTGCTCTGAAGACTGGGCCCACGACAAGCGCTGCTTGAAGCGTGCATACCTTTACCATACGACCCCGATATATTCTATCCCGCTAGTTCTATTGCTTGTCTCCATACACTCGCTACGTTATCGCGGGTGTCCGCCGGGGTGCCTTGCGAACGGGGCCTGGTTATTACGCATGCCAAGGCGGCGCATCTTGGGTCCCGAAGAACTCATCGGCGCCCTGCTCAAGACTCGTGCTGCCATTAGAGACTGTTCAGTGCCATCTTCGAGCCCCTCGTACGTCTTACGAGGTGGTGCGAACCGTCTCCAACGCGCGCGCTCGTATAACGTCCATGAAGCCGTCGCACCATACGCCAACTTTGTGTACGGCATGTGCGCTCCGTCCACTACCGCTACCTCCCCGTGGCCGCGCTATCGACGCTTGAGTTCGCCCGGGCTTACGGAGACCTCATCTTGTCTTCCCCGTCGAATGTCTCGAACCGTGCTCATTACCGCTGATTGGCTCGGCCGGACCACCCCCAACCACTTAGCTCACTGCACTCCGCACTGTCTCCGCACATCTCGCAAGCAAGCATCTGCAGCAGCTTCTGTGTCGGCGGCGCGTGCACGCTCGCGGTGGCCAAGCAGTTTCCGAGCGTACAACCGGCGGCTGGCGCGGGCGGCTATCGGCTCTGCTCCTTGAATATAGACGCCCATGTAAGCGGAAGCAGGTTCTTAAGAACGGGTGCGGCTTTTCTGCCACTATCGCTCTTCCGTCCTTCCACCATCTCCCCCGCGCCTCAGGAACATAGATCCCGGTTTATTGCCGGCTAGAACGCACTTTCGAGCCATCAAGATGAATATAGAGTTGCTGCAAGTCCGTGTTATATTCTGTGTCATTTTACAGCTGACAAACTCGCCCGTCAGGTCACGGATACGGGGTTGGCGTATATCGTCATAGGCGGGTTCGTCGTCGCGGTAGGTCGGCCATTTCACGCGATGGCAGAGAAAGCTTTGGGATACGAGAAACATACGTCGACCATGTCTTCTATGCAGTACTAGGGAGGCCAGCTCGCGAGTGGCACAGCTGTCTTGCGTGTTCACAAAGACGGCTGCGGTCGCGCTGACTAAAATTTCTTGGTTGGTCTATTGCACGCACCAACGGGCATTCGCACTCGCTGAGATATCTTACTTGCAAACTCGCGCTTTTTTTAGAGCTGTAAGAGCTAGAACTACTGCCGCTTCCGTATATGTTCGCTTAATCAGTCGTGCATGTTCCCTTATGCTGATGTGTCTCCCGCCTACAGTTCAGCATGGTATCATTGCTAGTCAAAGAAAAGGTACGCGGCTAGGTTCGCCCGTAGACATACTGTTGACACTCATGGGCGTACAGTTGTATATCAACGAGGTCGTCCTCGGCACCGCATGCGGCGTCATCTTCGGCCCATACTGCGCCAATGTGTTCGACCCCCGCTCCTGGGGCGCGGACAGCAACGTCATCACGCTTGAAGTCATGCGCATCACCCTCGCCGCCGGACTCTTCGCTATCGGCGTTGAGCTGCCGCAGTCGTACTTGGCGGATAACGCCAGGAGCCTCATGGTCATGGTCGTGCCCACTATGGCGTTCGGTTGGTGTATCGTAGCGGGTATGTGGAATTTCTATGCGTCTATCTAGGTATAGATCCTCACCACGCATGCAGCGGTCATTTTCGTGATATTTCCCCCGCTGAACTTCATCTCGTCCCTTGTCATCGCGGCCTGTCTCACACCTACGGACCCTATCATTTCCGCGGCCATTGTCGGTACGCGCACCACACAGATCCTACGTCGTACTCCGTGCTAAACCTACGTACAGGCGGAAGATTCGCAACGAAACACGTCCCGTTGAATCTCAGGCGCATTCTTTCTGCCGAGTCCGCTGCAAACGATGGTCTCGCGTACCCATTCCTGAGCTTGTCCGTCTATCTTACCACGGAATCCTCCCGTCGGGTAGCAATTGGCAACTGGTTCCTCGTTGGCTGGCTTTGTAAGCTCTTGTCCAACCTCCTACCCTCGAACGCTCATGCTCACGCTTGCTGTAGACCAAGTCATCTTGGGCACTGTCATTGGCGCGGTACTCGGTACGTCTACACATATCGCGAGACTTTCTATCCGGGCTTACAATCACCACAGGCGTCGCGTTCTCGCACTTGATGAAGTTCTCACACCGCAAAGGGTACATCGACCGACAGTCCTACGTCGCACAGTACTTGGCGCTCGCGCTGTTCACAGTCGGCATCACCCGGACGTTGGGCAGCGACGATCTCCTCGCCGCCTTCGCAGCGGGTACGTGCCATGACTGTTGATCCCCTACACGCTTCAAACTTACCGTTGATGGGCAGGCTCCGCGATAAGTTGGGACGGCTACTTCAACACGCAAACGGAGGACGAGGTGTTCTCGTCGGTGATCGACCTCCTGCTCAACTGCGGGTGCTTTGTGTACATCGGCGCGTGGATGCCGTTCAGTCTGTTCAATGCGCCCGAGCTCGGTATCACGCCGTGGCGCCTCGTCACTCTATTTCTCGCTGTCCTGGTACTGCGGCGCATCCCGCCTCTTTTGCTCCTGTACAAGTGGGTGCCGGAGATCAGGACATGGAGAGAAGCCATGTTCTCGGGACACTTCGGTGAGCGGATCGATTCTAGCCGCGGCGTATAACGAAGCTAATGCTATAAACAGGCCCAGTAAGCGAGTAGTCGCATCTATCATGCCCTTCATACTCACTCGACTGACATCCTAGATGGGTGTCGGGGCTATCTTCGTCTCGACGCTGGCTGTGACGGAGCTCCCGACACCGCACTCCCCGCCCGAAAACCAGGCCGAGCTGCTCGCCGCGACGCTGCAGACGATTGTCGCCTTCGTCGTACTGGGGTCCATCATCATCCGTACGTCCTCACACCACGTCGCGCTGCGTTCGAACCTGACCTTTCGTCTGCAGACGGCCTGTCGATTCCCTTCTTCTCGTTCGGACGGAACGTCCGCGCGCGCACGCTCTCGCTCACGCACACCTGGACACTGCGCACCGGCAGCGTAGGCCCTGCAGTGCCTGACTGGACCCTGTGGGCGCGTCGCACGCATGAGGGCACCCTCACGCGCCCGGGCACCCCGCTCAACGTCGGCGGAACTGACGATGTCGAGCGCGGCCTAGACACGAAGGACCTCCTTGCCAGCGTGGCGGAGCCGCAGGCCGCGCTGCTACCGGCGGAGGACGAGGGTTTGGAGATCGTGAATATGCATGTTGAAGATGTGAATGTTGACCACGTCCCGGAACTGGGCGCGGCAGCGGCAATGATCAGCGGCAGCGGCGCGGCGGCAGGCCCCGCGCGCGCCATCGACATAGAAGTCGCGCTCGCACCCGCCCAAGAGGCAATCCCCGTCCTCGAGCAGGCCATGGTATGTCCGCACGCACCACCCAAAAGCATATACGGCGTTGTGCTAACTAGCCGTTCGCGCGCGCCGCAGGCACCGGCGGAAGCTGGCAACACCCACGTCAACGTGAAACACGCCGCCGCTGGCAACGACGCGCGAGCAGTGAAGCTGGCGCTGCCCTCCCTGGGCGCCTTCCCCCACGCTGGCCAGGCCGGCGCGGGCTCAGACGCGTGCGTGCAGTCCCCTGCTACGCCGTCACCGTCGCCGTCGCCCACGCAGCGTTCTGTTCGCTTCCCCGTCCCTCCGCGGCTCGCCAGCCACGAGGCCGCCGACCGCAATCGCGCGCCGTCGGCGGGCTTTCCCAGCCTAGCCAAGGAGGTCCACTTCTCGGACGAGCAGGGCGCCGCCGCTACCGTGGATGTCGGAGCGGTCGAAGGCGTAGCGGGGGTGAGCGAGGGCGTACCTGGCAGCGGCGGCGGCGGAGACGTGCTGCAGGGACGGGATGCGCACTTCCCCGCATCCCAATAACATAGGCTCGTGGCTCACTCAGAGCCACGGTGTGGGGAGGGCGCGGGGCACGGGGTAACGCAAACGACCGCGTCTGGGAGGGCGGCAATGGCGGGGAAGCAACGATGCTACGTGACGTGGATAGATAGACCGCGTGCAATACAACTACCAACCTTGGACTTCTCGGGAGAGCGGGGTTTTGTCTTGTTACGCGAGATCGGAAACGACTTCGTTGAATCTTCCGATTGGGAGGGTTGCAGCGTCGAGTGAAGTTGGGCGGAAGACCGAGGACAGCGAAGCTCGCGCACGCGCGGAAACGAGCAGCGTTGCTGTAGTGCCCAGAAGCGGACTCGCTGGCGGTCGACATCACGAAGGTATCGTGTGAGTACGTGGTACAAACAAATATACCTGAGCATCATTATATCGCAAGTATCGTAAAGCGCGTTAGTATACATGATGAAGCCATGAAAGACGAACTAGGTACTAGGAAGTATTACTAGGGTAGGGGGCGAACACGAGAGCAAGCGGTCATAGTCTACAGTATGGAACGAGACAACTCGGGAGCACTAGTATGCTACAGTGTGTTAGGGACGGATGCGCAGGGAAGAGGAATATGATACGACGAGGCCAAAATCCAAGCGCGAATCACAAGTGTGAACGCACCATCTCGGGCTGGGCTTGCACCACAGGCGCGCCCTGCGCCGGCTCCAGTGCGTCCACGTGTGCGGTCCCCTCGTAGGTCGTGAGGCCCTCAACAAACGCACCCCACCGCTCGTCGCTCACGATCGGCGCGCTCACGTACGCGAAGACGTCCATCTCCGCGACAAGCTCGCCCAGCATCGGCAGCACCGCGTCCATCGCACGCGCCTCCATGTCCCGCTGCGCCGTGCGCCCGACCCCCGCGCACTCTGCGTACCACGCCGCGTCGAACTGCATCGCGTTTGCGACGAAGAGGTCGACGAGTGCGGGGCGCACGCCCTGCGTGACCGCGGCGTCGTACGCCATGCGGTGCCCGATCGCCTCCATCATGGGCTGGCAGCGCGGGAGCACGCGCCGGCTCACCTCCTCGTCACGGTGGTGCGGTGGTTCGGCCGCGACCGCGCGCAGCTCAGCGAAGAGGGCTGCTTCGTGTCGCGCGAGGAGGGAGTCTGGGTTTGTGGAAGGGGGCAAGGTGTAGCGTCCGAGAAGCAGTTCGTTGATGAGGCCTGCGGATATGTCAGAGAACGCTCGCTGCTGGTAAATTTTACGACGTACGGATAGAGAGCACGAGGATGTCGCCCTCGGCGATCGCGAGTCCACGTATTTCGCTCTGAAACAATATGTTGTCAATGCTATATCTGCGGCGCAAACACCCAGCTACGTACGTGTACACGGGTCATCTGGTTGTGCGCGAACAGGCCCTGCGCTCCGCACCGCTCGGACACGTGCACGGAGCCTTGTTGTGAAAGTTGCACCATGACCGACTTGAAGACGGCGGCAATGCCATGCCGCACGCGAGCATCGAGGGTCTTGTCGCAGAACTGTGCGATGGACCACCGTTGTAGCGCCTGCGTCACGTACGCGCTGGCGGTCACCGCGAGGATAGGCCCGTGCTGAGTGCGGAACGTCAAGATGGGAACTTGCTGTGTCGGGCTACCGATCTTCCGACGGAGGGAGTACATCGCTCCGATGGTCGCGCAGGCCTGCATGGAGGACAACGGGACGCAACCGATGGCAATAGTCCCAATCGAGACGCGGTGAATGATGTCCAGGAGATTCGTGTGGTTGTCATGGGGGCGGGAGAGTGAGCCAAGGAGCGCGCTCCGGGGAAGCCGGACGTTGTGGAACGTGGTCAAGGAGTGCATGACCGGGTTTGGACCTTCGCGAAAGGGAAGCAACCTTGAAAGAACGCGTCAGAGTCAACGTGCAAGGGGCCGAATAGGTTATCCCCTGCGTACCTGGATTGGATGCCTGTGCACATCTGTCTTCCATCGTTGAGTGGGACGACGAACGGGCGGTGTCCACAGAATTCGCCGTTGACAATGAGCCTCGCAAACACGACCGCTATGCACGGCAACCCAGCTGGCGCAGTGGGAGGCATTGCTCTATGGTGGAGAATTAGTCAAAGCGAGCAGATAGGTCAATAGCATGACAACTCACTTGGCAGAGCTGGGCGTCGGAGAGTTGAGAAGGAACTCCCCCGAAGGCAGTAGAGTAGCTGTTGTCTCCATGTTGCTGATGTCGAGGCCGTGGCCCAGCTCCGTCAGCATGAACTGTCCACTGAGAATGCCATCAGAAAGCGCCACGAGGGTATTGGCGAAAGTGACTTACTGCTTACGGTACCGAAGAAGGTCTTCGACAAGGGGAACCAACTCCGGACGCCGCACGGCATAACGGGCAAGTGTACCTGCGCATAGGTTGTATTGTATCGTAAGAAGAGTCATCGCAGCCCCATCCAATAGCACCATCGGGTCGCCATGGAGTTGCCAAAACTTTGGGGTAAGCGAGAGTAAATCGTTCATCGTCATGTCTAAGCAGACAGTGTTAGATGAAACATGCGGTGATAGGAAGGGAGCGACGCACTGTATGAAAGACCGATCGCCTTTGCCTTCCTATACGAGAGTATGGCACGGTCTTTATGGTCCATGGAGTGGGTCGGGGTCAAGAAGAGGGGGGAGTGAGGGAGGTGGGATGTACGGCGAGGGTGACCTTGGGAAGACATGGCCTGGATTATCCTAGACCGGTGAGGAGAGGAGGGGTGCGAAACAGAGGAGGGGGGGTGACAGAGCAAAAGAGTCGAGTAGGACTGCGTACTTATGGATTCGAGAATAGGTACCGATGCGATTTGTGAGGGGTACATGACGGAAACGGGCGGCGTGCTGCCGCACCATGGACCACCTTGCAGGCTTCCTTCCGCGTTCTCGACTCAACGATGATGCCGGATTCTCAGAGCGAGAACCAGCATCGGATCGTAGATGCGGCTGAGTGCCAATGCTCGTCGATCTCGATAACCCCCGAATGTCCGCCAACTCGGATGCGGTCGAAAGGCGGCTTTTGTTTCGAGGTGACAGTTAGTTGGCACGGCATGGCGCTATTCGACGCCGTCAAGCCGTACATCGGGGCCTCTGACGGGCGTCGCGCCGCCTTCGCACATATCATCAGATACGCACCCTAGTACGCGCTATTTGGACAGCGCTAGCGCACTTGGACCCTTTTCGTGGGCACTGGGACGCGCTAGTGCACCGTGCACCCATGTGGTCGATGGGGATGCGTCGACGCGCCGCTGAACACAAGCTGACTCACTACTCGGAAAGCCAGAGCGAGGATAGTCCGCAAGTCTTACTATAAGCAATGAGAGCCAAATCGGAAGATAGATGTGTATATGCTCACCACACATACACTGACTCTCCCGTGCCATTTCAATACGGTATTATTCTACACGATTAAAAGTCTCTTGTCATACCCAGCTCTGCAAGCTCGAGCTCAAATGTTGCCGCCACTCGCGCACCGAGCATGGCGGCCTCGACGACAGGTATGAAAAGGGAAGGACAGCGACGACGAGAGCCGCGTCGAGGAGGATGGTCGTGGTCGCGGTCAACGATCACATCGGCGTCTATCGAGGAAGGACATTTCAGCCTGTGACGTAACCCTCAATCAAATAAGGTAAGTCTCCTGCCTAATCCAGAAAACCTACCAATCGGCGAGAAAAGTATGAGCACCGTTAGGCCTTGATCATCGCCAACCTCCAGCCACAAAACTCTACACTCTGGATATAACGGAGAACGGACAGCCCTCGGACTTGAAGATAGAGAAGGTCGCATGGAGACGTGGTGGTGAGTGCGTTGGGTGCGGGTGCTAACAGGCACGGCGTGACGTTGTCCGCTCAGCGCTGAGCAACGGGCTCAGATCGACCACGACTTCAAGTTTGCGAGTCCTCGGGCTCGGCGTGAACTCGTCGAACTCAAATTCTGTCATAACCCCGAGGCAGACAAGATACGAACAGCGGGCCCGAGATCGCAGTGCCGCGCATCTCGCTCTACAAGCACGAGATGAGGATCGGCCTCGGGAAAAACTACAACGAGGAGACCAAGGTGCAGGCAACTGATTGCTCACCCACGTGTGCAGGACATAGATAGCTGCTGAGTGCGTTTCACCTTAATGACGCCCCTGAGTTGCACCAAAGAGCCTCGAGGCTAGCGATCGCTGCCACAGCGCCTCTAGCCGGTATACATTTTCCGCAGCAGAAAGCACGCATAGTGAGCCTGCTTTGGAACGTCAGAAGACAAGTTGTCTTCGTGGTTGCCATATATTCGTAGTACACGAAGCGAGCACTGACAACATGCTGATGGTCGTGCCAGGGATGTCCCATGCAGTGCCAACAGCCAAGCCTGAGCGCGACCGCGCCGATCGTCAACCCATGCGCTGCAAATGGACAATGCCCACAAGATCCGCACTCTGGAAGAACCTCTCGAGCGGTCGGTACACCGGGCGGGCACGCCTGAAAGCCTGATGCGGAAGTTGCGGGGCCTCGTGGGGAACGCATGCATGATCGAGACCGTGTCGCCGCGGTATCGAGCAGCGGGCTGGTGCTGACAGAAAACGTTGGGGATCTGAGTGCACCCAGCCGAGCAGGGCTGAACATGGCCCGAAGGACGCACCTGAATGACATATTGGTATGTACGCGTTTATCTCGCTTCGTGAGCGGAGACGATGTGTGGCCGGCCTCGGCGGGTTTGCCCCACGGAGAGAACGTGTATCTCGAGACTGTCGGAGAGGCCATCCGGGACCGAGGGCCGCCCGCGCCGGGTGCCAAACGATAATGGATATGTTCGGGACCTGCAATGTACTCGCGGTCGGAGTCGACGAACCGAGAGGAGAGGAAACGAGCGGAGCTACGAATGTCTCCGACGAGGTATCACTGTCGTCCGGATCATTCGGGGGTGTGCAATACCTCGTTCAACTACCACTGGCACGAAATTCGAATCACCGCCCTGGTACATAGATGAGTAATCGGCCTGTGACCCACAATGTGAGAACGATGAGGGAACAGTAGCCATTGATGCTTGTGTGGGCGGTCGTTTCACGTTCTTGGATAAACTGTCTTCGCGCGCCCGAAGTCAAAGGAACTCGCACGCTATTGCAAGTTCGGCGATGGGGCGGCGTTGCGCCCTCCTTCGACATTGAAATGCATTGCATGGTTGGTCTTATCCATCTGACAGATCGTGGTAGACGGGAGGAGAGAAGCTTGGAAGGAACAAGTACGTACTGCGGAAGGGTGAACTCCCACAACGCGCGCGCAGGACGTCGAACTTCTTCGGGAACCCGTAGGACAAAGTCGAACCTAAATGGGGCCAACGTGACACACCACGCATGCAAGTGTACACGGCGACGTCTTGAAGTTTACCATGATCATCAGTTCACGCGCGGGATGTCGCCATGATGACGGAGAGCATGGGCGGCGACGCACCGCGAAGACATCCAAGCTTCCAGGCCTCGCGCCCGACATAGCGTGTGGTCCCCGAGCCGGCGAAATATCCTTCCTGTGATATATCCAGCTTCGCACCCCATGTCATGAGGTGCCATGGTGAAAATGTGGGTCCAGCCTGAGCGCATCAGGCCAAGCGAGGCCCAACAGTGGCAGAACGTGCATTAATCAAGTGTGTCCACTGCATGCATGCTAGCCAGACACGGTTGGGATGAGGGGGACTCCGACGACGGCCGGATCGCATCTCCGTATGTGAACGACCCCGGGAGCATTACCAGCAGTGGTAGCTGTATTCCGTTGATTGATGGGCATCACCCGGGGCAGCTAGAGAAGAGATGGTCAGTGTTACTTCCAAAGATTTGTACCACATGTAACACTGGAGGTCCAGAGTTCTTCCGTTGGCGTTTGAATTTCGGGGAGGGAGTAAGGTGTACTGACACGATGCACCGTTGTCGTAGTATGATGGTAAGATGCTAGGCGCCTAGAGCTTAGCTTTTAGTTGGTGTAGTGAGTGTATCGCATGTATTGACGCGAGGTAGTAAACAACAAGAAAATACGGGGAGACCATAGTAGAGATGTTGTACAACAGGCTAATGTACACCGTGACAAGGAGCGAACGGATTACAACACGTAGCTCAACACGACAGGGATGAGCTCGACGTACTGAGAGCGTAAAGCAAGCGAGGGAGCGGCAGATTCAGCAGAGCGTCAACAGCAGGGGTCGGTAGGGGAAGATCTAGGTCGTCGGTGCACGTCCACGCGGGCAGAAATCACAGATGGGACCTCACCATCTCAGGATCGGCCAGCGCGCCGCCGCGCGTATCGAACAGCTCGACGTGCGCGTCGCCCGCGAACGTCGTCAGCCCGCCGACGAACGCGTCCCAGCGCTCGTCCGTGACGATGGGCGCGGTCACGTACGGGAACACGTCCATCTCCTTCACGAGCTCGCCCAGCATCGGCAGCACCTCGTCGTGCGCCCGGATCTCCGCGGCCTGCTGCGCGGCGCGGCCGAGCGCTGCGTGCTCCGCGTACCAGGCCGCATCGAGCTTGACGACGTTCGCCACGTAGAGATCCACGAGCGGGCCTCGCACCCCCTGCGCGACCGCAGCGTCGTAGGCCATCCGGTGCCCGATGGCCTCCATCATGGGCTGGCAGTGCGGCAGGATAAGCCTGTTCACGTCGTCGCTCCGGTGATGCGAGACGCCCTTGATGATGCCCTGCAGTTCGGCGAAGAGGCCGGCCTCATGCCGCGCGAGCAGGGAGTGAGGGTTCTCGGGCGGGGGCATGGCGTAGCGCCCAAGGAGGAGCTCGTTCACCAACCCTGAGCGCGAAGACGTGTCAGCAGACGGCTATGGTCGGGCAGGGACGAGAACATACGGATAGCGAGCCCCAGCACATCGCCCTCAGCGATAGCGATGCCGCGCATTTCGCTCTAGAATACCAACACCACTATCAGCTTATGCTCCGCAGCGAGGTAGCAATCCGACTTACGTGCAAGGAGGTCATCTGGTTATGTGCAAACAGACCCTGCGCGCCACAACGCTCCGAAACGCCCATGGCACCCTGCTGCGAGTGTTGCGCCATAACGGCCTTGAATATCGCCGCGATGCCGTGTCGCACACGCCCGTCGATGCGGGTGTTGCAGAAATTCTTGATGCACCAGCGCTGCATCGCTTGCAGAACGAAGGCGTTGGACGCGGCAGCGAGGATGGGCGCCTGTTGCGTGCGGAAGGTGAGGAGAGGGATCTTCTTCGAGGGGGGGCCGATCTGGCGGCGGAGGGAGTACATCGTTCCAATGGTTGCGTAGCACTGCATGAACGGCAGAGCGAGGCAGCCAAGGGCGATCGTGCCAATGGTGATTCGCTCGATGATGTTCATGAGGTTCGCGTGGAAGTTAGCGGGCTTCTCAAGAGATCCGAGCAGGGAGCCTCTTGGCAGGCGGACGTTGCGGAAGGTAGTGATGGAATGGGTAACTGGATGAGGACCTCCGCGGAAGGGTAGTAGCCTGGAGGCAACACGTCAAGATCATACTGCAGGATTTTCTTTCGAAGGGACGTACTTTGATTGCACACCAGCGCACATTGTCTTCCCATCGTTGAGGGCAACGACGAATGGCCGGTGGCCGCGGTCTTCGCCATTCACGATGAGCTTCGCGAATACGACAGCGATGGCCGGCGTGCCTGCTGGTACAGTTGGGGGCATGAACCTATGACCAGGGAGGATTAGTATGACGAAGCAGGTATTAGTAGTACAACTTACTTCGCGGCAGCGGGTGTTGGCGAATTCAGCGAGAATTCGCCAGACGGAAGGAGTGTAGCGGTGGTCTCGATGTTGCCGATGTCGAGACCGTGCCCGAGCTCAGTCATCAAGAATTGACCGCTGCAGACGGTGCAGTTGAGCGACAAAACATGTCAGAGGAAACAGGAAGTCACGCACTGTTTACGATATCCCAAGAGGTCCTCGACGAGAGGCACCAGCTCAGGCCGGCGTCTAGCGTAGCGAGCAATGGTTCCTGCGCAGAGGTTGTACTGGATGGTAAGCAATGTGATGGCGGCACCATCCAGTAGCACGATGGGGTCGTTGTGCATCTGCCAAAACTTCGGGGTCAGGGAGACTATGTCGTCCATGGTCATGTCTAGAGGGCAACATTAATCAAGATGCGGCCACGTTGCAGCGTGTTGACCTACCGTAGGAGAGACCGGTTGCCCTTGCCTTCTCGTAGGAGAGAAAGGCACGCTCCTTGTGGTCCATGCTATGGACCGGAGTGGAGAAGAGGCGCGAGTGGGGAAGCGCGAGCGTGCGGCGGGGGTAGCCCTCGGACGACATGGCGCGGTATGTACGGGGTGTGCGGGAGCGGGGGTGGGTTTGCAAACAGATCGCGTCGCATATGGCGTACTTAAGGGGTCGGGGGACGACGCGAGCTGGGCGACATCAGGGAGCGGAGGCGGGTGTGTGAGCGTGGGCGAGCGCGCCATACCGCAAAAGACATGTGTGAGCCTGGCGAGCGAGTGATGCTCGGCCTGCATCTCTTCTCGCAAAACTCTTCGCGGAGCTGGTGGGAGAGTGCACGCTGCGTATTCCAGCATGATGCCGCGAAGGAAACTCGCCGATCCAAATCTCTCGCCGTATCCCGAGCCGCAGCCCGGCCATCTTTTGGATCTCCGCCCGCACATCCGCCTCGCCTGCGCCCATCACTGCCGGCGGTTGCTCCGGCAGCTCCCCGGGCTCTCGTCCGCTCCCCGTCGCCATCCCGCTGCCTCGAGCCGGACGAAAAAGGTGCGAGTACGTAGTCCGACCTGCTAGCTCGAAAATACTCATTACCCCCTCGGCGGCCGGGATTTAGCACCGAAGCTTGGCCGAGAGTGCATGAGGCGTCCGCGCGTGGAACTCGATCTCCCTTTCTGCATGCACTGGGACACGCCTTTGTTCCGCCTCGAGCATGCCGTGCTTTGCTCCAGTTGATCCTTGTGGGCGACTCCGATCTCCCGACGGCCGCCCCGCCCCATGCGTGTTAATGCCCCCTCGTGCGCACCACGGACGTTCTATCTAGCTCATCGCAGAGGTGAGCGTCCCCACAGACATCACGTCCAGTTACGTCCGGATTTGCGACGGTCGTTGGCCGGGACCCTTCACGTCACCGCTAGCGGGGGATCAGGTTCTCGCCATGACGGGTCCATTCAGACCTCCGGAACAGTGATCTCTCGGCAGTGAGACGCCGTTCATTTTCGCTCATTTTGCACAATCAGGCCCGCCCCTCGACGTCGTCGCCCGCCCTACGCCGACCCTGCACGCTTTGCTTCTCCCGCGGTAGCGCTGCACAGGCAGGGTCCCAGCCCTAATTAAGCAAGGGGCGCTGATGTACCTGCTCCAGCCGCTATCAACAGTCGGTGTCCGTATCAACCCCGGGCGGCTCTCCGACATTCCACATCCCGGCGCGCAAGTACGGCGCGATTCGCCCTGGCTACGACATTCACCCGCACACCGTACGTCCTCATCCCCACGGACGCCCACACACACGTTCCGCAAGAATCCTTCGCCCGCGCCCTTCCTGCGGCGATGTGGTCTGCTGATGTCGATTCTAGCGCCGCAAGGCGTACAACGCGGCTCACGTCCCTCTCATCCCCGCGCAAGCGACATGTTCTCGCAGATCTTCCTCGCCATCCTTACACGTACAAGCACCACTCGCGATGCCCCCCGACTCCCACATGGCATCCCTATCTCCAGTCCTGCGCAAATTTGGCGTAGTGGCCCATATTCCGGGGCTTTGCAGCGCCTTGAGGCCATGCGCAGCTGCATCTAGGCTTTTCTGGGCACTTGATCTTTTTTGAAGAAGTCAACTCCCCGGGGCATTCCTGCCAGCATTCGCTCTTTCAATACGCCGCCTGTCAGCCTTTCCCCTCTTCTCGCGCGCATCGCCGAGGGCTGAGAAGAACTCTGTCGATCTCACGAAGATCGCATGTCTGTCTCCCCGCGGTCCTGTCATCCGTCAGTGGTGCGTCTGGTAGCTTCGTGGCTGAGGGTCTAACAGCGCAGTCTGTGGCTAACTGCTAGATTGTTAGCATCTCAGCTCCGTTTCGCCCGCGTACCAAACCTGTTCAAGCCTGCTCAAGCTTGATGGCGCGCGAGCACTGCCAATGCACTACACCAACGACCTGATCCATGCTAGCCTCCCTGAACATCTGATCGTCGACATCTGGTGCCTGCATGTGGCTCCGCAGGGCGTATGTAACTATGTCATGATCTGCTCGCGATCGCGTCCTGCCGGTATGACCGTCGTGCACTTCGTCTTGGAAGCACTCGCTCGGACTCCGGCTACTTCGCTCCGACCGCTGCTGGTCACTCGCGTGCCCTGCTCAGTCATCGCTTTCGCAACATAGCTTTCCCCGTGTCGCGCCTCGTCATATGTGGCTAGGCGTCGTGGCGTAGGCCTAGGGGGTAGTGCGCTGTAGTGTCCCCTAGTGGGGCGGGACTGCCCTTGCCTGACACTTCGTCCGGAACGTGGGTGTGGCCAGGTGTGGCCTGTGTGGCAAGTAGGTGGGATCGGCTTCGCCCCCTCCTTCGCCAAACCGCATCTGATCTCTGATCACAGTGCTCTAGAATCTAGATATCGCTACGATCCCGATGGCTAGAAGATGCCCCAGCTGCGCGCGCCCTCACGTCCACGCGATGGCGAACGAAGGGGCAGGCCCCGGCGCGCACGGCGCGCGGACGTGGTCGGCAGAGGCCAATATGTCGCGGGCATCAGACGCGGCGGGCCAGAAGCAGCGCTCGGTACGCCTCGGTACGCGCACCTCCATCCCCATCAGTCCGAGTTCCTCGCGTCGCCCGAATAATACGCTCATCTTATGCTATTTCGGCGTAGGGAGTGGCAAGCGAGGGCCTCACGGGACCCTGCGTCCTTCGCTGCCGCTCGGCTTGTGGTACCACGGTTGGCGGACAATGGCGGGCCCGAACGTTCATGTTGTCGGCTCAGTACGCCTTCGAAGCTTCGACTTCTGCAGGGTTCTTACGCTATGTTCTGTAAACCAGTGACTACTACGTACGTACCTTTGCTTATTCTATTTTCACGCTAGGAGCGAGTACTAGACTCTTTCCGAGTTCCTCGCGTGCCCCGCCAGTACGTCCTGTATGACATAACAAATCGATTTCTTATCTGCTCTACCAACGCCGTCGGCACCGAGCCTCCGCTCGCATTCGTATACTCGGTCCTCGGAACTCCGTGCGGACCACTACTGGCGAAACACGATCGTGTCCAAACACCCAGCGACCTTCATCCAGCCAACGTACTAACCTTCCGCGCGGTGTTCATTGCGGCATCTACCGCGACGCCACCGCCAGCCTGATTCGGGCGTGCTGTCTTGTACAGAGCCCGCAGGGTCCTGCCCAACTAACGCCCATGTGCGCCCATCCCGCCGATCTGCTGATACCTGTCTGACAACAAACGCAAACTGGTGGCGCTCCCGGGTGCGTACGCTGTGTGCGACACTGCGATCGGGATCCATGCGCGATGTGCTTCGTGTGCGTCTGAGACAACTAAGTTTGCACCCGGTTTGCGTCCAGGAATGGAAAGTGGAATGAACTAGGATCGTAGTGAGCGGGATTACGGAAATTTTGAGGGCGTTGCAAGCTAAGCGCACCGTGTTTTAGTCATACGGGATACGTCCCAGAACAGGCATGGGTAGAATACGACGACTCGGAGCTGTTTCACGGGCACGTTGGCGGAAGCTGGAGATATTGCGATGTATTCGGCGATGTGTCGTCGCGAACCACGACACGAGGGTACACATGGGCCATGTCTGCCTCAACCGGGAACTGGGAGAATTCATAGCCACGCAGCTGGAGAGGACAAATCTGCGTTACTGTAACTCAGCGCGCTGGTGAGCGAGATGACCTACGAATTTCATTGACGCGCATGTGTCGTTAAAGATACACATAGCCGGCACCATGCCCGCCTTCCGCCGAGCCAGGTCGTGGACAAAGATCGACAACAGAAGCCGCTGCACGCCGGCTTCTGCTGAATATGCTCCGATGCTCCGATGGCCGTTAACGGTACCGTCGTACCGTCCACCTCGACCCCGTCTCCAGTGATACCGGCCTTTGAGGGATTATGTTGGCATGAGCACTGATCCCCTACGACGTGTCATGAAAGCATGTTTGTTGACCCTGCAAGTGAATGGCGTCAGCGTCAGGGCTCAAGTATTGGTCGGTTCATGAACGACCATGCCCGACAGCGCTCTTGTGCACTTCTTGATGTTCAAATGCTGGCGGGAGCGCTGTATACAGCCAACTTGACGACGCGTTGCCACACATCACTGAGCAAGAAGCAAACGCTGTCAGATCTTCGACACCGAACCGTGAAACGCATTGAAACGCAGCTTACCCGCGTACATCGCGAGGAGTCCGCGAACCGACGCTGAGGCCTAACGCTTGACGGGATTGCGGTTGCGACGGGAGCGACCGCTGTGTTCTCCTCCGGGTTGGCAACGGATGGCCTGGACCCCTCGAAAGCCGCCGTACGCGTCTCGACCGCCGCTCCTCCGCCGGAGAGCGCACAGAGGGAGATGCAGCCGACTACAGCTAGCGGACAGCTGCCATGGGATGGACGGGGTTGCTACGAGTGCCTTCCCTCCGTCATCGCCAAGCCCGTCGACCAATGCGCGAACGCGGATTTCATGAGTTAAGCTCAAGCTCAGCCTTTCCGCTCTCGAGGGCGGCCACGTTGAACATGCTACTGTGAACTCGGCCCTGGTAGCTGACAGATGACGGCGCGCGGCAGCACCGAAGGCGGTCGCTGCCACGCGCGTGCCCGGTGTGGGAGACGCTTACGGCACTGGCAGATAAACAACACCGGAATGGTGCGAGCACACATGCCGCAGCACGCAAGAGCGGGACGGGTGTGCCCACGGTCCATTATGGACCACGCGGAGAGCCCGCGTAGCTATAAGCGAGGGGGCAGGCGTGGCGACGGACGGACTTGCTATGAGATGCCGCGACGCTCGCGTCTGAACGCGAGCGAAAGCGATTCCGTGAACGAGGCCTCGGACTACGGTACACGTTGGGCCGACTTCAACGTGTTCAGGGCTAGCCAGCATTGCACACGATGCAGGGGTTCTGTGGGAGACTGGCTGCAACAATCAGACCAGGCTCGTCACGAGTAGAATCCAGCAGGGACAGACCTGACGATCACCAAGGACCCACCGTCGTTATCTGAGTCTGAATTTTCAATTGATCGCGTGGACGCAGCGACCCTTAATAAATTGTGAATGGTGCTAACCTGAGCGCCCTTGATGAGGGTGGGCTCCGGAGTCTTTGCACTTCGGCTCTCTTGCCGCGAACCTCACTGGATGCGGACGGCCGGGACTGAGAGATCCGACGTGGCTTACGCGACCGCACGGTGTGTTGGGGCGGTTCGAGCACATCGCGTCGAGCGATCCGAGAGCCGCCCGCCCAATCATCGCAGCGGTGCTCTGTAAGGAAGACGTCAGCTCTCCTGTGACGCAAACGTCAGTCCATATGACCACAAACCAAAAAACCAAACTTACCTTCAAATCGTATTCGCAGTCAAAGTACACACTCGCATCCAAAATACGTCCGTTACACGCTGCGCGGAGTTCACACTGAGAGGGCCAGATGCATGTCACCGCGGCCGTATCAATATAGCCCGTGCGGCTCGTTGGTATTCGTACACGTTCGTATTTACGACCAAGTATCTCACAGTCTCCAACGACTCATGAGTCGAATCGAAGCAGAAGACGAGGAAGTTGAGCTCACCCTGATCCAGCCTCCACAACCTTGGTTAACTCATACCAGATCCTGCGTGAGCACATACCGGTACCGGACCTTGTTGTCGCCGAGACTACGCAGGGCCTTCCCGACTTCCTTCATCGGGAGCTCTTCAATCCACGGCTTGACCCCCTTCTCCGCGGCAAGCTGCAGCATCTCAATGCACTCCTTCTTGCTTCCGATGTGGCTGCCGCCGAGAAGCGCGCCGCTCGACATCAGATCGAATGGATGGATGGGCGGAAGCGGGTTGTCCGCGTCGGGGATTCCGACCGTGATGAGCTTGCCGTGCACGACCAGCATCGAGAGGAAGTCGGCCAGCGGCGTTTCTGGGCTGTAGCTGTCGAGGGTGGAGATGATGATGTCGAATTCGCCTGCGAGGCTCTTGGCGAAATCCTGCAAGGAAGCGAATGTTAGATGGATTCCGATCGCAAAAGATTTCAGATGGCCGCCAATATGCGCCTACCTTCTGCTCGGAGGTGTTGATGACGTGATGAGCACCCATCTGCTTGATGTCCTTGACTTTGGTCGCATCGTGTGTGAAGGCGTAGACATCGGCGCCGAGAGCCTTAGCGAACAGAACGGCGTAGTGTCCGAGGCCACCAATCCCGATGATACCAACAGTCTTACCCGGGCCGGCGCCGTTGGTCTTCAACGGAGAGTAGACGGTCAGGCCTGCGCAGAGCATCGAGGCAGCGTGACGCGACTCCAGATTCTTCGGTATAGCGAACACGAAGCGCTCGTGCGCGCGGATAGCAGTAGCGTATCCTCCCTGGGTGACAACACCGTCGGGGTATTCCGCGTTCTGTCCAAAGGATCATGTTTAGCGTAGCCATGGACCGTTGAACCGTCAACACACACGTATGTGTCGATCTGTTCCGGGCAGTAGTTCTCGTAGTTCGCGTCGCAGCGTTTGCAGTTCAAGCACGCTCCAATTTGCGCGCCGACTCCCACTCTGTCTCCCGGCTTGAACCCCGTCACCCTGTCCCCTACGCGCGTCACAGTGCCGACGATCTCGTGGCCCGCGATGAGCGGCAGCTTGGATTCTCCCCAGCCTTGCGTGAGTGTGTGGAGGTCTGAGCCACATACGCCGCAGTGGGTGATCGAAATCTCGATGTCCTCTGGCTGGAAGTTCTTCGGCTTGAACTCTACCACCTTGAGGTCGGACCAGTAGGATGGATCTACGAGGCATTTCGCGGTAAATGAATGCGCGTAGATGCAAAAAAAAGTATAAATTACCCGTAAGCGCATAACCTTTGAATTGGAGCGAGCTGGACATCTTTGGTGGGGCTAGGATACGTTGACGGGGCGTTGCTGGTCCGCGGGCGGTCTATGCGGCAGACTTATATACCTCTCGAAAGAAGCAGGCCTACCGACGTCATTGCGTCGAGCGACGGTCGTGGAATGACGCGTCGACACACAGGAGAGACGTGAGGTGTACGACGGCGCCACGCAGGGCGTTCATCGAGGTAGGTGAATTGCCAAGAATTGCCCGAAGAGAAAACGCCATGACATGCATTGAAACTCGGGGCCGCGTGGAGCGATCTGTCCACCTGCCGGCCTCAACCGCATGTAAATGGATTGTGTAGCCGGCCAGCACGCATTCGAGCGCCGCGAATGGCCAAGGAAGGAAGTGGTAGCTGCGGCCGCTTCAGTGTTGTGGGCGGGAGCGACGATCAAAGCGCAGAGGCCGAAGTCCTGGCCCACGCCGCGTAAGCTCTCACCGACGTCCCGCAAACGCACTGGATCGCCGATTAAAGGGTCGATGACGTAGCAAACGCATCACCTCAGCGCGAGCGAGTCCCCGGAACCGGAGGGACCAACAACTGGCCAGAGTAGAGCCGTCGCTCTCACGCAGAACCGGACGGAGCACACAAGTCCACACATGTGCACTGGGCCTTGCTCCTGGCGCGCTGGACACATACAGTCGACGCGGAGTACAGTTTGAACGCCGTCAGCGTCTCCGCGCACGCTGAAGAGCACCCATGTTAAATTGGCGCGGCGGGGAAAATATAGTTAAACACACCTTTCTCTCATCCACACTTCGAACGTCGACTCGGACGGAATATGATATCATCATCTAGAGCCTCGACAGCTTTCTGCTGCCAGAGGGGTCGCTTCCGTGCCTCATGAGTGTGCGTGTTGAGGGGTTGGAAGAGCGCAGGGTTGATCAGGCAGCATAAAAATATTTGCAGGTAAATTGCAGAGGCCACACAGTGTGGTAGACAGGGCCAGGGACAACGAGCGACGCCAATGGGATGGTGGTGGCGAAAGCAGAGAGCGGACGCAGAACGAAGCGCCCAAGCGATCCAGGCCCCCGCCCAGCCCTGCGAGACGGAACTTTGTGAGCGGCTCGAGGAAATCGAACCGGTGCGATTCAAGGAACCCGCTAGAAACTGCATGCATCTCATGCGAATCGCGGTAGACTGCATTCTGCAACGACTCTTCAGATATTGGCCCCCTCACTCATGTCTTACACCAGTTTTATGTATCTGCTCCCTTCAAACAACGTACGAAGGAGTATTGCCAATCTCTCGCATTCCCCCCGCCTCGTCAACGTGCCTCCCGGTAGCCTTCCCATGGACTGCAAGTACGGCCTATTACACGCTTCACGGGAAATCTCACCGGACGCACTATTTGAGTGACTTGAATTGCTTGTCCCGACGAATTGACGTCGTGTAAAAAGCGGAGGACTCCGCGGCGTTCCTGACGGCCCACCATGCCCGTAGACCAACCTCATGTTTACGAACGTTCAGGGTAGCTCAGAGCTTAGCGCGCTATGAGGAGTATCGATTTCCTCTCTTCAAACGGCTATACGCCCGTCCGGCGGAGATCGCGGCTTCCGTGCATGATGTTCAGGCGGGACGCCCGCCTGACAGCCCTCCCGACGATACGGCCAATTCAACGCGCGAGGATAGCAATGTGTCGTTCACTCTGGGCTACACGCTGCTGGTAGAGGACTTGCCTGCAGAGTTAATGTCGCACGTTGCGGCGAGGTCTGTCCCATACAGGCATGTCATTCGCTCCACGCATTCTCGGCGGGAGCAATTCGCTGACGCAGCGCGGTCTTTCTCCGGGGACGGTCGCCCCGTACAAGCGGCCCTGCAGATAGGCTTCGTGCTGCGATGTCACCTCAAAGCAAAACCTCAAGGCAGTACGAACGCCGTGCGACTACGAGGGCGTCCTCGGAGGATTTGGGGTGCACTTCGGGTGAATTATATCGAAAGAAGTCGCTGGTCACTAAGTGAGGGTAGCGACTGTGCGGCAGAGAGGACCGTTAGTGCGTTCTGGCCAGACAGAGCTGATACCAGTGGCAGCAGCAGCGATGGCACCTCGCCGCCTCGGGTACGACCTCCCTCAGCTGGCCAGATAGCCGTGCGCGCCGCTCCATCTCGGTGCTTCCAATCGCCAGCTTTGGACGAGGCCCACCGTGCGGACCGCCGCGCATGCGCGGCGCCGTCACATGCGCGGGCACGCCCACCCGCTCGACGTGCCCGCCTAGCGAGAACGCGGGGAGGCTCCCTCGCCTGCTTCTCCCATACGTCTTCATGCGCCACGCCCAAAATACACATGACTCGAACTGGCTTCGCAGCGGACGTGGAAGTCGATGGGCGGGGGAACGTGGCGTGCCGCGTCGCAGCGCAGCCCTGCCTAGGGCGCGATAGCCTCCCTCCGCTGCCTGGCAGCGTGGGCAGTGGAAGAGGCAGAGGACCTCCTCGGTGGGGACCTGACCGTCTCAGCGGACGCCCAGCACGGGGAGGAGACCCCGTCCGAATCTTTCTTGAGGCGTGTAAGGTCGCCGGTGGCGGACAGTGCGTCTTCGACCCAAGAGATACGAGTGCATGCCCGAGCCATTGGCCAAACGTTAAATTTGATCGGGAGATAGGCCCAACGAAAACACAACGACCCGCCGCGGCGGCTGGCCAATGCAAAAACTGAGGTACTCACCGCTGCCATCTAAGACGCGATTAAGGACGCTACGCGGAATTGCGGACGACACCGTAGCCAAATGTCAAGGAGGTCCGGCTGGGGGTGGTGATGTCAACTACATACGGCCCCATGTTCGTCGTTGGACATGAGCTCCACCTGTGATCGGTTGCCAGAACGTGTTAGGCATCTTCAGCAGACAGACCTCTTGAAACGGTACGGCGGTGATGCTGTTGGTCATATTGACGAGGTTTTCAGTCGAAGCGTCATAGGGATACGAGTGATTGGACCCCAGCGGCCGAGAAAATTATGATAGCGGGAATAATCTGCGAGACGATCAGCTAGATTGGCTGGTGTAGCTGTCTCCGTAGGCGTTAGGGGCTGCCACAAAGGGGGGAGGGGTAGGGCGGGAGATGCAACCACCGACGCGACTCCACTCAGCGCTCAGACTCAGAGTCAGCGCACATGTCTCCGCCAGCGCCTACGGGTAACTCCGACTCAATGTGGCACCAGCTGTCCGTTCTTGTCCACGACAACTTGGAAGCGGGCAATGACCTGCCGTCGTACTCAAATTTTATGTACATCTACGGTAAGCCCTGCCGTATTGGGGTCATTTGTAGGACAGAAATCGCAAGACCACCACCTCTGAGTCTCTCCACAGAAGCCACGACGTTATTCGACCACGAGCCCGGTGTCGAGGAGTCGGTGCTCGATTCGCGCCTCGTTGGTGGCCACGACGCCGGCCCTGGTAAGCCACACGTGCCTCTCATTTCCACTTCTGATACCAGTAATGTCTCATTAATCCCTGCAGACCTGTAAGACCTGCCAGCTCGGCACGCTTCCTGTGCGACTCTGCCGCACATCGGATTCAGAGGTCGCCCGTTGGGTTTTCCGCCCCGTCACACGTTGTACATGAAGCCTTCTCATCTTCCATCGGCTCCCCCGACCCCCAGCGACAGCGGTAGCTATCTGGCTCTAGGCGCTCCAGACAAGACCGCGAATCATCCAGAGAGGCCACAATCGAGCTCGAGCCGAGCGTCGCTGCACACCGTAAGGAGATCTACTTCCCCCGCTTTCCAGCATGGTCTAAGTATTCCGTCATATAGAATGATCTCCCCGCCCGTAGATGACGCTCCTGCCCTGGAAGTCCAGTGCTACAGTTTCCCAACGGCGCTCGCGTGCGCAAGGGCGTGCTGGCATGTTTACGTGGACATACCATGTTCTTCACGCCGCTTTGCCCTGAGAAGTTGCGGCTGGAACGGGCGCAATTTGTGCGGCCTGACAGGTCGTATCCTCCAGCGGAAGGAGTCAAGCGATCAGCGGCGCGAGGCCGTTTTCCGCGGGAGCAGCTCCGCTCCAGCCTTGGCAGGCCAGCAGCAACCCGGGGCCTATCGCCCAGCTGTAGTGAACTGCGTCATGTACCGCAGCGACTCAATAAGCCGTTCTGCAAACCGGGCATGGTGCGCAGATCCCTATCGCTGGTTTAGCCCGCTGACAGTCGTTCAGAGATATATTGCGCCGATTAGCCAGCCCATTGGTGGCGGAATATCGGGCAATTCTATATAGATTATCGAGCGCATCGCCGGGGCGGCCTAGCGAATGGAAATCCCACTGCCGCGATCCTTGCGCGGGCAGGGCGAGCCTCTTGCCTTTGAAGACGGGCGCCCGCCAGGGCGCGTTTACCGGCCGATAACGTTCTGCGCAAGCAAGGGACTATTCGCTTTCCGGGCATAGCACCCGTGGTGCTGTGGTGAAGAGCGACGTACGAGACGCCCCTCGCGATCGTCACCCTGCGTTCTTGTCCAGCAAAAAGCATAACGCGTGCAGTAGCTGGCACCAGACGATCTTCCTCGGGCGAGTGAGGCAGGACTGCATGGTGCCCCTGCGCTGTGTCGGCTGCGCGGCCGAACCTTGCGGTCACTTGGTCAGTGGGCCGTCCGTACGAGTAAGGCGGGCTGCCGAGACAGGCTCAGAAGAACGCCGGTAGGTGATCTGCCGGATGAACTGGAATGCTGCGCGTTGATCTACGACACATCCAGACTCCAAGAGTGCATACAGGGCCTGTGGTCTGCAGGCCTCATGGGCAGACTCGCATGTCCGCTACGCGGAGCGGCAGGGCCAGAACGACATGGACCGGGCTGCTAGCCGCGCGGCGCGCCTCCGGGGAGTACGTGTCGGGCGGCGCCTGTGCTAGATCGCGATACATATAAGTCCGAGGGAAAGCGGAGACGAGAACGCGAATATAAAGACGCACCCCGCCTAATTCCCGGGACGCGGCGTCGAAGGCACGCGCTGGAAGCAGACGGTGAGGCTTTCTCTTCGCTTCTCCCACCGCAGAGTTATGCGTCACTCGTGCGGCCATCGTCTCTCGCGTGCGGTCGCCGTCCCACAGGCGCACGGCGAAGCGGGGGCTCGCTGGGCTGGGCCTCCGCTGCGCCGTCGTGGGCTCTGCGGCCACGCGAGTGTGCCCATGATGGTCGCCTCACGTTCCGGGGTCGCCGAGTGCCGTTCCGTCTACTGCCTCCGTGGGGCGGAACTGCAGTCTGTGCAGATGCCATTTAAGGCGAATATCGGCTACCGAGGGTTATCATATCCGCCATCATCTGCACAGAAGGCTGCACGAGCTCCATGCCTCTTCCCTCTGCCGTCCTGCGCGAACATTGGCCCTCCTTACGGCACGTCGGCGGCTTTGCAACACACCTGACTCTGCGTCCGCGCTGGAATCTATTGCGCTCCTGCTCGGCCCCCCGGAATCCCTCCAAGATCCCGGCCTCTAGGCGCGAACAGCGCGTTATCAGATGCAGACCACCCGCGAACGCTGGATGCGCCACCTTGCTTCGCTTGCGCGCCCCGCTGCCCCTGTGTCAGTCCCGGCCAGTCGACCCGCATTTGCCTAGAGCAGATCATTTCGCAAACCAAGCTCTCAGGCTGGCGCACCGCTCGCATTGCGATTCGCACACCAGGCCGTTGCAAGTGCCGCACATGCCCCAGGGCTGGCGAGTTCCCGGCGACAGTTCTTCCTCGCCTCTCGTCCGCTCGATACGATATGGTTCGCCCCTTGTCAGAAGCGCAGCGGTCCGAAACGGACGTGCGCCTTTGCCGACCGCGGTGCACATGAGTCCCCAACTGGTTGAGGTGATCATCGCTTCGAATCCACCTCCCTTTCGCCCACGATGCCGGCGCACGATGTGGCCTCGGTCGCAGGCACACGGGGGGACGCGACTTGTATAAGTCCGCGTGCGAGAATCGGAGCGGCATCTTGTCCCCCGCGCTCTGCCCCACTTCGCGTTCGCAACTCCGCCCAACCTCTTTCTCCCCGTATGGCACAAATCACCTTCCGCATCAACCCCAGGCCGTCGTACAGCGAGCGCATGACCGACGCGCGCGCCGAGCTGCGCAAACTCATCCGTGAGCAGCTATGCAAGTTTCTTTCACTCGCTCGTCACTCTGACCGTCCACCGAGTGCTGACCGCTGAACCGTCAACAGGCCAGATCACACATGACGCCGCCGCGACGATGTCGTGGAGCCGTCGGTCGTACATGAAGAACGTCGTGATGCGCTACCGCGTTCGAATCGAGGGGTGGCCGTACGCTGAGATCCCCTTCAGGAACCTCAGCGACGTGCCCAACCTCGGGAAGCTCGAGATGCTTCTGCGCGGCTGGAAGGACGGGTCGATTCGATTCGTCCGCATAACCGATGAACAATACTACATCATGGCCGCAGATCCAAGCCCCTGGATCGGTCCTCTTATTGTTGGAGACGCAGAGGAGACTGAGGACTGAACACATGCAGCGGAACTCCACAATAACTTGCTCGACACGCCCTCTCTCTCCCGTGAGCGATACGCTGCCGCCATCCATTCCCCGAGATCCGCCACTGACCCGCGTGCATCCTGTGCAGCTTCTCCCGTCCTCAACGCCACGCGGGCATGCGCGAGCGCGACCTGCATTGTTTTCGGTTGCTGTTATTGTACGCTTTCTGCTTCCGGATCGACAACGGATCATCCGTCCGACGGTGTCGCTGCTTTCATACACGTAGTACGCATCTGGCATGTAGTCTCCACGCTTTCAAAGTCGATTGCTGTGCACCCCGGATCGCAGATGCCCGACAAGCTCCCTCGCTGCCAGCCCAGCCAACCAGGGATGGAGTTGTTATGTAAGGGCGGAGTCAATCTTCGGTCCTCTCCGTCTCGTCCCCGTGCGACTGAGGTACGGACAGCCGCCCACCTTTCCAGCACAGCGGGCACTCATCCCGGGTTCCTGTGCAAGGGGGGAGTACAAAATCGGACTCAGAACGTTGGCGCATCACGCCATTCAAACCTGGCTGCTCGAGGGCACTCCGCTTGTCACTTACGACTCAGATCCGCCCACGACTGCCATTCAGTCAATTGGGGCGACTCGGCGACATCGACCGCAGGACGGCTATCTGACAGCCACAATTACAGCTGGGCGATCCGCTCGAGATTGGGCCGCGGGCCCTTCCCGTCCTGCGCGTTCTTGAGCACGTCGTGCCCGATCGCACCCGAGTACGCGTTTGCGCGCATCCAGCTCTCGACCGTGTGCGCGCCCGGGTGCACGCGCCGGACCCACTCGAGGTCGCGCGTGACGATGTCGTCATGGTACGCCCGCCAGAACCGCGTAAAGGTCTCCTTGAACGAGATGGTGGTGTCCGGCGCGACCGGCCGCGCGATGTCGTCCTGGTCGAAGAGCGCAAACCAGTCCTCGTTCGAGAGCGCCAGGTACTCCGCCTTCTTGCCCGTCACCGCCGTGAACGTCGCAACGAGCTTGTCCCAGCTCACTACATCCGAGGCGACCTCGAGTTCCTGGGCGGACGTCGTCCCGCGATTGTCGAAGATGTACCGCGCAAAGAAGCCGAGGTCCGAGAGCGCTATCAGCGGGACGTGGCCTTTCCCGAGCGGAATGGCAAATACGTGGGTACCGTCCGGGCGTACTCGCAGCGGCCCGAACATGCCCTGCGACACATCGTCAGCGTTAGTGCGGCGATAGACAGCGCAGTCTTGGGCATATACGGACCGTCTTAAGCATATCCATGTAAGGAGCGGTGCTGAGAATACTCCATGACATGTTGTCATCACTGACGACGGAGTCCTGGGCACGCATCCAGTCGCTCACGCGGGCCTTGCCGGTGTAGTGCGCACTGGCGTACAACGGATTGTAGTCGGTCTTCTGCTTAGACCGCGTGTCAGTGAAGATCGGATCCGTGGGAAGACGGAACCACGGACTTTGTTGATGTTGTCAAGACCACTCCACACGTAGTGCCTCACGGTTTTGAGTTGTTTCGCGATTTCGAAGATGCGAATGCCGCAGAAGGTTTCCTTCTGCTCGCCGATGGAGAAGCTGTCCGTGTTGACGAACGCGCCATATACGCCGTGCAATGCCGCGGCGACGCTGTCGAGATCATCGGTCGTGCCTACATTGTCCAACGTTTTAGGTAGCCTTGAGAAAGTCGGTGTGCAGGGACTCACCCTTGACGACCTCAACACCCCGACTAGTCAGATCCTTGGCACGCTGGCTTTGGGGATCGCGAGTCAAGGCTCGGACAGCATATGGAGATGGAGAACCGTCCGCGGACGGCTGCAAGAGTCCATCGATGACGGCGATGCCTTGTGCTCCGGTTGCGCCGATAACAAGGATGATCTTCTTGGAGGTAGACATCTAGATTTTGCAGGGTGGCGAGCTATTGTGGTACGGATTCTGCCTATAATCATGGAGACTTATATGCACATGGTGCGTCGCCATGACTGGCTGCATTGTACACTGCCAAGCCTCAGACTGCGATGATGGAAAGCTAGATTACAAAGAGCACGTACTGGATTGTTCAGCCCCTTGAAGCCGCGCAGTAGCTGACAAACCACCAGGAGCCTGGCTCGCCAGTGTGCTCGCTCCGCTCATCAACAACGTGGAGGACTATGTACGTCATAACCCATTCAAGACGTCCTAATCTTACAGAATAAGAAAATGTACTCACACGCGAGTTTGACCGGAGCGTGCATAACCTGACACCTGACAAACTTTGTGATCAGCGATCTGCTGCACACTGAGGTCAGTCGAGGGACGGGATAACGTCCGTCGCCCAAGGGGAAAGCCGACTCTACCGGTTCACATAGCGGCCTTTCTACCAGTGGCCGGTCCTGGCCATGCCCTCCGAAGTAGCTACACACTAGCTAGCCGTCACGTCCCACTTCGCAAGCTAACTGCGACCTCGCGAAGCAGGCTCCAGAGGATAAATCAGCAGAGCTCCGATATCGAAATCGTCATACCATACGTAGTTTCTGAGTGACGTGCTGGACAAACCTTCGGGAGCCTCGTTCGCCAGAGCCTGAGCCTAAGCACGGGTTTTCACCTTCAAAAATAGAGGACTGTCATTCCTGACCTAAGACGCCTCAGCTTCAGGGAACGATGGAAGGATCAAGTACTGACAAAGTTTGCATATGGATGCGTCTGGGGCTCCAGCAAGGAGTATAAAGAAGTTCATCTCACGCGCGTTATTATTGGATCCTTCGGTGGACCTTGAGTGGCCCAGAACCCTATCTCCAATATGCACATAGCCAACTTTGAGCGCGTATCGAATACCTTGTTTCACCGATCTTTTCTTGTGAGATGTGGGGTAGCGCGAAGCGGAAGCGAAGCTTTGAGGCATCGATAAACTGGAATTATCGTATATCGTATACATAGCAATCATGGGCGACCGGCAAGTTCCCGGTCTGTGCATTTGGACGCATTGGTCGACGGGGAACACGGAGGGGATGCTTCTCTTCTTCTCTCGTCAGCACTGCGTCACACGTGGTTGTACCCTTTAGAGTGCTCACCGTTTAGTCGATATCCTGCGTAAGCACGTAGCGGTACCGTACTTTGTTGTCCTTCACGTTCTGCAGTGCCTGCCCGACCTCGCGCATAGGAAGTTCCTCGATCCAAGGCTTGATGCCCTTAGAGCGCGCCAACTCCAGCATCTCCAGACATTCCTTCTTGCTGCCGATCTTGCTACCTCCCAAGAGACATCCGCTGGGTACGAGGTCGAATGCGTGAATGGAGGGAAGCGGGTCGTCGGCGTCCGGCAGCCCAACAGTCACGAAGCGTCCATGGATGTAGAGCATCGACAGGTAGTGGCCCATTGGCGTTTTGTCGCCGAACATATCGCGGGTGGAGAGCAGGATGTCGAGCTTGCGTGCAAGATCCTTATGGAAATTCTGCAGGAGCGTCAGTGACGGTCACTGATACTGCGCAGTTCTCAGAATGGTACCTTTTTACCTGTATTCACGATGTGATCCGCGCCCATCTTCTTGATATCCTCCATCTTGCTGTCGTCATGGGTGAATGCGTATACCTCTGCACCCATCGCCTTCGCCCACAAGATGGCGTAGTGACCTAATCCGCCGATGCCCATGATGCCCACCGTCTTTCCCGGTCCCGCCCCATGAGTCTTGAGGGGAGAGTAGACAGTCAGCCCAGCGCACATCATGGATGCCGCGTCGCGCGACTCGATCTCAGCGGGTATGGGGAAGACAAAGCGCTCCTGTGCGCGAATCGCTGTGGAGTATCCGCCTTGGGCGACCACCCCATCGGGATACTCAGAATTCTGTAAGTAGCACACATCAGCCAAGTTTTGTCTCGTCCTGGTAATCAAAACGCACGTATGTGTTGATGCTCTTCGGGCAGTAGTTCTCATAGTCTTCCTTGCACTCCCGGCACTCCAGGCAACTGCCACGCTGTGCGCCGACTCCGACGCGGTCTCCGGGTTGAAATTCCGTCACCTTGTCCCCGACGCGGGTGACGGTGCCGATAATCTCGTGGCCAACGACAAGGGGGAGCTTGGTTTCACCCCACCCCTGAGTAAGCGTATGCACGTCTGAGCCGCAGACTCCACAGTGGGTAATGGCTATCTCGACGTCGTCGTCTGCGAACGATTTCGGCTTGAAATCGATGACTTTGAGGTCGTTCCACTTGGCAGGATCTAAGGAAGTCAGTGTCGCACAGAATTGCAGCGAAAGCGCGGCCCTCACCTGCCAATGCGTACCCCTTGAATTGCACAGTCTCTGAAGGCATGTCACGACGCTTGATGGGGAGGTTGGGGACGCTGAAAATGCTGGGGGTGGTTGGGGGGGGGATGAAGGAGCGTTCGAGTTCTGTCTCGCAGTAGGCTCGCTTTATAAGGGGCAGAGAATTCGGTGACATAGCGTGATGTTGTGGGGCCAGACTTCGTGACGAGGTGCTCGAAAGCGAAGACAGCGTCGCCCATGTCCATATACGGCGATGGGATGACCCATTTGAGACTTAGCTATGGTAGACAGTCAATCGTGTAACATGCCGCCAAACCAAAAGGATGACATGTATCGCCATGATACGAATCCGTGCGCGCTGCTCACTAGCACTGTGGGGTGGCCCAGGTAAGATGAGTGAGACGGAAGAGGTTGATTCGGAGCGTACTGTGCAGGCTAAGTTAAATGATGGTCTGAAGGACGGGCTGAGAAACAAACAAACTTACATATAATTACATCCCTAGATCTTCCGCGCCGTGAACAACGATTATGCTTGCCAGGCCCTCGCGCCAGAGTGGTGTGTTGGCGTGGATTGCGGCAAAGCCACTGCCATCTAGCGCCAGCGTTAACGTTCCGTAGAATGCTTCGGAGTGGACGGCCCGTACTCCGGAGCCGCCGGAGCGCGCTTCAGTTGCACGCGAAATGGTCTCTCGATCTTTCTCTCGCTCTCCCTGAGTCTCTCAATCCTATATTCTGCTGCTGCCTCAAACTACGCCAAAGACCTACTAGATCTTTCTCTCGTCGCAATACCACATCGTTCAGCAGGGTAAATCCGAAAGCGAATACCGCCCGTCCTCCAGAGCCGTCCTACCATGCCGCCAGCAGGAAGGCGCATAGGAGATGATTTCGTGGACGACTCAGACTCGGACATTGATGTCGACTTGTTCGATGACGAACCGGGCAGATCGAAAGGAAAAGGAAAGGGCAAAGCCGCGGAGAAGCGGAAGCAGGACAAGGGCAAAAGCAAGGCCAAAGAGGTGTGGCGTGAACGCACCAGAGCTTCGGTCGCACACTTACGACAACGTGCAGCAAGGATACGCTTGGGAGGCAACTTACGTCCGCTCTTGGGACACTGTACAAGAAGATGAAGCCGGAAGCATACGGGGTTCCGTGCAAGATCTCATAGCGCGGGGTCGACGGAGAAGGTACGAGGCAATGTTTCAGCGTGTACAGGCTTATTTAAACACTGAATAGGTTACTTGCACCGGCTGCAGCTATCCGACGAACAATTATTCGTCAACTCGTGCTCGTCCTAGATCTATCCGCCGCCATGTTGGACCGTGACATGCGGCCTACTCGCTTTGATCTAATGCTGCAGTACGCAAGAGAGTTTGTCACGGAGTGGTTCGACCAAAATCCTCTCGGTCAGATTGGAATAGCGGGAATGAGGGGGGGCCTCGGCGAGAGAATAGGCGAGATGTCCGGTACGCGTCCCTCAATATATACGATTGCGCATATATCGACGGATCCTTCCAGGGAATCCTCAAGACGTCCTCAAAGCTATCTCAGAACGGCATAGGCTTGAACCTAATGGAGAACCAAGCCTGCAAAATGCGATAGAAATGGCGCGGAGCAGCATGAGGTTCATTCACCTATGCTCAAAGTTTGCATATATAATAACGCACTTCCTTACAGTCATTTGCCAACACATTCATCGCGCGAGATCCTAGTCATCTTTGGGTCACTCACGACCTGCGATCCTGGAAACATTCACGACACAATGGATGAATGTGTCAAAGACCGAATACGCATTTCGATAGTGGCACTCGCTGCGGAAATGAAGATTTGTCGCGACCTATGTGATAAAACAGGAGGTATGTGATGCCATTCCTTCGATCTGGTTTGCAAACTCTCACAATCCACAGGACAGTTCAGTGTCGTGATGAATGAAGGTCACTTCAAGGATCTGCTTTTCGAACTCATCCCTCCTCCGGCGCAACGCGCCGTTGCGCGAACTGGTAGCGGGGTTACCGCGAACCCCGCGGCAGACCTCATGATCATGGGATTTCCGATGCGTCTTCCAGATACCTCTCCTCCGTCATTGTGCGTATGCCACTCGCAAATGAAGAGCGAGGGCTTCCTGTGCCCACGCTGCCTCGCGAAAGTATGCGACGTCCCGACCGACTGCGACATCTGCGGTCTGATGATCGTCAGCTCCCCACATCTGGCACGGAGCTATCACCACCTCTTTCCTGTCAAAGCCTACCAAGCAGTGTGAGTTTCCGGAGCTTAGCGCATCTCCTTCTTCTCTTCTTACATCTGATGTGAAATTTCGGTTGACTAACGTCCAACGGTTGAAATTAGGAACACACTGGAAGATACGCTGAATCCCAGCAAACAGTGCCACGGGTGCTCGGTAGCGTTCAGGGGGACGCCCTCTGTCGTGGCGGGTGCTTCTGGGGAGGGTATGAGCCCGTTCGGGCGGTATCGATGTCCCGAGTGCCACAACGACTTTTGCACAGATTGTGATGTGTTCGTGCACGATGTTGTCCACTGCTGCCCTGGTTGCGGCCAATGATCACATGGCCAATGGCCATATTGACCATCGCTTCACTGGACACCGGAACGTTCTCGTTTTCTTGCGTGTACGTTCATCCGCTGTCTCTTTGAAACATCACTACGCCATCCGCAGGTCCACAGAAGCGTTCGGTGGCAGGCACCGGTGACGCACTCATTGGTCGCTCTTACGCCGTCCCTAAGTTATGCCTGTGGGTGCGCGGTTGTGTCACTGACTTTAGCTCGACTTCCCACAGCGAACTGCCTTACAACTCCGCCATCAAGCACAAGGTTCCCCCCTTGGCTCCACTCCGCCCATCATTCATCCCGGTGTCCCCATACAAAACATAGCGCCTTCCAGTCAAGAGATCCAGCGGTCGAACCCAATTGCAAGTCCGCGTCTTATGAGCACCGACGATCCCTCGTTTTTCCTCCCCGCGCTCGTGCGAACGATCGTGCCGAAGTAACGGCGCGAGCACAAGAAGGCATCCAGGCCCGGCCGACACCCTCACTTCCTGCTGGCTGGGAACGCCGTGTGCGGGGTGCCATACCACCGAGGACCAGGAAACGAGGGCCGCTGTCATCTAGCCGTTGTGCCGCCGAACACCACGAATCGAGGGCCGCCGTCAAAACGCCGTCGCGCGTACGTACATACGGTGCTGCGCGTAGCTCACACAAGGGCATCTGGACCCACAGTGCGTCGCACGCGCCGAGGTGCCCGCGCCCCACCCGCGCAGTGCATCGCGGCCGCGAGGATGCGCTAGCGCTTCTGGAGACCGCGGTGATCGCCCGTCGCCTTCGCTCTGCGCTGTTGGATCGGTGGTCGCTGTTGCAGTCTGGACATGACGCCGGATATGATGTGAGCTTCTCCATTCTAGCCTCGGTGCCCATGCCGTCAAGGGCCCCGTCGGTGAGACTTGAGCCGTCGGTGATACGGTCATGTTGAGCGTACGACCGATGAATCGCAGAGATACCAGCTTAGAGAGACGCTCACGAAGCGTTGGATCCCCGAACGTTCGAAGTCCGAAAATTTGAACGTTTGAACGTTGAGCTTGAGCCGCGCAATAACGTTTTGGAGCTTTGAACCAAGCTGTGCATATACAGTAGTGAATTTGCGACTACGCTTCAGGTGCTTACATATGATCCGAGGTGCGCTGGGACTGGTAGACTTGACCAATATTGCGAGCTCGTTGAGTGGTTCTGTACTGCAGCGGGATGCCCCTTGACTACGCTTCATTCTCCAAGCAGGATTTTGCTGGCGTAACCTCCGCTAACCTCCGCTGAATAAGGGGGCCCCCTTCTTCTCCTCCCGGTCTTGATCATTAACACTCAAAGACTTTGGGGTGAGAACACACAGTCCACCGAAACGCTACCTACACGCCGAGAAAAAATGATCATGACCGATCTGTCTCAGGCGGTAGACCATAGCGGTGGAATGGCTTGCCCAAGAAGACCACAGCCATGCTCGGGGTGCGTTCCAGGGTACTACCTCAGCGGAGTTATGGTGTCGCATGCACGTCTTCGCCAGCGGTCCGCGCGCGCATGGGATGCCACCGTCCGTCTGTCGGGGGCGTTTCACCTTGCGCGCTGTAGTGCTCGAGAGACGCCCGAATGGAAGCGCGAAGCAGCAAAAAGAAATTGAGATTCCCCATATGCGGGCTCGGAGTGTGAAGTGGGGATTCTTAGGAGATAGACGAGTCTTCATGACCATATCCTGGAATTGAAATACGTCTGCGTATGCGGAAATTGGACTGCTCCAATCTGTAGTCGCACAGATTAGAAGACGCCAAGCGCCTGTGCTGGGGAGCTTGGAGCCGGTACGTTAACTGCCCACAGTCTCCTCAGGCCGCTGGGCATGGGAAGGCAGAAGAGACAGGAATCGAAATGGTTGGATCATCGATGAGGGGAAAGCGAGTGAGTGGAGGTGGAGATACACGACATATGAGATATAACGGATCTATACGCGACCGACACCTGTGTCCGATGCCCACGTGTGACCACTGCTCGTCAATCACGCTGCCTTGTACGGCTTGACCAGCAGAGGCAACTGGAAGCCCTCCTTGGGCGCAGAGCGCAAAGAAGGCCTCTGCAGCGGAGCAGTCTTGGTGCAAATATCCTCCACCGGCACCGCGAACTCGAACTCAAATGCACGAACAAGAGCAAAGAGGAGAGCCTTCGTCCTAAAGAAGAGAAACAGCTTTAGTGAATATCAGCGACATGAGCGATTATACGTACTCGACGAGAGAGAAACGATATCCGATACATGCGCGGGGACCGCCAATGAAGGTGAGGAGATGGCCCCACACGCCGGGCATCGCAGAGATGGACTCGGGAGGCTGGTCCCACCGCTCGGGCCTGTGGCAAATGTTTGCTATTAGCCTGATTGCAACACCTGCATGGGATGCACAGTGTCACGTACTTGAACTCTAGGACATCTTCTCCCCAAATCGCCTTAGACCGATGCGCTGCGAGGATAGGTATAACAACCTTGTTCCCCTTCCCGATACTGGTGGCGATCGCAATACCGAGGTCAGGCTGGCGTCGAACGTGAACTGCCTGCACACTTACGGGATTTCGTGGTGCACCTTGCCGTACTTGTCGATGAAAGGCTCGTCCAGGGGGATCACGTCGTCCTTCTTTGCCTCGCGGACGAGCAGGGTTACGGGCGGGAACACGCGGAGGAGCTCGTGCACCACATGATCAAGGTAGGGGAGGGCATTGAGCTCTTCCATAGTCGGGGCGTCCGTATCGACAGACAGAAGCTCCTCACGAAGCTTCTGTTGCACCTTCGGGTACTTGCAGAAAGCGTAAAGAGCCCACGTTGTGGCGGTGCTGGTTGTCTCATGCCCAGCCAGGAGGAAGCTTTCCAAACTCAAGTCAATGACTGACGTCAATAGCAACGTACTCGGCTTACGTTGGGATTTCTATAACACGAGGACGTCAATCAGTATCTATACGGACCTGGCCATGAACATGTACTCACGGCCCATGACGTCGGCGTCCGTCATTTTCTGGTCCCCGGGGATGTCGGTAGCCATGTTCGCCTTGATGAGAAGCGTCAAGAGATCCCGCTTCTGCAAGTCTTTGCGTTCGATATCGTGGTGCTTCTCCGCCGCGGCTTGCAAGACCGAAGCTTTCTGGTCGGCAACAATCTTTCCTCCGATACGGCGGATTGAAGCCGCAGCACCGTTGAGCGCCTTCAAGCGCTCATTTGGCTAACGTCGATGACGGCAGCGTGAGCTCGCGATTTCCGGAAGATGGAGGGACTGAACACGGGCGGCTTACCAGCATCTTGAGGAAGGGGAACCAAGCCGATAGGTAGCCGAATAGGGAGACGGGCCGGAGGTTCGCGAAGAGCTGGCGGAAGGCAGCGTAGAGCTCGTTGGGCTTCTCACCACCGTCCAGTGTGTGGAAGTCGTAATTGAATCCTGTTCGCAAGTAGGCATCAGGAGAGGAGTTCGGTAGTGCAGCAGGATGCTCGAAGCGTACCAGCCATCCCAATGATGTCCAGAGTAGCCTTACTCAAGTCCCGGTTCACGTTCACTCTAGCCAGGCCCCCAGCCTTCGATGCCGCTTCCGCCCAAACATCGCGGAGCTATGATGTGGGCAAGCGAACGTGAGTTAAGGTCGATTATCATCGTAGCATGAGACAGACCTGGGTAGCCTTCTGTACGAAAATTTCGGTGAGGTCGCGAACCTGCGCAGGCCCGAACGCTGGGTTCTGAAAAAGCACGTGAGCAAATGCGTATATCATTAAAAATAGAGTATTTACGAGGATTCTCCTCTGTGAGCAACCAACGAGTAGTCAGTACAGGAGACCCGTGGAAGGATGACGCAAAACATACCTGTTGCCTGTGTTGCTCCCCTATTTTTTCGACACATGAGCACCTCGACGAACTCAAGCTTGTGATACTTCAGTACTGACCTTGCACAACGAGCAAGCCTAAGGGAGGAGCACAGCGTTACGATCAGTCATGAACATCAGGGAGACTAAAAGATCGCTTGCCTTTCCCGAAGAACTGGACGCTCTGTCTAAGGTTCTCCTCCGCTCGGGCGTAATCGACAGAGTGAGTGAGGATGTGATTGATAGCCCGGGTGTCGAGCGTCCATAGACGCGGCGTCTAAGTTACTCGCGTAGTGAGTATCGGGTGTGAATATATAGGACACCAATCCACTCGAACGCTCACCAGGAAGAACTCATGGTCGACGAAGTTCTTTCCGTACTTGGTGAACCATTGGTCGGGCAGGGAAGACCCTTCCACCTCTTGGATCTCTTTCAGATTGCCGTATACGAGGCTGGCCACAGGAGGGCCGGGGAGAATCCGTAGCGGCGTCCTGTATACGAAGCTCACGAAGCTGTAGGCCCGCCAGACAGCGTACGCTGAGACTGCGAAGATCACAGCGAGAACGTCCGGAGACGTCACAGAGAAGTTGTGGAAAAAGGTGGGAGAGAACGCCATGGTACTGCAGTTGGGATTAGAGAAGGAACGAGGCAGTTGCTGTCAACTATGGGAGGAGAACGAAGAGTCGATTGGCTGACACTCACGTCTCCAATGCACCTTATATGCACCGGACGCAGATGCCCTAACCGAGAGCTCACTCGCTTCTTGAGCGGGCGGACGCGGAGTCGCTCGGCGGGCCTCCGCGTTATGTCATCCCATATGTGTAAGGCACCTTGAAAGGAGAGAGAAGACCTTAAAACAGCGCAGAGACGCAGCAACGCGGGAACTCACCAGGCTGATCACCTGCAGATCGGACTGAAATGCCGTGCTGCGTCCGCTCATGTCGGGCGCTGGACGTTGCATACAGCTGTGCAGTTGATAATTTGGTCCTGGTACAGCAATGTTTGGTGTTTGCTCCGCTATGTCGCAGTGACAGCTGTCATGTGCACGTTCCAAATACAACGGCACTAGTTCTCGATTGTGACTTCAATGGAGCTGGAATTGCTATCAGCGTGCGCTTACAACGCTACTGATCCCGTATGACGAGCAAGGGCAGCACGGCACCCCTCTCCGTGGCAGGCCGCATCAAACGAATTACTGGTACGCGTCCATCTGTAGCTCCTCAACACCCCTTCCGTGTTTTGCGAATATGGATAATCAGCCGCGCGACTGAGAATAGCACCAGTAGTGCAGGGTTTGTGGTTCCTAAGACGAATATATTCAAGAAGTCTTCGCGGTCAGGATGCCGAATGAACACGTAGCGTATGTGCCGCTGTCATCCGCTCGGCCGCACAGCTTGTACGGAGACGGGTAGCTTGAATGCTGGGGCGCGACTTGGCACGTATGCGCAGACGTGATTGTCAGTGGCTTCGGGGTGACTGGGCAACCCCCAAGGGGGCAGTCCTTGGGTTCTTATGATGAAAGTATATGCAACAGACCGGCTGACATTCTATGTGATTTGGAAGGTGGTACGGACCATCGCCAGTTTCAAGTCGATGTAGCAGAGCCGCAGCCGTGCGCGGATATGATTGTACGGGTTTGGATGTCTGGGTAACCCACCGCGTTACCTAGGTACGGAAAAGGAACGTTTTAGTTGTTGGACTCGCACGTAGCATTCGAAGGTACGTACTCTGGGGCTTGCATTGATTTAATAAAGGCTTCAAAACACGTCAACGTAAGTCTCTGAGCTGCGTATGACTGCGATTGGCACAAAGCCTTGGACGCTCGTCGAAAACTGAATACTTACCGCAGCTATCTTGCTTTCCCGATAACTTGAGGTGGTCTTTAGAGGGTTTCTCTGAAGTACGATTGAGCCGATACTGTATGCTGAGCGCTGAGCACTGAGCGGTGTGTGAAACCTTTTTCGACGGTTCATCGTGTCGAAGAGGGACTCAAGAGATGTTTGTCTATCATTATACCGGAATATGTGTCTCTGGCTCTACCAGCGCGTCGTAGGCGGAACTGTAGAGGATTGTGATTCTGAATGCCGTTTGAGCGTAGATGGTGGCGGAAGACAAGAGGCGCTGCAGTGCGCCCGGAACCGCGGAGCCGTCGCTGTGCCTCCGCGACTCACTCAGCCACCGCTCGACCTCCAACTCTCATGTGAGCTCAATCATCTCCCGTGCACTTTTGCAGTATCGACATTTACACGACAGAGCCTAACAGAGGCATGGACGCTGCACCCAACGGTGTTGCAGCCACGAAAGTGGACGATGAGCAGAGTCGTCGCGCCAAGCGCACCGCTCTGAAGGAACTGAACCTATCCGAAGCTGGGAAAGGTGCGCCGCGCTAGTTCATCTCGGTCAAAGGTACGGGGCGATTGATCTTGTTCAAATTAGAGCCTGAGAAGGCCCTCGACTCGTCCTTGAAGAGACATACCGCGCTCATCAAGCGGACGCGTCAATCCTTGGGCGTTGAGAACCACGACCAGATCGTCAAGGATATCAACTCGCTTTCGCTAGAGAAGTACGTGGACGAGATCGTCGGAGCGGTCGTAGAAGGCATATCTAGATGCAAGACGGAGAAAGACGTCTGGAGCGCGGTCGAGGTACGTCTCACTCGGCACCTCCCCTTGCCCCGTGCATCGTTCATTGCCAGGGCATGTAGATCATCTCCGCACTGCACCGTCGCTTTCCAAAGACTTTCACTCCTGCGCTAGTTTCGTCTCTGGCGGCCTCCCTTGCTGCGCCATCGCGGGCCTCTCTCGCGGCCCTGTCTCCCGAGCAGCGCGAGAAGGAAGATTCAACGCGGGTTTCGCGTCAACGTCCGGTCCTGCGTGTATGCGCGGAACTAGCCCTCGTCGGAATCATAAGGGATACGCCGGAGAGAAGTGGCGGGGAATGGATCATGAAGATAGTGCGGGATTTGGTGAGCCCCCTCCGCCGTATATGCGTCCTAATACTCATAGCATGCGCATCTAGTTATCTAATGATCCTTCACTCTCCTCACTCCCTCTACTACTGGTATTCTTGAAGTCTTACTCCAGACCATACCTAGGGATAGTACCGCCTGCAGCGTCGAAGCAGATCTCCGCTGCCGCAGAGCCAGGCACGCTCTCCGATGCCGCGAGCGAGGAAGCTTCACAGACGAATGGTGCTTTTCCCGCGCTTGCCAACGAGGAGGAAGAATTGGTCGAGAAGGAGATCAGGGACCGTTTCAAGAAGATGTGCGAAGGCTACTTCGACCAAGTGGCTAAGAAGTTGGTCATCGAACATAACGTGAGCTTGCACTATCCGTTTAGCGCGTGCAAGGCGTACTAAAAGCAAACACAGCGTCTGCAAGAACAGGATAGGCGCAATCATGAAGCATATATCCGCTCCGGGGAGATCTTCGAGGATCGCCAACAGGCGTACGAGAAGATGACCAAGAGCTACGAGAAGCTCCTTGCTAGTTGCCAGAGGTGCGTCAACGCAGCTTTGTACATTGACGTCATGTTCATGACTGGTCGCCTTATAGCCTATCTGAACTGTTGTACCTGCCAATGCCCACGCTGAAGACCGCTTCTCAGAAGACTGAGTCGATTCAAATAGGTATGAACACCGGTTCTAGCCTCTTTGGCGCGGACTTGGATGAGACAGCCGCAAGTGGTGGAAAATGGGAGGACGAGGAAGAGCGCCGCTTCTACGAAGAGATCCCAGATCTCAAGGATTACGTCCCTCGCAGCGTGCTGGGACTCGAGGGTGATAGTGACGTTGAGACGGTTGACGGAGAGGAGAAGGAGCGGATTGAGAAGGAGATGGTCGAGGAAGAGTTCCGGAAGCTGGAAGAGGAGCTCGCCGAGATGAAGATAGACGAGAATGGTCAGGTTGTCGGCAACGGCCGCAGCAGACAGATCGACGAGAAGGACGAAGAGGATGCAGACGAGTCCGTTCTTGAGTCTCCGCCTCACGCTAACACCCAGTACTGATGTCTGCGTTTAGTGCACCCACTCCGACCCCCGGGACGCCCAAGGAATCGCCCACTGCGACACCTCAGTTGGCACCTCAGGGCCCCTCACAGCTCCTCACAGCGCTTTTGGCACGGCTGCCAGACGCGACAAACCGCTCGCTAATCGACCAGGCAGCGGTCGATTTTGCCTTCCTCAACTCGAAAGCCGCGAGGAAGCGGCTTGTGAAGGTTAGGCACTTGATTCTTTCGAAAACATGAGACGAATATTAAGCCGTATCGCCAGTTCTTGGGGCAGATTCCCAAAAGCCGCACGGATTTGCTCCCTCATTACTCCAGGCTCATAGCCATTCTTGCTCGCTACTTGCCCGACGTCGGACAGGATGTTGTCGCGATGGTAAGCAGCATTGTTATAATCCTGCTTCGCGGACGCTGACCTTCTCCATAGCTCGACGAAGAGTTTCGGTATTTGCAGCGTAAGAAGAACGTCGTCAAGGAGCTCGCCGAAGTCCGATTACGCAATACCACTTTCCTGTCGAACCTCACCAAATTTGGCGTCGTGCCTCCTCACGTCATCCTGCATATGTTCAAGGTATGCTTGGACGACTTCTCCGGGACGAATGTCGAGAATCTCGCCTTGCTGCTAGAAGGATGTGGGCGCTTCTTGCTGAGAAGCGAGGATACTAGGGTCCCTTTCGGGAAGATGGTTTGTATTTTTGCCTCTCTTGTGGATGCACGGACTGCTGAACGGCTCGCAGATTGAGCTTATGCGCCGCAAGCAAAGCATGGCCCACCTCGACCAGAGGCAATTGTTGCTTTTGGAGAACGCATATTACCAAGTTTGTTGCACATGCACGCATATACTCAGCTTCGTTAACCTGCTGGACAGTGCAACCCTCCCGAGCGGACGGCCCGGCAAGTCAAGGAACGCACGCCTATGGAGCTGTTCATCCGCCACCTCATCTACGACGTCCTCACAAAGAAGACGGTCGAGAAGGTACTCAGGCTCATTCGGCGTTTGGACTGGAACGACCCCGTTGTCTTGCGCACGTTGCACAAAGTGTTCACGAAGCCGTGGAAGATCAAGTATGGGCAGATCCCGCTCCTTGCGATACTCGCCTACGATTTGCAACGTTATCACCCTGCGTTCTCGATCGGGGTCGTCGACCAGGTCATGGAGGATATCCGGCGTGGATTGGAGACCAATATGTATAGCATGAACCAGCGCCGGATCGCGTCTGCCAAGTTCCTCGGGGAGTTGTACATCTACAGGCTGATCAGCAGCGGCATCATCTTTGATACGCTGTGGACCCTCGTTACGTTCGGGCACCGTGAGCATTGCATTTTCATCGACCAACTATCACGCTGATGAACATTCACAGCGGAGGGTCGGCCCACTCCCGGCCAGCCGTCTCAGATCGACATGCCAGACGATTTCTTCCGCGTGCGGATCGTCTGCGTCCTGCTTGATACATGCGGGATGTGTTTCGACCGCGGCTCGCAGCTGAGAAAGCTCGACAACTTCCTCACATTCTTCCAGCTCTACATACTTTCGAAGGGGCCGTTACCGATGGACGTCGAATTTATGCTGTCAGACTCACTGGAGGTATGTGAGATGTGGGCGGGGAGACTGTGTGGAGCATCGAAGCTTACATTTCATGTAGGCAGTGAGGCCCAGGCTAGTCCTGTTCAAGACTTACGACGAAGCAGCGGTGGCTGTGGACGAGATGTTCGCCGTCGCGTACCAGAACGCCGGGAGTACGTTGATGATACGTTGATGACAGCCGTCAACAAGTGTTTGGGTACTGACCGTATATTTATTAACAGTCGTCAGAGATGGCGGAGACGACAGCGGTGAGGAGAGCGGAGAAGAGGATGACGACGAGAAAGAGAGAGGTCAAATGGATGAAGACGACGAAGACGAACAGCTTCAGCCCGAGTCCCCAGTGAGTCGTCGCCATCTTTCGCATATTTGAGTGGATACTAATGAAGGGGTTATTCAAAGGTCGACGAACGTGCCCCGTCTCCGGAAGCCGTCTTGCTTAAGTCCCAGCACGAGCACATTGGCCCCACTGAGGATGACGAGGCTGACTTCGCTAAAGAGCTCGCTAAGCTCGTTACCGACACTTCCGCTGAGTCGAGGAAGATCGACAAGAAGACTGCGCTTGCTCTCTGGGACACTGCACTACCACCTCCTGTTATTCGAAAGAAGAAGCACGAAGAATACGACGAGGATGGCGAGGCTGCTGCTGGGGAAGCCGCCGAAGACGCTGGTGTCATGAAGTTCACCTTGTTCACCAAGCGGGGCAATAAGCAACAGGTGAGGTGATAGAAGGTGTTCGTACGGCATCGCGCTAATGACCAGGACAGACACGCCAAATTGCCATCCCCTCGGAGTCTACGTTGGCCATTCAAACGCGCACTGCACAGATGCAAGACAAGGTTGAGCAGCAGCACCTGAAGAGGCTCGTGCTCAACTATGAGCAGCGCGAGGAAGCCGAAGAGCTGAAGGGTACGATATTTCTAATCTGCCCTACGTTTGGCAGAAGCTGACTTATCGGCGTACAGCCCTCGAAGCTCGCAGCCGTCAAGGGCCTATCAAAATTCGGCTCGCAGGCTAGCAGCACGCCCACACCACCATCTCCTCCGCTGAAAGAAGGAAACTACCTTCTAGCTTGTGCTCGCCCTCCCTTCTCGCCGGACCCCGGCGGCCCCTGCCTCGGTCGCGCGACCGCAGGCCAGAACATATGATGCCTGCTCACTGAGACAGCGCGTTCTCAGTACGATTCAGGATTCGGCAGGCCGCAACGTAGGCATCCCTGGCCATGCCGTCCTGAGCTCTCGCCCGATGCACGGCTTGTATGCGTCGGTCGCCTGACGCCCATTGGGCGTCGACCAGCTGTCTCCAGGTATGCGATGGACGGTTTGGATCGGTACAATGTAGAATACGTCCTTGTGCACTGTGTTGTTTTCTCTCTTTTTAAATGCAATCCAACTTTGTAATTGTTCTTTGTCCTTGTGCTGCACATGATGCGACGCGTCCGCGAGCGCCTCCGCAACGCGTCGCGCGACTTTTCGATCGCGCATCCTCTGCCACCCACCCTCATGCCCTTTCTCCCTCATGCCCCCTTGACCGCCTATGGACCTGGACGACTACTTCGACGACGACCTCGTTCTCGATGATAACGCGCTCGCTGTTCTTGACCAGGCTGAGTCCCAGTTCCATGCGGCCCAGCAGCAGGTTGTCGGAGAGCGCCGTGCGGCCGACGCGCCTCCTCCTGCTAAGCCCCCTCCATCGAAGAAACAGAAGAAATCGCACGGAAATGAGGAGGTGGAGCCAGCGTTTGTGGTTCACAGTGTCGAGGATGACGAGGGCCTACCGGAGATCTCGGTACTTGGCGGAGGGGGTTCGTACAAGTACCCTGCAGCCCAGCGGGCAGCAGCGAATGTGCTCGCCGCGCAGCTACGCGGCAACGCGGATAGTCCCAGTCGAGAGCCCCCTCCAAAGCCACCAGAGCCTGTGCGTAATACCGTCCGTGCTCCTCCTCCGGCGCCCCCTGTGCGGAATGTCATAGTAGCGAAGAGCGCGTCCGCTTCAAATGTTTCGACCACCGCAAATGCTCCTGCCCCCTCTCCTGCTCCAAGTGCTCCTGCTTCCTCTTCCAGTCAACTATCTAGTGTCCAACCTGGAGCTGGTACAAAACTTGTACGACGGTCTACATTCAACAGCATCCAGGCCGCTCTGGTTGGCTTTGTCCCCCCCACTAGCAATGCCAATCTCAACGGGAGAACGGCAACCTCCCGCCCGGCGAACGCGGCACCATCAGTCAAGTCTCCTAATAGCGGCGCCCCTACTCGCCGAGTTTCCCCAGCTGTACCCCCTTCTCAAGCTAGATCTTCGGTCCAGCGGCTGCCGTCTACTTCGCAGGCGTTTCGACCTCCCGTCCCTCCTCGCTCGTTGGCTGCTCCCTCAAATCGACGACTAAGTTCTCCTAGCGTCTCGCGCCCTCATGTGGCACCTCCGGCTGGACAACCGCGACCACCACCGCAGCTTCAACCTCCGCCGCCTTCCCAAGGGCAAAGTGGACGTAGTCTTCGCATAGAAATCGACACTCTCCGAGCCCAACTCGCCGACGTGAGCCTATGCACCGCAGTATAGTCATTTCACCATTAATGTTTGATACCCAGATACTGAAGGAGAATGCGGAGGCGAAGAAGATCGTGCAAGAGGAGCGAAACGCCCGTTACGCGAAGGAGGGCGAGGTTAGCATCCTGAGGAAGACTATGGAGAAGGTAACGTTATATGCTGTATGTGTCCGTCCGTGTGCTCATGGTCTCAGACGACGAAAGATCACTTGGCAGAAGTGGCACGCATCAAAGCTGCGAGGGAATCAGCGGAGGCCGGACAGGCGCAGCTACGCAAGGAGATGACCGAAGAAAGGGAGCGACTGAGAACCGAGTACATGTTCAAGGTAAACAATCTGTTTATAATCTCCGTCTCTTGTTATATATATCACCATTGCTGCAGCGACATGAGCTTGAGACGAATGTCCGTAAGACCCCGTGGTCTGTGAGGATCAAGCGGCCGGAGAACCAAGGATCACTGACCCCGGTATCCGCGGCCGCCCAGCGGCGGCAGGCAGCCGCAAGCCCTCAACATGGCGGTCCGAGCAGTATCTTCCAGACACCTTCGCGCTCTCGGATCGATAAATCGCTACCCAACAGTCCAGAACGGCAGCGGAGAAGGAGGATTGTCGACAGCCCTCCTCCGAAGAAGCCCGCGAGGCTCCCAGGCTTCTACAATGCTTTCGAACCTTCCCCTTTGAAGACAAGCCTGCAGTTCTCGCAAGCCGCACAGTCAACTCAGATCAACGGGAAGGGGAAGCAACGTGTCGAAGAGCTGTCGTTTGACGTCCAAAATCTGCCAGCGGAGGATCTGTTCTTCAACCCCAGACCAACGCAGGAAGATGCGCAAGCGCGATCATCTCCTCTCAGTTCTCCTCCACAGGAAGAGCGGCGGGAAGGGGTAGTCGTCCCAGAGGCCGATGAACAGAAGGAGTTGTTTGCGCCAAGCGGCAGCGCCGAACCTGTCACATCTTCTCCTGCTGAGGGTGATGTGGACATGAAGGACGAAGCGAAGCCCGCAGAACCTACAGCGCCTGCAGAACCCCTTGTCACGCCAGATTGGACCAAGGAGGTATGTGTGGCCTTTTGTAACACTTGGCATCGCTGACATCCTACGATCTTGCAAGCTGCAAGGGATCATTTTGACCCACAAGCACCGTAGCTCGAAGCAGCCGACGTTCCAACTGCTCTTGAACCATGCTATGCCAGCGACCGCCCCTCTGGAACGCGATCAGGAGTACACGGTACAAATCGCGCAATTGCTCGAAAGTCTCGGCGATGTAGCGCACATGTCCGCAGACGAGGACGCAGACGACATCGTACATTCCGTTGAGCGGACTTTGTCTACGATGGGCCGCATTCTGTGCGGCGTGGGATCGGTTCGTGACCTGCGTTTTCTCGCTTAGGTGCATACTGACCGTATGTTAGGTCGCTACTCTCGCCGCATTGCTAGATCTTGTAAAGGTGACCGCCCTCTTCGTGCCTGCATTCATTCCCCTTGCTCTTGCACCAAACGGCGAAGACGGTGTGGATGCGCCCCCCGAGCTGCTGCTGCTGCTTTGCGACGTCGTGTCCACTCATCTCACACCTATCGCCGAGAGTGTGGACCAAGGTCGCAGTGAGCTTGCTACAGAGGCGCTAGCGTTGCTGGAAGTTGTTAGTTGGTACACGCCTCCGGACCTGGCCCTACGGTACGAACAACTCCGCGTTTCTTCATAGTGTACTCCTGACGAATATTCGCAGACTCTCCGTTTTCGTCCGCAAGGCAGGGGTGCTTTCAGCCCTCATCAACAGCGTTCAGCCGACTGCGTTGCTACTGAGGACAATGCGAGCTTTGACTCTCGCTGCTTCATGTGAGTCAGATCATGTATTAGTTGCACTAGGTACTCAGGTCAGTGTAATAGATCGACCCCTTTGGAAGCACTTCCTCTCGTTCCCGCTCACAAACGGCATTCAAGAAGACGCCTCGGCTAGTGACTTCTATCGAATACCGCACATCGAACAACTCGCATCCTTCCTTACTGACCGTGCACGCGACGGGCCCGAGGTGAGCTCTCATTCACGTGCAGCGCGATCATCACTAACCATATCAAAATAGTGTCGACCACTCCGGGATGCAATCCTCAACTTTATCACGACTCTTGCTGTCTCCCATACTGACGCGCTACACATTTTGCTCCAATCGCATGCCCTGTTACCATCTATTATCGTCTTCCTGCACAACATCACCTCATCGTTATGGGAAGAGGACGAAGCGTTCATGGGGGATCCCAAGCTCATCACTTGGTACGCACCTATCTCTTGGGTCGCTGGACATTCTCGTATTAACATTACACTAGGACTGTTGACGTTATGACTCGCACCTTAGTACTCCTGCACTACCTTATGACGAACGCCGACCCCACGAAGATCAACCTTCGCCACAAGCTCATGTGTCCACCTCGCCGCTTCTCCAATGCGCTCTGGCACATGTTTACCGTCTCGCTCGGTCGTATCAGCTACGCACACCCGCCCGAGTGGGCCGGGGCCGAGAACGCACTTATACTGGACCAGATATGCGGTAGGCCTTCCGGGCAGCCCCATTTACCACTCTTGCTCATTTTGCCGGGTAGACATGGCGAAGGATGCGTTGGAGGTCGCAGTGGACGGCCCCGAGCTGGAGTCCATCTGGGCGGCGTTCCATGTTGACGACAACGTTCCAGCACCGAGGACGCAATACGCACCCGAGGAGGACGAGAGCGAGCCGGCCAGCGAGGGCGAGGCCCCGCGGCATGGTACCTTACATTCTGTTATTGAGATCGACTGACCATAAGCTTCTACTGTACTACTGATGTATCGCTATCCTCATCGTCTTCTGATCCCAGTGTCATGCTCCGTTGGAAGCTTCGACTGCAGAATGGGCGGTCCCTAATTGGCGGAAGTCCAGTGCTCAAACAACCGCCAAGATGAGCAAATAGAACGGAAGCGCCCACTCCGCTCCCCGGGTACCGATCCTTCTCTCCTCTACAACGAACGCAACGGTTTGTTTCAATGCCTTCTCTTTCCATCTTCGCCGCACCTCAGCTGCATGGTCACCTCGCGGCTCATTCCCTCTGACTGGCGACGACAGAATGATAATTTCGTCATACGACTCACAGGAAAAACTTTGACCTCCGAAACGCCGCTGGAGTCACGCGAAAGGTAACGCCGTCAGACCAACTCCGGTTCATCGCCCCAGCGAAATCATTTCCCGTCTGCCCAGGGCCTCTGGGTTTGGTACGTACGCGCACTTCTTTCCTTGTTCAAGTTCTACTAAATTTTTAGTGCATGCCGCAGCTCTAAAAATCATCGACACTGCCGCACAGCGATATGGAGCCGCGGTGATGTGGGACGCAGTAAGACTTGGGCGCGAGCGGCTCGTTGGATGAGGAGCCTTGAAATTTGATGGGCGGCCCTTAAAATTCTCGAGGTGCACTGACAGCTCTGAGATGGCTGTGCATGCAAGTTGCGGTGAGCGTTTGGTACGGAGATATTCATAACGCGGTGCCGGCCTTGAGCTTGACTCTTGAAGGCACACCCGCCTCCGACTCTGAGTCTCTCTGGACAGCCGTCGTACGCCGTTTTTCATTCACATCTCCTTGCGGCTCGACGTCCGTATGACTCGGGGGCGCGCTACATCGACCCGGGTCCAGCCTACTTACGGTTCCGAAAACGCTTCTATCCCCGAGAGCCCGGGAGCACTTCCCGCTCCGAACGGCCGCGGCACGTATTCTGCGCCTTCTCCATTTGTATGCCGTCCGGTTGTGTCAGGGACGCGTCAGGATCTGCCATTTCCGAAGGGGTACAAATAGGAACGCAGGCTTTCTCCGTTATGCCAGCTCTCACTACACACTGTTCGCAGGAACACTACCGGCTAACTACTCTTACCGTCCATGTCTGGCGCAAAGGTAATCATCGCGGGCTGCGGCGTCGCCGGACCCGTGCTCGCCATCCTCCTCAAGATGAAAGGCTACGAACCCGTCGTGTACGAGCGCGCCGACGGCCCCAGCACCGACGGTCTCAGCCTCTGGCGAGTACCACCACCTCCATGTGCTTCCCCCGACCTAGCGCTAACGCCCGCATCGCCCAACAGCATCCAGGCCAACGGCGCGCGCGTCCTCGCGCTCATCCCAGGCCTGATGGACTCAATCGCCCGCCAGTCCATCGACCAGCTCGTCTTCTACTCCGCCCTAGGGCACGAAGAGCTCGCGCGCAGCGATGCACCTGCGGGCCTGCGCGACCTGTCGGGAGCAGACGTCGGCGTTGGGGTCGCGGGTGTGCGTCGCCCAGTGCTGCTGCGCACGCTCGTGGACGCGGCGGAGGCGCACGGGGTGCGCGTGGTGTTCGGGCAACAGCTCGTGCAGGTTGAGGAGCGCGCGGACGAGGAGCGCGTCGTGGTGCGCTTCGCGAACGGCTACGAGGACTCCGCGAGCTTCGTGGTGGGGTGCGACGGGCTGCACAGCAATACGCGCGCGTGCCTGTTCGGGAAGGAGGACGCCGTGTTCACGGGGCTCACGCAGGTCGGTGCCTTGACTATGTATGTGACGGGGCGGGATGCTGATTTGTGTGCGGGATGTGCTGCAGACTGGAGGTATCTCCCCGACGCCTGAGGGGTTCCGCGCGCTCGGGCCCTCGATGGTGAACATCTATGGCGACGGCGCGCACATGATTGCGTATCCGATCAACGACGCGCAGGTGTCGTGGGCGTAAGTCTTATTTTATGCGCGTCCCCATGTCGTGCCCTGACTGTGGCTGTCAGAATTACCCAGCGTGAAGCGGAGGCGCGCGAGACCTGGCGCGACATGGACGAGGCGCGCCAGCACGAGTTCAAGCAGGGGCCCTTCTCCCGGCTTCCGTTTGGAGGTGGAGAGTTGGTTCGCACGGCCGACAAGATTATCAAAGTAGGTTCACGCCGGTTGCATGCTCTCGGTTCCCGCCAGCTGACGCAGCTCGCCCAGTTCGGACTGTACGACCGCCCCGAGCTCACGGCGTGGCACAAGGGCAGAGTGTTGCTCATCGGGGATGCCGCGCACCCCACGAGCCCTGTACGCCTTTCCTTCCTCTTCTCCGTTCTCGTGCAACGGCCTCTCACGCGTTCTGCCTTCTCCAGCACCTCGGCCAGGGCGCAAACCAGGCGCTCGAGGACATCTACCACCTCGTCCGCCTGCTCGTGCAGTACAACCCCTCCGCCGCCCCGCCCCCGACCGCGGTGCTCTCCACCGTGTTCACTGCGCTCGAGCGGCTGCGCATCCCGCGCACGTCCACGCTCGTCTACAAGGCGCGCGCCGCGGGCGAGCTGCGCGTCGTGAGTGGGGCAGAGGCGTGCAGGGGGCGCGACGAGACCGTGCGGGAGATGTGGAGGAAGCTGGAGCACGTGCGGGGCGACGTGGATGCGGTGAAGGCGCTGTATGCGGACTTGTTCAGCTTCCCCTTTGAGGCGGGCAAAAGCGAGGTTTGAGATGCGCGTGGGTACGACAGAGAGGGGTGGGGTGGTGAGTGGGTCGTTAGTGTTTGTGGCTTTATGCATGTGTTGTACCTCCTATACCTCTGGAGAGGCTGTATGTGCGCAAGCTGCAGCACGTAAGGCCAAGTACAGCGTTCCTACGCACTCACACGACCAGCTCTGGCGACCTGTCGTCTCGGCTCGTACGAAGAAAGCCGTGGTGCGAACAAACAAAAACGGGCGGATGCGAAGTTCGAATGTGGACCCCAATATCATGTATGACACGTCGATGACGAGGGGCGCATGCCGAGTGTGGCTGAGTGACGAGGTCTTTTGGCAGGGGCGTGATCCGAGGCGGGCGGTGACGGGTCCTGAAATTCGGAAGCGGCTCTGTCCTGCCTCCAGCGAGCGGCCTGAGGCCTATCTGGCCTCTGCTGGGCCTCCCGGCCGAGAAGGGGTGCGTGGGTGGCTGTGTGGCGACGTTCCAACTCACATACACGCACACAACCGGGCTTATCTCTGGAGAGCGGGCTCCACAGTTGCGCGCGATGTGCCGCAGGCATGACCGATCATTGTATTGGAAGGTGGGGGATCGCCATGGGAATTTGGACGGTGTGATATCCGACGCAGACAGGGTGGGGGAGTAGTAGTACCTGTCGCAAGGCGCTCGGCATGAGCCATGTTAGGACGTGGCTGCGGACGATGGTCGACTACGCACTCACATTGCAATACAAGATTCCAAAGAAAATTTCCAGGATGTATGTCCCAACTAGTAGATCTCCTCCCGATCATCAAATCGTTCTCTGCAATGCGTCAAAATGTGAATCTAGCGACCGCCAGAGACGCTGCACTGAAAACACTCACCTTCACTGCAGCCCACTCCTGAGAAATCTGCGCGATGCGCGAATTGTGCATCGTCCGACAGTCCAAGCAGTTGATGGTCGCCCCCGCCTGCTCGAACACGCTCTGCAGGGCTTGTATTGAGGTACCTGCGCATAGGTTGGCGACGTCTGCCGGTGTGGCACACACACCGGAGGGGGAGGGGGGACTCGACGCGCGCTTGCTTACTTGGCAGAGCAGTCCACACGATCTGCGCGGTCGCGAACGCCCACGCGCGGCCGATCTCCTCCTGCCCTCCGTCGGCGCACGTCGCGGTCGGCGCATGGGTCGGCGGGCGGCGGAGGAGGATGTCGCGGAGCGCGGTGAGGCGCGTTTGCTGGAGCTTGTACAGCCGGTTGAAGTACACCGAGCCCATCTTGACGACGAGCGCGTCGGAAATCCGGGTGAGGTCGTATGCGAGGAGGTGTGCGGAGACGGCGACGGCGACCGGTTCGAGGGCGTAATGGCCGGCGAGGGCGAACACCTCGATTGGGCGGTGGGGGGCGTGAAACATGAAGAGTTCGTGGAGAGACTGGGAGTTGGCGAGGGACGCAGCTGGCACGCCGTACTTGATCAGGGCGGCGACCGCGGCCTCTGTCGACTCGAACGGCGGCTGGAAGCGCAGGCAAGACATACCATATATGACGTGGAGGACGATGTTGAGTACGCTCGAATTCTCGGACACAGCGATCAGGCGTGGAGGGTATGCGAGCGAGCCGCCGAAAGCGTTGGTGGAGGCGGCCAGAAGCCGCTGCTGGTGGACATGAAAAATGACACTGTCTGCAGAGACAATATGGACGTTGGGGATGATTCCATCGATCTGAAAGTGGGGGTTGAACATAAGGGACACTGTGCTTGCAGGGCGGTCGCCGTCCGCCGATTGCGTTGGAGACTAAGACAAGACGAGTGAGAAGCCGTGTAGCCCAGCACAGAGAGCGGGCGGCGGCGAAATGGTGACATACGGCCATCCTGTCGCACACCGCTGGGGAAGGTGGGTGGAGAGGTGGGCTCGGAGGAGGATGCGAAGAGCGCAGCGGAGGCGCAAGAGCGAGCGCGGCGCTCACCCGTCGAAGATAAGCCGCGACAAATTTTCGATTCTTTGCATCAGTAACTCCCTCATGGACGAAATACGAGTTCTGCGCAGGGCATCGCAGTGTCTTCAGCCCCGCACAACGGTGACCGCCCTCCGGGGTCCGCGCCAATCCCCTGGACGTTGGCGGAAGAGGCCCTCATTTGATTTAGTCGGCCCATTCCGCCTCTCTGGCAGCTTTGTGCAGCTGCTGTTAGACGTCATTCAGCACGGACCCACTGTTCGTCCATGGTCCGCCTCCGCCCTGGGGGAGGTGCTCACTGCAGGTGCACAAGGCGTCGTGTGAACCACCAGCGTTCAGCCGCCCTGGGAACGCTGAAAATTAATCCCGGCATATCTCCACCCCGCCCCATCTCCTGGCGGGGCAGAGAGAAGGCGCATACCATGCGCCACGAGCGAACCGCCGTACAATTACACGGCTGCGTCGAAGCAGATGTGTGATCCGAGGCCGTGCTCGGCCACTGGCGAAGGCGGTTGCCCCGCGCGCGCAGAGGCGGTCTGTGTTCGGGCCCGACGTCCCCGCGTGGTCCGCTGGGGCGGAACATCTAGCGGCAGAATTCGGCATGCTCAAACGGAGAACATTAACGACGGGGGGTTCCGGAGGCGCTGTCCAAACTCACTTATGCCTCCGGCGCCATTGGCTGGGAACCGTCCGTCTAGCCCCTTACCAGGCCACACGACCGACGGTGCCTGTTGCACTCGCCGGAGACACTTTCTAAAGCGATCGACCATCTCCTGAGCAGCTTTGCATCAACGGTGCGACAGATGAGCCAAATAAACTCACCTTCTGAGCGATTGACGTACAAGCTTCAACTGAAATAAGTATGCGGTGGCTGCGAGGATATTAGTGCTAACCGGCGACCAGTAGCACAACCCGGCGAGATTTGGGCGGCACCATAACCGATAGTCGCGCGTTTGTCGCCAAGTACCCGGGTTACGAACGCTGCGGATTGTCAACTTGATTCCGGTGAGTGTATGTAAAATGCGAGTCTACGGATTTTGCGAGAGTCCCATTGTGAATCTGGATGTGCTGTTGCATACGGGCAGCGCTGAATCGTCATCCGGCGTAGAACAAGAACGTCGACATGATGGTAGGAAGCAGTAATGTGCCATGGCAGGAGTGTCTGTCGAAAACCTGTCTTTCAAGTCCTTTGGCGTCCGCCACGCGCCCGAATTAGGCCGGCTACGTCATTCTGGCCTGTCACGTCACACCTATTCTCCGGCGTTACCCCTTGGCGTCACGTCTTTCGCCGCCCTCTAGCGTGCCAGCGCCGTAGTACGCAGTCATCGTGGTCACTCACCCTCATGCACTGCGACTCTTGATGATTTGTCGGTGAGTGTGGTGCACATTCGCTCGCAGGATTCATACAGCGACGAGTCGATATGTTTGACTTCAAGGCGAGCTTTATCATGTTCACGTTTGATTTTAAACGTATTCACTATCAAATCTCGTGGGCTCACCATCACGATGTCAGAACTGCAAGCTTAAAGTGCGATGCAATACCGCAAACGTACCGCATGATGGACCCACTTTACGGAAGACGGCCTACCGAATAAATACCGCGCACGAAGACGCCCGGGCGCTCCGTTTATTGCCAATGACAAACTTGAACATCCAGATCTATCTGCACCCGCGAAGCTACCGTCCTCGCACAGATGGCTGCGCTGGAGAACACGCTTCGCATCCAGAAGCTCGGCGTTAACGATAGTTCTGCCTTCCGTACCGGGCCCATCTACTGCAGCCGACCCGCATTCACGACTGGACCCCGTGGTGTGGTACACGGTCAGTAAGATACCGACAGCCTCCGCATATCAGTCCGCTCATACTTGGTTACAGTGGTTTCACATGATTAGGTTGCCGGTGATGCTCGAACCTGGTCCGATGCGCTGGGAACACCGTTGCCGCGTTTGGCAGTTTGCCCTGCCAAGTGGCCTGCTTTCCTCCCTCTTCCCTCAAAGCTCTTTCACGCCCCAATAGGTGTTGGACCGTGGCGATTAGCGTGTCCCATTCCACGTTACAATGTGTATACAATCACGTTGGCATGGTTCGAGCATCCGTCTGCTCACATCAGCGCGCTAGTGATCAGCGCATGGAACGGCACGGCCCATACCTCCGTGTCGAAACAGGCTTTCATCGATGCTGCGAACTTATCCTCGAACAATGCAATCATACCTGTGGAAGCTATGGGGTCAACACCCCCGGCTGCTCAAACCGCCACGTCGCGTTCCATTCCTACACTTGACTGAATGTGGCCCGCGTTGATGGAATTTCTTGGTGAGTCACTCAACATCGTGGCCATTATTCTACTCCTATTTGATTGGAGAAGCCTGACACTGATTTCGCGTCCTAAGCCATCCATATCCACGGTCAGTGGCACGCAGAGGGTCATAGCACCCCGTAAGGTAAGGATGAAGCCCGAGACCGTGACGAGCACGCGTCTAGATTCTCAATGCTCGTGAATACAAAGCACTACCATCGGTGATGCCGAAGCATTATGGTTGGTGGTGACCACCCGTAATTGCTACTATTACCCTGCAAAGAGTTCCAGTATACACAGAGTCGGCTCAGAAGCCACCGATATTCAGAATTGGATATTGATGGCGCTTGGCACGAGCTCTTGACCTGACCTCGATCTTAACACTTCCCCCCTAGGAGCTTGCGCCATTTCGACATATGTGGGGGCTGGACGACTGCGATCGCTGACCTTGTCTGCAGCTGGAGGTGTACGCATGATGTCATGACCGTCGAGGAGCGCTACCCATGGTGTCCGATAGCTAGCGCCCATGTTACCGCAGCACCGATCCGAAGGCATGGGTCCTCGAAGTTGCGCCTACGCAGCTGTCTCTCTCGATCGTTCCGGCAGGACACATGGAATGCTGCTGGACGTTTGGGGTAAGTCCGTAACCGTAACCGCACTGAGGATGCGATATGTCTGACGTCGAAGTTGGCGGCATGCTGCGCGCCCGCCGCTCAAGTGGAAACGCTGGTCGAGTATCGATGTCCAGACTTGTGATGCTTGTGAAGGGCAGTCTCAAGCATACCTCCAGGACTTTCTTCCAAAAATCTATATAAACGACGCGACGCGAGCTGGGATAGGCATCATACTCCTCGGAGAACTCTCGCGCTCCGGCACCTCCGTCCCCAACTGCAACCCACCTCGCTCAGGATGCAGTTCAAACTCTCCACCTCGCTTCGCTCCCTCATCACCCTCGCCGCTATCGTGCCCACCGCGCATGCCGGCCCGCTGGCGTACGGCATCTGTCAAACCGGTGCGCTTATATTGTTGAAATTACCGCAGCGTCGCGGTTCGACTGAGCGCCTGTGCTGCGGTAGGATGCAACATCGTGGCCGTCGCCTGCTACGCCGGCGCAGGCTTCGTGTTCGGAACGGTCACCGCTGGGGTGGGCACCCCGGCTGCTGTCCTCGCCTGTAACGTTGCTTTAGGGCAGTGCTCTGCCGCTTGTGCTGTTGTCGCACTCACTCCGACTCCGTGAATAGAAGAGGTCGGTTGCTTACATGTAGTATCCGTCTAACGAACGCGGCTGACCATATTTTCAAGATTCTACGACCTCCAGACGTGTTGTGGTTTGCGTCGAGGTCGGCATGATTGGAAGACTCGAGTCTCTGAAGCTGTGCCGCGTTCGAGTTCATGATACCTTATTTGTAACATATCGCCTCATCCAGGAAAGCGCGTATCCCCCATGAGCCACTGCGCCAGAACGGCGATCATCGAAGGCATGTGCACGCTGCCTGCGTGTGGTGGACAGATCGGACGGTGTCTCCTCGCCTGCCAGCCAGGTCGTGTCCCCATCGCTTCCGCGCCAGTGCTGGTATCTCTGTATATAAGCTGGGGTTGCTCAGCGCTCCCAACTCAAGACACACACTCATCTGAACCCCCCTTGGAGAGCCTCATCTGCCGGACACCATGAAGTTCTCCGTCGCCGCCCCCCTCGCCCTCGTCCTCGCCACCGCCGCCCCGTCCGCGTACGCAGGCCCCCTCGCCTACGGCATCTGCCAGACCGGTAAGCAGCCTCCACAGTATGCCCGCACTCGCACCTGCTGACTGTGTGCGCCCCGCACAGGCTGCAACGCCCTCGTCGTCGCCTGCTACGCCGGCGCCGGGTTCACCTTCGGCACGGTCACCGCGGGCGCGGGCGTCCCTGCCGCCGTCGTGGCCTGCAACGCCGGCCTCGGGGTCTGCATGGCCGGATGCGCTGCCGCTATCTTCGCGCCGACCCCGTGAAGCGCCGGGCCACTCCTGCCAATGGTGCGTCCGAGTCACATCTCCAGCGGTATCCTACAGTACGCTAACGAGAAGGTGTCCAGCCTTGAGCCTGTCGAAAGCTACGCCGTCGCTCTGGGAGCGACGACCGTCTCCGCAAGTCTGAGGTTCTTCCCTTGTTCGCGATCGTTGTGCTCCTGTATACAAATACCACCACCCTTGCTTCGCACGTCCGCCATGCTATATATCGAATTGCTCTCTTCGCGGACACACGGTATCTTGTATTGGTGAGGACTCGGCTGCAAGTTTAAGAGGTCATACCGCGCAAGACTGAGTTGTGAACGGTACTTCGCTATTTGAACCCTGTCACCGAGGCGTGAGCTATGAGGGTGACGTGCACCCTGAGGTCGCTAGATGATCAGCCGTGGAAAGATTGAATTTTATATGTAAGGATGCAGACGGCGACATCGCACGCGGAGGGCGGGTTCCAGTATCGATTTGTTTCGGCGAACGCCCCTTGGATTCTGCTACCATCTTGCGGCAGAATGTCTCGCCCAATTTCCGGAGCCTGTTGTGGGTCGTACGTGCCACTCAGTGCTCAGACTGCAGCTCATGAGCCATGTCGTCCGCCGCTCCAATGAGTCTACAACCCCTAATCTATGAGACGAACTATGATCGTATTAGTTTTCGTTCCGCGCCGAATGAGAGGTTAGTTGACGAGCCTACCTCGAGGAACCTTGCCTAGGTCTTCAAGCGCTTTCTGCATTCCTCCATAAAGTAGTCCTCTGCGCCTCGTCCACCGGCGCGCCTGCCTGCTTGTCATGCCACCATATCAGCCAGATCGGTGCATTCATTCCACTGAGATTATTACCGCAGCGACACCTTCCCACTGCTTCTCTGGATGTTTGGCCGATACGGCAACGGCAATGCGAGTGTTGCATGTAATGGCGATGCTCCGCCGCCAGCGTCCTCGTCGTATTCGTGAGTATCCCATGCTGATGGCAATGGAAGGCCAGACCAGTAGAATGCACGTCTTCGCTCGCAGTCGTGGGCGATATCCTCGGCTCCTACAACTCCAGGATGCTGTGTAGCGTAGGAGATAGAAGCTCGCGAGGGCATGGTACCAGCGCAGTTGGAGGCATCGAGGCGTGAAGGTGTGAAGGTATGCTAATCATGGGACGGCGACCGTTGAAAGTGAGAACGGCGAGGTGGAAGCACCGAATAGAGTTCCTTCGACTGGCATCTACACACGTTCCATGGTGTCGCTAGCAGATATATAAGCTCGAGGTAGCTTTGAACACGTTCAGCTCGGAACCTACCTCGCGCGAAGGAGCGTGTTCCGGACGACATGAAGCGCTCTTTCGTTGTCGCCCCGCTCGCCCTCTCCCTCGCCGGTCTCCCGGCGGTCGCGAATGCGGGTTTTATCGAACACGGCCTCTGCCAGGGCGGTGAGCACAGATCTTGATCCTCATAAAATGCGCACACTCACCGTGCTTGTCTCGGCGATCTCAGTGTGCTACGTGGCGACATTCGTCTGCTACAACACCGCCGCCTCCGGGTTCAGCACGATCTGCGGTATCCGCGATCCGTCACCCGCTCAGGTCAGGGCGGGCTGCGATGCCGTCCTCGACCATTGCTCCACGGGATGTACCGCCTTCACGTTGCGTTTTAGGTCCGGGAGCCAGAGTTGGGTGCCAGTGGGCACTGCCTTCGACTTGGTACAGCGTGTCTACTCGCTGAAGTCCGACTTGTAGGGTTTGGTTCGATCATTCTGCGCGTCCTTGGCAGTGCACTGACGCAGGAGTTTGTGATCAGCTGCGGAGAGTCGCGTCGGAGTACATAGTGACTGATTTTCTTCAGGTCTGCGACCACGCGGGGCATCAATGGCCTATTTCTGCTTGTTTTGTCATGTATATTCACTTGCCTCGTCCAACCGTGACGCCGGTCATATTGGCTATCGGGGTTTTCCCCATGGACCTACAAAATCCGTTTGGGGTGCGCGTTCATGGCGAGGGCAGATGTCCTGCACAAGGCTGAAAATTGAATGAACCCTCGCTGACTTCGGTACGACGTGGTTGCGAACTGGAGCAGGTAGCGGTGATCATCCCATATAACTGCGTGTGCATACCCTAATGCGATAAAGTCACATCCGTGTGAGGAGATAGAGCTAAGAGAAGGAGTTGAATAAAGTGCGTTCCAGCGATCTTCAGGAGCTTGTGGAGGGAAGTCGGAGACCGAAAATGAGTTACTTCAAATATCGCACTAAGACGAATTAGACGCTCTCATGCTCTTCGCGGCGAACGCCGATGGCCTATCAGCGCTTCAAGCTTCAGCGTCCAGTGAGCCTGACCGAAGTTTGGCCGCAGACTCTCACTCTGAGTCACTGCTACATGGGGGGGTACGCGAAAGACAGCATCACTGCCGGACCAGGCCATGCACGCCCCAGATGAATTGGGGTCTACTCCGCAAGAGCTCCGCATAGGTATGTATTTCCCATATGTACTAAGATAGGACCCCTGAAAATGCCCATAGGGCTCCGGCCGATAGACGCCCGTCATCCGGACGGCGTCTAGCGATTTTTGGGCCTTAGGCCGGCCAAAAAATTGCCAAAAATGGCCAAGGTCCGGACAAAAAGTGCAAAAATCGGTTTTCTGGCCGGCTGCTCGTCCGGACATGGGGCTCTCTGAGGGCTCAGTTCCCGGCGCTAACCATCAGACGCCCGGCCCCGAAGGGGCCGGCCGCAAAAATCCGGACAAAACGCCGCGCTGTTTGGGCCAGAAGCCGGCCGCGATCCGGACATTTTTGGCCTTGAGGCCCAAAAAATGTCCGGACACGAAGGCCCAAAATCGAGGGCGTCTATCGGCCAGCCTATTATAGGCATTTTCAGGGGTCCTACTAAGATGCGCAGCCTGCTTATCACACGTGTTCACACTGCGCGCGTAGTACGACCGTGGACCTACGATCGCTCCCGTATACTAGGCGACACAAAATGCAGGTTCTCGCACTCGAATTACCATTAGAAGGGCAGCAGGAATGCACCGGCGGTATCAAAGTTGCGAACAAGCCGCTCGGTGTGGATCATCGCTGACGAGCTCCCCTCCACGCGACGTCAGGCTGGTCCGTAAAAGTCCCTCCAATTTCTAGACACAGAATACGTTACTCACCAACTCTTAGGCGGTAGCGTCAGCTACGCAACACATGTTCTGCTCGGGGCCGCACTTCCTCCAGCGGGGGAGTCCGGCGCCGTGGGGTCAACCCCAAATTCTGCTATAAAGCGACTCGCGACCCAGCATGCATTCGTTACCCCTACGCCCGCGATGCTCCTAGGTCTCTCTGACATGCCTCTCTGGTTAATCCCACTTCTGGCGCTCCTGTTATATATCGTGTCGAACTATGTCAAGCATCGCGGCCGGCCACCACTTGCACCAGGACCACTTCCCCTTCCTGTCATCGGGAATGCACTGGATGTTCCTACCAAGAATATGGCGCCTAACTTCCATGCTCTGAACACAAAATATGGTAAGAGCGCCGTCTTTCGCTCATTTGTTGGAGCTGAGGTCGGCCTACGAGTAGGCGACGTCGTCTACCTCGACCCACTCGGTCAGCCCATGGTGATCCTGGGGACACACGAAACAGCTCTCGACCTCCTCGAGAAACGGTCATCCATTCATTCTGATCGGAATGTCTCTGTATTGACCCTCTGGTATATATGCTTATTTATTGTTTACTTCGCGGGCAGCTCACGGGTTGCGACGCACAGGTCAGGTTGGGGTTGGTTATTCACTACTCAGCATTATGGCCCGGGGTGGAGACGCCTCCGAAAGATGTTCCATCAACACTTCACCCCCACCGCTATCCTCTCGTACCGCGAAGTGCAAGAACAAGAGGCCCACCATTTCGCGCTCCGCCTTCTTGAAGACCCGAAAGACTTCCTGCAACACATACGATTGTAAGTGCCATGTTACGGTTCACCGCGGCACCACGCTCAACTCGTCCTCGCGCATGCAACTTCGCTCACCGTAGTGCATTCGCTTCCACCGTTCTGCGTATCACCTATGGGATCGAGCAGAAGGCATCTACGATGAGTATGTGAACATGGCCGAAGCCGCCATGGCTGTATTCAATCATGCCCTCTTTCCGGGCGAGTATCTGGCCGAGAAGTTCCCTTCGCTTCGCTTTCTACCATCCTGGTTCCCCGGGGCCAAATTCAAGCGGAAGAGTAAGGTCTGGGTATCAGCCGTCCACCGCTTGCGGGATGTTCCGTGGGAGCGGACTGTGGCAAAGATTGTGCGTATCAATTCCTTAATTCGCTAAGCGACTCGAATACCAGTTGACAAGCATGGTTCCATGGCACTCCCAGAGAGGCGGTACCGCGATTCCCTCGATTGCGACAAGCCTCATGAAAGATGTACCTGATGTGAAGAGCGGCGAGGTTACGGAGGAAGAAGTCGCCGCTAAGAAAGTCACCGCTACTGCGTATGCCGGTAAGTGCACCCGGCGTACTTCCAAATCTAGTCTATGGCTCACATATCAAGTTCATCCGTACAGCTGGTGCAGACACCGTGAGTTCCCCCGCTCTGAGTCGTGGACACATTATCGAGCTATCCCACTTACTACTGTCTGGGTTACAGACGCTTTCGACCATGCAGAGTTTCTTTTTGGCCATGGCATCTAACCCCGATGCACAAAGGAAGGCGCAAGCGGAGCTCGACGCTGTAGTTGGCCGGCAGCGGCTGCCCACGTTCGCAGATAGGGAGTCCCTACCGTACGTCTGTGCGCTCATCAGCGAATGCCTGCGCTGGCGTCCGGTTGCACCCCTCGGCTTTCCGCATCGCTCCACGGAAGATGACTGCTTCCGAGGTTACTTCATACCCAAGGGGACGGTCACCATCGCCAACGTATGGTGAGATTTTCCCTCACCTTGCTTTCGGGTACCCTGTGCTGAACAATGCATCACAGGGCATACTCCCGCGACACGAGGTACTACCCGGACCCAGAGGCGTTCTCTCCAGAGCGATTTTTGAAGGACGGAAAGCCAAACCCCGATGTGCTTGATCCAGCAGCCTTCGTGTTCGGATACGGGAGAAGGTCTGTTGCGCATGCGATCCATCTTTGACGCGAGGCACTGAGCGGGCTACCATCCAGGATCTGCCCCGGGCGCCACTTTGCAGATGCATCGCTCTTCATGTTAACTGCGACCGTACTGCATACCCTCACAATTAGCGCCCCGCTCGATGCGCACGGCCACCCCGTCAAGCTCGAGGGCAAAATGACGGCGGGTGTTATCTCGTACGCTATCTTTCTCCCCGATACGATGGTACGACGGCATGCTTACATGGTTTCATCTTTTAGGTACCCAGAACCTTTCGAAGCCGACATCAAGTCGCGCGGGTCGTGGGCGGAGGCCCTTGTCCGGGAGAGCTGCAGCGCGGTCAATGTGTAGCCGACTTAACATCCCTATGCCCTTAGAAAGCTTCTTGTCTCGTTATCATGTCGTACTCATGGAATCAATTTGTTGACCACAGACGGCGACGGCGAACGGCGATCCACATTACATCGAGCATAACATATACCCCAGACCACGCAAAACATCAACGTTTAGTAAGTCGAATCGAATCTGCCAACCCCCACAGTCTACCTGGGGCGGTCTAAGACGCCGCATCATATCCTGCCTGCGCGTAAAGCGCAGCCTTGTCCCCGCTCCCGTCTACCAGGCTGCGGAAGTAGCCATCCTCCTTTTGGAGGAGCGAGCGCGGTGCGTCGTACTCGACCTGCGATGACGATCAGTTAACCCGTGTAGAGAGCAGTCCAAGCGACAGACTCACGATTCGTCCCGCATCGAGTACCATCTAGAATGAGGATACCGTCGCATCAGCTCCAGGACAGAATGCCTAGATGTGGTACTCACAATCCTGTCCGCGTCCATGACGCTCTGCAGGCGGTGGGCCACAGTGAGCACAGTGACGTCTCTGCCCAGCTCTTCGCGCAGCGTATTCTGGATGATCGCATCGGTTGCGTAGTCTGCCCACTCTGGTCAGCAGACATCCTTCCTACATTCACCATTCCGGCTCACCAATGGCAGATGTGGCTGCGGTCACGACTGCATTAGTACCCAATGACGATCGTACGAGCTGACAGACACACCTTCGTCGAGTATCAGTAGCTTGCTCCGGCGGACGATCGCGCGCGCGAGGGCAAGGATCTGTCGCTGGCCCACAGACAGGTTGCTGCCGCCGCCTGCGATCTCGGAGTCGAGTGTGAGCCGCGCGTTCTCTTCACCCTCCTGCAGCGAGAAGAGGCCGGCGGAGCGCAGGGCGTCGTTCAGTGTCGCGTCGTCATGCTCCTCGAACGGATCCAGATTCCTACGAAGCGTGCCACTGAGTAGCTCGGGCTGGATTGAGGCAGTTGTTGAGAATACAACAAGCATACACGTTTTGTAGATGCGTACCGTTTGTGGGATGATCGTGATGTTCGACCGGAGAGCGTCTAGGTTGATCGAGTCCGTGGTGATGCCGTCGTAGTAGACATTGCCTTCGGTCAATATACATCGTAGGAGTGCAAGCGTCAACGAGCTCTGTGCAGAGAACGTCGTAAGACTTATGCCGAAGGGATATATCTTAGCACGCGCATACCTTCCCACTGCCAGTGCGTCCCACTGTGAGATGTTAGAATACAGAAGCTACAGCTACAACGACTAGGACGTACCGATTCCAATTCGCTCCCCAGGCTTGACCTCGAATGAGATCTCGTGCAGCACGCGAGACCCATCCTGCAAGCATCGTAAGCGACAATAGACTATCCGCTGAGCTATCTTCTTACCGACGAGTAGCGTGCTGAAAGCTTCTCGACACGCAGCTCGCCGCTTGCCGGCCAATAGGCAGGCGGGACACCGTTGGTGGTCGGTTTCTGCTCTTGCTCAATGACGAGGTATTGCTGGACGCGCTCAAGGCTGATAATACGAGTCAGTCAAACGTTGGAACGGTTGTCGTGTACCCGAACTAACCTGTTCGCTGTGAAGGTATGCTTACGATCAGCAAAATCACGGACTCCAGATGCAGGACTGCATACCTGCAACTTGTAGGTAATTGAACATCCGCACTCCCTGCAGGATAGTCGCGCTGAATCCGACTGGGGACCTTGGTGTTAGAGTGTTCGGGTGGGAGGTATCAGAATATCGTTTGACATACCCGCCATGTTCATAGCAAAGCCGGCATTGGATGCGCTGACCCGTGCACTATAGACGAGATACGCAGCAAGGATCACAGAGAGAAGGGTGCCCATGACGTCTACTCGCACAGCAATCCACCTGTCACAGTAGTGGTGGCGAGATAAACTTCGTCCGCGGCGACGATGGGAGTACGACGCACCGATTCAAGCCGTTGTAGACAAAGGCGGCGCGGCTGTATCGGTCGACACGAAGGTACGACTCGCTCTTGAACTGGTCCTGCGCGCCGTACGCGCGAATAGAGACTGCACCTGCGTCAGCCGCCGCGGCCCTACAACATATCACACGAGGGAGACGCACCGATTCCTGAGATGGCTGAACCGAAATGTCCTAGCACCGGCGCGCGGGTGTTGCTCATCTCGCGTTTCACACAGATCTGAGCCTTCATGTATATCCATCCAAGTAGGGCGCCCAGGGCACCGATGATGACAGCGGGGACGATGAAAAGCGGGGCTACCAGGGCCGTTGCGATGACGCGCAGGATCATGAAGATGGCGGTTTCCACAGTGGCTAGAACAAATCTGGGTAGTGTGGTGTCGACTGAAGAAGACCGCGTAAGAATGGCTCGGTGCTGCCTGGTGCAGGAGACCTACCGGCTTGCATGTCCGCCGTGCACCGGGCTATGATACGGGACGTTGGGGTCGTATCGAGCCATCTGGTGATAAATGAGCGCGATTCGGACGTAGACCGAGGAAGCTGGACTACCTCAGAGTCGTGCCTAATATCGATGTCACCAGCTTGCTATGGATGATTCTGGAGGCGTGCATGGAACCGCTTATGTAAAATAGCCAAGCTACGGCGTATGAAGCGATAGTGGCGAAGACGAGCAGCCCGTAGATGGAGAGGTAGCTGGGGTATACGTGAGCCTTCAGGCCCCTTTGTGTAAATAGATGACTTACTATGCCACAGACACTTCGGAAGGTGCATGGTGCTCGTACTGCGCGGCCCATATACCTAGATAAAAGAACTATAACAGAATCAGCACGCCCAATTCACTGAAGCATCGATTAACGGTGTACCTGACTGTTCATGAAGCTGTGCGTCACGGCCATCATGGTCATGTATGCGGCCCAGTACAAGACAGGGTGTTTAGACGAGTTGACCGCGAACAGCCGCACTATAGATATAGAGTAAGCATAGCGCTAGTATCACCAGAATCACGCTTACAGGTATCCCAGCCTACGTGTCCCTCTTTGATCTCTTCGGCGACAACCAGCTTCCCGTTCTGCTGCGCATCTTTAGCTTCGAGCTCGGGTTTGCCCAGCACTTGCTCCACTTCCTTGAGCTGCTCCTCCTCGGTACTCAGCTCGGCCAAGAGCTTGCTGTCGTGCTGCAAGGTCTTGTCTGGGCTTCCTTGGCTCGCGATGCGTCCATCCGATCCAAGCGCAACGACGAAGTCCGCAATCGGGCGAATGAGCGCCACGTTGTGACTCTTTGGAGTAGGCGTCAGTGTCGCGTCGTAGATTTTTTGGCGTGTCTTACGTACCACGAGAAGAACGGTGCGTCCCCGAACAAGATCACCCTTGAAGCACTGATCTACAATCCACCGTCCTGTGTGAACGTCGAGGGCAGCCAAAACCTGTAAGATATTGTTAGGGAGTGGCCCATCGCGTAGTGTGGAGTATCTCACATCGTCCAGAAGAAGGATATCCGCGGAAGAATAGACCGCGCGAGCAAGGGTGAGGCGAGCCTGGACTCTGGCGTTAAAATGTAAACCGGGAGATGAAGCGCAAGACCACAACCTTTTGGCCACCGCTACCGGAAAAGAAAGGACGACGTTAGAGCTTGACTTGAACGGAGGTCTGAAGACGCACCTCAACGTGATCCCCTTCTCACCAACTTCAGTCTGGTCCCCGGCATCGAAGAGGCCAAGATCGCGCTCGAGCGCGCACTGTTTGACAACTAGCGTAGCCGGGCGTGTCAGCCCTACGATTTTGAAGATGATCGATGCAAGGCTTACCCTTCGCGTATCGCACCTCGTCAAGCGGCGCGCCGAACAGGATATTGTTCTAGCAGCGGATTAGTCGAACGTACCGGAATACACAAATCCCTCTGATTCTGCGGACTCACCCGAATAGTATCGCTCAAGACCCAAGACTCCTGCGCAGCATACGCAACGCCCCCTCCCCTGGGAAGACTGACGAAACTCTCCGGTCCGGACGGCCGCGCGTGCATCTCGCCAAGCAGCGCCATCAGCAGCGACGTCTTCCCTGACCCGGTCGGGCCGACGATGAGGTTCGTGCAGCCGCGCTTGAAGAGCAGCTCCCCGTCGACATTCAGGACGAACCTCCTGCTCTGCTGGCCGCTCGACGAAGAGGCGGGCGTCTGGACGTCTGCGTCTCTGGCCCATGTGAATGAGGTCTGTTTGATCCCGAGGACGTCTTCGTTGTCGCGGGGGCGATTGTATTCAGCCGGGGAGTCGGAGTTCATGAACTCGTCGAGGAGCTCGGTCTAGCGGACGTCAGTGAAAGACTTGACGGGCGATGATCGTAAGCTTTACCTGGTGCAAGAACCCGTTGATACGATCAAGGGAGACGCGAGCTATGTCACATAGAGTTAACAGGTAAACAGCCTTTCGCATCAGTGCGACGTGCCTTGTGTCAATGCAGGGATCGCGAAGAAGATGCCGTGCATCTGGTTCTGAATCAATATGAACGCTGCAATCGCTGTATCAGAAGTCGCTCGAGATAGGTTTTCGCATATACGTACCTGCGTTCGACGCAAACAGCTTCGACGCTGGAGGACAAGGACGTAAGCTATGGTTCTGCGAAGACGAAAGAGATACCAGTACGCACCTGTCAGTTCTTGCTTCATGACCGCGGTCTAGCAGATGGCAGACTGTCAACGGAGTACACGTATAGGAATCAGTGGCTACGCACGTAGACACTGAACGTAACCGCCATCGTGATGAGAGGAATGCTATAGCTGCGCGGGTGTCAGTACTACTACTCTTCCCAACCTGGGCGCGGTACGTACTTGAACAGGGCGTTGAAGATCTCCAGCCACCGCGACTGGCTGAGCTGCTTCAACTCGGCCTCTCTACGCTCGTCGAGCTGCGCGGAGACGCGGGACTCCCAGCCGAAGAGCTTGATCATGCGCACGACATTCAAAACTGTACAAATACGTGTTTCAACGCAACGTGCGATCGTTAAAGTGCTTGACTTACCTTCGTTGACGAGTTGAACTCGCGCGTCGGTCTTCAAGTGCGTGAGCGACAGTGACGGGACATGTCTGCATGTATGCGCCTCACCTTGTCCATCATCCTCTTCTGGAATGTCTGGATCCAACTGCTGAGGTACCCCGGGATAGGTATCAGAGCGACCAGAGTCGCAAGGCCCACCAATGCACTTCACATACGAGCAAAGATTGTAAGCGTGTGCGTCGCTGACGGAATTCGCAAGGGCATGACAGCGTACCTCCATCCCAAGATGCTGTACATGAATACGATCGCGGCGGCCATTTGTAAAGGGCTTTGAATAACTGAGACGACGATGCGTGAGTTCAGTGGGACACCGAATGCGAAATAGTATGTCCAGACTGACGGAGGAGGAGCCCCTGCTTGTTTCCTTCGGTGATGTTCGCGAGGTCGCTCGTGATGAGGTTGTTGAGCTTCCCGACTAAGACATCGCTCTTGGGCTGTGCGGGTGCGTCAGCAGCCGCAGCACCGTCACTCGGTGTGCCCTCGCTGTCAGTAGACGTCTCCGACTTCATGCGAATGCGAAGCGCGTGCTGGAACAGGAGCTCGGTGACAATCGCCTCGGTACGGATACTCAGTCGATTCTGGAAGTGACATATGAGCAGGCGCCCGAAACGGGAACGGCAGGGCAGGAAACGACGAACCATGGTCCAATTGTACCACTCCTCACAGATCGTTGATACCGTAGGGCCGACGAACATGAGCATGACCCACGCCCAAGGACGAACGACGGACTGTGCATGTCCCTTCTCCAGGTACCTGGAAGCAGAAATGAGCTCGAGCATTCTACCTAAATGCGGTGTAGATTTTCTCACGACAAGACGCCCTGGGTAGCGATCGGGTACGCCAGGAGAGCGATAGACTGCGCGAGGGTTAGACTAGACTGACATATTCTACTCGCGCTGCCAACGTACCGACACCGCCACCAAAGATGCGCCGAGGAGATATTCGACACCTGGTATGACATCAGCCGCCGAGTCGTGTCCGGGCAGATTCTCTCCGGTACTCACGATAGAGTTTCAGGAACCCCCAGAAGATGTGCGTGTCCTTCCGTGTCTCTAAGGGATCGAGGTACTATTGACGGCATGAGCGCAGTTCATTAAGGGAGCGCTCAGGAAAGACATACCTTCAGACTCTTCTCTACCAAGTTACGTGTGCGGTCGGAGTTCGCAAGAGTTGGAAGGTCTTCCAACGGGATATGCTCGACCCGATGTGCCTTCGCCACGGTCTCGTTGAGCCAGCTGAACATCCGCCGAGAGTACCATCCGGCTTTCTGCTCCTTGTTGGGTCCTTCCGGAGAGCGCGGAACGGTCACACGCGGCGTGAACACCGGAAGTAGAACCGCAGCCTCTGTCAGGATGAGCAGCTTGATCCAGATGAGCACGCCCTCGTCCGCATCTGCAGGGCGTAGGGTAGTCGTCGCAAGCGGGACCGCATCCCGGTACACGTAGACACCCCAGGTGAGAAGCAAGATCAAAGACAGGTGGTGGGACAGCAGAGCGCTATAGCGAGGGAGTAGTACGGCGGCCAGGGCGAGCGCGGTGACGTAAGTCTGGAATATAGCTCAATAAGAACGACTCGATGACGAATAGAGAGGCGTACGTATGTCTCGACCTGCACAAATTGAAACCACCAGGCTGGCGTATCGCTGAACCCATGGGAAGTTGTAGTCACAGTCGGTATCGAGAGACAGAGCAAGGCAACGCAGGATAGCAAGCGAGCAAGCTTGAAGACAAGAACTCCGGATCCGTGTTCTTCTCCTGACAGTGGGTTGCTTGCAGGAGCACCGCAAGCGATAGCATCTGGAAGGACACTCTTCGATGTGAGCGAGAAACATGTCTTGTGGGCCGTACGCAACAACAGCGCAACGACCGACAACACTATTCCACAGACAGGAAGGATGCGCGAATCATCTAATGCGGACCTTCGTGGTAGAATAGGTCAGCGTACTGAGCCCATGACACGCTCGAGGTGCTTACTGCTGCAAGCGTAGTATGTCCATGTTGAATTCCGCGTCGTTTCCAAAGACGCGTCTTCTTCGAATGTACAAGGGAGAGTGTGACAGGATGACGCGCCCGCGCTCGCAGTCTATTTGTACGCGCGCTGACGAGCGCTGACGCGTATACGGTTCAGATAGCAGCCACGCGTGTATGGGAGCAGATGGTCGTTAGTCTAGATCCGTCAATATCGCGACACATGAAGGCTCTACGGACTACGCAGACCGATTCGGTGGCCAAGGGGTTGCATATAGCCGGTGTCGTTTGTCGTTGCCGGCCGTGATGATCAGGACTCTCGCGGCACCAGATCCGCTGCCGATGAAAAGCTGTGCGCCCGTGCCTGCGCAGTGCATTCGACCCATCATTTGAGTTTCATAAGAGAAGAAAGCTTCGAGCTCAAGGAAGATGTAAGCTTAGGAGAAAAGCTGCTAGACTTGGGTTGTCACGAGCGTCTAGTATGAATCATCGCTGCGGCGCCCAGTTCTCCCAGCCAGGCGCAGCGTGCCAAGTTTTCTGTGTGCAGCGGACGAGATACTCGGCGGGGGCGAGGAGATGGTGGTGGTTGGAGAGAGGGAGCGATGTTTGCACACGACAGGTCCCTTCGCAGTGCTTCTTTTCGGGAACATCATATTCGGGAGGCCACTTTGGGCGCTCCGCAGGAAACCTTGCTGCTACATCGCAACCTGGCTTGAGGCGACATCTTGATCAGGACTCGGTAGGCTAAAGCTCTCAGCTGAATACGTCAAAATATTCGCCGCTCGCAGAATGGACGTATCCGCATGAACGCTTGCCAAGTCACTTGAGGTTTATCAGTTATGCTGCGCTCATCCCGTAATCGTTTGCCGCTTCGCCGGCATATATAGGTAGTCCGTAGTTCCTGTTTGAGGGAACCATGTTTCCAGGTATGATATCAACTACCTTGCCTTTCTCCTGCGCTGAGTCCTGACTTTATGGGCGCAGCACACCAGCCCGGACCGCGGGGACGCAGCTTAGTGCGACCGTAGACGCCGGAGGAGGATCGAAGAGCGCCACAAGCGCGTCTTGGACGCGACGCGTTTGTCTGCCAGTATTTGTTCATGCCACGCTATGATCGCTCCGCGTCTTCCGCTGTCTTCCGCCACTTGCCGCTCGACCAATATGTCATGAGTATTGTTTCACGATCCCCCCTACTGAGCAGGTTAGGGGCAGAAGCTGACATCCTATAGGATTCATTGGAGACATAAATTCAAGGCTCGGTTGTGTCGGATGTTGCCACATCCTCGCGCACCCGGCGGCGGAACATATCGCCAATCGCTTGCATCCTCGAATCGTTAGTCTCTGGAGAACGATCACCTCAGTTTGCTCCAAATTTGCTCCTGTTGCTCCCACCGGCATCCTCGCCTTGGAGCATACTGGCGGTTGATCGGTGCGTGGCGCAAAAGCATCCGGAGACATCCCAGGCGCTGCGGAGTGGGTGCAACGGCGCGTAGCCTGACAGATGACATCATATACGGAACACAAGCCGTCCTCAATGAACGGAGGAGGTCTCGACCCACGGAACCGGGTGCACGACAGACCGCCAACAACGCATGTTTGGAACAAACGGGGAGCAATCGCAATGTGGCTCAGGGAGATCCATATACGGTCAGTGCAGTGGAGCGGGTGCTTGTCAAGAACTCGTTGCTGACGTTGCGGTGGTGCAGGATGGGTGAGGGTCTGTGGTTCGGCAGCGATCCACTCAAAGGATACCTATGACGCTGCGACGACGACCATGTATATAACCTCCTCCCGGGGCGCCATAAGCCCCCACAAACTTACGACGCTCTTCACGACCTTGCTGCTCTACTCACGACATCCACATTCAACACACCTTTCCTAAATCTACCCATCTGCTATAATGTCTCTCCCCCAAGCAACCAAGGACATCTCCAGCAACCCCGCTGCGGGCGCCGTCACCGAGCCCATCGACCGCCAGAAGCTCCAGACCGACGTCGACCGCAAGCTCCGCCTCTACGGTATCTTCGCTGCCATCAAGCAGTCGCGTCTCCCCACCAATGACCAAATCGACTCCATTCTTTCCCATCTCTCCCACGGCAGCCTCTCCAGCTCCGACTCCCTCTCCCCTGACGGGCAGAAGCTCGTCCAGGACTCCCATGACATCATCGAGACTCTCCGCAAACTCGTCGCCGAGAAGAACGCGGACGAGCTCCTCCAGAACTTCTTCTGGCACACGCGCGACGTGAACGTTGACTCCGCGAAGAAGGACCCGAACGAGGTCCTCCCTGTCGAGGGCGACAAGGTCAGGTCTGACGGCCAAACGGCTGTCCAGCACCTCCGCACCCTCCTTTCGCTCGTCTTCACCAACGCGGAAGTGCGGAAGCTGTTCTCGGACTTCGGCGTGATCGGTCGCGACCTCGTCGCGCGCGGCGCTGAGAAGCTCGCGGAGCAAGCGCGTCCGGACCAGGAAGCGCTTCGCCGCATCGACGAGCCTGCTCCCGAGCACAAGTTCATTTCCGAGGGCGGCCGCGAGGTTGGCCCTAACGAGACCCCCGTAAGTCACATCGTGCTTGGGACTCGTATCGCGTAGCTAACCCGGTTGTACAGGTTCCCGAGGTACAACTCCCTGGTACCGATGTTCGTGTTGCCCACCACCCTCGCGCCGAGGACCCCGCGTCTGGGACTGCTATCAAGCACGGCGATGAGGTCAAGCGCGGTGACGTGGCGTATGACGAAGCTCAGCGTAAGAAGGACGAGTTCAAGAGTCAGGCACAGGTTCGTCTTATCGCGCATCCATTTGGAGTTATCTTCTAACCTTTTGCGCCCAGACTGAAGCCAACCGTCAGACAGAGGACGTCAGGCAATGTGCCGCTGTGGATGAGCCTGTCCAGAACGAGGCTGACGCCCAGACGCGCAAGCAGCGCCTTCAGGGAAAGTGGACAGACGTCAAGGACACGATCCGCGGCCGCGTTCCCGATGAGCACAAGGACCGCGCCAACGAGCAGACCGAGCGCGTCAAGAACTTCCTCAGCGACGAGTACTTCCCCGAGGAGCGCCGCGACCAGTTCATCTTCCGCTTGAAGAAGGTTTGTGTCCGTGATCTGGTGCTTTCCAATCCGCTCTGACGTCATACATTTGTATAGGTTGTTTACGAGTGCCAGAGCCACCAAGACTACCAGGGCTCGATGCAGTGGCTTCTTAACTTCCTCGAGGAGTACGCTTCGCACGGGCGCACCATCGCCGGGCACGGCAAGGACTCGCATCAGCAGCTCGCTGCCGACCCGAACCTGCAGACGTCGCTCGGTGAGATCCGCACTCTCCTCGAGCGGTTCGCAAACGGCCGCAGCCTCGACACGATCGGTGACGCCGCACGCGCGCTGTACGACGACGCGCAGAAGGACGAGGGTCTCCGCCACTGGTTCCGCGAGGTCGACGAGTTCGTGCGCAAGGCTCTCCTCGAGCCGGGCTACATCCTCGACGACCAGGCGAACGAGCGCGCGAAGGAGCTGCGCGAGAACGGCCGCCAGTTCTACGACGACAAGTACCAGGGCCACTTCGACAACCTCATCAGCAGCGTCCAGACCTGGTTCGGCGCGATCGCCGACGACCCGCTCAACAAGCAGTACGTGTTCTATAGTTAGCATATAGTTGTGGTTTACTGATCGCTCGTGCAGGATCGGAAGCAACTTCGCGACCCTCGCGAAGGATCTGTTCTTCGACGGCGACGGCAACCTCAAGTTCAAGCCCGAGCTCTGGGCCGATGTCCGCCAGCAGATCATCCCCGGCTTCATCGAGCAGGTTGGGTACGTCCCGATCCCGCGCATCGAGTACACGGACGAAGCTGTCGATCTCGTCATCGAAAACCTCGCGCTGTCGGGCAAGAACCTCTTCCCGAACCTCATCGAGATGGAGGCACGCAACTTCGCCAAGCTCAGCGCTTACAAGAACATCAAGTACGTGATGCCGAGATGGGCTGCTATGGACTGCATGCTGACGCACACGCAGGGATGAGTTCCACCACGAGTTCACGCTCACGCTCGGCCAAGTGCAGGCGGACATGCGCGACGTCGCCTTCTACTTCCGCAAGAAGACCGGCACGCCCAAGCTCACCGACTCCGGCCTCGCCGACATCCTCCTCGGCGGCTCCGGCCTGACCACCACCGTGCACCTCGTCTCCGCCGACAAGGACCGCTCGTCGGTCTTCAAGGTCAAGGACGTCACGACGAACATCCACACGCTCAAGTTCTCCATCCGCGACTCGAAGCACGACACGCTCTACAAGATCTTCGGCCCGCTCGCGACGGGGCTCGTCAAGAAGCAGTTGCAGAACGCGGTCGGGCAGGCCGTGCGCACCGCGCTCGAGTACGTCGACGGCCAGCTCGTCGCCGTGCGCGACCAGATGGCGCAGGCGAGGGCGAGCGAGGACGTCGGCCGCCGCGACGTGCTCAGGCAGCAGCTTGCCGCGCGCAAGCAGGAGGCGGACGCGGCGAAGGCGAAGAAGGAGGCGCGCGGTGCGCAGTTCAAGGTCGTCACCTCGCCGGGGGACAAGATCTTGGACGCCGGGCACCCGGATGGCTGGGTGAACCGCACGCAGGAGCGTGTGCAAGCTGCGAAGACGGGCGAGGAGTGGCGCAGCGAGGCGTACAGCGTCGTATGAAGTGCTCACATCGGACAGACTCTATCGCCCTAGGAATTGTGTAGGATAGCGCCTTGCTGTATCTGTATGACAAGTACGAATAATTTGTAGCATATCATCATATCCGATTTGTTTCATCGTCATTTGCTGCCTGCTTGCTCGCATCGCTCGAGTTTGTCGCGAACGCGTGATGCTCTTCAGTCTGAACTCGTGTGCATCAACACATGCTCAGGTCACAGCACAACAAGCGATTTATTCAACGAGCGGCCTTACAAAGAGCGACGTCTACAGGAGTGAATACAAGTACGAGAGCCACAATTACACAAAGCGGCTACAACAGAGTCCCAAAAGCGCAAAAGCCAAAGACGAGTATGAAATGCCAAGTCGAGCGCACCCCGCTTAGTTCTTCGTGGACACCTTCGGGAGGTTCTCCGACGTAGTATCGACCGCAGAAGAGTCGAACGGGAACTGAACGACCGCGAACCCGCTCACGAGGTTCGCCGCGCTCGGCGGGTCCTGGGTCGACACGACCGCCGCGTACACCGTGCCGTCGAGGCCCGCGGGGACCGCCGCCTGCCCGCTCGTGATCGGGGTGTACTGCACGGTGAGCCCGTCGAGCCACGCGAGGTAGTACTTCGCGGCCGCGGCCTTGAGCGTGAGCGAGACGAAGACGGTGCCGCCCTGCGTGGGGTACCCGGGGTACACCGTCAGCTGCGGGTACGACCGGAGGGGCAGGTCCGGGTTCGCGTCCGGGCACTCGTCGATGTATGGCACTATAGTGAGGGGTCAGAGGGATGCATGGGGTGTCTGTAATAGGGAGGGAGGTAGGACTGACCGATGAGCGAGTAGGCTTGGCTGGGCTCGAGCGGGGTCTCCCAGGCGCCGTTCCACGGCTGACGCTTCTGGATGGCGGAGGTGATCCAGGCGGCCTGGCGCGACTCGGAGGCCCCGGCGGCGGCGATGTTGACGGCGAGTCCGGAGCCGTCGATGAAGGGGAGTGCGCCGAGGCCGGCGGAGGCCTCGACGGTGGTGAAGCGCTGCGCGAGGTCTATGAAGGACGGGACGTCGGAGAGGCCGCTGTGATGGGACGCAAGTCAGACGCCTGAGCGGTATGAGATGGGGGCATTGAGAAAGCTCACAAGTTGTAGGTGCAGGCTGCGGGCGCGTCGGCCGAAAGGGCGTTGGTGAGCTGGGTGACGTGCGCCGCCTCGTGCGCGGCGATCTGCTTGAAGCGGTTGCGGACCCAGGTGGGGTAGCCGGCGGTGTGGAAGTCGCTGTCGGAGAACTGGGCGAGGCCCTGGGTGAAGAGCGCGCTCTCCGCTTGCTGGATCGTCAGGATATACTGCGCGATGCTCAGGTCTGTCGGCGCGTGTTGTCATCAGTGTCGTGCAATGCCGGCTAGAGAGGGGAGGCGGGGCTCACCATCCCAGTCGCTGGCTCCGAGGACCGCGACAGCACCGGCGAGTGCGAGGAGGATGGCCTTGCGGAACATGGTAAAGATATGCAGAAGTGGAAGGGGTTTCTCGCAAAGGAAGGTGAGTGCGTGTGGGCTGGGGTAACCGTTCTGGGGAGCTGAACGATGAGGACTTCACAGAAGATAGCCCAGTATTTATACGTCGCCGACACCTGCGAGGCTCCCTGCACCTTGGGGAAGGCTTCATCCCTGGCCATTCTGAATCCCGGGCGCATGGAGAACGTGCATCGCACAGACGCTACGTCACGGAGAGCGAGTGCAGTCGTGTTGGAGGACGCGTGTCAACTAGGGTTCAAATTGAGACATATGCGAGCCAATCGCCTTGGCAGAAGGAAGCTACTGTGTTATGGAGGTTGGTGAGTTGTTGACTCTGATTTCCGAAAATACCAATGATGTCTCACCTTCGCGGGCGATATCCTGCTACCTGCAACGTCAGTACATTTAGAAGGCACAGTCTGAGTACCCAGGCCCAACTGAATCTGTCTCCATGCATTCAAGGCGTCAGACGGTATACGCTTCCATCACACACGAAGCATTTCACCTGGCACAATGTTGGGTGTCTCAGTGTCTCAGTACTCGAGTACTGCGAGTGCCCATAGGAATGAACATATTTACGATGCTTACCCAATACCAGCGGCATTTCAGGTGGTTGACCTGCGCAGTGGGAAAGGGCCCATCTGATGTCTGAGCTCTCCTGCATAGTCTACTACCTGTACTGACCATTGCGCAGTGAGGTGCTGCGGCAAGCGAGGGGAGCGTCTTGCAGTGCGTCGCCCGTCAGCAGCAGTGGTGCTTTCTCCGAAATTGTTGGAGCGAGCCAGAAATCTGGTTGTCGAGTGAGAGCTAGGTGTTCTGGTTTTCCTGTACGGTAGCGTCGTAGTACAGAGGCAAACAGACAAGTATGCAGCGTACGAAAAAGGATTCGGGCCCCGCGATACTGAACGCTTCGGCAAGCGCCAGCGAGCAGGCGCCTGCAGGCGCTCGCTCGCTCGCTCTAATCCCAAAAAATAACCGAGACCGTTGTATCATACAGAAGAGCCCAAGAGAGATGCGCTAGCCCATTTAACGAGGTCTAACGTCGCAGGAGGAGGAGTGCAGCACGGTATACCGTAGGCACTGTGCATGCGTCGAGTGCTCGGGCCGACTCGGCGCCCGAGGGCGCCCGGGGCCAGCACAGCTATCGCTGCCTGTCCTCCAACCATTACGAAGGGCCGTGCCAGCAGCGTTGCCATCAAATTCCAATCAAATTCCAAGCCCCAGTAGCGTCCGCGTGGTCGGACAGTACCCACAGCAATCCTGCGCTCTTGGTGGCTCGTGAGCAAGAGCTGCGTCCTCTCAAAACGAATTGACACACCGGCGGGCGGTGGCTCCTTCGGTGGGTTCCCCGAACCTCCCCCGCGTCATTCCCAAGACTAATTATAAGCTCAGAAGCACCGCCGTCCATAGATACTGCTGCGGTGTATAGGGGTATATAGGCCAATGCTCAGGACACGAAGTCGTAAACTTCGTTTCTCTTCATCTTCTGCCTCTCGCCATGGGCCTTACCACTCCGACGCTGGAAATCGGTGCTCTCTTACTGACAGCTTTCCTCTACGGAGTCTGGAGATTCTATGGATTCTTGCGCATCGTATACCTTACTCCCTTAAGTGACCTGCCGGGCCCACCGTCGTCCAGTTGGGTATATGGGAACATGAGAGATATCGCCGCTGTGGACGAGAATCTTCTCCCGGACACCTGGTTCACGCGGTATGGAAAGAACCTGATAGATCGCGAGTTCTTCATGGTTCGTCATTGTTTTACCTCTCGCTCGTCCTTCCCTCATTCTCATGCGTGCAATTAGCGGCCGCGTGTATGGTCGCTCGATTCACGGGCCATCCAACACGTTTTGTCCCATCCCAACGACTTTCCCAGGACAGACGAACTACAGCGGAGTCTTCGCGATCTCCTGGGGGCAGGTACGTTCCTTCCCAAAAATCCGTCTAATAACCGCTGATCGACCTCCCTGCATTCAGGTTTGCTCTCCGTGTGGGGTACGTTCACGCCACCTGTTGACGAAGATATCGTTTGGCTCACAAAATTTAGGCGAAGAGCACCGGAGACAGAGGAGAATACTTGTTAGTGTGAACTCGTGTCTCTGCGCATACTGCAGCTAACCCATCTGAATAGAATCCTGCATTCGGACCAGCGCAAATCCGTGACCTCACCCACATCTTTGTCGAGAAGGCTAACGAAGTACGTCCATGTATCATCACACACGCACGCCTGATCGATCTCAACGCATCTGCGCAGCTACGTGAATACTGGACTGAAGCCAGTGCACGAAGTGGCTCTGTCCGAGTGAACGTAAACGACGATCTCAGCAAACTGACGCTCGACATCATTGGCCAAGCAGGCATGGATATACATCTTTCAGTCATGTTGCGTGCGACTTACATGTCCTGCCCCCACGTAGGATTCGGATACGACTTCAATGCCATGAACCCCGCAGAGAAACCCAACGAGCTCTATCTCGCGTTCAAGGGGCTATTCATGACCAATCCGCCGATCTTTGCGCTGATGCCCATCCTACTCTTCTGGTTTCCCATCCTGAAGCGGATCGTGAGTGAGCTTCCTCTATGCGGCGTTTAGGTGTTCAGTAGGCTCATCATATCTGGCACCAGCCCATGCACCGCACGGTCACCGTCAAGCATGCGTCCGAGACCGTCCACCGCATCGGCGCGCAGCTGGTGGCAGAGCGGAAAACGGCTATCCTCAGGGAGGCTTCGGAGAAACACTTGAAACGCGAGGATTTGCAAGGCCGCGACCTCCTGACGCTCCTCGTCCGCGCCAACATGGCAGAGGATATTCCAGAGAGCCAGCGGCTTTCGGACGAGGACGTCGTCAATCGTATGTTCCTTCCGCTTCTCCCGCTTGCCACAATCTGACGCGACCTTCGTTGTGCAGAGATTCCAACGTAAGTTTTTGGGTTGCAACGCTATGCTGCGCATTCCACCAACCCCGGTTTGCTCCTCTCTAGCTTCCTCCTCGCGGGACACGAGACGACGAGCACGGCGTCCACGTGGGCCCTCTATTCGCTCTCCCGGTACCCAGCGGCCCAGCAGAAGCTTCGCGAAGAACTGTTCTCCATCCAGAGCGACACGCCGACCATGGACGAGCTCTCTGCTCTACCGTACCTCGACGCCGTCGTGACCGAGACCCTCAGGCTGCACTCCCCGACTGCAATGCTCGTGCGGGTCGCGGCGAAGGACGACGTGATCCCACTCAGTGAGCCGTTCACCGATCGCCACGGGAAGATGCACAGCGAGATCCGGTAAGCCTCATAGACCCAAGTATCCGTCCAATCGAGGTCAGATATTCATTGGCTGTCCTATAGGGTCACGAAGGGCCAGAAGTTCGTCGTTCCTGTAATGGCCCTGCATCGTTCCGCGGAAATATGGGGCGAGGACGCAAGGGAGTTCAGGCCCGAGCGCTGGCAACAACCCCCTGAGGCTAGCTCGGCCATCCCTGGCGTCTGGGGCCGCCTGCTCACCTTCATCGGGGGCCCGCGCTCGTGCATCGGCTACCGTTTCGCCGTCGTCGAGTGCGTATTCGATACGCGCCTATGCTTTCGCGGACACTGCACTGACACCTCCCTACCTCCCTGCACACAGGCTGAAGGCGATTTTGTTCACGCTCGTGCGCGCGTTCGAGTTCGAGCTCGCGGTGCCTGTGGACGACATCGTCGTCAAGACTACACATACGGGGCACCCGTCTCTGCGAAGCGAGCCGGAGAAGGGGCACCAGCTTCCGCTTATCATCAAGCCGTACAAGGCTGCTTGAGCTGTGTGATGGACTCACGGCGCGCTAGGCTACGATACAGTATTGGACAGTGTGTTTGGCGTCGGTATCGCGTATTCGGACTTCTTATGACGCTGTTAGGTCGACTTATTGCCAGGAGCATCTGATAATTGATACCCTTCGTTCTTTACAAACCTATATTTTAGCATAAGTCGATAGAGTGGTCGTCACCGACCGCCAATCCTGGTTTCGCATCATTCCGCTCGTATTTATCAACGCCGAAGGAACGTAAATTACTCCTCGAGTGCGACGGGACAACGAAACGAGAAGCTGTCTGAGGTGTTATGGATATCAGGGCGGCTACATGGTGACCGGGCTGCAGCTCTCCCGGACAAGGGCCTCCGCCCACGACCAACACGATCTAAGTATATGAGCCAAGAAACAGAGCGATGTTCAGAGACCGACGCGGTGCAAGTTGCGGATATCTTAGCAAGACTGAGTCCGCTATGAGTTACCCATGCTGCAACTCTCCCGGACAAGCGCTTCAGCCCAATGCGTACGTGGCTTGATGACCACATCAAAGGGCTCCGGATACCTGCACAGTTATACGTTAGCGCTTGGTGATAGACGAGCGACAAAAGAATCGCGTACGAGATGAGGCCGGGCGTCATTTTCCCCTCGAGCTTGACTGGATTTCCCTCTGCATCAAGCGGCGCACTTATCGACAGTGTGTGCAGAACGGTGGCTGCAGTCATGAAGAGTGCGTCGTCGGCAAAGTGGCGTCCCGGACAACTCCTAAATCATGATAGCTCGTTTCAGGTCGTCGGCGTTTGGAGTACATCGCACGCACCTCCTGCCATATCCGAAAACAAAATTCGCTGGATCGAGCACGTCTAGGTCAATCTTGCCGTCTTTCAAAAATCTCTCCGGCTTGAACGCCTCCGGGTCTGGGTAATACTCTGTATCGCGCGAATAAGCCCTAAGAGATCCTGTTAGTCCGCCTGTTCGTTCCCTTCCAGCAATGAACTTACCACAAGTTTGCGATAACTGTAGTGCCCTTAGGGATGAAGTGACCGCGGAATTCGTCGTCCTCAGTTGAGCAATGAGGGAAGCCAAACGGGCCGATCACCTTCCAGCGCAAGCACTCCTTGAGGAGAGCTGTAAGGTATGGGAGGGACGCTTTATCAGAGAAGCACGGAAGGCGATGGGGCCCGACGATAGCGTCGAGCTCAGCTTGTGCTTTCTTCTGTGACTCGGGAAAGGAAGCCATTGCGAGGAAGAATGTTTCGGTCGCCGAAAGTGTCTAAATCACGGCATGTTATAAACGGAGGGAGTCAACGGCAGCCAAACAACTGCAGGAGACTCACGGTGTCCGCTCCTCCTGATTAGGCATGATCGTCAGCGAGCCAACCTCCCTGTCAATTGCGGGTGACTTACCGGCGTACGCAGCAGCCGCAACATTTCGGGATATCTCTTCTCCTTCATTGGCTTCGCGTCCTTCCAGGGTGGACATCTCTTGCGCGAGGTTGGTTGCCACGGAGGAGACTGCCGAACCGTCTCGCTTTTGTGATTGGAAGAACAAATGTGGTTATCATGACGGTCAGGTAGTTCAAATTTGGAACGTACGATCGTTTTCATAGTGAAGTCCCAGGGGGCATCACGCATACGGCGAGTGATTGGCATCCACGTCTTGCCCTCGCGTCTGAACTTTGCGCCAGGGAGCCACGGGGGAAGGAAGCGCAAAAACGGCAACACTTCAACTAGATATTTGCCGGGGACCGTTATGGCATTCTGAATGGCGACGGTAGCCTCGGCGAGGACGACATATTCATTTTCACGGCCGCTGACTTGGAGACCGTAGGTCACACGCAAGATGGTGGCCGTGTCAGCGCTTTGTGGATATAAGCGAACGACTCTTTCATACCGAAAGTAGAGCACGTACAATCGGATGTGTTCGAGGAACTTCTCCGGTTCTTGCATAACGCGAAGAATAAAGCGGTGTACTTCTTGCTCCTGGATAGGTCGGTACGGGAGGATGGCCTTGGAATTGAAGTGCCGGTGGAACAGCTTGCGCTGTTGCCTCCACCATGAACCGTAGGGAGTAGACCCGAAGAGCCAATCCAAGCCCGATCTACAAATGTTGTTCAAAAAAGTGAGGAGAGTACGCGGGCAGATGCATACGATAAACTCACAGTTTGGTCATGGTGGAAACATTTCTGTCGGAGTAGATAGCAGACCGCTTCTCCAGAAGGTCAACTGCGGCCGAATGGTTCCCGAGAATCACCGTGGGTTGTCCAAGAACGTTCAAGTAAACAATATCACCTATCCGAGTGTCGTTAATCAGAAGCTCGAAGGGGTGAAGCAATTTCAAACCATACCATATGTCGCATTCATATCACGGAATGCTGACACCATGCCCTCCGTAGGGATATCGAGTACATTTCCTAGAACCGGGAAGCCTCTCGGGCCTGGAGGCAGCGGAAGTCTGTTTCGGTGTCTTGCAAGCCGCCTATGCACGTATATGACGAAGCCGACACCAGTTGCGAACAGCCAGACAGAGAGGGCAGAGAGTGTCATCGTATCGCAGAGGTGGTTGGGGACGTGTATTTCTGAGGTGAGAGATGAGTTTATGAGCACCAAGACGACGCTCTCTTTATTGAGACGTATGATGAGCCACTCGGTGATTCGAGAGCACTGTAGCAATACAGTAAGTGCCGATCCACTGCATCAAGAGCGAGGTGTACCCACCGGCGATGGCATCTTCGCTGAAGGAGAAATTGGACCGCGAACGAGTTTTTTTTCGGGTCGTGTGGACATATCGGTCTGGCCAGTTGCTTGTATAGGATGACACATCTCCAGGAGTTGTTTCAGGTTGATACGACCGACCGGTCTCAGCGGGTGTGGCGCGGAGAAATTGCGCTATTAGACAATCCCGATGGCCGTTCCTGACAGTCGCCATTGTGTGTCATTCTCTAGCATGGAGGAAGATAATACCTCTGGTCGAGACTTGCGCTGACCGGCGCTTCATACCGGTAGTGTACGTCCGCGATCCCGCCGTGGCGTCCGATCCAACGTCTTAACGGACGTGGTATACCCGATGTCAATAGTAACGAAGTAGTCGTCGGAGACTGAGTAAGCCTCCGAATCCGCTGTCACGGAGAGACTGCACTACCATAGTGAAGCTGTCGCATTGTAAGGCCACCGTGTAAGCGCATACACGCAACACACGAGACCTCAGGAGCTAAATAAGTAAGCTGAGTACTTACTAAATCAGCCACGCTTGTTTCGATGCAAGAACATTGTGGTACTTGCCTTGCCAAACGTTGACACATGTACTCAGTACTGGCCTTCGTACCAGACACACACGCCCAAGATAACCCCTCCAGAGGTAGCAAGCCAGACTCGCTACTAGATACGCAGGATATCGACGTTCGAATGCAAGGTGCGGAGCACGACGGGCGCTACCAAACATAGCGGGCGTCGAGCGCTTCCAACTTTACGCCACACAGCATCGCTGACACATACCAGCTCCCAAGTCACTCAATGCACCATGGAGACTTTAAGGAGCAGCAGGGAATGCATTTCGAAGACGATAGCGTATCACATCACGTTCAACAAATAGACCTAATCAGCTCGTACGCGAAGCCCTTCAAGTTCCACCATAATACCAAGGATCATAAAGTTATCTACTTCCAATCAAGTTCGTTCATCGTGCCAGACATTACTGCCCGCCACCATATAGTGTTACCGCATCTTACGAGTCGAGGGGGCTGCGGGGAAGAACATCGTCAGCATCTCGCACCGCCCTCGAAGACAGATATCACTTACACGGCAGGGATGGTGGTCTCAGGACCTGTCAGAACACAAGAACGTCCGATCAGCTCGCATTCTGTTATGTGAGCTGCAGGGAACTTACCAGGCGCGGCAGAGAGCGTAGGGAAGGGCGTGGCAGCGCACGCAGCCTCAATGTCGGCCATCGTCTTGCCCGCGGGGAGGAAGGGGTCCGCGACCGTGCCGGTCGCGATCGGGATGACGTCCGAGCAGTCAGTGAGCGCCGACTGAGAGAACCCGAGCAGGGACAGCTTGAGCACGGTCTGCTCGAACTTCTGGAGCATGTTTGCGCGGTCGGCTGTGGGGGAGACGGTCAGCCCGGCGGCATCGAGGGATAGAATCGTAGACGGTTACGTACCGATCATCTTCTGCCACTCGCACGAGGTGCGGGAGTCCCTGGACGGCGAAGTTAGCGTGCGCACTCCCTTCTCCGTGCCCTGACAAGGCACGGCGACGACGAAGAATAACTCACCGGCCGATGAGGAAGTCGGACTGAAGACGGAACTCTCCGGGGAGGGGCGACTGGACCTCGCCGTCGTGGAGGGCGCTGCCGGGGGTGAGGGTGCCGTTGAGCATCGACTCGACGAAGAACTGGGCGTCGAAGTCGCTCGGGGTGGAGTCGAAGGGCGTGCCGGGGATGGACTGCGTTCGGTCAAACACGTCAGCGCCGGCACGAGATCGTTGATACCACTGGCACCTGTCCCACCCCGACGTTCGCAGGATGCGAAGCACGCGGGATGGGGCCTCGAGGTGGAGAGAAGCGGACTTACGTCGTCAACCTTGTCCTGCGCGGCGACCGTGTGCGAGATCAGCATCCAGACGAGCTCGACGGGCGCGAAGCCCGCGTCGGCGACACGTGCGAGGATGTCGGTGACGGAGTCGCTCGGGAGGGGGACGAGGTTGTCGGGCGCGGGCTGCGAGTCGTTCGAGCGACCGGCGAAGAACCCGATTTGCGGGCCACCGTTGCAGTTCGACACACCGACCGCTCCCGCGAACTGGATGCTGTTAGGGCGCAGTTAGAAGCTGATTCCCGGACGCACCAATTTGAGTGCAAGATGCGAGCGGTGCTTACAAGTCGCCGAAGGACACGTTGTGCTTGAGCGCGAAGGGGCGCTGCTCCTCGATGATCTCGTCAAGGCCGTTGTTGGCGGCGTACTGAATCTCGACGTCGGTGTGGGCCATGATCGAGCCGTCTGGAACGTGATTAGATGATGCCCGCCGGCGGTATGATTTCCGAGGACTTACCAGCACCTCCGCCGCTATAGAAGACGTCAGTATAGGGTTACTTCCGTCAGGGAAGAAAGTAAACGCACCCGAACTGCCCTGCCGCCGTCAACGCAGGGGAGAAGGCGATGGCGTCGTGGAAGATGAGCTGGATGGTGGTGATCAGCGGCTAAAGATGTCTAAGCTTCCAAGGGTAGTTACCCGGAGAGATTCGTGGGCGTTCTCGCCACACTCGCCGCCGTGGAAGCTGCGAACATCGGATGAGGGACCGGCCACAACGTCCAGAGTACTGAATGCGACTTACAGGTTGCTCTGAATGTCGTCGAGGACGTCGAACCACACGCAGCACTGTGAAGATCGTCAGCACGGTGCTAAGCACGATCGACGTAGCAGCGTGATACTCACCGCATCGTTAGCAGTGGTCTGACCGCCGCTGCAGGTAGCCCGCTTGTTGGCGGACGGGACAGCAGCGGTGAAGGACGCAGCGAGAGCGACGATGGAGAGGAGGGCCTTGGAGAACATGATGAAGGTCGTCGAATGCAAGCGTGCTGAAGCGGTCCCGAGTGCTGTCCTGCGAGTCGTCGACGAGTGTCGTTTGTTGGTGAAGTCCTCCTCTTCCCCGCAGACCCTTTATACTGTTCCGTGCGGCATGCTGATCAACAGACGGCCGGTGCATGCAAGGCGGGCTAAGCCCGCATCCGGACCAATGCCGCAGAGCGTGTGTTGCATACCGCACCGCCGGACGCGCGGGCGCGCCATCTCCATCCGCGCGGCCCCGCCCACCAGTTCCTCGGACGGTGACAGCGCACCCGACGCGGCACGCCCTCTGGTGACCGCCGACCCAGCGGAGCGGATACGCCCAATCGCGACGCGCTGATTCCAGCATTTGTTGTACCGTCTTTGCGGGTTGTGTGGTATAGAGTGTGCGCTTGCCGAGCTGTGCAAACCGGTACCGCCCGGCGACAGGCGTGGTATGTCTTGCTAGGAACCCGGGCGTATTTGGCAGATCCGTTCTCGCGAAGGTGTGCGAGCCCGCCGCGATGTGGCCCGCAAAGGAGAACGCTGGCCTTCGTCGCTGTCTCCGACCAGGAACGCGCCAGGAACGTTCGTGAGAGGGCCCGCTCTGCAGGGCGCGGAAGAGACGCGACACGCCCTTCATTCGGCACCGGCATGCACGGCGAGCTTGCGATGCCTCTTTCGTGGTGTGGCAATAGATGCTTCCAGCTGAATGTTTAATGTGTATATGCGAGTGCGGAGCAAACTTGGTGAGAGTCATGAATCATCCGCCTCATACGCTCTGACAAAACGAACGCATGATCGCTCACCGAGTAGATGGACGCGTCGACCGCACGCGGTATCGCTGATAGAGCGGCCGACCTAGACGCTTTGGCGACGAACCCGAGCATCACGATGGCGATGACCAGCGGTGTCACGAATGAATGCGCACGAGGATTTACCACCGAACGGGAGGGCGGGCGACTCGTTTCATGAAGGCGGCAACGGAGACCGCAGTTGTTGCGAAAGGCGTTGCAGGTCTTCGCTCGCCGTCGCGCCGCGCACTCCTGTCTGATGGTCGACTTGAAGAGAGCCGCCGCAGGACGGAGACCGGGTGTGGACGTAAGGCGCTGGATGTCTCCGATGTGCGGAGCCTTCTCAAGTTCTTACCGCAGGCCCTGTCTGAATGTCGGCCTTAGGCGCTGCAATGCCGCCTGTTCGAGCATAGAGACACCTTGCTCAGTATCCCAGAGTGAGAACGGGGCTTCGCTGTCGGGGTGGCGTTGCTGGCGGCGAACTTGGAGCCGTCCGAGAAATAGACAGTGATAGAGCAGACGTGAAGCGGTGTAGCGTGAGAGGCGCGTTCCGACATACTGGACAGAGAAGAGCACGGAGCCAGCGCGTGTGCCAAACTGCCAGTGCCGCTCATGAGAACCTCATGCAGCGTGCTAGGCGGTTGAGAAGGAGTGATAGACAACGCAGCGCCCGCCGACGGACTTGAGGTGACGAATGCCGAATACGGACGGCACTCTCGTACGGGCGCTTACTCGCACCGGGCCGCATTTGGCGAAGTTTCCGAGACCAACCTCCTTGACCGCCGTCCTCACCGTCCACGGTGCCATGTCCTCCTTCAAATATTGTCAAAGCGATATAAAAACGCTCCTGTGGGATACTGTAAGTCAGAATCAAGGCGGGAGCCTTTTCACCGCGAACAGCAGCTGTGACATGGCAGTCGCACAGTATGTAGGTTATTTTTATAATCTGACCAAAGCCTGACTACCTCCAACCCTGCTGATGTACAAGTACTCAGGAAGGGTAATATTGATACTAACAGCTCTTGCAACTACGCCGCGCACATATGACTTTGATATCTTGGGCTCCGGGTTGGCCACTCAGGAACGCCACCTTCAACTCCAGGCGTTCATCTGTCTGGACTCGCTGCGGCCCTCTGCACTCTGTCGCCGAGTCGGACCGCCGTAGTCTCCGGTCTCGAGAAGTTGAAAGAACAATGAAGACGTTCTGCTGAGGTATGTGGCGGCGGCGAATGCGTTCTCACGTCAATCATGCTATAGGTACTCGCGCGGCAATCCGTACGTGCCCGCGGCATGCATATTCTCCAGGCCGCATCCGTTGGGGCGGAATGCGTTCGCTGAATGGAGGAACAGGTACTATCAGACGTGAAGTGACTCGAGCTCCTCAGTCCTCCCCACGATTGTATGCGGCCCGATGGTTATCGCCATTCGGGATCTCGGCGTCGCGCACGTACTCCCTGGACGCCCTCCGTACTATGTGCGACCCAAGATAGCCCGAAAGGGACACCTCAGGTCAGTCTCTGCAAACGGCGGCTCGAAGGATCGGAAGCTTACTGCGTGCCTAGTGTCTAAGCCTCACGCTAGTGGAACTTCTCCGCACAGTGAGCGTACCTTGATGCTCAACCGTGCGCCGTACTCCAAATGCTCCTCTGGTCTGTATGTGCTCGCGCACGTTCCGCGGTTCTAACCCCCGCGGACCTTGACACGCTCACAGTCACAACACCGGCGCCCTCGTATAGTCCGGAGCTATCTCCCGGTGCCAATTCTCGACTCCAGGCCCGACGCAAAACTTTGTACATCAAGCATACGCTCCTACGGTATCGCGTTCGACAGGCCGAACGGCATCAAAACCGCGGGGGGTTCGCTTCAGACTCGAAGACGCACTCGCGAACGGCGACGAGCATCGGACCGAGGTCTTCTGCCGGAGGCTCGACCTCGACGAGCCGATGAGTTGGGCTTGCTATCGGGCGTAAGCTCGATAGCACGTCGTATCCCGAATTCTCCATGTGTCGAACTAGCGCACACCTTTCAGCGCGATGTGTGTTTGTACCTGCAATACAACCATCCGTGATTCAAGTTAGCTATAGGCTACAGTGCCCTTCCCAAGCTTGCGACGTCCAACGATACGCTGTGTATAAAAAAACCTGCTTCTCCCCGCGATGAACCTTGCCCGGATTGAACGGACGACCTTGAGGATTTCCCTAGAACCGGAATGCAACCGACTTCTGGAATCTCACGCGCTACCACTGTGCCAAAGGTTCATAAGCTGTGGGCAGCTGTTGCTGTCCTCGACTTGTGTGTCTCCTCGACGCGTTTACACATTACGACTTGCAATCCTGAGCGACAAGTTCTCCATCCATTCATGACGGGTGCTCAGCCGCCAGGCCTGCGGCCAGCTGTGATGCCTGATATATCAGGTATGGAATAGTGCGCGATTCAGTATAGTGTACTTGACTTTGCAGTCGGAACGAAGGCGATGGCAAAGGAGCGCCAGCGAGCCTTCCCCCGTCAATACATCTATCCCGTCCTCGATCAAACTCCCAAATCCATCCGTGCTCGATCATGGTCGCCCGCGTTGGATTGATCTGCACACCCGGACTGGAAGCCCGGAGACGACGGCACATCTGTGTGAGCCCGCACCGCCCGCGGACGATCAACTGCGCCTCCATGGGGAAGTGGGGTCGGAAGCACCGCGAACAGCGACGTATGGCGGGTCTGAGAAGACCGTCGTTTGACGGGCGATGAAGGAAACCATGTGCTCAGAGAGAATAACGCGCATAATGGCGGGTTTGGAAGGCGAGCTGCGAGCATGGGCGGATGTCATGTAGACGCGTCTCGCTCGCTGTCGTCTTCGTGGCGGCGAATGCGTCCGTACCCCGTGCAACACTGAGAGATACATTGCTGTTCGCGGGGATACTCGGCAAGTGCAACTCTATTCGTGTGCGGGGGCGCCGAGACGAGGTGGGGGCTCACCTGAACGCAGAACGCCGGCATGATTGATGTTAGCCGGAGTGCATTGAACAAGCGTTGGCAACGACAGCTTTGGGCGCGAGATGGAGGCGTTGCGTGACCGGGTCGGGACCGTGTATTCGGCCACCTTTGCAATTCGTGAGTTCCGACTTGCTCGTTGTTTTCTTGGCCGCAGCTGTATTCCTACGATGTCGTTGAAGACGCCGAAGACGTCCTGGGCCTGGGCGCAGGCGGCACGTGTGGCACGACTTGTTATGTGGAATGTGGCAAGAGATCGGATAGAAGAGATGGGATTCTCTTGATGTATAGGGTGCGCAGACTGGCGCACGGCATCCCTGGGTAGGAGCGCGTACGATGTAAGTTCCCCCAAAGCCTTACCGGAGTCCGGGTACAACGCGTTGGGGAGCTTCTGTGAGCTTTTAGCTCCCCTGCACCGTAAACCCTGATGCATTGGCGTGTTGGATAGGCAGCGGAAAAACTTGGACACATGTGACCTTGAGTAAAGTCCCACATCGTCGACGACTGCTTGACAGAAGCATATGTGCAGGCTGGTAGCATTACGCTATCTGGCAGACCAACTTCATCAGCTTCAACGACGCTCTGGTGTCTGACCGTCACCACTTGTAGAGACGACTTTTGGGGTCGCCCTCCTTCAATATTCTGCTACCACTTCTGCTAGCGAAGAATAATGCTCTTTCACTTACCGCGAAGATGAAGAGTAAAGGGAGCAGCATAGCTCCTTATCCCAATAGCTTAGCGGCTATAAGAAGGGCCCTCTTTGTCTCGTCTTCTAACAGAAGCCGTACGTACTGGTCGCGAGTCCAGGCACATGGTCCGTACCCCCGATATGTGCTGACGAATGTCGCTACAGTATGAGTAGTCAATGCACGTTTCCGTTGGTCGATCGTCCTTTCGAGGTCACCGGGGTCCGACAGAACAAAGGGAATCCCGTCGGACGGAGGGAAGGCGGCGTCCGTAGCTTCGCGAGCCCTTCACTTGCTGATACGTGCGCAGGAGGCGTGTAATGAGGGCGGCAACGTGCGCGCGAAGTAGCGTAGATGGTCACTTTGAGGACAGCTAGGCGCGATGCGACTGCAGCAGGAGCACAGCAGAGTGAGAGAGCAACGCGGAGGACGATGAGCACAAGAGCGATGTCGATGAGGAGCGATGTGGTCAGACAGTCGTCGGACGACGCGAGAGGGCGCAGGAACCGAGACGCGCCGCCACCGGAGGATGACGTTGGGAAGGGCGCGCGCGGACCAATCAGAGGACCCGACCGGTCTCGACCACCTGCCGCAGCGCGTGCCGCGGCGCTGCCCGGAGCCCCGCCTGCGCCGCTCGCTATCTCCCCGACCACCATCTCCAGCCATCTCCTCCCCTTTCATCCTCTACCCCCACATTCATGTACGCACGGCTGCTCCTTCCATCCTGCGAGCGAATTCTGATCTCTCGGTCTATAGCATGCAGACCTACTTGAAGACCCTCACCGGCAAGACCATCACGCTCGAGGTCGAGTCCTCGGATACCATTGACAACGTCAAGGCCAAGATCCAGGACAAGGAGGGGTGCGTTTCCATCGTGATCGTCGTACAGGGCGCAGAACTGACATCCCTTCAGCATCCCTCCCTCCGGACCAGCAGCGTCTTATCTTCGCCGGGAAGCAGCTCGAGGACGGGCGCACCCTCTCTGACTACAGCATTCAGAAGGAGTCCACCCTGCACCTCGGTGAGTATATGCGCATATCTCAAGCTCCATTAACCGAGTCTGACCTCGTACAGTCCTTCGTCTTCTAGGCGGTATGCAGATCTTCGTCAAGACCCTCACGGGTAAGACGATCACCCTCGAGGTCGAGTCGTCCGACACGATCGACAATGTGAAGGCGAAGATCCAGGACAAGGAGGGCATTCCTCCGGACCAGCAGCGTCTCATCTTCGCTGGCAAGCAGCTTGAGGATGGTCGTACCTTGTCCGACTACAACATCCAGAAGGAGTCGACGCTGCACCTCGTGCTTCGTCTGCGCGGGGGCATGCAGATCTTCGTGAAGACGTTGACGGGCAAGACGATCACGCTGGAGGTCGAGTCCTCGGACACGATCGACAACTCCAAGGCGAAGATCCAGGACAAGGAGGGGATCCCGCCCGACCAGCAGCGCCTCATCTTCGCCGGCAAGCAGCTGGAGGACGGCCGCACGCTCTCGGATTACAACATCCAGAAGGAGAGCACGCTCCACCTCGTCCTGCGTCTCCGCGGTGGCCTCTGAGGTCGCGCGTCCTCGGTTGATCGGTCGTCGTCGTTGGTGATTGTATCATGGTGGTTGTGGATGTATCATTGTACGGATAATGTCAGATCGTTTGGATGGTGAACGTACGTGCGTGATCTCGTTCATCTAAGTGCGACTAGTACAGCGCCGTCACCACTGGCGTACAAATGGTCTCCTCAGAGGCCCCTATGCAATTCACACATGAGGATCGTGCTGCAGGTGTGGTCCGACGCTACGCAAGTTGTGTGCATCATGATCGTGAAGTCCATTCCGGATGCTATGTACGTATTCTATGCAGATCCGCCTCTTTGGACGACGAAACCCACCTACTTTGCCCACAGATCAACTTCACGTAGGATCTTTTGCAGACACTCCCGATGGGCCCCCCGCAAGATGCTGCGGAATGGGGAGCCTCGACGATCGGCTCGCACTTCTGTGCACAGACGTTCGATGTGCGTTCAAGCTGGTTCACGATCGATTCAGAGAAGCCCACTGCGCCGGCGCTGCGCGCGAAGTTGGCCAGTGTTCTCGCCACTGCTCCTCAGCACGTGTACTTGCTCAAAGGTTCTTCGAGTGGGAGGCTACATCGTGGTTCCGGCCTGGTGGTGTGGAACCCTTCGTGGACTGCCTCGAGCAGGCACGCATGCGGATCTGGACTGGAATGTTACCAGGGCGCTTACAGGCAGACCGCGGCTCACCGTTGGACCACCCATGTAAGCACCCGTCTATGCTTCGCATGGGCCGTGCTGGGACTGAGGGTGTGGTGTGTCAGGCTAAGCTACCGATCCTACTTTTGACGTCGCCGCAACATCGAACGCTGTGAGCACAGCCGAGGCCGTATATAGAGCAAACCTTCGCCAGTCCTTCGTGCTGTCATATGTTCAGAAAGCGAGGAAAGAGAGTTTCAATGTGCGCACAGGAGCGAGGATCCACACCTTGATGACAAACAGGTGCGAGGATACCCGTAGAATCCTCCTTCCTCGACCGCTGACCACCACCACCCTCTACCGCAGCTCTCATCGTCTTCGCCGCGAGTCCGAGTCAGGCCCTCAGGTCTCATTTAGCATGAACCTTGTCGTACTGCGTCTCACTTATATGGCAAGTGTCGTCACCTCATCGAGCGTGCACAGTGCGGGAGTCCCTTAGCTTGCACAGCGTTACGCTAATACCCACTGCCCTTTCACCTGATCAACGCGAGCTTCTTGTAACTCTGCACTCCCGTCTCGACCAGCCTGCGGCCTCCTTCTACAAGGCGTGCCGCGGCCCTAGTCGGAGCCCCGCCTTCAAAAGCCCCCTGTCGCTGCGCCGCTCGCTGTCTCCCCAACCACCGTTCATACTCCCCTTTCACTCTATAACGCGGAGCCTCTGTAAGTACCGTTTTCCCGTCTTGTATGTAAATACGGACGTTGAACCCTTGACGTCTAGCATGCTGATATTCGTGAAGAACCCGACGGTCGGCAAGACCATCGCGCTGGAGGCGGACTCGTCCGACACCATCGAAAATGTGAAGGCGATGATCCATGACAAGGAGGGCGTGGCCCCCAATCAACAACGCCTCATCTTCGCCGGCAAACAGCTTGACTCTCGCCGCACCGTGTCCGACTATAACATGCGGAAGGGTTCGACAGTGTTCCTAAGTTCGTATCAGCGCCACTTGTGTACTCGCTAGGCCATGCTGACTTGCTGTGTATAGTTTTCCGCGTCCTCGACGGTATGCAGATCTCCGTCAAGACCCTCTCGGGTAAGACGATTACCCTCGAGGTCAAGCCGTTGGACACGATCGGCAGCATCAAAACGAAGATTCAGGCCAAGGAAGGGACTCCACCCGACCAGCAGTGCGTCAAGTTCGCCGATGATGAGCTAGAGGAGGACCGCACGCTCTTGGATTACAACATCCAGTGGAACAGCACCCTGCAGCTCGGTGAGTCGTCACGTGTCTCGGGACCCTTCGCCTCGCCTGACGCATTACGTAGTCGGCCGCTTCCAGATCTTTGTCAAGAGGGCCCTCACTAGAGAGACAACCCCTCTCGAAGTCAAGTCGTCCGACACCATCAAAGATGTGAAGGAGAAATATCAGGACAAGGAGGGTGTTGCCCCCGCCCACCAGCGTCTCATCTTCGCTGGCAAATTGCTTCAAGATGGCTGCGTCTTGTCCGACTGCGGCATCCAGAAGGAGTCCACCCTGCACCTCGGTCAGTACATATACCCCTTCTGTAGCTTGATTCGTGCTGACAGACCGCAAACTACAGTCATTCGTCTCCCTGGTATGCAAATCTTCGTCAAGAGTTTCACGGGCAAGACGATCACCATAAAGGCCAAACCGTCAGACACGATCGGCCGCGTCAGGGAAAAGATTCGGGACGTAGAGGGGATCTCGCCCGACTCCATCTTGAAGTTCGCCGGCAAGGAGTTGGAGGATGGCCGCTTGCTCTCGGATTACAACATCCAAGGGGAGGACACCCTGCATCTCAGTGAGTGGATGGGTGTATTTTGAGCCTCTTCGTCGAGTCTGACGCACCACGCAGTTCGCTATTTCCAGATCTTCGTCAGGAGCATGAGAGGGAAGACTGTCACCCTCGAAGCTGAACCGTTCGACACTGTCGAAAATGTGAAGGCGAAGATTCATGACAAGGAGGGCTGCCCTCCGGATCTGCAGCGCTTGATCTTTGCAGGCAAGCAGCTCGTGGACGGCCGCACTCTTTCGGACTACAGCATCCCGAACAATTCGACCCTGCACCTCGGTGAGTCTATGCACTCCTTCTGGTACTCGCCTCGTGCTGATAAAACGTGCGTAGTCTACCGCAGTATCGGTGGTACGCGACCTTCGTCAACATTCTTTCAAGTGAGAGGATCTGTGAGAGAATCACCCTAGGTGTCGAGTTATCGGACACAGTCAACGTCACCAGGGCGAACATACCCGACAGGGGGGTTCACATCCTAGCGGCCGCGTTTCGTCTTCTCCTGCAATTATTCGAAGGAAGATACGCTCCACCTCGCTCTGCGTCTCCGCGATGACTCCTGAATCTTGGGCGAGCAAAGGTCTTTCGGTCTTTGTCGTTGATGATCAGTGTATCATGGCGTATGCGAACGTATCTTCGTATGGAAAATGTCAGATTGGTCAACAGCTGGGAAGGGTAGAGGTATACATGTTCCCACGAGGTCCAAGGCCAACATGTCGGAGGTACGAGCAGCACGAACGATCGTGGTGATAGCGTTGGCGCTAACCTAGCCAGCGTCTCCCTTTCTGACACCGGTCCACTCGTGAAAGTATCATGTCGTCTACGCGCAGTGGATCTGTAGGTCGCTGGGTTAGATATTGTATACGCTGTGTATAAAAAGTGAATCTCCTCCTCTGATGAACCTTGCCCGGATTGAACGGACGACCTTGAGGATTTACCTAGAACCGGAATAGCACCGACTTCTGGAATCTCACGCGCTACCACTGTGCCAAAGGTTCATAGTGGGCATACAGCCCTTGCCATTATGGCCTTACAGAGCGTGTCGAAGCGTTCAATCCTGCAGCTGAGCGACGTGTTCTTCATCCATTTCAAGGAGTGTGCGACTAGCCAGCAGGCCTGAGGCCAGCTGTGATGTCTGACATATGGGGTATGGAACGGAACGCAAGTATACATTGTGTACTTGACTCTGTAGTCCGAGGACGAATTCGAAGGCAAGGGAGAGCCTGCGAGCCTTCTCCCGTCAAACACATCTGCCGCGTCCCTGCGGTCGCCCTACGCTAGATCGATCTGCACACCCGGATTGGAAGCCCGGAGACGACGGCGCATCTGTGTGAGCCCGCATCGACATCGCTCGCGGACGATCAACGTACTGCGCCTCCACGGGGAAGCGGGGTCGGAAGCACCGCGAACAGCGACGTATGGCGGGCCTGAGAAGACCATCGTTTGACGGGGAGATGTGGAGATGTGGAGGACCATGTGCTACTCGAGAGAAGAGCGTGCAGGTTCACGCGTTTTGGAAGGCGAGCTGCAAGCATGGGCGGATGTCACGTAGACGCGTCTCGCCCACTGTCGACGGCGTGGCGGCGAACGCGCCCGTGCGCCATGCAGCGCGGGGAGACATATTGCTGTTCACGGGGATACGCGGTAAATGCAACTCTATTCTGTTTAGGTGCCGAGGCGAGGCAACGACTCACCTGAACGCCGGCATAATTGATGTTAGCCGGTGAGCAATGAACAAGCGTTGACAACGACGGGTTTGGGCGCGAGATGGAGGTGTGGCATGACCGTATATTCGGCCACCTTCGCAATTCGCGCGTTCTGACTTGCTCGTTGTTTTCTTGGCCGCAGCTAGATTCCTACGATGTCGCCGAAGACGCTGGATACGTCCTAGGCCTGCGCGCAGGGGGCACATGTGTGGCACGACTGGTTATGTGGAATGTGGCAAGCAATCGGATAGAAGAGACGCACGAAAAACGCTGAGAACCTCTGGTTCTCTTGGTAGCTCTTGATGTACAGGGTGCGCAGATATAGATGGGCGCGCGGCGTCGGCTGGAACAGGAGCGCGTTGTAAGTTCCCCAAAAGCCGTACCCTCCGGAGTCCGGGTACAGCGCGTTGGGGAGCTTCTGTGGGCTTTCCACTTCTCTGCGCTGTCCTGATGCCTTGACGTGATGAATAGGTAGCGGAGAACTCTGGACACATGCGGGCCCGAGTGAAGTCTCGCATCGTCAACGGCTACTTGACAAAAGCCTACGTTCAAGCTGGTAGCATCACGCTATCTGGCAGACGGATTCATCAGCTTCAACGACGCTCTGGTGAACTCTGACCTTCACTACATGTAGAGACAACAAATGAAGTCGCTCTCCTTCAGTATTCTGCTACCACACGCATTTCTGCTAGCGAAGGATGATGCTCTTTCACTTACCGCGAACATGAAGAGCAAAGGGAGTAGCTTATTTCTTCACGATAGCTTAGCGGCTATAAGAAGGACCCTCTTTGTCTCGTCTTCTAACAGAAGCCGTACTGGTCGCGAGTCCAGGCACATAATCCGTACCCCAGATATGTGCTGACGAATGTCGCCAAAGTATGAGTAGTCAATGCACGTTTCCGTTGGTCGATCGTCCTTTCGAGGTCACCGGGGTCCGACAGAACAAAGGGAATCCCGTCGGACGGAGGGAAGGCGGCGTCCGTAGCTTCGCGAGCTCTTCACTTGCTGATACGTGCGCAGGAGGCGTGGAATGAGGGCGGCAACGTGCGCGCGAAGTAGCGTAGATCATCACTTTGAGGACAGCTAGGCGCGATGCTGCTGCCGAGAACACAGCAGAGTGAGAGAGCAACGACGAGGACGATGAGCACAAGAGCGATGTCGATGAGGAGCGATGTGGTCAGACAGTCGTCGGACGACGCGAGAGGGCGCAGGAACCGAGACGCGCCGCCACCGGAGGATGACGTCGGGAAGGGCGCGCGCGGACCAATCAGAGGACCCGAACGGTCTCGACCACCTGCCGCAGCGCGTGCCGCGGCGCTGCCCGGAGCCCCGCCTTCATAAGTACGCAGCTCCAGCGCCGCTCGCTATCTCCCCAACCACCATCTCCTCCCCTTTCATCCTCTACTCCCACATTCATGTACGCATAACTATTCATTCCATCCTGCAAGTGAATGCTGATCTCTCGGTCTATAGCATGCAGATCTTCGTGAAGACCCTCACCGGCAAGACCATCACACTCGAGGTCGAGTCCTCGGATACCATTGACAACGTCAAGGCCAAGATCCAGGACAAGGAGGGGTGCGTTCCCATCGTGATCGTCGTACAGGGCGCAGAACTGACATCCGTTCAGCATCCCTCCGGACCAGCAGCGTCTTATCTTCGCCGGGAAGCAGCTCGAGGACGGGCGCACCCTCTCTGACTACAACATTCAGAAGGAGTCCACCCTGCACCTTGGTGAGTATATGCGCATATACCGAACTCCGCCCTAGAGTCTGACATCGCGTAGTCCTCCGTCTTCGTGGCGGTATGCAGATCTTTGTCAAGACCTTGACCGGCAAGACCATCACCTTGGAGGTCGAGTCGTCCGACACTATCGACAATGTGAAGGCGAAGATCCAGGACAAGGAGGGCATTCCTCCGGACCAGCAGCGTCTCATCTTCGCTGGCAAGCAGCTTGAGGATGGTCGTACCTTGTCCGACTACAACATCCAGAAGGAGTCGACCCTTCACCTTGGTGAGTGTATGCGCCACTTTCGTACTCGGTTCGTGCTGACAAAGTGCGTGTAGTCCTCCGCCTTCGTGGTGGTATGCAGATCTTCGTCAAGACCCTCACGGGTAAGACGATCACCCTCGAGGTCGAGTCGTCCGACACGATCGACAACGTCAAGGCGAAGATCCAGGACAAGGAGGGCATCCCTCCGGACCAGCAGCGCCTGATCTTTGCGGGCAAGCAGCTCGAGGACGGCCGCACTCTTTCGGACTACAACATCCAGAAGGAGTCGACGCTGCACCTCGTGCTTCGTCTGCGCGGGGGCATGCAGATCTTCGTGAAGACGTTGACGGGCAAGACGATCACGCTGGAGGTCGAGTCCTCGGACACGATCGACAACGTGAAGGCGAAGATCCAGGACAAGGAAGGGATCCCGCCCGACCAGCAGCGCCTCATCTTCGCCGGCAAGCAGCTGGAGGACGGCCGCACGCTCTCGGATTACAACATCCAGAAGGAGAGCACGCTCCACCTCGTCCTGCGTCTCCGCGGTGGTCTCTGAGCGTTGTGCGTCCTTGGCTGATCGGTCCTCGCTGCGTCGTCGTTGGTGTTTGTTGTATCATGGTGGATGTGGATGTATCATTGTACGGATAATGTCAGATCGTTTGGATGGTGAACATACGTGCGTGTTCTTGTTCATCTTAGTGCAAGTAGTACAGCGCCATCACCACCGGCGCACAAGCGGTTTACTCTGATGCCCCCGCGTATTCATACATGAGCCAGCTGAATCCGCTCGTGAACTGCGGGCCTCACATTACCGCAGGTGTGGTCAGGCACTGCACGTTGAGAACACCATGATCGTAAAGTTCTTCCCGATTCCATGTACGTGCCTTACGCATGTGCGCCTCCTCGGACGCCGAGACTCACCCTGCCCACAGTCCGACTTAATGTTCGCGTAGGTTCCCTCGCGGACCTTCTCTATGGGCCCTTCGCCAACGAGCCAGGATGCAGCACACGGAGCCTAGATGACCGGCTGGCACTTCTGCGGACGTTCGACATGCGTTGAAGTTGGTTCACGATCAACTCAGAGAAGCCCACTGCGCCGGCGCTGCGCTCGAAGATGGCGAGAGTTCTCGCCACTCCTCGAGTGGAGGTCACAGCGTGGTTCGAGTCTGGCGGTGTAGAACCATCCGCGAACTGCCTCAGGGACGCACGTCGCGATTGGAATGTTACTGATACCCTTGAGCTTGAAGGCGTACATGGAGCTCACCTTCCAGATCATCGACCAACAAAGTAGGCAGTCTTATCATGCTAAGATACGAGGACATCCAGCCTTTGTTGACGTCGCTGCGAGATCGAATGCTATGAGCGTACGCGACTTGGTTGTATGGAACAAACCTTCTCCAGTCCTTCGCGCTGATACATGCGCAGACGGCTAGGAAAGAGGGTTTCAACGTGTGCGCGAAGGAGCCAGGATCGTTATTTGGGGACACAGGTGCGAGGGAACCTGCAGGGTGCTCCTTCCTCGGCCGAAGCCTCGACCACTTACCACGTTACATCCTCCAGCAGCCCCCGTCGCCGCAGGTGCGCCGAGCCCTGCAGTGACATCTTTTCCATGATGAAACAAGTCTTACTCCATGAGGTCTTGCCCCCAAGCTACAGCGTGTGTGGCGGCGCTGGCCGGAGCCTCACCTTCATAAGGACGCTGCCCCCTGTCTCCCCAACCACCATTTATCTCCGCCTGTCATTCAATAGCGCGACACTCACGTAAGCACTGTCCTCTCGTCCTGGAGCAGGGGATTTATACCCTTCGGAGTTCAGCATGCAGATATTCGTAAACAATATGGCGGTCGGCCAGACCGTCACGCTCGACGTGTCGTCCGACACCATCGAAGATGTGAAGGTGGTGATTCAGGTCAAGAAAATCATTGCCCCAACCCAACAGCGTCTCATATTTTCTGCAAACAGCTTGACCATAGTCGCACCGTGTCCGACCCCAACATCTGCAAGGAGTCGACACTGCACCTAAGTCCGCATTGTCGCCATTTGTGCATCCGCAAGGTTACGCTAACGAGCTGCCTACTAGCGTTCCGCGTTCTTGACAGCATGCAAATATTCGTGAAGTGGCTGCATGGCAGGACGATCACGCTAGAGGTCAGGTCCTCGGACACGATCGACGACGTGAAGGCGAAGATCCAGGAGATAGAGGGGATCTCGCCCGACCGGCAGCGCCTCATCTTCGCCAGCAAGCAGCTGGATGACGGCCGCACTCTTTCGGACTACAACATCCAGAAGGAGTCGACGCTGCACCTCGTGCTTCGTCTGCGCGGGGGCATGCAGATCTTCGTGAAGACGTTGACGGGCAAGACGATCACGCTGGAGGTTGAGTCCTCGGACACGATCGACAACGTGAAGGCGAAGATCCAGGACAAGGAGGGGATCCCGCCCGACCAGCAGCGCCTCATCTTCGCCGGCAAGCAGCTGGAGGACGGCCGCACGCTCTCGGACTACAACATCCAGAAGGAGAGTACGCTCCACCTCGTCCTGCGTCTCCGCGGTGGCCTCTGAGCGTTGCGCGTCCTCGGTTGGATCGGTCCTCGCTGCGTCGTCGTTGGTGATTGTTGTATCATGGTGGATGTGGGCTCTGGGAGCCTCGGAGTAAGTACTACAGCCTTTTTACAACCTTTTCATGATTCAACGAACCCACGCTTGCCATCGAACGCCGTTCTAAGTACTGAGTAGGCAGGATAAGGTGTGTGTACAAGTCGCAGTAAGGATAGTAAGTTGCGCGCTACTAGGCGCTACTATACTACACGCTAACGTCTCTTCAGCGGCTCTACGGTCATCCAAGTACTGTGTGTGCTTCTTCGGACTTCGAGACCCACCCCCCTTGCCCATACGTCGACTTCAAGCAAGGTTCACTGGTTCGTCCCTGTGTTCCCATTAATTGCGAACAAGCCAGCTTGCAGCGCATGAAGCCTCGATGATGGGAGGCTCGCAGTGCCACTGCTTCTGCATGCAGACGTTCGACGTGCATACCGATACCAATCGGTTCACGATCGACGCGGAGAAGCCTACCCATCGCTGCGCTGGAAGATGACGAACGCTCTCGCCGCACCGCAGCATGGGTGCGCAGAGCTCCCTCCGGTGGGGGCTGCAACGTGGCGTGAGTCTGGTGGCCAGTACGAAACCGCCCTCGAGGATACTGACTAGCAAGGTAAGCAGCCGTCGACCTCTCGCATGCACCACACTCAGACCGACGTATATCGTGCTAGGGAACGAGGATGCCGAGCCTGCTTTTGGCGTCGCCGCGACACCAAACGCTGTGGGCACATGGAAGGCCATATATAGAGCAAACCTTCGCGTCGTCCTTCGCGCTGATACATGCGTAGAAGGGGAGGAAAGAGGGCTTCAACGTGCGCGCGAAGTAGCGAGGATCATAACTTTGAGGACACACAGGTGCGAGGGCACCTGCAGGGCTTCTCCTCGATTGCTTACCACCACCACCCGCTGCGCAGCTTCGCTGCTCCGAGTCAGGCCCTCATGTCCTGTCGTCGAAGGTGAACAATATCACTTAGCTTTGCACTGGCACCTCAGACTGACCTCATTATCCTAGATTCAAGTACTATTTGCACCGCAGTTATGAGGAGTCTCATGTACATGGCAAGTGCCGTCGCTTCATCGAGCGTGCACACTGTGGAAGTGTCTGCGAATACCTCACTACTGAGGTTTGGGTGGATAAGTGCCTGCGAGCGTAATAGTGCGACTACCCGAGGCATCGGTGCGCTGCCCGCTGCCCTTTCACACGATCGGGGCGTGCTTCTTGTAACTTTGTATCTCCTGGCATGGCCGCATGCTGCAGCGCTGATCATGGCTCCATCATATTCATAAGAAGGCTGCCTCTGCGCCGCTCGCTGTATCCCCGACCACCATACAAACTCCCCCTTTCGCTGCATAGCGCGGGCACTTGTGTAAGCGCCGTCCGACCTCCCGTCCTGCTGAAACAGATGCTGACCCTTCGACGTTCAGCATGCAGATATCCGTGAAGAACCCGACGACCGGCAAGACCATCACGCTCGAGGTGGACTCGTCCGACACCATCGAAAATGTGAAGGCGATGATCCATGACAAGGAGGGCGTGGCCCCCAATCAACAACGCCTCATCTTCGCCGGCAAACAGCTTGACTCTCACCGCACCGTGTCCGACTATAACTTGCGGAAGGGTTCGACAGTGTTCCTAAGTTCGTATCAGCGCCAATTGTGTACTCGCTAGGCCATGCTGATAAGCTGTACACAGTGTTCCGCGTCCTCGACGGGATGCAAATATTTGTCAAGACCCTGTCAGGCAAGACGATCACCCTGGAGGTCAAGCCGTTGGACACGATTCGCAACATCAAAGCGAAGATTCAAGCCAAGGAAGGGAACCCGCCCGACCAGCAGCGCATCAAGTTCGCCGAGGAGCAGTTAGAAGACGATCGCACGCTCTCGGATTACAACATTCAGTGGAACAGTACCTTGCAGCTCGGTGAGTCGACATGTGTCCCAGGACCCTTCGCCTCGCCTGACGCATTATGTAGTCGGCCGCTTTCAGATCTTTGTAAAGACCGTCGCTGGAGAGACCACCCCTCTCGAGGTCGTATCCTCCGACACCATCAAAGACGTAAAGGAGAAATATCGGGACAAGGAGGGCGCCGTCCCCGCCCAGCAGCGTCTCATCTTCGCCGGCAAAGAGCTTGAAGATGACTGCATCTTGTCCGACTACGGCATCCAGAAGGATTCAACCGTGCATCTCGGTCAGCACTTGCACCGCTTCTGTGTTTGGGTCGTTCTGACGAACTGTATACTGCAGTCCTTCGTCTCCCTGGTATGCAGATCTTCGTCAAGAGCTACACGGGCAAGACGATTACCATAGAGGCCAAATCGTCGGACACGATCGGCTGCGTCAGGGAGAGGATCCGGGACACGAAGGAGATCCCATCCGACTACATCTTGAAGTTCGCCGACAAAGAGTTGGAGGACGATCGTATGCTCTCGGATTACAACATTCAGTGGGACGACACTCTACATCTCAGTAAGTATATGCGTGTGTCCCGAGTCGCTCTACTGAGTTTAACACCTCACACAGCTCGCTATTTCCAGATCTTCGTCAAGACCATGATAGGGAAGACTGTCACCCTCGAAGCTGAATCGTTCGACACTGTCGAAAATGTGAAGGCGAAGATTCAGGACAAGGATGGCAACCCTCCACATAAGCAGTGCTTGATCTTTGCAGGCAAGCAGCTCGTGGACGGCCGCACTCTTTCGGACTACAACATCCAGAAGGAGTCGACCCTGCACGTTGGTCAGTTTATGTACCACTATTCATGATACTCGACTTGTGCTGACAACCGTTTCCAGTTTGGCGTCAGTTTGGTGGCATGCAGCCATCCGTCGGGACCCTTCCGAGCGAGCCGATCGCCTTGGATGTCGAGTCGTCAGACACAGTCGCGGCAATTTAGAAGAAGAAAGGAGTATACAAGTGACTTCATCTCGCTTTGCATCTCCGTGATGGTCTCTGAAGGTTGGGCGTCGCCACGGTTGGTTGGTCTCTTATGTAGTCCTTGCGGTCGATGGTCCTGTTGTCAGGGTGGATGTGGATGCTTCGTTGTACGGACAATGTCAGATCGGTCAACAGCCGAGATGGTGGCGATACACACGTTCTCACGACTTCCAAGGCCAACATGTCCGAGGTGCGCATGCGACCAGCAAGTACTCGCAGCGATGGTAATAGCGTTGGCGCTAACCTACTACTAACCTATCCAGCGTCTCACTTTCTGACACCGGTCTAGAGCTTCGGGCATTTGAGGACGCAGTCAGTGCCCGCAACAATGGCCGGTGCTGCTTGTCAGTTTCACGTCGGCCATGTCTCCTATGTCCGTGCGGGGGAAGGTGGCATTAGAGCACTTTGTACCACCTTCGACTCGGCCGTACACGCAAACCGTATGGCTTGGAATGTCTCTCCGACCCTGGTACGCGGCTCTTTTGTCATCACGCTCAAAGAAACTTACCCTTCGCTCTCTAGTTACAGATCTAGGTATACAGATAGGCTGTCATGCAGAGCCGAACACGTACGGAGATGTGCCTGACTGCATCGGTGAAGCGCATATGGCCGAGCTCACGAGGGCCCGCCATCTGTCCGGCAGCAAAGCAGCAATGTCAACAAAACGTCGCAAGGAACATGTCGCCTGTGCAAGTCAAAAAATACAAGCACTATATAAAGGAGGAAGAGATGAAGGCACCGCTGCTAACACTCTGATATATCTCGAGATACCAACCCAGCTACGAACGCCTTACTCCGGCATGAACTTCTCCCTGATAGTTACTGTCAACACGGCGGACATCGTTCCTCTGAAAGCGGCAGGTTTCAAGCTGTGCTTAGCGAAGAAGGTCGACGGCACGTTCAACATTGTATGGCGGAGTGGCGAGTACGTCGTATCGTTCATTGCCTGTTCGTCTGCAACTGCCAGAACATGATGCTGATCACTGCGTCCCCAGCTTCTCAAACCTCAACAAATTCACTTGGAGCTCCAAGTATCAAGTGTTCGGCTCTTTGGGGTATCATACGGATGGAAAACCGGTGCAGCCGAACACACAGACCATGGTAATTCAATCTGGTAGGTTCTCATAGATGTCCTGTTTTCTTCGAGCAGTCGGTGACACACTTCGCCTGGCATCCCCAGGCCAGACCGCGACATTAGACATCATGGGCATCATGAACAACCCCAACGGCGCACCCGACAACTCGGGCACCTTCCGCGTCGATAACCAGTTCGGCGCCCAGATGAGCATCGGCGTACGCGGGCTCCTGGACGGCACCTACGCACCCATATGCATCACCCAGAACCCGCCCACGAGCCGGGTCGTGGGCGTCACGCCCGAGGAGGAGGTGCTCGTCTGGTTTGATAGGACGCGCACTGCGGGCACGGTGCTGGTGGAGCCGATCGCCGACTGTGTGAACGTACGTGAGCTGCTCGGAATCTGCATTCTCGGGACTGTACATCAGTGATACTTACGCGACCGCATTGCTCGCAGATCGATTTCACCCGGGCGGTCTCGCGGTCTGTGACTTATGCGCTCGGCGCCGCTGGCAGGGGTGTGTGGATCCTCGACGGCCAGCTCGCGCTTTCCCGCACGTACGACGTGGGCACGAATCGGTTCACGATCGAGAAACCCACTCCTGCGCTTTTATGGAAGATGGCTGGCATCCTCGCGGCGCCTCAGGACTCGGACTCCGAACCCCCTCAGGCTCGGGTGAAGGCTACGGCATGGTTTGGGCCTGGGGGTGCGGGCGAGTTCGCGGACTATCTCAGGGATGCACGTTCGGACTGGGATATCATCAGTGCGGGCGAGGCAACCGAAGTCAGGCTCATCCCGGCCGACGATGGGCCGAACGTCGAGGAGGCGATCCGGACCTGTGAAGCCGCTTTCTTGGAGGCGTACCGGGGCTTCCAAGGCGAGCCTTACACGAAGCTCGCCTTCGAGGTCATCAACCAGCAAGGTCAGTAGCTATCTAAGTCTTGTTTATCGTGCTCAAGCTGACGTCCCGCGCCAGAAGACGAGCCTACCTTCAACGTCGCCACGGCCGCCGACGTGAGCACAGGTAGGGCCGTGTTCCGCTTCAGCAACATCCCGAACGCGCAGTCGTTCGCGACGAAGACCGCGGCGTCCAGCGGCGCTGGGGTCACCCTCGCGGGCGCGCTGAAGGGCGTGGCAGTCATCGTGACCGCCTCGTTCGACAACCCGACTGCGAACCCGGTGGCGGACCGCGCGAAGGTCAAGGCCAGTCTGGATCAGCGCGTCGCGGTCTGGAATGGAGAGGATGCTAGTCACTCGTTAATCTATGCTGGGCCGCTCATCTGGAGTACGTGTTTCTCGTTGTGTTCTGGGCGGAATGTGATCTTGGACGTGCTAACTTGTCATTTTAGAGGGGAATTTGTGATCGGGGGTGTGTATGATAACGCCACGCATAAGACAGAATTCACAGTCAGCTTCACATTTTTAATGTGTGCGTCCTGTGTGCAGAAAGCAGGTATATTCCAGATGGTCCAACGTCGTTGTACAGGCATTAAAAGCATACAAAATGTACAACAAACCATGGTGGCTGATATCTGTTTAGTTCTCGAAGGACAAACTTTGGGCTAATATTTGAGCTTAACCTCAGATAGGCCGAGCCGCCGTATACCCCCACAACGACCCCGCCCCGCGCGTCGTCCCCGTCACCTCCCACCCAGCCTCACGCGCAAGCGCCGCCACCTCCCTTATCGTACGCTCTTTCGCGTCCAGCAGCGTCATCATCTGCATCCCCACCATCCACACCGTCCATCAGCGCCCGCCCCCCAACACCCAAACTAGAAACACGTACGCAGATATCGAGCTGGTACAGGCTCGCGTGCGTCCTGCCGAGGTTCGCGAGCAGGGGCGAGCCGTCTGGGACCAGCGTGCAGAGCGCGCCCGGGATCGGCTCGGAGGTGGGGTCGGAGGTGGAGTCGGGGCAGGCGTAGGGGAGGACGGTGTCGACGATGAGGAGCTGTGTTGTTAGGGCGGCTCTGGAGCGGAGGAGGCCGAGCATCCTGCGGGAAGACTGTCAGCCTTAGCATGCTGCGCGGGAGGGGAAAAGGGGTGCGCGCTTGAGAACGGCGGAGTCGGGCCAGTTGTGGACGCAGCCGCGGATGAGGTAGACTGCTGGCGCGGAGACGGTGCCTACCCCTGGGACGTCGAGCGAGGCAGGTTGTGGGTCGAAGAAGTCCTGTGCCATGAAGGAGACGCGGCCGGATGCGATGAGCCCCGCGTTCAACTTGTCGCAGAGCTACGCGCCATATAATGAGTCAAGGGGCTAGGGCAGAAGCCGGGAGGGGTGATCACCGATGGGGCGACGGCGACCACGATCGGTCTGTCCTGCACGACGAACCGCAGGTGGGAGTACGCGTTCGCGAGCACCATGGACGTCGAGCCGATCCCGCCGCCCACGTCGACGACCACCGCGTCCTCCGGGAGGTCCTTCCACGGGAACGCTACCAAACGCCGACCAGGTAAGCCGCCTGGATACTTTTTGGGAGGATATATGCGCCCATGCTAACCGTCAATAATATTCTCCGCGACCTCCCACGCGCGCGCGGCGACCATCGCGCGCCCGAAGTTCGTCATGCGGCGCGCGTTCTCCGGGAGCTCGAGCCACTGGAAGTAGCCAAGCTCCGTGCGGAACGCGAGGTTGAAGGGCGTCTGGTACCGCACGGTCGCGGCAGGCGCGGTCGAGCGCGCGGGGTCTAGGAGCGTCCGCGTCGCGAGGGTGCGGGCGCGTTCGGGGAGGAGGTGGTCTGTAAGGTGCGTTGCGGTCTTGCAGAACTCGTCGGTCCTGTGATGACACTGATCATGCCCTGATCAAGTAGGAAAGGAATTCGTGATGCGTACTTCATGGCGACGAGCGCGGCCACACCGTCCGTATCATCGTACTTCTTCTCCGGGCTATGGTTCAATGTCAGTCTCGCCCTCAGAACGTACGTCGCAAGCAGTGCGCGTAGCCTCCCTGTTCACTTACACCGCACGCAGCTCTTCCGGGGTCTTTCCTGAGTCCACCTGGGCCGACAAACGATTATTCGCGAACACATCAGGGCGGACCTCCCGGAACCAGTGGTGGGTCGCCAGGAGGCGCAAGATGTGACCTGCACGATGCAGTGAGTCATCCACAACCAACTTCGCTCAGGATGCGCGATGTACCCAGCTTGCCGGGATCGAGCGGGGCTATATTGGCGTCCACAGCGCGCCGCAGGTCGTTGATCCTGCGCGCGATGTCGTGGACATGCAGGCCTTCCCCGCCGGCGGCGCGCAGGATCTCGACTGTATGCGTGGCCTCGGCGAAGCCGATGCACGAAGTTATGATTTCCTATCGCAATTAGTCAGTGCGAGGCGGACAGCTTTCCAAGCGGGAATTCCCTCACACCCATGTTCGCTTCACAAAGCTGGAAAAACGGCTTGTGCAGCGTCGCCGCGATCTGGCCACAGGCAGCCACGATCGTGTTCGCCGCGGTCACGACAGTCGGATCTGATGTCAGATCCTCCGCCGCACGCGTGTTGCCACTCGGTGCGCTGTCCTTGTAGACCGGCACGTCGAGCGAAGGATAGTCGACCGGGCCCCCACCTGCAGGCGGTGCGTGGTAGACACGCTCGATCTCGGCGAGCGCGTCGCCGAGGAGCGTGTGTAGGGCGCGCAGGGTTGCGAAGGTGGCCATGTTGCGACGAGGATGGTGAGGGTTTGGGATGAGCGATGGATGAAGTCGGAGGGAGCTGGCCCGACTTGTGGCAAGGTTTGGCCCCGCCGGTGCCACGAACCTTATGATTGATGGTCTGTAAAGGCCGTCAGATGGCTTATTATGAACTGGACCGACGAGGACACTGCACCTAGGCTAGTACGCGTTAGGGAGGACTGCCCCCTTGACACGAGCCGAGAGACGCCACGCGAATGGAGGAGCTTGATGGAGATGCATACCTCGGTCAGGATGGTGTTCCGTCAAGTAACGAATGATCCGAGTCATCACTTTCCGTCCACGCGTACTTGTGGTCACACGCACACGACGCGCGGGAGGTCAAGTGCAACCGAAAAATATGCTTTATGGAGAGATATAGCGATTTTACAATCCGTATCTCTACATCTATATGTCGGGCATATACTGAGCTGGCTGGGGCCGCCACGCTCGGTACGCATACGCTGCGATAGGTCTGTACTGCCGACCGCTGTATGTGGGAGTCTGATTGTACAGACACACCGGGCACGCCAGGATCGGGCGTGAGCTTGAGTGGCTAGCCATTACTCGTACCCTGAGTCTCCCCGCATCCCGTAGCAGCGCAGGCGACAGCGACTTTACTCAGAAAGTCGGGATTTCGGAGCGGCGCACGAGCCCTGGGATGGGTCGATGACGGGCTATCCGGGTGCACTCTCTGTGCGTCGCAAAGCTCGCCTGCGCGCTCTGAATAAATCTTTGGAACGCGTATCCAGCAAGAAGAACCGGGAGGATCCGGGGCAGCCTGCCAGCCTGGACGAAAGCGGGGAAGGTGAGCATCGACGCGGAAAGGAACGCCCACGTGACCGCGTGCTTACCTCGATACACGGCGCGGCGGGTCGCGGGCCAATCGGCCGCCTCCAGGTCTGGGAGAACTACAAGGTCGCATGCTGAGTGTGAGGGTGGTGAGGCGCCTCCAGCCCTTCCCTAAAGTGGGGAGGAACGACCGGCGAGCCGCGGGGGCGGCCGGATGGACATCGGCGTGCCATGCTGCCCGTTTCTTCTTCTTCGATATTTTCGGTCCCGGCGCTGCCGTCTCTCTCCATTATGCGCCTTGCAGTACGCCGGATAGATTTCCATCTCCATCCGTGTAATGCAGGTTTGAGGCCTGCTTGTCTGCCGCCGCCACCCTGGATAGGCACCTGCGCCGCCCGCGCGCGGTTTCCCAGGGTGGTATCGGTCCTTTGGTTGGACGCCATTTCGGTGGTCGAGGGGCCAGGCCCGCGCCTAGGAGGTGTGAGAGCGTCTATAAAAATGTCCGAGGGTGCTGCGCCAGTATGGTCAGTACGCGGTGCGAACGGAGAGGCATGCACCACCGTGAAAAGACATACCTGGGTCAATTCCCAGTTCCATGGCATGCGAGAGACAGCTGACCGGGTCGATGACCAGGTGCAGGGCAGTCCTGAGGTTTGAGAGGTTTGTCTGTCATACGAGTGCGGTATAGCGGCGGGGATGCGGGGTGGTGGGGAATGGGAGCTCATGGTGAAGTGTGATGGGATTCAGTGTGTATCGCTCGGGTTTATATACTCCGGGAGAGGGAGTGGCGCTGGGCGAGGCCAGTGCGACGACGAGCACCACAGCACCGCCTCCATTGCTGAAGCGCGACGCCGAGAGCGTGTGCATGGTCCATTGAGGGCGTGCTTAATGAACAGGTCGGAGCGTTACTCCAAGCAAATTCACGCACTGACCAATCCGAGCGCATCATACGGCCTCCGTAGGGCCCATGTATTGAATATTGTCAGATGCCGTTGCCCACCGGCAGACTGAATCTGCTTGGCGGTCTATGTGCCGATGGAGAGAGATGGCAATGATCAACAACCAAGAGCGAGCACGGAGACAATGCTTAGGAGACTAGACACGCTTCCGCGAAGACGCTCGATCTCCAGCTTGGAGACAACCCCACACGCGTCCAACAGACCGAGAAAGCAGGCTCCATAACAAAGTCGTATCGTACAGTCGTCACAGATCTTCTCGTAGCATACATGACCAAACCGGGCCCAGGCGCACGATGACGCGCGACACCTCCCGCTCACCACTTCGTCGGGCTTCAAACAAAACAAAACAAAAGTCAGCGATCTCTCTCTCTTCTACCACCTCAGCAATAAGGCGAAGGGAGACACGCACCCGAAGTGGTCGCCGGGCGCGAGGGCGATGAGGGGCGCGGACGCGCCGTCCGCGTTGTTGAACGAGACGGTGTTGCCCCACCAGGTCTGGATCGTGTTCTTCCCGATGTTCCCGTCGCGCGGGTACTGCAGGATGAAGAAGATCAGGATCGCGGACACCGCGACCCCAGAGTCCAGCGCCGCCGACAGCACATCTGCGCGCGCGTCAGCGATGTGTTCGATAGAGAAAAGGACAGGACACAGAGAGAGGGGGGGGGACGCACAGTTGTACTTGGTCCACCACGAGAAATGGCGGCGGCGGATGACGTAGTTGAAGATGAAGCCGACGATGCTCCAGGGCACGTAGTTGACCGCCGTCGCGGGCGGGATCGCGCCCGTCCCGCTGAAGATGACCGGGAAGTTGATGTACTTGAACCACGAGTTCGGCCACTTCAGGCTGATCAGCCACCCCCCGAGCGGGCACGCGATCCCGACCACGAAGAAGAACACGAGCCCGCTGCGCCGCGCCGCCCCACGTGTCAGCTTACAGGTTCAGAGGTTTGGGAATGGGAGGATGGGGACGTACTAGTAGATCTGCCCAGGGGAGAACTGGCGCGCGGGGCCGATGACGCCCCAGATGATGCTCGCCGTTCCAAACACTTGCGTCGACGGGCACTATGACACGCTCAGTATATGCGCGCAACGCCAACATCCCACGACGTACGATGAAGCCGTCGGGCTGGTCGGGGTCGCACAGCCCGCGGATGTTCGTGAACATCCACGCCTGCACGCCGAGCTGCACGGTGCCCGCGATGACGGTCGCGACGACCTGCGACCAGAACATCGGGCGCGGCGGGATCTTCATGTAGTGCCCGAGCTTGAAGTCGGACGCGAACGTGAGCGCCTGCGCCATCGTGATGTACCCCCACGTCTTGAACATCATCATCGCGATCGGGCGCCCGGGCAGCGCGTATCCGATGATGAGCTCGGTGATCACGCTTGGGGTGGTGGTTAAAATGTGCGACGCCGGGCATGTTGCTGAGAGGGACTCACTTCAGGCCGATCTGCTGGTTTGTGATGGCTTGGATCATGCCGATGGGGATCGTGTACACAAACGCTGGAGGATGTACGTTAGAAAAGTTTAGGGGAAGACATCACGACCGACTTACAAATGATCAGAGCGAGCACGAATGCCCAGACGGGGAACTGCGTGTTCCACACCTCGATCGAGATGACACCAAAGACAAACATGGACACTGTCCCCAACACAAGCCATCAGCCCCCCAAATCCGACGCCGAAACAAGCAAGGACGACGTACGGAAGATGATGCCGTACCACCACTCGGGGACCTGCGGGTACTTGGACATCAGGCGCGCGTGGATGTCGGGCTGCTCGCTCATCGAGCGGCGCGACTGCACCCAGATCTGCTTGCGGAAGTAGAGGAAGGTGTGGGTGAGCGTCGCGGTGATCGACGCGAACGACAGGCCGTAGGACATCGCGAACGTCGTGGACAGGAAGAGCGGGCTGTACGCCTCGTACTTCGCGACGTTGAGGCTCGCGTCGGCGTTGATGATCTGCGAGACGTCGTAGGTCTGGCCGAAGCGGTCGAATGACGTGCGCGAGGAGATCCTGCGCATGCGTGTTTAGATATTGGTGGCCGGAGGACTGATTTGTGAGGACTCACGGCATGAACTTGCTGTACCAGACGTTGCTGTAGTACAGGATGGGGGTGAGGATCCCTGTAGTATGTTAGCCCACCGACACATGATTAACAGCCACTGGATATCCTCACAGAAGAAGAATACAAATCCGACAGCGATGTTGGCTTCGGCCCACCACGGCGTAGCAAGCGGAGAGCCAATGTAGGCGATCTGATTAGTACACACATGGTGTGTGAGTCTCAACGCCGCTTCCATGACCGAAGAAGAAAAACGTACTTGAGCCCAGTCGAACGTAATTAACGACATGCCCTGCAGCGTGTGTCAGTATCTGTCCACTTGCACGGCTACAAGGCACTCACCAAGCCACTGCTGTACCCGAACAGCTGGTTTACAACAATGTTGTTGGGGGCGATCCAGCAGACCCAGTTGAAGAACGAGAGCGCCTGGAAGATGTAACCAGGGAGGAAGTACCAGCACGTCGAGCCGAGGAACGCGTAGAAGAAGAACCGCTCGCGGCTGATACCGCCGCGGTTGCCCATACCCGCGTACACCTGTGAGTGCAGCGTGTTGAACAACGCGCATGTCACCAGGTTTGCGGGCCAGACTGTGAACAGCTTTCAGTGTGCGTGGGGTGGTGTGAGGAGAGCGAACGTACTCATGGATGGCGGCTGCACCAGGAAGCGGCGCGCAATGCCTCCGATGGAAAAGCCGATCTAAGATCGATGTGGATGACAGCGTGAATAACAAGATCAGACTTCCGTGCTGCGGAAAACACCCACAAGTTGTGTGCTCATCACGACCATCCATTGGTCTATGAAAAGCAGGGTCAGCAGACGCGCTGGGGCAGCAAAGAAGCGGACGCATACAGCCGAAGGTGTAGTTCTGGTTGTAGTAGACCCTTTGCACGGCAACAATGTCCGTCTATAAACGTTCAGCTCGGATGCGTCTGACTGCGCAGTACGACAAAAATAACGTACCGCATAGGCCGAACCTGCGCCAACGCTCGCCATGATGGTAATGAGGACGTGCTCCTTCACGTTGAATGGGCCGGGGTTGAGCGGGATACCAAAGATCTTGACGTTGGGCACCCACCGCGCCCACGCGCGACCGATGGGGAATGAGATCAGCTGGGCGACGATCTGTATAGCGATAGGTGAGCGTCGGTTCGGGTAGGAAGATTGGTCAGACAACATACGCCGCTGACTGTCACACTGGGGAAGCGGAAGAAGAAGAATTGGTTCATGCCGGGGATAATGATGGCCCAGATGATACCAAGGACCCATACTCGTAGAGACGAGACGGGCATGGAGGGGTCGTCCGTGTTAGCCACGGCGGAACGGACCTCCGGATATGGAGAGTCGTCCTCTGTTTGTCCGGTGGTCAGCCTAGCTCGCGGAGGATAGCGATGCGAGACGAACCAAATAGGATGGCATCCTTGTCGATGTTGGGGTCGTCAAAGTCCGCAATTACGTCCTCTACGTTCAAGTGGACCGCTGGTACACAATTCTCATGAGTATGCACCGAGCGCACGACTACTGCACGGACCACGTACGAGTTTTCTCCAGGTCAATCTTCTCCTTCTCATCGTGGATGGAGTTAGAGCTGGACGGCGCGACGCTGCGCTGGTCCGTCACGGCAGTGATGCCAGCGGAATCCATGGTAGGACCGAGGAGGGAGGGCTGCGGAGGCGGACGCAGGCGTGGAGCGCGTGCGCTGTGGGTACTTGTACTCCCCCGGGCTGACGCGATAAGACACCACTCTTCCAGCCGAAATTGTATGCAGCGTCCCTTGCGCCCGCGTTATCAACTGTGTGCCGCCCCGCCAAGCGTGGATCTCTGCACGCCCGCTTGCGCTCATGCGCCGCCATCAGGCCATGACAGCTCGTTCGCATCTGTAGAGTCTGCTGGCGTTCTGGCCTAGACGGCGCAATCTTCGCAGCTTTACGGCGGCGCTGAGCTGCGAACACCGCCGAAGTGAGCCTGCGAACTACGGCTAATTGAGGACAGATACGCGAGGAGCACGTACTTGCGTTACCGCGCGCTGCTCTCACCGGAGAACACCCTTCCCAGGAGATCTGGCGTGAATGCGGATTGCAGGGGAATCGTTGACTTCTTCCGGAAGGAACCTATAATTGTGCACAACGCTGGTCAGCCACCAGGCGACAGCGAGAATGCCGGTATAGCGCATGTACTCCCTCGACGCCCGTCGCAGTGATATCTGTGAGGTTACTGGCAGTGTTCGTCGTTGATTGCGATGTCTGCATCACGCCGAGGACGCCGGGGCGCGTTATGGCTATGAGAGACTCGGGCCAAGATCATAGCCATACATGGGACGAGCGCAAACCATTCCACGACAATATTCCGCAGCAGTGGGTGGTGTTCTAAACAAAGCCACGCATGGAGGTCTGTCCCAGATGCCGGGTCACCTTCTTATTGCGGCACGAGATAAGAAGCAGACATGTGCAAAAGAGTCCTTAGACAGCTTGTGCTGTCAGGAACGCCGTCTAGCACGCCGAGCACACGACATGGTGAGCATGACGTTGAGCGCGTTCGACGAATGCCACCGCATGCTCCCTGCGGACCGAGCTGGACTCCAAGTGTCAACACGCAGACCTTGCGGAGGGGTGCCATGAAATACTCACCTTACGATAACAATTCCGCGACGATCATTTAAGGCCGCAAGTCTATCAGTGTGAAGGTAACGCGTAATGGAGCTGGTTCGCAATTCATTCTGGCCGGTTGAACGGAGCGCGACGGTGTGGCCGCCGCTGACATGATCAACACGGCGCGATTGGAAGAGCCCGACGGCGCATGCAAGGGGCAGAGCTGAGAATGGAAGAAGCCAAGGGGCCACGCCTGTGAAGACAGCGTCCGACCGTGTGCATGTTCCCTCAGTGTAGCATGTGGACTGTGCGTACGTGAGCTACTGCGCCCGCCCAGATTTGTAGATGGGTGTATTCCGATATGTTCCCTGCTTCCCATGCCAGACATTGCACGACAGCATTGAGATTGAGGACGGATGGAGGGCGCGCTGTCCGAGATGGTGCCTGAGGGGGTTGGACGGAAAGAAAGAACGAACTTGGCTGCGGAATTGCTGCGGAGAGATGGACACACAACTGGGCGCTAGCTGAAACACGTGGCGGCGATACTTTTCGCAAGGCGCCCACTCCGGGCGCCTGTAAAGTCCCTACTCGCCGCCACCATCTGCACTCAGTCTTCACTCGAGTGCCTGCTACGCTCACATGGCTCCCTCTAATCTGACCACGCTCACGAAGTCCCACACCATCATTGCGGCCAAGAAAAGGGCGAAAAGAGAGCAGATTAAGGAGGTCGTGTTCGATGATACCGCGCGCAGGTACGCACACTTCGACCATACATCTGCAGCCTCGAAGACTCACGCGCTCGTCACAGGGAATTCTTGACCGGCTTCCACAAGCGGAAACTCCAAAAGAAGGAGGACGCGAAGGCCAAGGCGATAGAGCGCGAGAAGCAGGAACGGCTAGAGGCTCGGCGGGAGGTGTGTCTCTTAGTGTCCTGTCTCCCGTCAAGCCCGAGCTCACCGCATCACATCCGTCTGTAGCACCGCCGGAATCTTGCCGAACGTGCTATTAAGAACGCGGAGGAGACGGAGCGAGCTTATGGCGGCATCGTTGGTGCGTCTCATTCGTCCTATACTGTTGGGTAACTTACTGACTTTCGAACAGAGGACGAGAGCGATAGTGACTGGGACGGCATAGCCGACGCCAGCACGTCAAAAGGGAAGAGAAAGGCGTCGGAGGAGCTAGAAGAATACGAGGACGAAGAGCAGCTGGCGACAGTCACCGTGGTCGAAGAGTTTGATCCCGACAGCCTCATCCACGGTGAGAAACCCACACCAGACGCCAACGCTGCTTCGGACGGCGTTCCTGAAGCACCGGTCGCGCTACCTCGATCAAAACCACGACCTGCTGCAGCGCCGAAGTCGAAAGCGCGGCCAGAGAACTACAAGGCAAAACCGAAAACGAAGTCCAAACCCAAGGATATCAAGTACCAGACGATAGCGGCACGGAAATCCGACCGCATGAAGGAGCGCAAGCGGAGGACAGAAAAGGCGGAACTAGCAGGTGGGAAGGCTTCCAGACGGAAGGGCCCTGCCAAGGGCAAGCGATAGTACCCTGTGCATCTTGCTTTCTCGACCCCGTATCATCTGTGCACGGCCCGCCCGCTCACGCTGTCTTCCCGCTTGAAGTCCCCGATCACGAAGATGTAATATTCGGGCATGTCGCGCATATCCTATCTAGGTTCCGGAGCTGGCGCATCTCCACCCCACCCAGACAGCGTATGGGCCGTCCACAAGTCCGCCGATGCTCCATATCTCCCACTCGCCTGCCGGCGATAGTGACAGCCAACCTTGTAAGAACTCTCTCACCACATCTTCCGCGCGTAGCTCCACCACCACTAGCACTCCGGTCTTCCCGGGCACCGCGAGGTGGTCGATCGTAGACAGCAAGGGTGGTATGAGCGACGGGTGGTAGATGCAGTCGACCACGAGGACGAGGTCTGCTGCTTCGTCCGGCGCGAGCTTTTGTCTCAGGGCGGGTGTCGCGTTGCGTATCTCTACCCAGTCCAGAGCGGCCGCAGTCACGTTGGGCTCGGTGGCGCTGGGTGGTAAGCGTGCTCCCTTCGACCAGGGAGATGTCGGTGGGTGCGGGAGGTTTCGTGCGATGTTCTTCCGGATAAGCGGCACCAGAGCATCGATGTCGGTGACGGTGTAGTGATGTGTGAATGGAGACAACACCACTGCGAGGAGGCCTGTGCCGGCCCTGCTCCAGATGAGAACCCACCGTTCGGTGCATGTTATGAATCACGTACCCTAACTCCACGACATGCGCTTGCTTGAGCAGTTCGGGTACGAACAGAGATTCGGTATCGCTGTTGTAGAGCTGTCGCAGAACCGTCTGTGCGAAATCCACACTATCATATCACAGCGTCAAACTTCGCACATCTGCACATCGAAGACAGTCGGTGAGCACACGACCACAATGCCTACCTTGCGTGCCATAAGACACTCCCAGTATCGCCTTTGCGACTCCTCAAGGCGGTTTTGTCCTGCACGATCTCGACCTCGATCGTACGTTCCGCCGCGTCTTTCTTGCTTCGCGCTTTCTTGGTCTGCGACCCCCGCGCCTTCCGCTTTCCCGCCCTGGCCGTATCTTCGGGCGCATCTGCATTCTCAGGGACCCCCAGATTCAAGGTGACCGTGAGCGTATCTTCGTGGGAGTCGATATGCCCGAGCCCGCGAAACCCGGAGGACCCGTCCGCGGCGGTGCGCGCGGCGAGACCGGTGTAGAGGAGGAAGACCTAGAACGTGCAGCATATCAGCGAAGGTGCTCGGTGAGGGGGTGAGGTGTACTTTGTCATCGGAACATCGTGTACATCCTCCATGCGCGGAGGCTACGAGATTGAAGCCCCTAGAAACTACATAGCTTTACCTGGGCTAAAACCTGGGTGGAAAAGATATAAAGCCCTCAGAAGCCACGACGCACTTCTGTTTGTCGCCACGTAACTCGTCCAGGCCTAAGAGAGCACTTGAACATCAAGACGAAACAGTGCGATCGGGCGTAGGAAACCAACCCCGCATCCCCGTCGTAAAACCCATCCAGGAAAATTCAATCAAGAAGGGATGGTAGCGTTTCTCTACGCATTTGAACGTCACCTCCAGATATCCTCCGGGGATATGAATAACATCTGGTCACAGAGCTCTTGAAAGAAGAGACACAGTCGCGACGTACCTCCTCGTCCGCGTCCGCTACACAAGTGGACCCCGCCGGGAGCTGTACGACGCCGCGCGCGGCTGGTGCGTGTTCATCAGGCTCGTCCATACGTCTTTATAGTGCAAAAGAATATCCTCGCGCAACAAGCCGTCTGCAGATTCATGACCTGGAGATGATGCAAATGGCCGGGAGCAAGGAGGATAAGCGCCCGGCTGTGCGCGGGCTGCGCGACCGGCGACAGGACACGCTCACCGCTACACGTCTGCACTCTCCTGCCACCACCTCCGCTCTCCGCTTCCATATACCCTCCCTCTGTCTGCTTGCTATTTAACTCAGCCATGAACTCGCTGTACACGCAAGGCGTGCGCCAGACGAACTCGATCCAGGCCGACCTCGAACGCCTCCGGAATGGCGAGAAGTCGGCGTCGCTGCTAGGTCTGTCGGCGTGCGCGCGGTCGCTGGGCGGAAAGGAGTGGTGTTGACACCCGGGCCTCTTTGTTGCTGTGACAGGGCAGATCTCTGCGTCGCTGAGTGCGATGCATAGGACTATCGAAGATTACGACTCCATGGCCAAGCGCGAAATCATTAAGGCGAAGCAGGAGAAGGCTGTAATGTGCGTTACTGCCCATTCACTCGACCGTGTCCCTGCGCTCGTGCCAACGCACCCGCGCAAGTACCCTTGCATACATATGCACTTTACGTACAGTGCGCGTACTTTGGGCAATCGCTGACACCTATGTTTTGACCGCAGGCGCGTCCAAAAGTTCCGCACAGACTACGCAGAACTACGGGCACAGTTTGAGCGCGTGAAGTCAGAGGTAAGTGCACACAATGTCGCAGTCTCCATCTTGGACTTACCAGAACATCTTGCAGCACGAAGCAGCGACGCGAGCCGAGCTCCTGTCTGGCGCATCCTCATCAACAACACCCCTCACACCCGCCCCTGGAGACACGCGGCGACGATACGCGACGGGAGGGCCACAACCAGTGCCCGAAGAAATATCCGAGTCGCCCTTCCGCGGGTCCACACCCTTGAACATGAACGGCACCTCGCGCGAACACCACGCGCTGCGCGAGCACTCATTCATCCAGAACACAGACACGCGCCTCGATGAGTTTATCGCGCAGGGCCGGGCGGTGCTGGACGACCTTGTCGACCAGCGGAACGTGCTGAAGGGCACGCAGCGGCGGCTGCTCGATGCCGCAAATACCCTTGGCCTCAGTAGGGACGTCATTGGCTGGATCGAGCGGCGGAGGTCAGTCTGCCGTATTTCGTGTCCACCTGATAGTGATGCTGACCGTGACGTGCAGTACGCAGGATATGTACATCTTCTTTGCGGGCGCGGTGTTCACATTTATCTGCTTCTACTTTATATGGAGATATCTGGGTTGATTCTGGCGTCGGTTCTGCTCCCATCCTTTGCTCCCGGACTTTGTATAGTAGCTGGGTTACTAATCTCATACCTATCGGTACTCTCTTCGGTTCAAGCCTATGCTCGTTCTCTTGCCGCGCCGCCGGAATTTCCACCGATTCGAGCGTGGATTCTGCCTACTTCGAGCCAAAGCCGAGCAGAAGTCAGCAATACTGAGCGTGTTTGAGCTATCTTTGCTGTTGCATCACCAGGTCCCCAAGACTTTACATGAGGTACTACAGAAGAGCCGTGGTGGCAGTACTTGCAGTACGGTCCTAAGCAGAAAGATTCTAATTCATATGGTTGGGCTACCGAAACTGTCATCTCTTCTGGACCTCTGGGACTCGCAGAGTCGGCTGACAGTGCTGCAGAGGTTGACGGGTTCAACAACATCGCACACTATATAGGTTTCGACTAATATGTACGAAGAATATATGTTCTTTCGATTAAATCACGTCTATTTAAATAGTAAGAGAAGGTGTCGCATTTTTACCGTGACAGAATCCCAGGGACCAGGAGGCGGGGGAGGCATTGAGCTGAGTACTCGCGCGAGTTCCAGCGGCCCCTGCAAGGCGCGTGGATCCCATGGACGTCGATATTCGAGAGTGTGCCGATGTCAATGTCGAAGTCTGCTGGATGAAATGAGCCGGAGTGCGGGAAGACGTCGCCGGATGCCTGGGAGGCGTGAGCAGTAGTGATGCAGGGTCCTCTTGTGCTATAGCGAAGTTAAGCTCCACTTCTAGCGCGATGAGCAGGCTCGAAAGGACGTACTCGGTGAGCGGATGCCTCGGCTTAGAGTGCACGAGAGGCCCTGACTGTGCAACGGTCGGCCCTCAAGCGCGCTCCTGTAGAGTAGAATAGGGAGGTCAGCGACTCACTCGGGGTCTCCGCGCAGGTAAACACACATACCTGACAGCGCCAATCCTAGTAAGGCACCGGTGTTGGAATGTCTACCGCCCTGCGCCACACACCGTACCGCGGCGATCGCCATGGGTAGCGGCTTGGACCGCGAGTGGCTTAGGCGGCGTGTGGCCAGGGATAGCGGCTTGGACCGCGAGTGGTGTACGCGGCGTGTTGCAAGGCGTACATAAACGCGCACGCTCCGAGAGGCATGACCAGGAGAGCGTACGGAAAGGTGGGGGTTGGAGATCAAGTGTGTCCAGGGGCGGCTGCGTACGGCTGCCCCCGGGGATTGGGGGGAGTTGAACGCGTCTGTAGGGTGTCTGTTGCTTTCGATTTCACTTGGTGGATTGACGCTGTGGGTCGGGTTCGTGCAGAGGTCTGCAGCAGTGGCCCAGGGGGCTAGCGTGCATTGAGAGGTTTGTCTGTCATACGACGGCGAGGCCGAGGGTGGGGGTTGGTGTCGATGGGCCGTGCCCATGGTGGAGGATGCGGAGGGTTGAGCGCGAAAGGTTGAAGATGATGAGGGTAAGACTCAGGAAGCGGGGGATGAGGTGAGTGTAGGAGTGCGATGCCTGTTGGAAGTTCGAGCAGGCAAATTTATATACTCCTGGACAGGCTGCGCTTGGGATGTGACGTACTGGTTCCGGATGGTCCAAGCGGACCTGCAGGCTCATGCGCCATGGCCCACGCCAAACGCAGAGCCATAGGACCGGCGGGAGTAAGCTCGCGCCAGGACAATGATTAGAGCGGGTCCATGCGAACAATCACGATCAATATCGACGGCCACCCCGTGGAAAGTGGTCGATTCCAAGCTTGCACCAATACCAAGGGGAAATGATTGAGCACAGGAGGTCCCTGTGGACCTTCCCGGAAATTTAGTAAGTAGTCTTGAAGTACGCCATCAAGTCCAAATGTGACCCCACCTTAATCTGGCTCTATTTGTAATATGCTGTGCTAAACTGCTAGTCCAGACTTCGAGGCTCTCCTGTCCTTCGCCTCCGGGGACCGTGACTCTCTCGCCCTATCGCGCCGCTCCGTTCACTCTCGCATCTCCGATAGGTTTACGACAGAGCCATAATAAAGCAACAATACGTGACGTCGATACCGGTCATCTGTCAACGCTCCAGCCGGCGTTGTGGTGTAAAGTTTAAGTATTGCAATCATGATCCTCTCCCAGACCTCTACTATCGACTCCTCACGAGATCCAGAACTTTGATCTAAACTCCTCACATTTGCGTAAAGTCCGGGGTTTGCATGCTACCTGCATCCCAAAATGCGCCATGTTTACCATTAATACAGGCTGCAACGCGAGAAACAGTCCCATGGTGCAGAAACCGGCGTACTGAGTAATGACAGATTTGACAATACAAAATGGGCTAGACTGAGGTACCGAGAGATATTGCTACGCAGGTGCTACACGACCATCAAAGTACATACAGCATCGCCAATATTACACATATACAAGCCCTTCTTACACGTCCACGTTGCTCAGGTCAATATCGACAAGATACACGTTCTTTACATCGGCATCCTCCTGGCCAACGTCGTCACACAAGCGCGTGAAAGTAAGGAGAAGACGCCAACGCCCGCTGGAGAACTCCTTGCACCCCTTGCACCCTGAATGCTCCCAAAGATCCACGAACCCTGCTTCGATCTCGATGGCGCCCCCGTTCGCGGATTCCGGACCGTTGTCTGGCAAGCCGCCTTCACCCGCCGTGCCACTTTTCTGCATGCCCCTGTCCCCCATGCTCCCGTTTCCCCCATGGAGAGCGCACATCTAAGCCCCGATCAGTACACAGGAGAAACAGGTTGTAGCACTGCAACTGACCTGTGCGTCTAGAGATCTGTTGGTGTCGGTAGGCAGCAGGATTGTACACCACAGAGCCGCCATACGGGTGCCCGAGGAGGCATGTATTCGGATATCCGTCCGGAGCTCCATGCGCATCTGCTCCTTCTTCCGCCAGTCAAAGAAGGGGATACTGAGTCGTTCCCCTACATTGAAGCCAGGAGCGGGGTCAACGGCGAGGGCCGGCACCATGAAGCCGCGGAGCTCGAGCCGAGCGATCACCCACGAAGGGAAGAACAGTTTGTAATATAGCGATAGGGACGCCGTGCGCTGCAATCCTATGGGGCTACTTGGTCTGGGGTCTTTCGAAATGACGTGTTCCAGCCGGTATGCGACATAGCTTTGCTCCCATACAGGTGCGAGGGGCTGAGACCGTGACGGCCGCTTGAGGGGTCGTTGAAGACATGTCCCGAAGTCGAATCCCATAGGAAGGAGAACACATCGCACGTCGAAGTGGTCTTGGCGGGTCTTGGCTGTCAATTTCCGCGCTAGTAATTGTTCGATGAGGCTAGCAGAGTTACTGTAGCGATCGGCCGTGCAAGCATGTCAATTATATATATCTACGCCAGACATTGAAAATCAGGCCGCTTACCTCGCTTCACGCTGCTCGAGAGTAACCTCCTCTACCAGTGCACGGGTTCCGACAGCCCAGGGGCTTCCCTCCCCTTGGAAGCGCAGGATGACCCCCACAAACGATAGTTGGTCGCCCTGCGCCTTGGCGCAAGGCAACAACAAAAGGGCGCATCCTCCAGAGAAACGTATGACGGGACAAGTGGCTTGGATGCCGTGGCTTGATACAGTGAAGGACGTATTGCGAGGTGTGACGTCATATGCCGCGGCGAAGAACTTCTCCGGTAGCTTGACGAGGTCAGAACAATCCTTGAACGCCGCAGGTCCCGATGCAAGGAGAGAGGACCGATCCGCGTAATCGGTGCCGCGCGACGTCGGGAAAACGGAGCGGTAGCCTAGCAGCGTCTCGACAGGATCAGCGCGCGGCCCCCACGCGAACAAGGTCGTGTCTGGGATGCGTCGCATGATCTCCTCCTGGAGCCGGAGGAATGCCTCCTTCCCTTCGCCATAGATCGTGGAGAGGTGCACGCCGAAAATGCCCATCAAGCAGTACGCCTCATCCTCCACCCTGGTTGTCCGCCTTGCCGATGCCCAGGACATGCGGCGCGCCACGCTCACTTCGCTGAGAGACATGTTGCCCATGAGCACCGCGGCGTCGATCCCGGTAATATCCTCGAGCAACGGCGATATGGAGCGTTTGGACGCGATAGGGAACCATGTCCGCGAGAGGAAGATGACGACTTTGGGGGCGATGAGCTCTTGCAGTGTCCACCCGCGCGTGAACCACTTGCTTTTGCGGAAGGTCGAGTTCGGGGCGGACGGGGGTTCGCCATCGGACACGTCACAGAGGAAGACGTAGCAGACTGTTGCTGCGGCGTACCACGCGAACATCGAGTTAATCGCCTCCGACAGCTCAGCACTGCTCGTCTTGTCGATGCAGCAAGTGTCCACCCAGATAAACGTGAACCCGTGCGCCTCCGCCCACATGCAGCAGCAGCGGATCTTGTCCGATACAAAGTTGCGCGGGTTCTCGTCCGCCCTGCACTTTCGTTCAATCTCCTGGACCTCCCCGAACGACTGCTCCTCAGTCCCCCACACGTGCGAGAGGACGGCGTACTTGGCTGGCGGATGAGCGAACCATTGGAGCTGTGCTCGGCTGGTGGTGAGGAGCCACATGCATAGATAGGTAAGGACGCTTTGTGTGCGCCAGTGGGCAAAGTGACGAGATAGGTAAGGACGAGAGTTAGAGAGTCACCCGACTATCGCCTCAGCGGATGGAGAGAGAAAGCCAAATATGGCCGTATCACCATTGATCACGTCAATGCCAACACCGGGAGACGCCAAGTACTGTCTAGCCGACGGGGAGCTTCGAAAGTCGAGCCCTGTACAATTGAGTAACGCACCTGCCACCCGCTTGCTTCGTGGGACCGGCGGAGCGCGCATCCTTAGGCTGCTGGGAACGGAAAAGAAAAAGTGCAGATGATAAGAACTATGAAATCAATAGCACCACACGTTTCATGACAATGGGCGCACCAAAAGTCCCCCTACGGTAAGTAGTGTGCGTACACTTCAAACTCCAATCGGAGACTATGTACTAATCCCGTGCGTGATGAATGTAAACTGCCGTGCGGGCGGCTTTCGATATGTGGTGGTACGCAAAAAAAAGCTGACTCCAACGGGGGAATGGCGAGGCTTGAATAGAGAGAGCGGACGTGTGGGTGCGCCGCCAAAAACACATACTTATCGGCTGGTGACGCGCATGTCGTACTTACTCGGTCATGCTCGCCTTCGTGTGGCTGTGCTCGGTTATTGACGGCGAGTGACGGGGCTGCAGCGGTAAGTACTAGTCCGTCAATGAGTTGATGGGAGTTGAGCCTTTCCCCTGTAAAGCGCAAAGCTTCGTCAGCGCTGCACAGGATCAAAGGACGACAGACTACTAAATTTCAGGCCAGGACACCAACACCATGCGGGACAACGAATCAAGGCACCATATCGCTGATCTTGCCGCTTAAAAAGCCACGTCGTGCCGTTCGTGAGGACGCACGAGAGTACACTGTCGATGGTACCGTACGCGAGATTGTACGAGAGAGGGGTGAACAATGGTTAAGGACGCGGGGACGCCGTCACTGACTTAGTCCCATTTAGTTTCACGAACGCTGTCAACGTTGTCAACAACGGAACCTATGAGAATCTAGCGGTTGATACTCAACTTCCTGACAAACAACGAATCGGCTATAGCGAGAGCACCACTGGTCGCCCCAGTGAGGGCGGGATCGATGCGAAGAAGGGTATGAAGAGAATCGACGAAACGGTATCGGCAAACATGACGATGGTGCCGGATTGGCCACGTTCGGAGATAACGGTGGCGGACTCGGCGAAGGCTGTGACGGGGGAGGTACGCATGAGTGTGCCTTGGGAGATGGAGAACGCAGCAACACAGTACGTGGTCGTCGAGTTCTCGGGATCGGAAGTGGCGGGGTCGCGGAGGCCGGTGAATTTAGTCATACAGAGTAGAGCACCGGAGGTTTCAAGGATGTCCACGTACATGGAGGTGATCAGGGCGGAGCAAACCTTGCTGTTGCTGTGGTCGTACTATGCCAATGTGATTATAGCACGTGACGCATAGAGCGTTGCGTGAATACCCACGTCGAGCGTGTTCCCCACGCATTGCAACAACCAGAAGACGACGACCTGCTTGAAGAATTAGAACATGACATTGCCGGCATCGAATGCGGGGAAGTACGAGACCCGGTTCCAGCAAGAGAGGATCGCTTCAGCAGCACAGAGCCAAGGGTACTACAGATATGATGAGCAAACGAAGGGAGATTCGACTATGCACGTACCAGCCGGTGAAAATACCGAGACACACCATACAGTTACGCAAAATACACGTCTATGCTTCAACAAATTGGGGCTCACCGGCAAGGGGCCCTCTCGTCCCACGTAGTGGCCCTATTTCTTCCCGTGGGCTAGCGCTATGCACAGATCCTCCTGTGAACTATGTACGAGCTGAAGAGAGCAAGCCGTGATCTGGAATGTCATGCTACGCGTCGCGGAAAGTTTGGGTCATTCCGTTGAGGCGTACGAGGCGTACTTAAGATGAGATATCTGTAAAGATGCACCGTTTCAGGACACGTTCAGCGGAAATAAACGGCCTTTGTACGGACCGGAGTCAGATTTACCCGATAAATGTCTATAAAAAGGAATAAACGTCAGAATCTCTCGAACTTGAAACAGCTCGTTCGCGTTTGGACTACTTATTTCAAGTCGTCATACATATGGGCTAGGGCTTACGCTGTACCAAGTCAACAAAGGCCATCTCAGGGAAACACAGAGCGGGTCCATGCCAGTCATCTATCGCCACGTACCAAGTCGTTGCTCACCGCGCAAGGATCGAGAGAGCCTGAGCGTAATTGAACATTGCAGGTCCCTATGACCAGGATATTAACATGTCCCAACGTGACCCTGGCGCGCACAGCTAGTACATCCCAACCTTAAATCGGGTACGCCACGGTCAGCGCCGTCAACCCCGCCATCGCCTCCAACCTTGCGGTGTCCGGCACGATTCCGAGTGGCGTGTCGCCCTCGAGCAGCACAAGCATGCTGCGCGCGCCCGGGTCGTAGCGTGGCCACGGGATAGTGCGGTTCGACGCACCACCGTTCGGGTCGAGCGTCGCCGTGAACTGGATCACGTAGTCCGCGAGGTCGTTGCCCTCGACGAGCGCCTGGACCGCGTCTGTCCCGTGCGGCTGGACAATGCGCACTCAATTAGAGACTCATCCCGTGCGATGCAGAAGGGGTGTGTACTTACGCATCCGAGACCCTGCACTGCGCCGCGCTTGCTGGCTGTGAGATGGACGCGTAAGTATAAGGAAACGATGAATGATCAGGCGCGCAAACGTACTGTACGTCCATGCGGGCTGTTTCAGGGACCGCTGGTCCAAAAGGAACCGCCTCGGCGCCTGAAAGATTATATCGCCCTGGAGCGCCGCCATACGTTTGAACTCAGGGTAGAGCTCGTTCGCATCCCCTGTCTCGAACGGGGATCCCTCCGAGGCGACATTGGGGTACAGGTCGAAGAGGGGCGCGAGGACGTCGGCCGGCGTGTTGGGGAAGAATTCCTGTTGGACGAAGGTGCGGAACTCGTCTTCGGTGCTGGTGGCACGGCGGTATCAGGGCGAGAACGTGCTGCGAGTGGGAGGCGCGAGGGCGGCACGTACGTCACGTTGAAGCTGCCCGTGGAGAAAACCGTGCCTTCGTCGAGAGCGTCCCCTGCGAAACGGATCAACACTAGTCCTCGGACCCGCGAACTATAAAGTCACTTACCGGTGATGAAAGGGATGTTGGCCACGCTTCCCGCGAGCACAAGGTGTTGCGGAGGCGCCCCGATGAAGACACCGTCCGCGCGCGGAGCCCAGGCCTCAGCAAGTCCCTACCAAACCCACCCTAATGTATGAGTTCGCCATTCTACCGCACCCCGCTAGACAAGTGCACGCTCACCGGGTAATCAAAGAGGTTCGGCACCGCCGCACCCGCCTCCTGCAGCGTAGCCGCCGGGACCTGGCGCAAGCACTCGAGCGTATCCGCGGCGCCCGTGCAGTTCGCGTGCGCGACGACCGTGTCATAGAACGGCTGCAGGATCTCGATGTCGCCCGTGGGGAGAGGGCCGCCGGCGTGCATGATCCCAGCGCGGAAGAGGCCTTCGTTGTTCCCGCCGTTGGTGACCATGTGCAGCCCGACGGAGATGGCGCCCGCGCTCGGGCCGTTACTGGGGCAGTTTTAGTATGTGCGGACGACGTGAGGGTGCCAAGGGGTATTCTGACATGGTGACTTTCTTGGGGTCGCCGCCGAAGGTGGCGATGTGCTTTTTGATCCACCGCAACGCGAGACGTTCTGGAGAAAGTAAAGTCAACGATGCCGGGCAGGTGAATGATGCATGTTCTTACGATCGTGGAGTCCAAGGTTGCCGATGCCGGCTTCCTTGATTTCCTTACCTCCCAAGAATGCGAAGGCTTGACATAGTTAGTCGGAAGCAGTGATACACAGGAAAATGAGGACTCACGACCAAGCCTATCACGGAAAATTGTGAGTTAGCTGGCTGAAACTGAGAAGACGGGGGAGGCATACCGGTAGTTGATGCTCACGAAGACGAGCGGCTGTCCTAGTTCGACTGACCTTTGGACTAGCACGTCCCCTGGACTCCTGAATTTGTGGATGTGTGAGCAGGTCAAGCGTAGTACCAGGCAGCGTATACACGCACCCCGCCGTAGACCCAGAGGTGAAACCGCCTCCATAGATATACTGTAGGTCGAATCGAGGTTTGTGAGCGCCACGGATGAGCCATTTGAGAAACGACCTACTGCGAGTACAGGCAGTTTCGCTCCGGGCTTGGTGCCAGCCGGAATCTGTACGGTGACAGACAGACCTGTTCAAGTAATGAGTCTTAGGGGACTGGACGAGCATCCGAGTCATACAATCTTCGCTCTGAGGTACATCGACTGCTGTCAGGGGAATTGTAGCGCCGTACGCAAGTAGGTCTTGCAGGATATCCGCAGGCAGGTCGCTGCGTGGTGCCGCCGAACCCTGTATGCATTGAGTGGCCGGGACCGTCGCGTTGATGGTCCCATTGTATGTGATCACGGGCTTGGGGAGCCGGAGCCGGAGGTCGTTGATACTGCGATGATTCAGTTAAACGAAAAAGAGGACGTCACTGAATGGAGAACATACGGAGGCTGTGCGTACGGGATGCCGTAGTAGCTGGTCACCGTTCCATTCGTTTTGCCAATGACGGTGGCCATGTCCAAGGGGACCGTCGGTGCACCTGTTCGGGCAATAGCGAACACCATAGACGAATACGTCAGGAGACTCAGGAGAAGCATAACTGCAAGTGAATGGAAGGCTGGGGGGTGGATGTCGTTCTTGATCTACATTTATAACCTGTCGAGGTAAGACTCAGCAAAGAAGCGGCGGCACGTTATGTCCGGCATGTAGTTGGTCAAGATATGCCTCCCGACTCTTCGCTGAATGGATAAGTGAGCGGTGAGCGCAGCACTCGATTCATAAGACTACCTGGATACCAATATAGCATCAGTGCTGATCGAGGGCATGCAATTAAAGTGCATCGGGGGCATATTGCCACACGGTGGGCGGGAAATAGAGGATGCCGGATGAAGTCGTACGCACGGCAATGGGACACGGGGCTTTGGGATATCACCAAGCTGGTTGGGAATCCTTGGGATGAGGTTGCTGTGCATGTGGTGGCATTGGATGGGTCGAGTGCTGATCTGTGGTTCATCAAATTGGGGCTCGGAGAGTCCCTCCGGTCATAAATGACGCGTCGATTGGACGCGTCAACTGGATGACGCAGGCTTGCCGTGACGGGTAGCTTTCCGTTCATGAGATTCAAACCCATCGCGCCTTGCTGTGCAGCTCGGGGGTATGTGTGCATATGTATGGGAAGAAGGAAGCGGTGCGTTGTCGCGGCGGGATGAGAAATCAGAACTTTGCAAAGATGTACTATCGTTTTGGAACGTGATTGGCGGAAAAAAGGGTCGCCGGTACCGCCCGCCACCCGGATTACCCAGAAAATATCTGTAAAAGGTAAAGAAGCGTGCTCAGTTGTTACGCCACCTCCTGCCACCACTTCAGCTTTCTCCGGAACCGCTTCACCTCTGGTACTCGTTCGTGCGTAGTTCTTAAACTTGCCGTCCGTGTCATATCTAAGGTTCGCTTAACCTCCGTCAAATCAACTTGATTAGATGTTGACGCACCCTGTGCAGGCTTGAACACGGAAACTGTGACGGAGACCCGGCCGTCTTCTAAAAATCAATATCACCTTAGTGCCCCCAAGAGCCTAAGAATTAATCCTGGGTCTGCGTAAACGTACCAGGCCCAAACAGAAACGGGTTAGACGGGAGTGTCTGTCATATTATATTAGCACGCTCGCTTTATATTCCACATAGTAAGTTAGATGGCAGGTGCGTCAACATTCCTTCCGGGGTCTATTGGAGACCAAAACGCTCGCGGCCACATTCAGTACCATTGACTAGTGAACAAAAGCCCTGCGCCACAGCTCCAAGCTCCGATGGCTGGCTCCGCCGAGCGATCTGCAATGCCATTCAGTTCGGATATCTATGCTGGTAGCTGAAAGGGAGCTCCGCACCAACATGCAAATGACGAGCTCAGGGGCCTTGACAATGCGACTGCGCACACCAGCATACTGGGAAGCACGATGCGTATAAATATCGAGGTCTAACAGCTGAAGACCTCATCAACTCGCCTCCGCTCTCCCTCGCAAGCTCGCTACGATATCGATGAGCACCACCGATCCACCTCCCCGCGCCTCCATCGCGAATCTCTCCTCTATGGAGGATGAACCTCTCAATCTCCTGCTAGCCATGAATCTACACCTGGAGCCCCGGTGCACATCGCACGCATCCCACGACCCACCTTGGTGTTGTGCCGGATGGCACTGCAGACAGCACATTCGCGCCCGATCCGATTCGGGGATGTCCGACCTCAAGATGCTCGAAGATCCGGCGTTCGCCGAGCCCGTTATCGATCTCATCCACCACCCACTGCTGGGCTTCGCTGTGAGAGGCTGTCGCAGCGAGCAGCGAAGACGAATTGACTCAGCCGCGCCTGGTACGTCTGCCGTCAGCCTTGCTGCGATACGTTTCTCATCATTGACACTACAGCCCCCACGAATTGCACAGGGACGTTTTCATCGAGCCTCGGCGCCGGTCCAACATCGACACTCAGGACCAGCTCATCGCGTCCTTCGAGCAGTAAGTCTGTCTATTGGTTATTCGCGTCCGCCTTCTAACAACCCCTTAGCTCGGTCTTCGGAGGGTTGCTTCTTCGCCGGACAGAAGCAGTACAACATAGCCCGATCCTGGGCTGGCTACCTGGCGGCCCGCGGTAAATGAATGCTGCTACGAACGGGACCTCAAAGAAAGTCGATAGTTCTATATCTAATCTCCATAACAATGCGAGTACAGTGGAGGCTTCCTCTAAACATAATGACTTTGAGTTGGTAGTGGGAGTCTCGAACGCGAGGGTCATGTGCATGAAGCCATGGTGTTCCCTCTTCTATGAACTATACATTAACATGTCCAAATGAAACTCTGGCGATCACAGCGAGTACATCCCGACCTTAAAGCGGGTACGCCACAGTCAGCGCCGTCAACCCCGCCATCGCCTCGAGCCGCGCCGTGTCCGGAACAATCTCCAACGGGGTGTCCCCGTCGAGCAGCACGAGCATGCTGCGCGCGAGCGGGTCGTAGCGCGGCCACGCGATCGTGCGGTTCGACGCGCCGCCGTTCGGGTCGAGCGTCGCCGTGAACTGGATGACGTAGTCCGCGAGGTCGTCGCCCTCTGCGAGGGCCGGGACGGCGTCGCTCCCGTGCGGCTGGTAAACGTGCGGTGTGTTAGCCATCTCCCATGCGACTTGAATTGAGCGTGGTAGGCACTCACGCATCCGAGGCCCATTATGGCGCCGCGCTTGCTCGCTGCGTAGCGAAGATGTCAGTTAGAGAATAAATGGAAGCCCGAGTGTGGAGACGTACTATACGTCCACGCGGGCTGCAGCAGCGAGCGCTGGTCCAGGAAGAACCGCCTCGGCGCCTGGAACGTGATATCGCCTTGGAATGCGGCCATGCGCTTGAACTCTGGGTAGAGCTCGTTCGCATCCCCGGTCTCGAACGGGGAGCCCTCCGAAGCGACGTTAGGGTACAAGTCGAATATGGGCGCGAGGACGTCGGTCGGGGTGTTGGGGAAGAACTCTTGCTGGACGAAAGTGCGGAACTCGTCCTCGGTGCTGGCGGTATGGTGAAATTAGCGCTAGAACGAGTGCTTGGAGAAAGCGCGAGGGCGGTATGCACGTTACGTTGAAGCTGCCGGTGGAGAAGACTGTGCCTTCGTCGAGCGCGTCTCCTGAAAACCGGAGTTAATGCTAGCCTAGAGTCTGCGCGATCCGCTTACCTGTGATGAAGGGAATGTTCGCCACGCTTCCTGCAAGGACCAGGTGTTGCGGCGGCGCTTCGAGGAACACACCATCGGCGCGCGGAGCCCATGCTTGTGCGAGTCCCTGAAATACACGACGCACTGCGTGAGTGAAATGTCCTTCCACATCCTGCCAGACAGCTGTGCGCTCACCGAGTAGTCGAAGGTGTTCGGGACGGCCTTAGCGGCCTGCAGCAACGTGTCAGCCGAGACGCCACGCAGGCAGTCAAGGGTGTCTGCGGCGGCCGTGCAGTTAGCCTGCTCGACGACCGTGTCGTAGAACCGCTGCTGGATCTCGATGTTGCCCGTCGGCAGAGGGCTGCCAGCGTGCATGATGCCGGCACGGAAGAGGCCTTCATTATCGCCGCCGTTGGTGACCATATGAAGCCCGACGGAGACGGCGCCCGCGCTTGCACCGTTACTGACGATGAAGTTCAGCATTCAAGCGCGACGAGAGGTAACCAGCATGATGAGTGCTCACATCGTAACCTTCTTGGGGTCTCCGCCAAACGCGGTGATGTGCTGCTGGATCCACTGCAGCGCGAGACGTTCTGGAGGAGGCGTCGTCAACGAGTCCTGACAGAAGAACACCGTATGCTCTTACGATCATGGAGTCCAAGGTTACCGACACCGGCTTCCTTGACCTCTTTGCCTCCCAAAAATCCGAAGGCTGCAGGAGGTTAGTGAGAAGCAGTAGCACAGCCATATACATAGCACTTACGGCCAAGCCTATCACCAAAAACTGTGAGTCATTGGGGGGCGACTGAGGCTACGGGGAATGCATACCGATAGTTCATGCTGACGAATACAATCGGCTGTCCTAACTCAATGGACCTCTGGATGAGCACAGCCGCTGAGCTCCTGGATTACGGACATGTGAGCAAATGGGTTGGGATATCGAGCAGCGTAGACACGCACTGCGCCGTGGAGCCACTGGTGAAGCCACCCGCATAAATGTACTGTAGGTTCCCTAGCATAAGTGCGACCGATGAGCCAAATGTGCCGAACGACTGACCGCCAGGACAGGGAGGCTCGCCCCGGGCTTGGTGCCGGCAGGGACCTGTACGGTGACCGAGAGACCTGCTCGAGTGAGTCTTCAGAGGCCGCACAGCCATCTTAGCACTGTCCACGCACAATCTTCGCCCTCAGGCGCGGTGACTGTTGGGAAGGGAGTTAAAGCGATGTATGCAAGTAGGTCTTGGGCGATCTCGGCAGGTAGGTCGCTGCGAGGTATTGCCGGAAGCTGGATACACTGAGTAGCCGGGACCGTCGCGTTGATCGTCCCGTTGTATGCAGTGATAGGCTTGGGAAGACGGAGTCGGAGGTCGTTAATCCTGTCATTCTTTAGTTAGACGAGAAAGACGTTGTGGATGGGAAACTTACGGGGGCTCCGCGTACGGTATACCGAAGTAGCTGGTCACCGTACCGTTCGTTTCGCCGATGACAATAGCGTTGTCCAATGCGACTGTTGGGGCAGCTGCACGGGCGATAGCGATCACCGCAGTTGAATAGGCTAGAAGTACGAGCAACATGACAGTGGGACTTGAGGTGATTAGAGGTTTGTTGGTGGGTGACACCCCTCATCGAGTTGTGCTGTACTTATAGGCAATCATATATAGCGGCTCGAGGATTGAACTGGCAAAGTACTGTCGGCATGCGTACTAGCACGTCCGGGTCGGGCACGTATGTAGCCGACTTATGCCTGCTCGCAGAATTAGTGGTTGACCGTGAGCGCAGCACTCGATCCACAAAGCCGCTGTTGTTCACTGGCACGCCGGTGCTGGTCCGTGAGGGCATGCAAATAACGTCCACCGGAGTTATTTTACCTCACGATGGCCGGCTGGTACAGGATGCCGGGTGTGTTCGCACTCGCGGCAAAGGGGTTCGGGGCTAAGGGCGATCGCCGAAGTGTACGAGGTGAACATGCTGTGCATATAGAGCCATTAGTCGAGCATGAGGCCTGAGGCCTGAGTGCTGGGGACCGGATATCAGAGACCTGTCAGTCCTACATGATACGTCAACTACCAGATGAGGCGGACTTGCCACGGCGCGTAGTATGTTACTTACCTCCGCCCTTAGAGTTCTTCATGATAGTACTCTATACGAGCTTGTCACTTGATGTTTACAGCCTGTAACCCAAGGGTATGCGCGCATGTATATGGGAAGAAGGAAACAGGTCTTGAGAGATCGGCCCAAATGTATCCGCGATTTAGGAGTTTGGCGGAAATACCAAAACGGTCTATTTACGGTTTAAGCGCCTGTATGGTCGGAGTGAAGCGTGCTCCGACCAGCCTGCCACTCTCTTGGACCGTGACTACGTACTCGTCTGTACGCAGCGTTCTTTCCGACACTAGTCCTGAACATCGCCCGACCGATATCAAGTCTACTGGATACGGCGCTGAGCCGCTTTGTCATGCATAAGGTCGCAGGTGCAAACTCTGTGGCCAAGACTCGGAGCTCACCTTCCGGTGAAAGTACTGTCACGACTACTCGGCGCGCACTCTCAACGTCTTTGCAACGCGTCCACTGGCATTAATTGGATGCATATCACGCGTGAGACGATGTACAATGCTGAATGCCACATGCTCAATGTAATTCTTTGCAGCGAGCAAGGGAGTGGGTCCTCGCGCTTGAATAACAGTCGGACCGCACTGGGAGGGTCTGCGTGAGCATACCTGGGACTAGATAGGAGGTGTCTGTCATGAGCGCGCGCGCTTGCTTTGCTTTCTGGGACACGGCGCTAACATCTCCGCCATGGTCTATTAATGCAAGAGACCGAAATACTCCAGACCACATTCAATGCCATTCGTAGGCGAACAAAGGGCGTGCGCCATGGCTCCGAGCTCGCATGGCTTTCTTCGGGCATTCTGCCACCCGGCTTTGAGATCCATGCTAAATGGGGAGCGCCACAATAGCCGCCTCAGACAAGCCCAGGAGCCTCCACAATGCGACTGCGCACCCTAGCTTTCCGCGAAGCTCCGTGCGTTCGTCCGTATAAATATCGAGGCCTGACGGCTGGAGACCTCATCACCCCCATCTTGTACCCCCGCGCCCTCAACACCATGAGCAACACCGAACCCCCTCCCTGGCGGCCCGCCGCGAATTCCAACTCTATGACAGGCGAACCTCTCAATCTCCTGCTAGCCATGAATCTACACCGCGGAGCTCCGCGACCCCCTGCATACAGCCCGTGATACTCCTCGTTCACCTCTGTGGTGCACACCGCCAGGGGCTCACTGCTTCTCAGTACGACTTGTGGACTGGTCGAGTATAGCCAAGAAAGCTCGAAGAACCCCGCGTCCGCTGCTGGTGATTCCTCTGACCCACTGCCGTACCACGCCCCAGGCAATCATCGGAGCAGAGTCGTAAGTCCGCAGTCCGCAATACCGCGTCACTCTTCTCATCATTATTGCAGCCTCCCCGATACCAATTGCTTCGGGCACAGCGATTGCAGCATCCCATCCCATACTCCCCGCATACCTATTCGTCGCCTCGTCCCTAGACGCGATGTCGTACGGCGACTAGGCCGAGCTCGATACGCAGCAGTCCCGACCAGATCACCAAGTTACCCCACCCTTGTCTGTGGCGCTCTCTTGGCCACTCTCCCACTCCCATCCCGCGTCTCACGTGCCTCTCCCTGCCCAAGATGAGCTCATCCCGGAGACGAAGACACTTCAGGCGGAACCATTCCACGTCAGCGGTGTTGACAGTACGTCGCGTCCCACTCCCTCATACTCTTCGCTGACAGTTGTGCAACGATAGAAGGCTTCACCGCGTGCGCGGCGAGCGCTGTGGCCTTACTTTCCTCTTTTACGTCCACTCCGAGAACGCTATCTATCTACTATCCTACGTGGCGTATACAGCATGCACAACGCACCGGACACCCCGCCTCGAATGCCTTAGCGCCACGCTCAGGACTTCGCTCCCCCGATCATGCTCGTCTATCCGCCGCATGATCTCCCGGCATTCACGCCGCGCTGACTGCGCATATCCCAGTCGAAGCATCTTCGCGACGCGTGGGAGCCGCTGAACACGGGAGACGATCGTTCCTCGCGCTCCCCACTCGCTTCCACCACGTCACTGCTACGGGTTAGCAGATTCACCCGCCAACATTCTCGTCAAGCGCGTCTGTGCAGTCGAAGGCTCCCATTGCCCAGCTACACGTGCGATCTCGATCCACACAACAAGGCAGCTGGAGAGCGACTAGACAATCATTCATCCCAAGCATCAACTCGGGGGTGGCCTACGTACTTCGTCGCGTCGTTCGCGTCTTCGAAAGATGTGGTGCAGGCGTATGCGGCGGGCCTCTGCTTCTGTGAGGGTAGGAGGCTTTCATCTAGACCCTGTGTCGAACCAACGACTCATCGAAACCCAAGATGAGCTATCCCATTTGTTTGATGGTAAGTCCGTTTCGCGTCCGCTTCCTGACGCTACTATGTTGTACCCGTAGTGGGACAGTCCGTACTCGTAAGACAACAAACATCTTGGATCTGCAGATACACTGCAGAGCACTACTACTACAGGATTGCATACCTAGTCGAAAGTTTTGTATCTGATCGCTATAACAATGCGAAATATACAGTTCAAATGAGCTTGATAAATGAGTGACCACCTCAGGGGAAATACAGACGGGACGGCCGTGTAAGGTCCCGCAAGCCATCCCTAGCCATAACGCCGCGAAGTTGCCATGCCACCCATGCAGGCGGCATGAACGCGTGGCACGATCTCCTACAAGTACGAGTTTTGAGTGGAGAAACCGTCATATACATTAGCAGAAAGAGCAAAAAGACCCTTCCGTCGTAATCCAGGGGAGTAGTATATAGTGTACACATACTAGTAGCTGAGCTGCCGAAACCATCACCATGAACCTCGCTTAGAGCACCGCCGGCTCGCTGACCGGCCACTCGAGCGGCGCGCCGCCGCCGCTCACGCTGTTCACAAACACGCCCCAGTCCGCCCAGCTGCTTGCACCATAGCCATGTCAGCGTTTATTCACACGATTCAGGCTCCGGGGGGGGGGGCGCTTGGAGACTTACTCTAGATTGGTGGGCGCAGACGACCACATGTCGAGTGTGTTGTCCGCGAGCGCGAGGTCGTCTTCCGAAAACGACGGAAGATCCTGGGAGCTACTAGAAGGCTCCTTGTCCGGAGGCGGGCCCATCGTCGACAATGTGGATATGTGAGATTGGCTCGGCTGCGGCTGCGGCTGTTGCTGTAGCGGAGAGAACTGGAAGGCGGCCGGGTCTTGCGACACAACGGTGGACGGTTCAACAACCTGTATGGACCCAAAGGGGTGGAAGAATGCCGCAAGCCCGGACGTCGATTGGTTTTGGTTCACAGGTGGCACGGTGTTCGTAGGAGGCGGCTGCGCGACCGCAAAGGGGAAGTCTACAGGGCTTGCGAATTGCGCGAAATCTGGCGCCGCCATGCCGTTCGAGACAGACTGAGAGGCCCCGGGAGTCTCGGTATGCTGCGGTCGCGCGAACCGGGCATCGAAGAAGGGGCTGTAGCCGGTGCCGAATGGCATCCGCTCGAGATCCACCGTCCGCACTGGAAGTTCGAAAGACGCGGGCGAGCTCGAGCTTGTGTCCGAGCTGAGCCCAGACCATCCCACCTGTGATCCACCCCAGGGACTGTCTGCGGAGGGCGCGCTTGGAGGTGGCACGTCCTGCGACGGGTTGCGCTGGTGGATCGAGGTGTAGGAGGCCCGTTTGGATGCTGAGGGCTGCGATTCGGAAGATGTCTCGCTTGCACTCGAGCTGCGCTGTGCAGACGACGCCTCTTCGGGCTGATTGCTATCGCGAGGCCTCTTGCGGTTTGGCGTGGGGTCCTCTGGTCCCTTGAACTCGCCAGCGGCGTATAGGCTCTTGAGGACGTCCCTGGGAGCAAGTCAGTGACCGTGACCGAGTTCGGGTAGACCGCACACCTACCAGAGCCTGCCCGCTGCACGCGACCTGAGCCGAGGTGAGATATGAAATAGACAATTGACGAAGGTAGAGAACGCTTACTGAGCCTCAAGCATCTTCAGCATGGCCATGCACTTCTGCACATCCGACGCCGCAGAGCAATTCGCGAGCCCCGCCCGCTTCCCGCCCCACATATTGATCAGGAGCACTATTCCTGCGGTGAACAGAGGCATCTGTAGCACGTATTAGTTAATGCGATCAAGGCATTATATATTGGACGTACGCGGCTGTACGCAAGCGGAGTGCCATTCCGCCGACATTGCACGTCGCTCACGTGGATACACGACCGTGCGGCGTTGGTGCAAATCGCAAGCGAAGGTAGCGTCAGACGGGACGACTTGCGCGAGGTGGGGAGGAACGGGCGGTGGACGAAGATCTGCAGCTGGTAGTACTTCATGTACAGGACGGACGACTGATTGAGGAAGACGAGGTCCTCTCTATGTGGATCCCACCGTACTTTGTGATTCCAGCCATGGATTAGAAATAATGGACACAAAGTTCATTGTGGGAAGGACTTACTATGATCCGGGAGGGTGTCAATCCATTTGTTGAGAAGCGAGTCGAGCTCCGCGACGATACGCTCTTCCCATTCGTGGCCGACAAATCCTAGAAGCATCTTCGACTTGTTTATCGAGTACTCAAAGTGCAAGCGTCAGCCGCGGATGCGAGGAGTCCTCGATGTGCTACACACAAGAGTTCGCAGAGCGAAGGCCATGATCTGCATGAGCCTGCTGATGCCGTTCATGAAGGATAGTTTGGATGGTCTGTCGGCGGGTTGTTTGAAGTCCGTCTCCGGGTCGCCTGTGTCCCAGTACTCGTCATCGCACTCGATCAGGGGGTCAACGTCGAAACTATGTATGAGATCATGAACAGCAGAATCGCAACGGCAGGGGATCGGACTTACTCTTCGTCTTGCAGGGCGCACGGGCGTCCAAGGCTGAAACTGAGCATTCGGTCGAGCATAAGAAGGCACCTAACGATGTCAAGACAGGTGTCAGCAGCTACGGCGAGTGTAATTTGATCCAGCTGACCAAAACGCCCGCCTGAACAGCTCGCCCTGAGCTTTGGGCATGGAAGCGTATGTCTTTCTTCTGTGCGTGCCGAGGTCCTGGGCGGTACGTATGCCAATGCCGATGAGCGTCCAGCAGTTGTGTGGCGAGCTGTAGCTTCCGAGATACGAGGACATAAGCTGTGAACCAACAGCGTTCAGTGATGCAGGAGTGACGATTGTCGCTGGACTACTAGCGAATGTACGTACGACACATTTCTGCAAGTCGGTCAACTGCGGCGGGGCAAAGATAGACTTCCGCGCCTTCTCCACTTGCAAAAACCAATTCCAGCCAGGCAGTCCAGGCGGGCCGTAATCAGCGACGCGCGGGTCCTCTGACATCCGTGCGCCGTTGGCGCATACGAGCAGTACGACAGAGCCAAACCCCTCGTCCACTAGATGCAGGCCTTCCCTCAGCTGTCTGTCGAACGTTGGGCGGTGAAGAAGCGGAATGTAGAGATTGAGCTTTTCGAAATACGCGTCAACGAGGACCTTCATGAAATCCATGGGCGGGAACTCCGTGTGGGGAGGCACGTCATCTACCGCAGTAGGGAGAGACCACTATGGACGCTGTTTCAGCCGAATGAGTGAGCGAGTGAGCGAAAACGGTACCTGGCCATTTGGTGCCATCGCAGATGGGTCGGTACTAGGTTCTGGGACCCAAGAGTTGGGTCCGGCGCCGGTATACTCATATTTCATGTCGACAGCGGTCTGTAGCAGCATCAGGCTGCTAGACTTGCCGTGGTACCGCTGAGTGACGGGACGCAGAGAGAATTTGCGGAAGCTGTGCAAAAGCTTGTTCCACGACTCCATCTCGTCGTCGCTGGGGTCGAGGTCGTCCGAATCGGCGGGAGAGGGGGCGTTGAAGACAGGGGGAGCGACGGCAGCCGCTGGGCTGCTTTGCGTAGTACTGTCAGGGGATGAAAGAGCCGAGATGCCTCCAAGGGTGGCGGTTGCTTCTCGAGGGGATGTATGTCCTCGAGGCTGCAGCTAAAGTACACTTATACAGCCTTCCATTGGATGCACAGCCGTAAACTTAGTACTTACCTTATCGACCAGCTCCTCCATCTTCTGAAGTCGGCTCTCAAGAACCTCGACATAGCTGGGGGATCGTCAGCCCGGTCCGAATAGACGCAGTAACTCGTATAGGGGCAAGCAGAAATAGAAGACCGCAATAGCTGGTGTTTCCGGGTAGTTGCAAGAGGATTTTACCCTACGTTTCTGGGTGAACAGATGCTCACCTCTTCGTAGGGGGTCGTCTCTAGTGGACTGTGAGTAACTTTCAACGTATGAAATAATTCCACGTACATTAACAGCTTCGTAAGTGCAGTCTACGCCGTAAGAGATGCATTTGGAGCAGCGGCCATTGGGCATTTCCGTGCCATCGCCTAGATTTAAGACGCCGTGAAAGACTTTTCGCAGCTATCATATATCACAACCTACAGCGAACTACATATAGATACTTGAGCACCGGAAGCAATAAGAAGATAGGAAAGTGCTGTACTCTTCTTCTTGCGACATAGGTCGCACGCTCGTTGAAGCTTAGGCCTCTTCGCGCTGTCGATCGAGCTAATATTCGAGTCTTCGAGATTGGACGTCATATCGAACGTGATCTGTTACATTCATTTTGGAAATGCATAGTGCGAGATATACGGAGTCAGCAGGAGGCGCATGGCTCGGGATTGACCAAGAAGTCTGACCAACTTGTCTCGGGGATGATCCGAACGTCCGAGCCTTGGCGGCGCCGCGGTGGCCAAGTCCTTTACGAGTTGGGAACGAGTAAGGGGAGGTGCAAGAGTTCCAGTCCACGTAGTTCGAGCTTGGTGGTGAAAGGAGAGAGCGAACGGATGCGCAACTGGACATTCGGCGAGGATGAGTCGGAGTCGAACCCCGTCCCACTTGCGGCGCCGAGGTGGCTGTGAAGCTGACGTTGTTCCGCAGGCTTTATGCCGAGCACCCGAATATATTGGGGCGTCTACGATCAGGGTTGCCAGTTCGACTCTCCCGATGTACATTTCATCCATCACCCTTCGTCGTTCTCCGTCTGACCCCGGGAGGAAACATCGCGATCCCAACAAGGATTGCGATATTCGCGGTACACAGAAAACTCCTCACGATAAGTGTCGGGAGCCATAGTTGGGCAGAGTCTGCGAAGAGGGCCACAAATTGACATCCATCCCCTCCTTCCGAGCCCGCCGTCTATAGTAAGACTTCTTTCGTCTTTCCGCTTCTCCAGGACAAGACTCGGAAGACATATCCGCCAGGTGGTACTTTAGGTAACTCTCCTGGATTCACAAACATGACATTATTGGGCTCGTGAACGGTCCTGCCAGATCGCACGCGAACAGAGAACTTCTTCACTTTTGCTATAGATTCGAGCAACACTACTGGTTTAAACCCCTACGGGAAGGTACGACACATCGTCTATTCCCTAGTGCTTCTCCAACCCCATCCGTCACCCTCACGTCCTCACTGCTGGAATCCGGCGACGATCCCATCAAACGCCGGCTTCTTCACCAGGTTCTGCGCATCCGCAGTTAGCCCTCCTCCGAAAATATGTAGCCCAAATTCGGCAGGACATACCTGATCCCAAGGAGTGGCAGCACCCTGACCCGGGAATGTGCTCGGGACAAAGGAGAACTGGTACAACACCGGTGAGCACGCAGATCCCGCCATCTCGCTAGGCGGGTCAACGACATACCTTATCAGTGAAGTCCCACACAGTGACGCCCACGCAGCCCGCCACGGACTTGCACGCGTGGATGACGGTCTGGAAGTCCTGCTTCTGCTGCTGGAGGAGCGCCGCCGTCTCGGGGAGCGTCATGCGGATGTCGAGTTCCGTGATGGCGACCTCGAGGCCAAGCGCGGTGAACTGCTGCATGCTCTGGATGAGCGTTGTAGGGACCTGGCCGACGATGAAGTGGCACTGGAAGCCGACGCCGTCAATCGGGACGCCTTGCTGCTTCAGCGACGTCACAAGGTTCTTCAATGCGGTCGATTTCGCGCCTAGAAGCTCGTGTTCAGACTATGCAACGAGCAGGGGTGCTGCGTGACGTACCGAGGCCCTCTACGTTGAATTCGTTGATGTACAGCTTCGCGGCCGGGTCTGCCGCCCTGGCAGCGCGGAGCGCCGTCGCGATGTATCCCGAGCCGAGGGTGTTGAAGAAGACGTCCTGGCGGAACGAGCCGTCATCGTTAAGAGGCTCTGCAACCGAGTGTGAGTTCGGGTTGTGTAAAAATGAGGGGAACATTCGTTACCATTGACCACATCCCAACTCACTATGCACACGGTCGATCTGGTTAGCTAAATCGAATGCAATGGTCAGGGAGGCGCTACGTACAACTTCAAACGACGGTGAGCATGAGAATACACCTCGAGCATGAATGACACTTACACTTGTCCCCTGTAGTGTCCCACGACAGTGCCGCAGTGATTTTGGATGATCTGCGTCAGCTGCTGTGCGTTGAAGTTGCCCGCAGTCACCCAGCTCGGAAGCTGTTGATGCCAGACACAGTTGTGCCCTGTGAATATGTTCAGCTCCTCCACATCTCCGGCTCATGCAAGACTGTTATTACCGCGCAGCAGCATTCCGTGAGACCTCGCCAGGTTCGCGATCTGGTCACCCTGCGCGAACGTGAACACGTTCTGCTGGGGCTCGGTTGCATCCTGGGACGAAATGGTCAGCTTGCTAAACGTGTTCGAAACCTCGCGAGGCGGCGAAACTGACCCATTTCATGGTGTTCTCGGCCGTGATCTGGCCGAACATGTTTGGAGCCTCGAGGATAGCGGTGTACTGAGTGTTGGTGAGCTCATTGTTGTCCGTCGCGGTGCCCAGGTAGAGCTTGCCCGCCGCCTTCGCAACGGCGTGCAGGCCCGCGACGTTCGCGGTCGAGCCGGGAAGACTCGCATCGGCCACGGGTGTCGCAGGGATCGCGAGCGCGGCGGGGGCCAGAGCGACGAATGCTGCGAGGAGTGAGAAGTGCATGGTGAACGCGATCGGAGGGTGGTTCTGGAGTCTTAGAGGCCAGCTTTCGGTGGTTTATGTACGCGAAGGCGCAGTCGGACGCGGCGGCCTAGCGTTAGGAAAATAGACCGAAGCGGTGGAGACTTGGAGCTTGTCTGTGGCCGAAGGAAGCCCTCCCCGGACGCCATGCGACATCGTGTGTCCGAAAGTGCTGATCGGGGCCCATGCCTGTCGCGCAGGTCTTCATGTCCGCAGGCCGCCTGTGGTCGGGCGCAAATTCTCGTGATCGATACTGCATGGGCCCCTGTTCAGCATGCACTTTCGGGCTCAGGAACATGACACCGGACATGGTACGATGAGTTGACGCCACTCACCAGAGGGAGCAGGAGTGCTAAAATGGTGCTTGTCGTGAAAAATAACCCACGCAGCTTGTGTTGTGCGTGAGCGGCGCAGGTGGTCCAAGGATGTGTCACTGAAGCGAGGGCCCAAAACGTTGCCCACAATCTTCTTCGGTGTCGGCAGCATGCAGCGCCAAGATGTGTACGTATACGTTAGAAAACAGCATCGATAGAGGCGATGCACCTGCATACAAACGACAAGTCCTACTCGTTAGTCACTCCCAGCTCTGGATGTGTTCGAGGCTGACATACCACGCAGGGTCACATTGACCCATGTTTTCTCACCAAGTCGCACCGCATGATCACCTGCGTCTAGTCCCAGTCAGATCGCTGTGAACAATCCGGAATGTGAGTATGTGGGGGCTCGGGCGTCCGTGTATTCTTAGCGGACGTGCGAAGAACAGAGTTTAGCCGGCCGCAATGCGGGAGAGCTTGATGGCCATAAGACGATCTTACCTTCCTCTTTCGCATGCGCACATCTCGCAGGATGTGCGGCCCGGCCGAGTGACCGTGAGAGTTGTACCCGCCGGGCATGGCGGGGGAGGATGTTTGGCGTTTTGCCTTCGGTTTCGCGGGCGGTCGATGCGCTTCTGACACCAGACACTCCGAGGTATGCGTTCCTGGTGCTTTTGGCTTCACGCTGATAGGCCAAGGATCAATCAATAGGAGATACCCTTTGGAAGCTCCACTGACCTACTGAACAGCGAGTAAATGTAACCGGCGGCTGGAATACAAGTAGACCTCCTGAGTTCACGCTATGGACCGGCAGCGTGGACGCCCTCTACTGAGGCAAACAGCGTGCACGCTCGCGGTCACAATTGCACTGCAACAAAACGTGTGTGTATCCTGAATGTCAACGCGTACCTGACGAGTGTGTCTGTGAGAACATTCAGAGTCAGGATGTTCGAACGGGTCCTATATGGACTCAATGTCCGCTCGCCCTGGGGTGGGCGGGCATCAACCTTATTCCAGGGGCTACAAGTAACAACGATGGACAGAACACGGAATCAGACCGGAAGCAAAACAGAGACGTACCAGGAAAGTGAAGAGTCGCAGAGCGGTGTATCGTGCGTCCAAGTAGACAGTGTGGTTGATAGTTCAACTTGGCGCGAGAACCAGGCAGAACAGTGGAGCGAACCTCGAGGCGAGCACGATCATGTGGTCGCATCGTTCCATGTGAACGAGAACACTCATTGGCGCTTTGGTGCTGCCTTGCGGTCGACACCGTCAAGGGTTCGTCGTACCCGGAGCACTAGAAAGAGATCTGGAAGTTGCATTAGTGACGCTAATGAACCAGGAGAGCAAAAGACTTACCCGCGAGAAACATACCGTGTATTCGCTCTCGTTTAGATGCACACACAACGGGAGATGAAGAGAATATAAAGAAGGTAGTCTAGTGTCCGGAATGAAGAAAAAATATGACAAGCTAATTCCTCCACAGTCAAAACCTCAATCCGAGCCATAACGACGTGCGCTGTACTCCGCGTCGTGTCCTGTAGCCTCCGAATCCTTGAACCGAACCGGAACGTACTGCGAGCCAACATTCCGCCCCTTCTTCGCCCGCACACACATAGTGACGGTAACGCCCAGCAACGCGAGTCCAATAAGCAAATTCGCTCCCAGCAGTGCGAGAACGGCGGTCCGGAACGTCTTGCTCCAGTCAGATAGCGAGTTTCCGGTGGCGTCGTCGATGGTTATCGCACCGCGGACTGCATCCTTTCCAGGAGCAAGGGTGGAGACGGAGGCGGAGGCAGAAGCGAAGGGAGAGGAAGCAGTGGCGGAAGCGAGGTCTGAGGAAGTAGCTGCAAAGGCGAACCTAGAGGTGGTGGTGGTAGAAGCCGTGGCCGTGGCCGTGGTCGTAACCGTTGCGGAGGTGGAGGCGGAGAAGGCGTCCCAGAGGCGAAGGTACTCGGCGGGATCGATCATCGGAGGAAGACCAGCGAGCGTGGCTCCCCGCTCATCATAGAATTCAGCCACCGCGGTTCGGGAGTCGGTCTTCGAGACTATCTGGACAAAAGGAGTGCCCTCAACATGAGTCCAAGGATTGAAGTCACCGTAATCGAAACTGCGCAAGACATGAGTTCAAACGCAACAGTTGGGCCGCAACAATAGGACATACGATACGCAGACGTTCCGCAGGAAAGCATCGCCGAGGGCCATATCGAAACCAGCGAAAGATGTGGGGTCGAGGTCGATAGGTTGGTACGTGCCCTTGCAGACAGTAACGTTTGCCTGTGTCCCATCCTCAAGAGGTACCGTGTTCGCGAACGGGTAGGTGAGATCCAAAGGATGGACAGGAAACTCTTGGCCGCTATAAAAGTCATGTCGCTAGTCAGTGATATAAGAAAATGAATAAAACATACCACGTACCCAAGAAAGAAGGAGACCATAGTGGTCGAGTTGCAGGGCACGAAGTATTCGTTGTCGGGGGCCGAGAAGATCGAGCCTGGAATAGTTCTGTAGATGGCGTCGACAGCGGCAGGTGGGATTGGGGGGAACGAATATCCGGTGTCGAGCATAGCAACGAGTTTGCCGGCAGGTGCGCCGGCAACGACAGACGACTTGTTGAAAGATACGGTTTTGCCGTTGACCCTCATCTCGTCCACAGCGAACGCCCACCTGTCTGTTCCGATGCGCGGAATCTTAGAAGCGTGCGTTACGTTGACGAAGGACGGTGCATGGCCGCTGATGACGAAGGTACCGCAACCATCCTCCACGGCGTCCGAGCGACCTAACTGGACGTCAAAATTGTTGGGGAGCGAGGAGTTTTCGGCGAAGAGATTGGTGATGAATGAGCGACCCAGGACACTTGCACTCTCCTGACCCCAGGCCGCACTCGTCTCGGCAAAGATGAAGGAGGAATCGAAAGCCATCCCCATCATACCATCCACAACGACATCGAAGTCTGATATCTGCTTTTTCATTAGCTGTAACGTAGGGTCGCCTCGACTTATAACATACCTGCGTAGCATTGATAAAGGCTGGAATATGCACTTGAATATTAGCGTGATACTGAGTATTGACCGCGTGAAGCACTCACCCTGCGAAGGAACTACGTATTCTCCAACTCTCAGCTCCGCATACTGAAGAGTTCCGTGCACCTCTCCTATTCCGTATGTCTCGGTAACGGACAGGTTTGTAGTGTTGGTCAGCACGAGGTCGATGCCTTTGCTATTAATCCATAGATCCGTGGACCCAGTATCAAGCAGGACAGTGAAGTCTGGAACGATCGTGAGTGCCTTAAGACAAATAAGTCACACGGCGGCTGGACGTACTCTGCCCCCCGAGGGTAATGTTCACTGTATACTGTCGGATTGTGGTCAGCTTGTTCTACTGACATTGAAAGCAGAACACTTACTGTCGTGTCGTCCGACGTCGCCAATCCGATATTGGGGCCGTAGCGGGCCCGGGTATGAGTGTTCACCTGTATACCACGACTCCCCGTAGTAGTAGTGTTGGCACGACTGTACGCGGTAGCGAAGGAAAACAATGAAAGCAATATAAGAAGCCGCAAGGCGGGATGGAAATGAGAAGGACCCATAGTCGAACCCGAGGAAGAGAAACGAGGAATGTAAGTAGAGAAGGAAATTGGGGACAACGCCGCCGCCTTGACGTCGATTCGAGTTTTATACGCACACCAATGGAGTGCCAGTCTAGACTTCTCACAACGCGTCGGGGTCCGCAAATCGGGTTCCTGGAGTCACTGCCCCGTGCGCAAGCCCCAGGGAGCTGTCCCGGGTACGCATAGCTGGATTCTAATTCTTCGCGCCCCGAGAGCAAGTACCTTGACGAGCGATGCGAGTTGACCTATGTAATACAGTGCATGGTCCCATCAGCATTGCGGTGCGCCTAGTATGGGCGCAAAATCCAAAACAGAGTACGCGCTGGCATGCGCACCTTGACAACAAGTCCCCGCAGTCCGCAATGAGATCGGCACGTATCTGTTCATAGCTACAAATCTCACGAGGCGACAAATTTCCGGATCCGCCGGAACTATACGATCTTGTCACTCCTCGCCGAGCTTCTAATCAAGAGAGCTCATTAGACTGTGTTTCTCGCAGAGAGTGACCTCGTCGAGATCGTGAACTTGCACGACGGCGCCTCGGGAGGGAGCGAGTGAATAGATTTGCTTGTGCGAGCGGGCGTCAGTTCTTCCACAAGACCCGACTCGGGCGGAGCCGTTTGTCGCAATGCTGCTAAAATTGTTTGAAGTGGTCAGGAACCAAACGAGCTTGAGGTGCGATCAGCGTGCTCACCGTGCCACGGCAGGATCGTGGCGATGCGAGTCTCATCAATCTCACAGCTGAGCGCTGATGGACACACTCTCGGAAGTGGCGTACAACGCCATAATTGCCCTCTGCTGAAGTCTGCAACGTCGGGCGACGGACTTCGATGAAATTAGCTTTGCACACACCGCAAATCCATCAGGCGCAGTACTGTGGTCGCCCGCATTGGAAGAAGCCTGAGAACGCATGAGCGGCATGGATTCAAACGAAAGGCGTGAAGCTTACCTGCGATAGAAGAGTGCTCCACTGCCTTCAACGAACACACAAGGGAACACAGGAATAATAGCATGAAGATAGGATAATACCCAAGAGAAAGCAGTGTCCAATATCACAAAACATGTCCGCCAACAGCTAAAACCTCAATCCGAGCCGTATCGAGGCGCGCCGTACTCCGCGTCCCGTCCCGTAGCTTCCGCCTCTTTGAACCGAACCGGCACGTACCGCGAGCCAACACTCCGGCCCTTCCTCGCCCGCACGCACATAGTAACGGTAACGCCCAACAATGCGAGTCCGACCGCCAAGTTCGCTCCAAGCAGTGCAAGAACTGCGGTGCGGAACGTTTTATTCCAACCAGAGGGCGAACTGCCGTTATCGTCGTCCGCAGACAGTGCGCCGCTGACTGCAATGTCTTCAGATTCCGAGTCGGAAGAGGCGGAGGCAGAGGAGGCAGCGGCCCACAGGCGGAAGTATTCGGCGGGATCGATCGTCGGTGGAAGGCCAGCAAGCGTGGCTCCCCGCTCGTCGAAGAACTCTGCTACCGCGGTTCTGGAGTCGGTCGTGGGAACCATCTGCACGAAGGGAGTTCCCTGGGTCTCTGTCCATGGATTGAAGTCGCCATAATCGAACCTGAGTGCGACGTGAGCCAGTGCACGAGAACCAAGTTGTGATAGCTAAACGTACGACGCATAAACGTTCCGGAGGAAAGCGTCACCGAGGGCGAGGTCGAAGCCAGCGAAGGCGGTGGGATCCAGGGTGATAGGCTGGTACGTGCCTAAGCAGAGAGTGACGCTGGTCTCCACACCACCCTTGCTAGGTAACGTTCCAACGAAGGGGAAAGTGAGATCTAGGGGGTGAACAGGGAACTCTTGGCCGCTGTACGAATACACCACCGATCAGTAATATAAGAATATGGGTGAAGCGTTCCACGCACCCGAGAAAGAAGGAGACCATGGTGGTCGAGTTGCAGGGCACGTAATAACCATTGTTGGCCACCGAGAAAACCGAGCCCGGAATAGTATTATAGATGGCATCGACAGCGGCACGTGGGAGTGGAGGGAAAGAAAAGCCGGTATCGAGGAGAGCGACAAGTTTTCCGTCAGGTGAAGCTGCCACGGACGACTTGTTGAAGGGGACACTTTCGCCATTGACCCTCATCTCATCCACAGCGAACGTCCATCGATCTGTTCCGATACGTGGAAGCTTAGGAGCCTCTGTAACGTCGACGAAGGAAGGTGCATGACCGCTGATGACGAAGGTGCCGGAACCATCTTCCACGGCGTCCTCGCGACCAAGTGAGACGTCGAAGTTGTTAGGAAGCGATAAGTTTTCTGCGAAGAGATTGGTGATGAACGAGCGACCAAGAGTGCTCGCACTCTCCCGACCCCAAGCAGTGGAGATACCGGCGAAGATGAAGGAGACGTCGAAAGCCATCCCCATGATACCATCCACAGCGACACCGAAGTCCAACACCTGCCCTTTCGTCAGCTCTAGTACGGGGCTTCCGAAACTTCATACATACCTGCGTGGCATTGACAAATGCTGAAAGATATGGTCAGGTCTCCTTGTAATATAGCTAAGTGCGCATATAGCACTCACCCTGCGAAGGAACGACGTAATCTCCGACCCTCAGCTCGGCAAACTGAAGAGTCCCGTGCACTTCTCCTCTTCCATATAGCTCAGTCATGGCAAGGTCGGTGGTGTTGGCAAGGGTAAGTTCGAGCCCTCTGCTGTTGACCCATAAATCTGTGGATCCGGTATCGAGCAAGACGGTGAAGTCTAGGATGCTGTGAGTGACTTGAGTGCAAAACTTTGATACGTCAACTTGACGTACTCTGTCCTCCGAGCGTGATGTCCACCGTATACTGCAGGATTACAGTTAGCTGATTTCAGTGTCCTCAGATCGCAGGGTACTCACTGTCGTGTCGTCCGATGTCGCTACTCCAATATTAGGATCATAGTGGGTGTGGGTGTTCACCCTGATGCCATAGCTGTCCGCGAAGGGTTTGCCGCGGCCGTAGGCCGCAGTGAAGTAGAATGAGGGAAGCAGCGTCAGAAGTCGTAAGGCAAAGTAGGAGCGGAAAAGACCCATGATCAAAGAAAAGGAGAAAATGGGGAAAGAAGCTGTGAAGGAAATGAAGGAATCACCATGTCCGGTTGACCTCAGTTCGAGCTTTATACATGCGCCAAGGCAACGCTACCCTGTCCGGCGAAAGTATCTCATAACATGCTGTCCACAACGGGGTGAAGCCTACCGGAGGCGCTGCCCCGGGCGCACAATCTAGGCCACTACCGCATGTACAAGCCTGTCAATAATCCTTCACGTACCAGTGCCGATTCACCACTAGTCCGGGCGTATCCCCATCAGCAACGCAGTGCACAAAAGTAGGATGGGCGCAAGACCAAAAGCAATACGCGCAGACGTGCACACCTTGACGACAAGTCCCTAAAGCCTCGAGGTGAGATGGCTTGGCACGTCTTCGCAGCCAGTTGATCCCCCGAGTTGACGTGCTTCCGAATCCATCGGATCTGATTCTCTGCGACTATTTAAGTTGCTTGTCGCGCGTGAATTCATGTCCAAGGAGTTTTCACCGTCCGAGCGTACCGCGAAGAAGCTCTCGTGAGGCTGACCAGACCTCCGGAGAGCTGGCAATGGGTTGCCACAAGGTCTGTCGTTAGCAGAGCTGTGCGTCAACACCACTGAATTTGCAGCGATCAGGAACAGGGAAAACCTTGCCGTCCAATCAACATGCTCACCGTGCCACCGCCGGACTGTGGCGATACCGGTCTCATCAATCCTGAAGGAGCTGACTGAGTGTTGATGGGCGCGGTCTGGGTGACGTACAACGCCGCCTTCAGCTAAATCCGCAACGTTAGGCGATGGCCGATTTTGCAACGGACGCACTGCGCCGAACTTCTCAGGGCTCACTGCGGTCAACATTGGCGCATCACAGCCAGTCGTCAGCACTCGATCGACCTGGATAAGTTATAGAAACTCACCTAGCGGGCCTCTGAGTTCTTCTCCCCAGCAAGTGTTCTGTCTTGATAGGAAGGAGGTCGTAAGGAGTGTAACATACATATATTAACACGGCAAAAGTATAGTACTAGAGAACAAACAAATCATCACCGATTAGCAGTGTCCGCGAGAACCTACGCCTCGTCTGTGTATCGAGGCACGCCGTGCTCCGAGTCGTGTTCCGCATGCGCGTCCGCCTCCTTGAGCCGCACCGGCACGTAGCGGGAGCCCACGCTCTTCCCCTTCGTCCCGCGCACGCACATCGTCAGCGTGACGACCAAGAGCGCGAGGCCGACCAGCAAGTTAGCCCCGAGCAGCACGAACGCCACGATCCACGATGTCTTGTCCGAGCTGGAGTGTGTGCTGTCTGCATCGTCGTCCGTAGATAGCGCACCGCTGATGGCGTCGTCCTGGGAGGCGGTCGAGCTAGTGGAGTTTGCAGCGGTCGCGATGGGGTACTGGATGAACTGGGAGGGCTCGATCGTGGGAGGGAGGGTGGCGAGAACTGTAGCGCGATCCTGGTAGAACTCGTCCATCGCGGTATAAGGGTCGACAGTGGTGACCATCTGGATGAAGGGCGTGCCGGAAGTGTTGGTCATCGGGTTGAAGTCGCCGTAGTCGAATCTGGGCAAGACATTCGTCAACTAAGCAAACGGACGGCAAGTGTAAGTATGGGGTCAGGACGCACGATGCATAGACGTTCCGAAGGAAGGCGTCCCCAAGAATAAGATCGAATCCAGCGAACTGGGTGGGGTCGAGGTTGAGGTACTGATACGTAGCCACGCAAACCGTGACGTTGGTTGTTGCCCCGTTCTTCACGATAGGTACAGCGAAAGGAAGCGCGAGGTCGAGCGGATGAACAAGGAACTCTTGGCCTCTGTCCGATAAGCGGTGGTGAGCCACACAGTCCCCAAGGTGCAGGAAATCAACCTACCCGAACACGAAGGAGAGTATGGTACTCGAATTGCATGGGATAACGTAGCCGCCAGCCGCCTGCGAGAACACCGCACCTGGGACTGACTTGTAGATGGCGTCAACAGCAGCCGGGGGAAGAGGGGGCAGCGAGAAGCCGCTGTCCATGACGGCAGCGACTTTGCCCTCGGGCACTCCTGGGACGGAAGACTGGTTGAACGAGAACTTCTCCCCGTTGATCCTCATCTCGTCCATGACGACTGCCCATCGATCCGACACCACTCGCGGCAGCTTGGGCGCGTCGCTAACGTCCCCGAAGGCAGCGGAGTGTCCGCTGACGATGAAGGTTCCAGCGCCATCCTCGTCCATCTGCTCCGTGCGGCCAAGTTGAATATCGAAGTTATTGGGTAGCGAGGTGTTCTGGGCGAAGAGGTTCGTGATGAACGAGCGGCCGAGTGTTTGAGCACTCTCGTTTCCCCATGCTTGCGCGACCGTGCTGAAGATGTTGGACACGTCAAATGACATGCCCATGTAACCATCGACCGTGGTAGTCATGTTCACGATCTACGGCGATGTCAGCGATGGCTAGCAATGTGCAAGATTAAGTGTAATCACCCGCGTAGCATTGACAAAGGCTGAGCACGCGATGAATGAACGCACCTATGTGGATTCCAACGGAAAGTACTCACCCTGTGAGGGTACGACATAGTTTCCGACCTTCAACTCCGCAAAAGCAATGTTTCCTTGCACTGCTCCTTGCCCGTACACTTCGGTAGCGATGAGGCTGGACGTGTTGGTCAAAGCAACATTGCGTCCTTGCGCGTTGATCCACAGGTCCGTGGACCCGGTGTCAAGAAGGACGGTGAAATCTACAAGCCTAGGTTGGCACATTCCTCTGCAAGGCATCATGTTGGAACTTACTCTGGCCCCCAAGAGTGATATCCACCGTGTACTAGCATAGTGTTGTCAGCTAAAGTAGATACAATGAGGGAATCGACCTTACGACTGTGTCGTCGGCAGTATTGATGCCGATATTAGGGCTATGGTGGGTCTTCACATCGAACCCGGAGTTGGAGGTCTCGGCAAATACGCTCCCCAAAAGCCAGGGCACGAGGAGCAGAAGCAGAGCAAAGCGACTGGAATGAAGAAGTCCCATGTCGAAAGTACGAGCTGGGACCAAGGACTATGAAACGAGAAAGGGGGGGAGTGAGAAGGGAGAACAAGAATAGTTCATGCAAACGATCCATAGCGTCTTATACCTAGCCCAGGGCATGGCGATGAGGGTTCGCCGTCCGCACGCCGTCGTCGAAACTGGATTGCCGACTGAGACCCCCGCTCCATGGTTTATCGACGGGCGTCTCTTCCCTGTACGCACCCACAAGCGATCCGCAGCGGCGGCAGCGCTACCGCGACCTGAGCGCTGATCAACCGGCCAGCACCGCGCCGTGTGGGGTTGGGGCGTCAGGGATCATGGTCGGGGACTGGATGACAAGCGACAGGCATAGCTAACGCCCAGGATTTGCGAGAGCTGAGACGGCGAAGCACCGGAAAGATGTCTGAGCACAATGCAGTGAGTCCACCGGGTAACAAATATGGCGTTGTTGACCAAACACCTACCTCGATGTGCGGAGAAAGCCCGGCGCGGCTGTCCACGCGGTCACCTCTGATCAAGTTGGGTCTTGGTAAGTTTCCTGTACGCTAGCTTGCGAGACTCGAGAACATCCAGAACTCAGAAGATGCCCGTACAGACAGACGGATTGCACAGTTTGCATAATCAAAGACCTCAGATTTGACTGCCGCGAGCGGAAGAGAATGTGTCGGACAGAGCGGCTTGGACACTGGAAGCGTAGTTACGCCCGAGAATAGCGGGCTTCCACTTCACTTCCTCAGGCGCATAGTGATAGCCGTCTTCTCACTGAAGCGCGCGGAGAACCTGTTCTGAGACAAACACCAAGTCAGAGGATCGAAGGCGCTTCTTTGTGAGCGATTGGCACACTCACCGTGTCATCGCCGGATTGAGGGCAGTGATGGCTCTGCAAATTTTCAGCAAGCCTCTCGGAGACTCGGATAGGATAATCAGATTCGGCATGACGTCGATGTAGCAAGGAAAGCACGCTTTGCGGTACTAGGTACATTCCGCGCTATGAGGCTGTGTGCCCTTGTATTATGCTCGCCCTCGATCATCGGCGTGGCGCATTTTGCTTGATGGAACGTGTTGTACAGGGTACACGGACATGGGAGCTAGTAAAATGCTGTCAACAATAGAAATAATTCAAGCAGGCGCGGATTTCCACGACACTCTCGTTTCTCATACCCCTTCTCCAACATTCGCTATACCGACTCGACAGGTCCACAAAGCTACGACGGCTCACCTTGGTTTTCCGCACCAATCGTGAGGGCTGCGTCTATACTTGATCGCGCCGCCACAGTTCGCAAACACGCCAGGTTCACAGCGATACAGAACACGTAGTTGCAGATAATATAATACACGACACGAGCGTACCTGACAGGAGCCACTCGTCTAGGCCCGATGAATAGGGAAAGAAAAGGTAGCAGGAGACAGTCTACCGCTTGTTGGTTGCCGCAGCCTCTGCAAAGCCGAGTCAGATCTCTACCGCAGTGTCAAAAAGCTCACTTACCTCGTCTTGTAGCGTCTTCCAATAGTTGTGTATCGACATGTTCGGCGGGTAGCTGGACGTATCGAACGACCGACCCGCGGATGAAGCAGTTCTTAACTGCCATCTACGCGCGTGCACCTCTCGTTCAGGCCAACTAGCGCGGTTCAAGCAAGGAATTCGACGTACCATGTGGGGGTGCCGTGCCTCATCAAGAACTTTGATGTTATCCAGCCGGATGTTCAAGAACCTTCAGATGCGACGCGGTGAGCGCAAGTCCGGAATGCGTAGAGACTGAGACGCACTGATCGACCGACTTCAGCGTGCCAGTGATGGAGAGATCATTCTTCAGTTCCACAGTGACTCTCTGGTCCGTCAGAGTTTTGAAGACAGAGAAGATGAGCTAGACAGAGAGCAATCAGCGTGAAACGAGACAGCGCGGCGAGCGAGAGGGACCGACCATGGTGGCAGACCGGAAGTCGCGTAGACGCCCAACGCGCGACTTGAGTATAAGCGCTGGTTTCACCGTACCCACGTGGCTCGAGGCATAAACTCAACCTCGGAGTTCCTCAAGACTCCATCTTCGTCCCAAGTTGCCTCCTCCATCTGCCTGCGAGGACCACTACTCCTACGCGTGTGTGCTCTGTCATGACAGGTCAAGCCCTTTCGATAGTGCAAGGGGGTTCTGCTCAAAAAGCACTAACACGGTGGGACGACACAGCTGCCTGTGTCTACGTATACTAGGAATCGATCTGTACTCACTCACTGCGTCTTGCTCCTGTTTCTACAGCAATGCACTACCAGTTGAGCACTCTCGCGCGGACGGCATTAGGAAGATTACGGGACTGCTGATATTAACTAAACCCCAAAGCGCTAGACAAGGATACAAGGCTACGGCTTCGTACAAGTACAACAAAAAAGCAAGATACACAGAACGAATACGCTACCGCTACAGAAACTCATCACACAAACAAAATCACATACATAAACTCACGCCCTGCGCTTCTTCCAGCTGCGGTTGGCCAACGGCGACGAGTCCGACGTCTCCGGACTGCTATCGCCCTTCTTCGCCTGGATCCGCGCGGAGATCCTCACGGGTGTTTGGGGCGACTGGATCGGCGCAGCCTTCGCCTTCGCCTTCGACTTCTTGGGGACGACAACCTCCAGGGGCGTGTTGGCACGCGTCGAGCCATCCACTGACGCGGCAGAGCTCGCGACGAGCGTGAGCGTCGCCGAGGGCGCGAGCGAGATCTCGGAGTAGTCCGACTTCGCCTCCGAGATTGCACGCGCAGGCAAGCATCGTCCCGCGGGCCGCTTGGGTGTGGGAGACGCGGGTACTGACGAGGACGCGCCGCGGGATGGCGTGCTTGGGGGAGAGGAGAGGGGGGTTGGCGAGAAGGAGGCATCAAGAGACTCCTCTGAGTGGGTGCGCTGCATGGGGGGTGCAGCCGCCTTCGTCGGAGTGACAGGAACGGCGATTTCTTCGACGTTCATGGGCTCTGAGACATCGACCATGGTGGGCGGCGAGATGTGGATGGTGGGTAGTGGGGAGGGCGCCTTCTCCACAGACTTCGCGGCAGCGCGCGTTTGCGCACGCGTCGCCGTACTCGCTCGGGTAACCCTCTTCTCGCTCACGTTGGACTGACCCTTCGCCTTCTCTGCCTTCTTCGCAGACGTTACCCCCACTGCCCGCTTCTGACGCTTCGGGGCTGGGGCACCTACAACCTCCTCGCCCTCCTCCACTGGGGCTGCACGTTTCCCGTTCGCGTTCCTCTCCGCTGGCTCAGCTACAGCAGCAACCTTCGCGGTGACCTTTCGCCCGCGCCGTGCGGAAGTGCGCGTCTTCCCCACCGCGGCCTTCTTCTTCGGCAGCGCCGCGCGCGCGTGGTGCTCACCAGCGGGGCGCGGAGTGAGCGGCAACCATCCTTTCTGGTAGACCCGCAGGCAGATCAAGTTGTACTCCTCGTCGATCCATCCAGCCTCTCTCGGGACGACAATCCGCTGGTGCTTCTCGACTAGCACCCAGTCAGTCCACCATCGTGCCACCCTTGCAGACAGCGGCACTCACGAATGACCTCCTGGACCTCCTTTGCGACGCGATAGCGCGCGTTCTTCGCCCAGAACGCCCAGTGCGCGGGGTGTTTAGGGCGCGCGTACACCGCGAGCGCGGCGACCACGAAGATGCGTTGAAGGTCGTATACCGAGAACTTGGCGGCGTCGGCGGGGCTGAGCACGTCCGCGACGCCCGCGGGGTACGCGACGCCGCCGTAGTCGGCGCGCCACCAGTTAGAGCACTGATCGTGGCCAGTGCATTGGTGCCATCGCGGGTCCGCGCATCCGCTCACCGAGCCGAGCTCGTGCGCGGAGTCTTCTGCCTGAAGCATGGCAGCGGCCACGCGCTTGAGGTACGCCTGCACGTACGGGTGGTCTTCGGTGAAGGTAGGTGACATGATGAGAGTGGTTCGGTGGCGATTACGGGTGTGCAAGGTGGGGATGGTGGTGGAAGACGCAGGATACAGAGAGAGGCGGAAACTGTGGCCTTTAAGCAGGTCTACCGTGACGCTTTGACTGCTCGGGCGCGCCACTCGTTGTGCACAAAGCGTGCGATGATATCAGTCGAATCGTCTTCCTGCGGTCGTGGCGGGTCGTAAACGGACGGTATTAGATTCAAGAGCCTGCTTGAGTGCGTCTATGATGTTGCCGAACCAGCGGCGATATTAAGAGAGGGAAGCGCAGAGAGTAGGGTATGGGGAGGGGACGCCGTCCGGGGCGGGGGAGCAGTGGCAGCGAGCGCGCACCATTATCCCTCTTTATCTACCGCTGCCAAAGGCACTCATCCGATGGCAGCAGGGTCATAAAGGGCACCCAATACGGATTCTGAAACCTGCCAGCTGAAAGGCCACAAGCCGCGAGCAGCAGAAGGGCACTGTGGGTCCATGGGAGAATGGGCCTCTCCTGAGCTTCGCGAAGAGGAAGCCTTATTGTGAGCGCACGCGCGTGGCGTCGTAACAAGACTTGCGCGTCATGAGTCTGCACTGGACTACGACTACTTTTGTCCTGAGCGCGCTATCGCGATATGACATCTTCCACGCTGATGCTGCTACTAAGTACAGGCATAAGCGTAGAGCAACGGGCCAGAATGAGCATCTCGGAAGTAGTTTACCGTTGCGGAGGGGTGCCAGATCAAAATGAGGACGACTTAACTCACTGTGCGATAACTAGTAGCGCGATGGGCTGCAGTGGAACATGATTACGAGAATTGGCTGATATTGAAGACGAAAGCTAAGCAGTTGAGAGACCTTGGAGAAGAGGTGCAGCATGATAGTGCGGCAGCGGCGTTGTCGAGTCGGCGGACTGTGCGAGAGGAGGCTTAGCGCTCAACCGAATACGATTTGAACCGGCATGAGACGGGCCGGATGTGATCCGCAACGGTCCGGCCTGCTTCGATCGGAGCTGCATCCTACTGGGCGCTAGTGGTTGTCCCCTGCTCTCCCCCTCTCCTCTCGTACTGTCCCTCTGGCTCAAGTCTCCGAAGCTCAGCGCTGAAGTGCGATTTACATGCGCGCGGACGAGGCCGCAAATACAATCAAGAATCATGCCTAAACGATCACTGTCGCCCGCACCTCTACCACCACCCAAGAGAATACACACTGCTACCGAGGACCACCCTCACGCTGTCTTTGAATCCAGGCCGTTCGACACTATCCTTTCCGATGAGATAGTCCTCTTTGTTTTCCATTATCTCTCTTCTTCGGATCTGTGTGCAGTGCAGCGCACGAACAAAAACTGGGCTCGGCTATCCTTGGACAACCAGGTGTGTATATCTATATCTAGGAACGGCGGGCTGACGGCAGTACAGCTATGGAAGTCATTGTACATCAACGAGTACGGACGAACCCGACTACGTGGTGGAAGAGGCTTCATAGGAAGGGGGGACGGTAGGGAGATTAAGCCCTTGCCTGGTAGAAGCGCGATACCCGAGGAGGTGAAGGACTGGAAGTGGATGTTTCGCATCAGTTCAAACTGGCGGACAGGTATGGGTTTCTCGTACAAGATAAACTCGCTGAGTTTCTAATGCGAATTGCGCAGGTCGATGCTCCTTGGAGCACTATGAGTTAGGCACATCTGCCCGACTATTCGCACATGCGCAAGCACCCGACCAGACCCATCTCCTCCTAGCAGGCAACTTGGCCATCATGGCTTCCTCCGAGGCAAATCGTGTCCCAGCCATATTGCTCTCATCGCCAGCGCACGAGCCGCACACCCTTCACTGTCCTTCTAGTCGACCTGCCACCACCACTCGTATCACCGCCCTCGCCTTAGACCAAGCCCCACCTACCACCGGTCACCACGGGAGGCTTATATGCTTCCTCGCAACTGGAGAGTTCTCGCTTTACAGTATCAACCATCAGACGCCATCATCGTCTTCGCGCGTGCTTACCTATCAGCCGTCAAGACAGAGCTCTCGTACCACTCCCATCGTCCAGGCTGTCTATCATCATCCGCTCCTCGTAACGCTATCGCAGTCATTTAACCTCTCACTCTACGACCTCTCCTCCAATTCCGTACAGCATACACAAACATTGACGTCCTTCACGTCCTTCCCTCCGAGCTCGCTCGTCCTGTCCTGCCAATCCCCTTCTGCCTATAGGCTCATACTCGCTTACGCCACCCCAGTATACCCTGTACATTGGTCAGTGGGCGCAACCGAACTCCTTATCTCTGGCTCAGACGACTCGCGGATGACCGTCACGAACACGCGCACTACACGCACTATGGACGTTCCTCAAGGCTGGGTGGACGAGAGTAGGATGCGCGCCGTACGGGAACAATGGGGCCGCAAGGTCGCGCGTGTTGCGGATACGCAGACGGACGGGAAGTGGGTCATCCTCGCACCTGGTCAGCTTCTCTCGACGATCCCGGGCCCGTCAACCCCATCTGCAGGTGGCTCCTCCTCGACCACACCTCCCCCCTCCCCCGCAGCGAGCTCGACGTACACCTCTTCGAGTCTGCACACAGCCTCCGGACTCCAACTGTACCGTCTCTACCTCCCCTCCTCCTCGTCCAGCTCGTCCTCTCCGAAGCTCACGTACGTACGCACGCTCCACGGACAAATCGGACCCGTGTCGACGCTCGCCCTCGCGGACGGGCGGTGCGTCAGCCTCGGGATGAACGGCAGCCTGTGGGTGTGGGATCTCGAAGCCGGGACAGGGACGGAGGTTTCCCCCGGGATCACCGGTCCCCAGGACACAGAAGGCGACGGCGAAGAGAACGATCCGTTCGAGACGGTCAAAGTGCGCGTGGCCGTTGGCGCGCGGGGGTCCGTCGTCTTCGATGACAGGAGGATCGTGAGCTCCCACGGCGCGGAGGTGGAAGTCAGGCGATTTGACATTTAGTTCCTCCGGGGATGTTCGTGCTTATCCGTTATCCTTATACTCTTCGTCTGCTTTGGATCTGTATTACAGGTTGTACCTATAGATGTTCCATTCCCTCCTTCAACGGAAGCAATGCAGTGCACGGCAGTGCGTTCAATGAACCTTCGACGACATGACAGCACTGCCTGCTTAACATAGCGCGGGAAAGCTACTTGATATATAGAATGCTGCCGCGCTCAAGACTAGGTCCGATACCGCGAGCATGTCCACCGTAAGAGTAGGTCTGTATTACTGGAATACTCAAGCGAAACTAATTATCGTAGCCAGCAGGTCGTAATGCGCTTGCCGGAAGTCTCTCGTCGACGGAGAAACGAGACGAGGCGTGGAAATTTTGCGCGAAAACTCTCCAAGGCCATTATGATGAACAGTTGAAGAGATGGAACGCGGAGCTCGACATGCTCCTTGTATTTGTACGGTCCATCCATGTTGTATAATGCTCTCGTTGTGTATACTGACTGGCTCACTCTCCAGGCTGGTCTGTTCTCAGCCGCATTAACTGCATTTAACGTCCAGTCCTACCTCCTCCTTCAACCGGACAACACCGACACCATAATCTTAGCGCTTATCGGTATCTCCGCGCAGCTGGAGAGTTTCTCCACAAGCACCTCTTTCGTCAATTCCACCCGCCCTGCGTTCACACCTCCCGATCCCGCGTCGTTCTCGCCCCCGAACTATGCCGTATGGATGAACGCGTTCTGGTTCTCGTCTCTAACATGCACCCTCTCCGCGTCGTCTATCGCCGTCATGGTCAAGCAGTGGCTGCACCAGTACGGCCAAGGGCTGTCCGGGAACCCTGGCGATGTGGCACGCCTACGCCAGTATCGGTACGACAGCCTGATCAAGTGGCACGTTCCCGGAATCATCGCCTTCCTCCCCATCCTATTGCAGACCGCACTAGCGCTTTTCCTCGGTGGGCTCCTCATCTTACTGTATAGCCTCCACCAGGCTGTCGCGGTAACAGTCAGCTTTCTGGTCGGCGGCCTCATCATCTTCACGACGGCTACCACCATTCTCCCCACGTATTTCTCCGACTGCTGCTACCAGTCACCGCAGGCACTAAGTGTGTGCATCGCCATACAGGCGGTTCGGCAGGCTATCATCAAGACCTTGGACTTCATCCAGCGCAAGACCGAGTCCTGGCTCGATGACGCAGGGCTTCTTCACTACGTCGTTCGCTCTTCCTTGGGCAAATTCCAGTCCAAGGCGACCTTCCGGAGCTGGCAAGCCCGCGAGAAGCCAGACGTCGACGCACTCCACGACGAGCTCGAACAGGCAGTAGCACTCACCACATACCGAATTGTCTCCGACAACGCCGTGCTGACCTCCACGGTGGTTCCCTGCCTGTCTGGAGTTAACGCGCTCTCGGAGCGAATGTCCGTACAGTACGGTGACCTCCTCGTGGCCATCGTGGAGAAGCTCAAGAAATCGGACTGGGCGCTGTGGCGGCCGACCATGCCTTTCGTCCTCGTCGTTCTCTCGCTTATCGTCAAAGACCCGCGTCCGGGCGCAGTGCGCAGGGTTCTGTCTGTCATGCCGGAGCACCGCTTGACCTCTGCCAAGTCCAACCTAACCATGTTGTTCCTGCTCTCCATGACGAACCTTGTCTCCAACGGGATCGCGGCGCGGGATGCATTCGAAGTTATCCTTCGCTATCTGCGGGACGCACAGGTCTCTCAGGAGAGGAGCACGACACTTGGACAGACGGTTCTTGCGGACGGTAAGTCGACGCAATATATGACTGAATTGAGAGTAACTCATCCATTGACGATAGTAGAAGCAGCGTTCCCGGGCAAATGGGACGCGCTCGAGCAGGTCGTAGACCTTAACAACTACGTCGCCATCAGCAACTACCTTACTGGCCTTGAACACATCGTGCGCTATCTGCTACGCCATCGGGCTACGCTGGGAGAACTGCTTCTCCCCGTCGAGGAGCGCATCAGAGTTATGCTCCTTGGTTTCGAGTGCTTCCTCCGATCTCCCGCGTGGCCGGAAAGCACATGTAGGCAGCAGAGCCTACTCTGGGCTCTTGTCGATACCACGCTCCCAGACCTTGTTTGGGAGCTGCGGCGGCCTGGGGCAGCGGCTACCGTCGTGCTTCAGAAACATGCGGCGAAGTGTGCCACTGCTTACCGGGGCGTTGGAGAGCTTCTTGTACGGGATTTACCAACACCGGAACACATGCGTTCGGAGGCCTCCGGCGTAACTCGGAAGGCTCTCGGAAGGCTGGCGATGCAACTCGAGCGGTTCTCGAAAGAGGACGAGGGCGCAAAAGCCCCGGACCGTGTTCAGAAAGGTCAGTGCTCCCTCACCATAATTCATCTGACCTGAAGTACTGAACATTGCGGTCATTCGAAGGTTCGAATACGCTTACGGTGGTTGACAGCCAGCCGTCTTCAGGCGATAAAACTACCTTGGTGCCCTCCCGGGAGCTTACGCATCCGCCGGAATCGATTCCCTCCGGCCCTCTACCCCCACTACCTTCGGCACAGACGCAGCAGGATACAGATCCCGGAGTCCCAGCTGACGATGAAATGGACGTCGCCGACATATCGTACATCCTCGATATGGGTATCTACTGGGACGAAATGCCTCACACACCAGGTAAGCAAGCTTGAAAGCACTTATAGTACTGATACTGATACTGAGCTTCTCAATCCCAGGTATCGACACTCGACGCTTATCGGAAGTTGCGATGGTGTCTCCTGCGATTCGCGATGAAGTCGACGACTGGCGCGCGGACCCCGTCCTGCCTTCCGTCGCCGAAACTAATATCACACCATCGCCTAACGCGCACGTTATACCGATTCTACTCGAGAGCCCGGAGGCCGAAACCGTGTTCGCTGGAAGCTAGGTCAGTTTCATATCCTCCTTGCCACCCTAGCTATGCTGATAGTTCTCCGGGCTTAAAAGACGCGTTTTTCAAACGCACTTGTCACTAACATCCGACAACACTTTCTTGGACCCTGCTTGCTTAAACGTACAAGACCAGCCGTCTGCCTCGAACTCAGCCGAAGAAGAACGCGTTTACACTAGGCTAGCCAGCTCCTCGAACGAGCCCACGACGACGTCTACCTCCCCTCCCTCGGTCTTGCTCTTCACCTTATGCTTCAGGTCCCCATCGTCCGTCGGGCGCGGCACGTACACCGTCTTCATCCCCTGCTTCGCCGCAGCCTCAAGGTCCCACATATGGGCCGCGACCATCGCGCACTTCTCCGCCGGGAGCTCGAGGTAGCGCAACGCACCTTGGTACACCTTTGGGTTCCTGGGCCTATGTTAGGAGCACGTAAGTGCCGAGGGCAGGATTGGGGCGCTCACGGCTTGCACGTCCCGAAGAGGTCTACGGAGAGGACTACGTCCCAGGGCAGGTCGGCGTGCTTGGCCTGGAATTTGTGTCTCAGCCTGCCTGGAACTGCTTCTTGTGTCAGGCAGACTTACGACGTCGACCAGGAAACGCATGTTCCCGTTAGACAGCGCTACAATGATCTTTTTCTTCTTGAGGGCGTAAAGCCCACTGGTGACATCCGGCCAACCTGGGTCGCCTTCAGCGCGCAGCAGCCAATCATATCAAGTATGCGCACCGTCTGAGCGGTGCCACGCCAGGACTAGCTCGTGTCGCTTTGTCTCGTCCCACCCGGGCGCGAGGTGCTTCCATCGCGGGGACTCAAGCATCGCCTCCAGTATCTACACAAAGCCCTCCGGGTCGCATCACGATATTCGCAGACACAGCTATTCGCGACTCGCCTCCCTGTGCACAACATCCATGTTCGTGATTCCGTGACCGGACTGTGCAACGTTTCGCCTGCGGTTATGAGACTCGAGCCTGCTTTGGATCCATGTGTCGACCTACGCGTGCGTGAAGTAGCCCAGGCGCCATTCCTCAGCGAAGGCGTTCCAATCCTCTGTTGAAGCTGACGGTCATTCTTTCGAGCTGCATGGCATGCAAAGTAAACATCACTAGGAAGAACACTTACCTTCTGTCCCTTCAGCAGACGCCGCAAGCGTGCGGACGATGTTCCCTTGCCAGTCAACGGTGGTGCCGAAGACGTCGAACACGAACGCTTCGACACCGTGTAGTGCTGAGGCAGCCTGGGAAGACATGGTGGTTTTGTGTCGTTGTCGTAACACGGTGGACGTTTGGGAGAAGGAACTTCGTGGACACAGATGACGTCGATCTGGCTTTATAACAGGCTGGGACTTGGATCAGTCATGAGGTGCCGTGGGGAAGCATATGTTACTGTACACCATAAAGAGCATGGCGCATCGGCAGCTAGGCCGTCCTGACTGTTAACAAACCTGAGTGGCATCGGCCGATTGACCCGCCCCATGGAGCGCATGACTAGCCCTACGGGCCCAGAGCTTCTGCACTGATCCTTCGCGCGGTGGAGGAGTGTGCTGACGGCGCATGCATTGCGTCAAGCAGACACGGAAAGTATCGTATGCAGCAGATTTTGAAGAATGATCCTCACGGCGAGATGCAACTCAGTCGGGTCTTCCTGGTGCTCTACTATCTCGCATGTCGTACATAGTGGTAACACACGCTCTGTAACGGCTGGCCTGATCTTCGACTGTGAGAAATCAGTCTAGGGTCATCTGGGACGATGTGGCCATGCTACTAGGAAACTGGGAACGAACGCATTAGGCACATAATGAACAACGAAATGTAGACTTACGCAAAAGCTTCATGCATGACCCATTATCGATTATCCGTCGTAAAATGATCTGTAAAATGATCTTGCGCGAGCAGCTAACGCGGAACTCACTTCAACTGTCTGCAGTATTGATGCTAGTGTTTCCGCGGGTTGTCTGTCAACTGCATTCAGATAGACCTAGCTGTTCATTGAAGATTCCTTGTCATGTGTGAGCAGTCCTGTTCGTCTCATCCCATGCTTGTGGTGGTAGCCAAGAGAGAGTCGACGCCTGCCGAAAGTACGGCATTGAGCGAGGCGCCGGGCGCTGCGGGGGGCGCCCACGTGGGAGGCGTTGCTGTGATGGATCGCGGTCTGCCTCGGTCTCCGCCTCCACCGCACAACACTCCTTTCCTTCATCCCGCCTCCATCCTCATCTCTCTCCCTCTCCCTCCCCACACCTGCCGCCATGCTGCCGGCGCTGCTGCTCTCCCCGACGCTCCTTCTCCCCCTCCTCGCTGTCCTTGGCCTTGGCCCCGCCCCGGCGCGGGCGGGCGATGTGCAGTTCGGCGGAGGGTGCAACCCGGACCACCAGAAGCTGCAGGAGGGCACGTTCCAGTTCCAGACGGACTGCGACGCCATGACGTTCTGCTTCAGCGGCAACTCGACGTGCGCGCACCGCGGCTGCCGCCAGGACGAGTTTCCGTTCGGATACTCGAAGACCGAGAAGCTGCCCGACCGCTGCCCGAAGGGCCAGTTCTGCCCGGACGAGCAGGACCTGTGCCAACCCCTCCTCGCCGTAGGCAGTGCGTGTCAGTTCAACCGTGATGGTGAGTGCCATGTACTAGATGTGCGATTGTGGAGGAATACCGATGTCCGACGGAAGATGAGTGCGAGGGGCCGCCGAACTTCAAGGAGCTCGAGGACACGACTGGGTTCGGACTGAACTCCAACGGATCTGTTTGTCTAAACAACATCTGCATGTACGTCTTCTCTTCGTGATGATCCCTCTCGTCCGTTCTAACCTCACTCTGCAGGTGGGCAAACGTCACCGTCGGCCTCCCTTGTATCGTGCAAAACACCGCCTACACTGCGTACGGCCCTGACGGCGAGTTCATCGACATCGTATCAAGGCAAGTGCTCTCCTCGTTCTGTTGTACTACGGACAAGTCGCTGCATCAATCCCGTCCCACGCCCGCAAATATCCGCGAGTAGACTGGGAACAAGGGACGTACATCGCTACAGCATTCGTCTCAGCGCTACGGGAGACCGCCGTCCGCGCCCGGGTCCCTTGCGATCAATAGCGCGTTCGAGCCCACTGCTCGGCACATCGACTTGTCCGCGCGCTCTCCTTTTGCGACAAAGCTGACCTTTCTGCAGGGGCAACTGCAAAGTGGGGCTCTACTGCGACGCTCAGCAGCTGGTTTGCGTCCAGGGCAAGGCGGTGGGGGACACGTGCGATGCCGACAAGGAGTGCTTGTCGTATAATTGCTTGGCATCCGGTACCTGCGGCGATAGGGCCGACACCCCGCGCGAGGTCGCCAAGTGGGTCTATGTCGTGGTCGCTATTTGCATTTTCGGAGGTACGTGGGCGAGATGCGAAAGGTGGCACGGTGGCTCATAGCAGTCGCTCCAGGTATCATCGGGACTCTCATTGGGCTCTACTTCATTCACCGGAAGGACCGTGACCAGGAGCGCGAGAAGCGTATGCAGTACTGGCGCGAGCAGGTACGGCTGCCCCTTTCCCTCCGATTAGAGCGTACTGCTGACCCACTCGTGCGCGCAGAACGCCTTCCGTCAAAACATCATGCAGATGCAGGAGACAGCACGAAACTCGCTGATGAACTTCGACACGCCAGGGACGAGCCCGCGGAGCACGATGTACGGGCGCGACCAGCAGACGGAGGACTCGCAGGCGCCGATGCTGCACCAGGCGAGCAAGTCGAGCGCGCTGCGGTACTACGTCTCCGACGACGGCTCGCAGATCGACGACCGGTCAGACGAGGACCTGATGATGCGCCGCCGCGACCCGCAGCCGCACCAGGGCGACCGGTTCTGATTAGGCTGGCCCCCCCGTCCGTGGTGATCATGCTCTCTTCTAGACACTCCTATTTACGAATGCATAGCGGGCTGCATCGGACTTCATCAGCTACGGCTAGGCTCGGCCCTCGCTTCGTACGCACATTCGCCCCTCTACGAAACGACGCGCTCGGACGCTTCGTGCACCGTGCAATCCTCCCCGCCCTCCCACAACTGTAGCGTACGGTTCAGTAATATGACTGGTGCTACGCCCCCCCTGGGTTTTCAACCTCGCAGTCGTCCCCTCGTTTGTTGGCAGTGTATAGCAATAATATACCACATGCTTGTATATACATACGATCCCCGCGGGCACGACTGGGTGGGAAGCTAGAGGAGATACTGGTAAGCTTGCGGCCACTAGTGCTTCCACCGCTCGCTCGCTGCTTTGAAGTTGTCACCATCACATAGCAAGTAGTTCGTCAATCTTAACAAGTACGCAGTCTCCGTAGTACTTACTATCAAACTTACTGTAGCAGCTCCCGTGAAGTTGCACGGCCTTACGACTTCAAGTCCGTGCGGTGGTGCGGCGTTTGTACGGCCGTCGATGACGTCGGTGCCGGCGTGTTCAGCCAGATGATGTGTTCTTGCGACGTCCGCGTCTAGCCCATCTAGAGTGTTTTCGCGATGTCGTAGTGGGAGGAGCGGGAGGATGCCATGGCGGCGGCCGGAAATAGCAACGCGGGTGTAGTGGCGCGTCATTTCCGTTGCCTATCCAGGAACGGCGTGACCCAGCTCTCTTCCTCTCTTGCTCTCCCCTTCGCCGCTTTCCCAGGCCGCGCGCAGCCCTCCGCCCCGCCCGCTATACTCGCCATCCACCACGACGTCCACGACGCCCACGACACCTACACCGACGGCTGGCACCCCACGCTCGAGCCGCATACATTCTTCGTCTCACCCATCTAATAGACTCGACCTGGACCGCGCACAGCGCAGCACCGCTCCGGAAGCTGCACCCTCGAGACTCAGAGCAGGCAGCATACCTACACGCACACGCACACCACACGTCGTCCGGAGCTCGGAATGTCGACGACCCCAGAACCACTGCCGTCTCTCCCGCCTTCACCCTCGCCTTCCCATACGGACGACGTCGCACAGGCGTGGCATGATGATCCGGAGGACGAGCCGTCAAGCTCTCGGTCGGAGGCGCATCTAAACCCTGCTAGCACAACACGGAAGGGGAAGCAGAGGGCACTTTCTGGAGAGCGGGGGAAGAATGCAGGTGCAACTGACGAAGAGGAGGACGAGGAGGCGAGCGACGGCGCGGCGGGGTACCCGCCCACACAAGACGAGAAAGCAGAGTCTCGGAGGATAGAAGAGGTGCGTTTTCCGCCCCGTTCCCTTGCAGGGCCCTACAAAGGAGACCTGCCGCATCATGCTGGATCACAGTTAACACCCCACGCAGAATTTGCGACGCTGGGAAGTCGCGGAGCGGCAACGGCGGAAAGCCGCACGCGACTCCGTCGCATCCACGTCCGGCGGGAGCACCGCGCCCTCGCTCCTCGCCGGCCTCTTCCGGCGCGACTCGCGCAAAGCCTCCCTCGGCGGCGTCGGCGCGCACCACGCCCTGCGCACCGACGACCGCGACGCGGACCCGAACGCCCTCCCTCTCACCGACATGAACACGCCCACGGGCGACGCCTTCGCGCCCTCGGCGCCGCCAACCCCGGAGCCGGAGACGCTCTCGCTCGCGGAGAACCCGTTTGACACCCCAGCAGCGTCCCGCACGTCACTGAACATCCCCGCGCACTCTGCGCTCATGACGGAGTCTGAGAGCGGCCTTGGGGATTTTGCAAACGCGGATGCGCCCCGCGCACGCACAAAGGGCGCGGCGATGCTGGAGGCATCCCGCCGCGGAAGGCGTGCGTGGAGGGCGGGCGCTCCGGCGGGCGCGATCGTGTACGTAGCGGTGAATATATTTTATTGTGCGGAACGAGCTGTGCGCGCGCGGGAGTGCACGCGGGCGGGCGGATGCGAGCTCACCACCGCGGCGAGAATCAAGGACTCTGGCAGGACAGGGGGGCTGTATGGGACAGTAGGGTTCTATGGGACAAGGGGGCTCTATGGGGGAGGAGGGGTGGGGGAGAGAGGGGTGGGCGGCGAAGTCATCGAGGGTAGAGGGCTCAAAAATATATGTCGTATCGACTCTACAGGGCTGGGAATCGCGTCGTAGCACGTCCACCGACGAAGGCGTACGGAAACTCGAAAAACGCGGAGGCGAGGGAGTCTCCAAACGGGCATACGCACTGAACACCTCTCGGACACTCGAATCGCGCGCTGCATGGCCGCGAGTTGCACGAGCGCGCCAGCAATGAGATTCACGCCCTCGCGAGAACGGCGACGTGCTGCGAAGTGCGTTCGCGCGAGCTCTCCGCGCGCAGACTTTGCGGAATCCGTGTTCGCGGAATTGGCGCCCTCGCGGCGATCGACATGGTCGCCCTTTCACTCTTCGCCTTGTCCCGTGCCCTCCCGCGCGCCGACATTGCGAAATCCGAGTGCGCGACATTGGCGCCCTCGCGGCACTCGACACGGCCGCCATCTCGCTCGTGGCCTGATCCTGCTTGCTCTCGAGTCTCCATACAACTCCTTCTGGGCTCGAGTCCACTCGCGCAGTCGAGATCTGCAAAACACGAGTCAGACGTCTCGGAATACTCGTCGCGGTGGCACCTATCTGCCTGCTATGCGGAACCCCGGCCGTCGTACCCGCGCAGCTGCTCTCCCGCCCGGCCGGTGCCCGTTGTCCGAGTTCGGTGTACCGCCCTCCCGCGCGCCGACGTTGCGTAATTCGGGTGCGCGGCATTGGCGCCCTCGCCGCACTCGACACAGGTCCGCTCGCGCGGTCTGGGCCTGCGACATATGAGTCAGACGTCTCCAAAAGATCAATACGGTTGCGCGTACTCACTTGACTGCTGGCCGCCGTTCCGGCGCAGCTGGTACCCTTCCGCCCGGTGCGTGTGGTCAGAATTCGGTACGCGGCCCTCTGAGATCGGCGAGCCTCGCGACGTACGCGCCAAATCGATGTTCTTCGCACGCTGCGAGTCTGGACCGCGCTGTTACCCCGTCGCACCTGCGCAAGCGTGCCCACAGCGGCCTGCAAAGCACTAGCAAGTAGACGCATCTGTGAAGCATACGAGCGCGTGTGGGTACCTTCGATAGCCTGTTGAGACACTCCGAGATAGAGATCGGTGAGCTTCCACTCGGCGGTACTCGTTAAGTAGTCCGCGAGCCTCAGAAGCTTGGCGAGCTTCCAGACGGTGGGGGTCCCGATTGCACCGTCGCCGCGCGGCGCACACACGAGTGTGCCCACTGCGATCTGAAAAAGCATGAGTGAGTGACGGGATACGTAGTGCATGCGAGCGCGGGAGCGTACCTTCGATACCATGTAGATACAGCCCGGCATACGAGCTCGGTGAGCGTTGGAACAGCGGCACTCATTGAGTGCTCTGCGAGCCTCTTCGGACGATCGCATATCCCACTGCGGAACAAACGGCTACTTCAGTGATGTACAAGAAAGTACGCACCTTGTCGACGCGTCGTCGTCGTGATCTCCAAGTAAGTAACGAGCTCCCGGGGAGAAGCCGAGCTCCCGGGCAGCCGGAGTTCCAGTCGAGCAGTCCAGTGGTATGCGGTGTCGCCCAGGTCATATGTGGTGCGTCCTAGACGGTCCCAGGTGTCGGGATGCTCCTCCGCGGCAGTGTGTTTCGTGCGTGAGGCCACGGCATGGTGGCGGGAGGCAAGAAGAGCACGGCGCCGATTTTGGCGCCCGAGACTCGAAAGTCACTTCGCCCGCCCGCGGCGGCCCTTTGCAATCCTGGCTCTCTCCTGCACCGCCACCACCCCACCTTCGTCTCCCCTCGCTTCTGCCTCTTGCTTGGCCCGCGGTCTCGACTCCCCTGTGCAAACTGCCGATTGCCGACAGCGCGGACTGCGGGAACTCGATACATCAAGGTACGCGCTTAGCGAACTCGAGGCTACTCACCTCTCTCGTCAACAGTCGCTGCCAGCACTCTGCCTGCTCGCGCTTTCCCGTCTTCCGTCCACTTCGCCGTTCGCCGGCGCCCTGGTACGTCGTGAGGATGAATACGAATACAGTGGCTGAATGCTCACCTTGACAGCCTGGCCACATTGACCAGCAATACCAAGACTGCATCTCACGCCTCCTGATGTGGTGTGCGCTTGACGCGTCTCTGCTGACGCGCCCGCGTCGCGTATTCTCGCTATGGTACATGTCAGCTATGATCTCATCTACGATGCATGTGGGCTCACCTTTTCAGCCCGCCCTTGTCGCGAGCCATGCCAAAACGGCGTTCGCGCCGTCCTCCTACCGCGGCCGGCCTATGATACGGCACTTTTTGACGCGGCGTTGTCCTCGCTCTCGCTCGACGCACGCGGCCCTGAGCGAATACGATCGTGTCGAGCGTGAGAACGACACGCATACGCTCCCTTTGGCATAGTATCCACGGTGCACTCGAGCGGCGGTGTCCTATGCGCCCCCGTCTGCGCCCTCTCTACGCGGTGTGCACGCGAAAGCGGCAGTGTGTGCGCCGCTCACGCCGGCTGATGCGGTGTGCAACTGCGACAGTGAGCGAAGCAGCAAAGGACGAGCGCGTTTTGTGTTCGCTTACCTCGAGAACACGCCCAGGTCATCCGCCCACGGCACGGCGACTTTCACCGTGCACTCATGCGCTCTGCCGCGATCGCGCCGCGCCCTACTCCGTCACATCTTTGTTGTGCCTCTAGGCTCTGGTCTTCTGTCTCTCCTCCTGGGAAACCTGCCGCCATGCGCTCTGAAACTCACCGACTCCTCGACACCAATCTCAACCCGGCCTCGGTCTCCTCCTAACCTCCGGAACTGCTGGCATCTGCTCATGCACAGCCATCTCCGCTTCCTGGGGATGTGCCGTGGCATACGATGGCTACGTGCTCCTGGGAAAGACACCTGTCAGACAACGAGAGTGCTGCTACTGCATGTGCGAATACTTACAGACCTCGAACTCGACCTGGGCTTCTGACTATCTCTGGTGGATCTGTCTTGTGCATGAACACGGTCGGGCATGCTGTCACTGTGGCTCGGAACGTCTCGTCTCTGTTCTGCAAGGTGTTAAGGCTATGTCTGGACCATGACATTGGTGCTCACCTCGTCTGACTGCATTGCCCACATACCTCGCTGACAGAGACTCTTCTGGGTGCCGGCTGGTCCTGTGTTCTGCGATGTAGCTGTGATTGTTCTTGTACGACGGCCTTCAGCGCTGTGGGCGCGTCGCATCGGGCGTTGTCGGTGTCGAGGAGATGGGGAGATGGGGAGAACTTGACAGACACTGCGTCGCCGGGAGCGCATCGCGGTGGGCAAATATAAAGCAGCAGTCGGAGAGGAGTGTCGACGACGGAAGACGCCGATAGAGGGTTGAGGGAATGGGAACATAGGGAGGGGATTCCGCGTGTAGGGGGGAGAGGTGGTTGGCGGAGAGGAAGAAGAGAAGACGGCGGGACGGGCACCGCCCTATATTTATCGTCAAGGTAGCCCATTTCCCGATTCATCTGTCCTGTGGTGTACGCCGTAACGCCAGCTCATATATCATTTTCAGGGTGAGGCCAGCCGTCGGCGTGGCATGGCCTCGATCGGGCAGACTCGGGGTAGCCGGCCAGAGCGCTGGAATTTCAAGTGTGGTCAATTCCGCGCGGACAGCCTAGAACTTTCGCCTGCGGCCAGTCTAGCATGATTTGGTCAGCGCCATGCAGCCGCATTGCGATTTATTTGGAAGGCGGACAGCAAAACAAGCAAAACGATGCTCGAGCGGAGGTGTCGAAATGGGCTAGACATGCCCAATTTGGCAGGTAGCGTGGTTCAGAGCGCTCGCGCGCGCGGACTTCGCCCGGCCGATCTCTGGCTTCTCCATGACCACTGCGCCCGACTCGCCACCTCCGCGACGTCTTCTACGCTCCCACGTCGATTAGATAGCGGAAATTATACGTAGATACACTAATCGAGTGCGATTTGGAATCTGTCAATCCGCCTGAACCTGCCATGCCGCCGCTCCCATACCTAATCCGCTCCGGCCGTCTCAGGCTCCCACTCGCTGTCCGACGCGTCCTCGATCGGGTCATCAGAGAGCTCGCCGCCGAACGAGCGTGTCAGCTCGAAATCGGGGTCGGTGATGTCGTCGTCCAGCGCGTGCGCCTCCTCCGAACCCTGCTCGCCATCACCGCCGCTGCTCACCTTGTCCGCTCGTTGCAGCACAAATGGCAAGCTCGTGACCCCCGTCGTCTGCCGCTTCTTCCGCACCCGTGTCTCCATGTCCGATGCGCGTGCGCGCCGCTTCTTTGTGTCCTGCCGCTGCTGCGACTGCGCCTTGGGCTCCGGCATGGTCGACGTCGATTGGCGGCCAACCCGTCGCATGTCGCGTGCGCGGAAGACGTCGGACTCGACGGGGAGGGCTTTGGCCTTCGCCTTGGCGGCGGCGGCTCGAGCCTTCAGCTCCGGGAGGTGCTGGGGCGTCGGATGGACACTCTCGGGGTCGCGCGCGGCGTTGGCGTAGTCCTTGCGCGAGGCTGGCTCGAAGCGCAGCTTCTCGGGGTCCCCGTCAGGCAGGTACCAGCGCCGACGGATCTCGCGGAGCGTATCGAGGCCGCCACCGACCGAGCTGAGGTCCGTGAACGGGACATCCTGCGGCCACCCCACAAGCACATGGCCAGTGCCGAGTACAATGTCGGAGGCATAGCACTGCGGAGCGTAGCGCATGCGCTTCTGGTTGCCGTGAGACAGACGGTCTGCATAAAAGGGTCAGTCACGGTGCTGCGCGAGTGTGATGTGTGAGTGTTGCTCACCGATATCCCCATTCAGATTTCCTTGCATCTCCACCTTGATGTCGCCGCCTTCCCAGCCGCGTGGGGCGTCCTTGCGCTTCGAGGGCATGTCGCGGAGAGGAGAGGGGAAGGGGGAGTGAGAGGGAGAGGGAGAGGGAGAGGGAGAGGGAGAGGGAGAGGGAGAGGGAGAGGGAGAGGGAGAGGGAGAGGGAGAGGGAGAGGGAGAGGGCGCACATCCGGTGTGCACAGAGGATTCTTGGGTGCGCAGTAGCGGCCGGCGAAGCAGATGAGTCCAGAGCGTGTTCGCATGGATCAACGAGGCTAATCCTGTTGATGCTCCGCAGGTCGCGCATGCGTGCAGACGTCCATGCGAGTTCGCGGCGGTACGCCCATTTCGCGAAGCGAGTTACTTCGATTTTGCAGGGCCCCCGGGTGATTGTATCTCGATAGCACACCAGCCGTGGCTCCACTGTCTGTTGTGGACGGTGGACAAAAATAGCCTGATCATACTAACGTGAGCGGCGGTCCTACAGCGAGTGAAACGAGATGGAAATACTACCGAACACAGCGGGAGAAGAGATGGGTTGCCGCGGGATGCCTCAGTGCAACTTGGCCGTGTTCCGAGGGCTTGTAAGTGGGTTCGAGGCCATCGGAAGTGCCAGAGATGCGACACAGTGGGCGCACACGAGAGAAGCGAGTCAATGAGCGGTCTGCCGCGTGAGTCTTAGATGCGATATGATCACTTAGTGGGCCCGACGCCGTCGCAGCCCAGCACTCAGGGCTGATGGCTCACTCACTCACACATGAGTCGGCGGGCACTCGGGTGCCCGCAATGTAGCAAGCCTAACTGCCGCCTCCGATACAGCAACGGTGTGCTCCCGAGGACACCGCGAAGACCCAACCCGCCTGGTAGATGGAACTACGGGGCGGCCTGGCTCTTCGCCGCTGCCCTCGGGAGATACGCACCGCGGCCGCAAAGCCCGCTCGCGAAGCGAAGAG